ATTCTTGCGTAAACGCGCTCTACTATAAGCTCTTTAAGCTACGTTCTTATCTTAGTCTAACCTTATACTATTAGTAATACGTAGTAAATATACTAATTACGTATACCTATTATTTCTGCCCGCTAACCTTCTGTAATAGATACTCTATAATAGCAAAATTATAAATTCTCTAAAAAAATTTAATATCTTACCTATTAATTAGATAGTAACTTAAGAGAAGCTATAGGCTACTAAGTAAAATTTTAGAAGTTATATAATTATAGATCTAAGCAATAAAGATAGTCTACCTATTAATAAGAATTATAAGTTATAAGAAGTAGAGAAGATAAATATAAGGCTAGTATTCTATTAGAAATACTCTCTAATTTACTACTTTATACTAGAATTACTACTCTAGAACCTACACCTAAGCTAGAAAGTTTAGAGATAAGTAACTAAAGAAATTATAAAGTTACTAGTAGTTAAAAAGTTCTATATACGCCTAAGAGAGCTAACTTACTAGAACTTAGAAGTAGAGAGCTCTCTACTAGATTAATTAATCTATCTCTAGCTATTAAGCTTATAGTATTAGACTCTAGATCTATAGAAATAGAAAAGAGATTTACTTAACAAAAGTAAGCGCTAAAGAGAAAGAGAGGCTAGCTACTAAAGAAAATAGCTAGATCTCTAAGTAAGGCGTAAGAAAATAATTAGCTAATAGCTAAATTCTCTTAATAAATAAAATATAGTAAAAGATTTATAAGCTAAGCACCTAAGTAAGATCTCTTTATAAATAACTATTTACTATTAAAATAAACTTACAAAGGCAAGAAGCCTAAGTAGTCTAATAATCAAATAGAGAGTAAAAGCGTAAGTAGTATTAATATATTAATAATAGGCTTAAGAGAAGAATAAGCCTAGACTAATTTCTATAATATCTACCTTTCTAGTCTTTGTAAAGACTAGAATAATTAAGTAAGCTATAAGACTATAGATATAATAATTATATCTACTACGCTTAGTAAGTATAAGATAAATATACTTAGTACTTACTAATACTATAATAGTCTCTAAGAGCTACCTAGAATATAAAAATAACTAATCTAATATCTAAAAAGCGTGCTCTTTAAAGACGCCTCTAAGAGAAAGATTAATTAGCTAAGTAAAAAAAAACCTCTAACTAAGATTTTAAGAGCTTAAGCTAAGAATTACTCTCTTTTATTAAAATAAATATAGACTTATAAGTTAAATTAAGTTAGTTATCTTCTTAAATATAAAGCTAGAATTATAGTTTAAAGAGATTTCTAGAAGAAGAACTTAATTAAATTAACCTATATAGCTACTAAAGTAGCTAAGTTCTTATACACTATAATAGTAATTACTACTTAAGGTAATCTAGAGATTAAGTAATATAATATTATAGAAGTGTTTCTAAATATAATAATTATAACAAAGAACCTAGTAATTTATAAGATGCTAGATATTCTCTCTAGGCCTAAGAGATAGAGCCGGTAGTGTACTTGTTTTAAAATTACGTAATTATTACGTAATAACGTAATCACGCGATAACGTAGTACTATGTTACCTAATAGTAAACTTAGAAATCTCTAATGCAAGTATAGATTTGCGCCTTATTATAATACTTATACCTACACTACTACTACTACTACTACTACTACTACTACTACTACTACTACTACTACTACTAATATAATAATTACTACGCGCGCAATTGCGACGCGCTAACTACTTTACATTTATTATATATAACTAATAGTTATCTAGGTTTTTAATTAGTAGTAGCACTAATACTAGCTCTATATAATCGCGTAATACTAAAAGAAAACCTAGTAAGTTTATTACTAGTATAAAGCCTAACTTAAGACACCTATAAAATACCTATAAGATTACTAGTAATCTATATTTTATACGTAATTATCTATAAGCCTAGCTATATTAGAAGCTATATAATGCTATTCTTTATTATTCTAATTACTTACTCTACCTTTTATTACGTGTCTATTAGTATAGTCTAATACTATACTATAATTTTAGTACCTTCTAGAGCTAGTAAAGTACTACCTACTTTTAGCTAATAGAAATATTATTACGCGTAATCTTAATAAACTTAAGCTTCTCTTAGGTTACTAGTATAACTACTAAACTAGCTAGTTTCTTATTTAGTATCAAAAGTTAACTAAACTATTTTTCTATAATTATCTATATAGTAAAAAGAAAGAGATCTATATAGACTAGACACTATATAGCTATAATATATAAGTCTATAAGGTGTCTTTAGTCTAGGTTAATTACTACTATAATTCTAATACTATTATATTAGAAGCTCTTTACTAGCCTTATTTATATATCTAAGGCCTTTAGGTCTACTATTTTAAAGTTCTTAGTAAAGACTAGAAAGTTAAATAAGCTACTTCTATAAGTAGTAAGCTCTACTATAGTTGTATATTTTATTATACTAATAGCCTAGATATTCTTAAAGATAGAGACGTCTATTATAAGTATAGAAGAGAAGTTAATCTATACTATATACTCTTAGTAGTTAATAAATATACTAGTAGATATTTATAGATGTTTTAAAGTATATAGAGGTATTAAGTAAAATATAAAATAAAAAGAAGTATTTTTTAATTATATAGACCTTATATATAAATATTACGTAAGGTAACTATTCTTCTAACTATATTTTAACTATATAAAATACTTCTAGACTTATAGTACTATAGTATAATATTATCTTAAGCTTAGAGTTTATCTATATAGTAGTACTATAGTTTAAAGCTGTCTCTAATCTACCTATTTCTAATGTTAAGAGAAAGGCTTCTATTTAATATTTGTCTATTAATACACTTATTTTTCTTATTAGCTAATCTAATTATTATTTTAAAAGCTTATTTCTATATTAATTTCTTTAAAAAGAGAATATAGCTCTACAGCTTAACTACGTATACCTCTAAGTTTTTCTCTAAGTCTATAAGAAGCCTCTATTACTATAACTACTTATAATAATATTATTAATATACTAGATTTATACTAAATATTATAGATAAAGTTTTATTAATTTCTATAGCTATATATAGTAAGTATAAGGTATTTAGAAAATATATCTTTATTAAGAATATTATAATAAGTTACCTAACTATATTATATTACTCTACTCTATATTAACACTTTACTATAATAATAAGTATTTCAACTCTAGGTTATAATAGTAGGCTTACTAAGTTTTCTTTTAGTGTTACGTAATCGCATAGAGTAGGTATTAGTACTACTACTAATTAATAACTTAGATAAATATTAGTAATATATAATAAATATAAAGTAGTTAGTATATTATTATTACGCGTATAGTAACTATTATATTAGTAGTAATTATAGAATATAGCGTAAAGTTATAAGTCATAAATCTAGGCCTATATTAGAGATTTTTTAAGTTTGCTTTTAGAGTCTAATATAGTACTACGTTATTACGTAATTACGTAATTACAAAATAAGTACACTATAGGCTCTATCTCTTAGGTCTAGAGAGGATTTCTACTTTATAAAATAAAACTACTAAAGTTTTATCTTAATAACTAGCCTAAACTAGTACTAGACAAAAGTCTAAGTTAAAGGCGCACTCTATTTATCTACATCTAACGTGACTCTCGCGTATTGCGTATGTTCACTGTCCACAGTGGACTGTTCCGGCTTGTTTCTGGCTCTGAAGACTCTTCCAAGGCTTCCTCGAGATGATCGTATCGCTTGCTTTGCTTGTGCGTTTCTATACAACCCAAATCGCAGGCTGCGTTCTCTATGTGCAGATAGGGTTATTCGCATCAGCTCCATACCCGTGGCTTCCTGTGTGCTGTGTGCCGTGATAGGAATGTCCCATCGTCACGCCTGTGCCGGCTCGCTCTGACTGCAGGATCGCGTCACACAATCGCTGCCTAGTGATGCTTCTAGCAATTTCGATTATCCTAAGTAAAGATCTACTCCATACTTGAGTGTATGTTTCAAAAGATCCCTCAATATACGCGCGAGGCCACCAACGCCACTAACTCTTCTCACCACATCTCCTTTAGAGGGGCAATGGTCTTTCGAATTGAGCGGGGTAAAGTCTGAGTTCAGCCTGATCGTTGTGGCTCAACTTCCGTATGCGTGATGAACGTGTTAGCTTTGTAGTTCTTCAATTTGACTATATAAGTATGATCCATTCTCTCATTTCTCACTCATTACTCTACTCTTCACTCTACTCATTACTCTACTCATCACTCTACTCACCATTTCATAACTTATCACTCTTCTCTATTCCAGACTAGCAGCCTCAAAGTTCCGATCAAAGATGAAGGGACTCCGTGCCATCGCGTTCGCCTCTGCCTTCGAACAAGGTGTCTTGGTCGCGAGCCTAAACTGTACCAATATGCCTCTATCGATGACTGGTATGTATTTCCATGATGAGTTCCAGTCATGAACTGACAAGACCCTAGCAACAACGATCGTAACGTCATCAGCCACGCCTCTCCTGGATTGTGGTCTTACCACCAAGTTGATCCGCGTACTATAGCAGTGTTCCTCGTCCTTGGGATAGTAACGCTGGTCAATAGTACTTCAGTATGTGAGTCCGCCAGAGAAATGTTCACAACTTAGAGAGAACGTAGCCGGTTGCGAAGAGCACTATACCGGTAACCGCCTTGTAACTAGTTCATGCATTACTCTCCCCGCTGGTACGACAGAGATCGGCAAATGGGTTTGACTGATATACCCTGTGAAACACCTTCGAAGGAAGTGTGTCTCACTCCCCTCTCTCGTGCTTCAAAATGTGCCGGGTATGGAGATATAGCTGTAGCTGGGTTACCCTGCAATAGGAACGTGCGCTTATAATGGAATGATATTAAACACGGCTCCGGTCACCTCCTATACAAAACAATTGAGAACAGTCCTTGAAACGTATGCAAAATAGTCTCAAGTGAGACGGCCTGCATGATGAGAGCATGCAATCATGACCACCGCGAAGCCACATGGGACATGCGCTGCATTATGAGGACTTGCGAAGCTTGAAAGATTAGCGGAGCACTGGATAAAGAAGACGAATTCAGTGGGCCTTCTGTCCAACACGTGGCATGACTTCTATGTATTACAAATTACCTAGTAATTGGCATTTCTACTCCCGCACAAGAAGAATGAGCTTCGCTAGATCTTGCAATTTGATCGGCTTGCTAAGAAACATGTTGAAGCCGCTGCCGTACGCTTCAGCCCGTGCTGCTTCTGATTGCAGTGCAGTGACAGCGATGATCTTCGATGCCGTCATGTGATTCATCTTCTCGTAAGATCGGATCCGTTGAACAGCCTCGTAACCATCCATTACTGGCATGTTGATATCCATAAGGATCACATTCGGTACGCGGGTTGTTCTCGTGTCGACCGCGTGCATTCCAGTGCCTGGTTGTGACGCAAAACTTCTGTGAGCGTTCACAAATGTGTCGACAGCAAGCTGACCATCTTGAGCGGTAAGATGAGGGTATTTGTGCTTCTTGGCAAAGGCAGCAAGGAGCCTGAGATTGACGTTGTTGTCGTCAACTAGAAGCAAAGTCGGAATATTGGCTATAGGACCCACCACGGGTGCGACAGGTACCTCGATCGAGGAGGATACAGGCATCGGGGTCCTGACAGATGGTGTACACGAAAGCGCTTGGGGGTCCAATATATGGCGACTCGGCGAGTGTAGCGGTTGGACTTCTGTCGGCAACGATCTCACTGGAAGCGCGTGTGTGTCCTCAGCCGATGATTCTACTGAGGCAGCCTCGAACTGTACTTGGGCGGGAATCTTTGTTGTAGCCGATAGAGGAGCAAGACATTGTATTGGGAGTTGATGATAAGTCCTGGCGTCATGCTGTGCAACTCCATTCGCTGGACGATCATTCCTGAGTCCTTTGTGGGCCTTTGGCGTCTCTGAGACTGTCATCGTACGCTTCTTGTGCAAGCGCTGAATGGACGATAACGTTCGACTCATCTGTTTAATGCCACAAGGCAGAGCGATGTGTTCCATCGTGACATGAGACTGCAGCTCGTCCATTGCCCACCGATCCCGAAGCAGCTGTGCACTCGGACTGTTGTTGCACACAACGATGACGGGCGCAAATTCTTCCTTGTTTTTTGCAGCCCCATCATCTGTAGTCGCGTTCTTCCGGAGAGTCGCAAGGTAGTTATTAACGTTGGCTTCCATAACAATTATGAGATCGTATGAAATGCCACTTTGCCACCTAAATCGCGCAGACTGTATGCTCAAGGAGTTTAGAATATTTTCGATAGAAGAGACGGCTAACCCAGAAGCCGCTTCCGTTGGACCATTGGCGGAAGAATGTAATTCCGTGACAAGACCAACCTTCGTGCCTTCGAAGGCCTTCGAGGTAACGCCTCTTCCGTTCGAAGCCTCACTGCGACGCTCGCTGTTCTGGTGATCCTCGAGCGGCACACGTACAGTGAAGCAGGTACCTGTGCCATCTTGATCGCTCACGACTTCGATACTACCACCCATCGCATACACTATCCTCGAGACTATGTGCATACCTAGGCCCAGACCATCGGACAATGTGTCCTCCTGGGCAAAGTCATGGAACAGACGGTCGCTCTGGAACTTCTTCGACATGCCCTTTCCGGTGTCGGACACAGTGAGCACAGCGTCGAATCGTCGTCGTGATCCTCGTTTCGGCTCTTGCCTCAAAGCAACCCGAATATGTCCAGAAGGCGTGTATTTGAGTGCATTGGTAACGAGATTGATGCAAACGCGTTTCCAGCCACCTGTGGCTAAGCTGCAATGCCAAGGCCTACCGTCGGATCGATCAATGTCGAGAATGACCGGGGGACGAGTGTAGTCTTTAGCGTTTTTGCCGTAATAGAAGGAGTGGACGGTCGATACAACAGTATCCTCAGTCAAGTCATCGAGAGCTATGCTCACGTCTAGCGCTTTCAGATCGTCAGTAGTAGAGCTTGTGGTTGGTGAAAGGAGCTTTTGGCTGATGTTTGAACTCTTCACAGCACCCTTTCTCAAACGCCGGCTCTTGAGATCTGCAAAATCGAGAAGGTGTTCGATGATTTCGAGCAGGGTGCGTCCGCATGAGTTTATTTGTTCCACAAAGGACTTCGCTGTATCGTCTAACAAGTGGTCCGATAGTAACTCGCACGAGCCCAATATGCCATGTAGTGGAGAGCGAAGTTCATGAGATACAGTCGAAATGAAGTCTGACTTCGCTTTGTCGGTGCCCAGTACCTCCAGACGTTTGGTTTCCGCAACAATAATGTCACAGAACGCATCGACGAATTGCATCTCTGTGTCTTTAGCGATGTTTCTGAGTGGATCGCAACTCCAATACAGTCCCGCGATCGCCCACCGTTTTTTTGTGTAGTCCCAGATCCCATTAAGTGCTATGCAACGAGATCCCGGGAATACTCGCTGCAAGAGGTCGCCATCATTCCGTCGATCTTGATGATAGGCTTTGCGCTGTTCGTTGCTTGATGATCGTATTCTCTCTGCACTGACACCGGCTCCAGACTCGTCCGAAGAAACGTCTTCTTCAGAATAGATTCTGAAGTCTTCATCAAACTTCCAGATTCTTCCTTGCGGATTCCGACGCATGAGCCTGCGTAAGAATGATTCGGTCAATCTTGCGGTAGGCTCGCCCGTCGGATGTCTTGTCTCCATGGTGCGGTTTCGCGTTGTTTGCGCAAAGCCCAGCACCTGGCAGGCGGTTGCATGTTCGGTTCGTGACTCATCTGCAGGATCTGAAAGTGGAAGGGCGACTGTCGAATCATCGCTATCGGCGTTACTCCCCTCAGTGGACTCTGTATTCTGTGGTTCGCTCAGCCCACCAAATGCTCGGACCGAGGCGTCGAGGAAGGCGACACCGTCTAGTTCGAGTGATTGGCAAAGAATTTCCGCAGCACGTTGATACGTACTATTTGGATCGTCAGCGTCGTCTCGCCGGCGAAGCTGTGGATGATTTGTGAAGCTTTCTTTCAGAGAAGCAACATGTCTTGGTGTTTTCATGGTGTCTGCCCGCACATGTGGCTCGAGTAACGTATGTTTCCGATCGGTCGGACGGGGAGCTTCACTGTAGTCGCTGGATCGCTGATGATGATGATGAGGAGTGGGTTTCTCTGATACCTGAGCGTCGCCGGTCGATGGGCTGTGTTCATACTGTGTAGGGAAGGGTGCTACTACCGACTGCGAAGGCATCATAGCGGGAGCACTTGTAGGATCCACCAATGCATCGGGCGAGCGATACTGAGCAGTGCAGGCTTCCTGAACTACGACGCCGCCGTTCTTCACAGACACATTAGTTGCGGGTGACGCTTTACGAGCGGCGCTCGAAGTTCCTCGAACGAAATCTCCAAGCCCAGCCACCATACGATTGGTTTGTTGCCGTTCTGAGAGAGCCCGCACAGATTCGAGGTGGTTCACAACAGTTTGCGACATGTCGCCCAAGAAGCTAAGATCTTTCTTAGAGATTCCATCTCGGACTTTGTCATCAAGGATACAGTATGCACCGATGTTGACTCCAGATGGTGTCGTAATGGGCACACCAGCGTAGAAGCGGCCGTTGGGAAAGCCAGTAACGTACGGCCGGGTGGAGAGGTCCGGGTGCTTGGTCAAGTCGTTTACTACGAAGGCGCTCTTTCGGATGTCGCCGTCTACAGCACTGGAGATGGGAAACGAGGGAAGGTTGACGGTCGTCTCGCAACAGGCAACGTCGCGGGGAATGATAGAGTGACCCATCCATATCTCATCTCCGGGTTCGTGGATCGCATCATCTACGAGTGATAGCGTTTGAGTCGCCTCGGCCATGATGTAGGCATGATTGACATCGAAGAAGAAGATCAAACAACGGCGAGCCCTCAATCTCATAGCACCCAGCTGGCAAAATGCTGTAAGGATCTTGTCCGGGCATGAGACGGCTTTATGTCTCTCTCTCGCCTCGGGGTTGCGCACGTCGCAATATTGGGGACCATAGTCAGACATCTGCCGGAAGGGGCCATAGTATCTTTACGGAAGCATTAGTGCTGTTATATCATGGTTGGAAAGCAGCTAATGAATGATCGGATGTACCGGTAGAATTGCTGCTCGCGCCTGCCCTCGCCGCGGATGGCTTTTCGAGACTCCCACGTGCGGCCTGGTCCCAGGCAAGCACCTCCAGTACATGCATCTTGCATGACTACCGACGCGATTGAAGGTACTTCTATTCCCGTGTTCGTCTGGGCAATGTGGTAGTATGGTATTGGGCGAGAAGGTTGTCAGTAGCGGCAAAAGCAAAGCGCGACGGTTTGCCACCCCTTAGGAATCTCGGGGCTAGCGCATCGTTGCTTCGCGGCCCGACAAGAGACGGGACGCGTCGCGCTGAGCTGTGCGCAACCGGCATTGAAATAGGCACGTGTTCTGTCATTACCTTCCGAATGCATAGCGCGTTGATTGATCCAGTCAATTCCCAGTCAAGGCCAGGAGATGCGAATCTACGCTCGGCACCGTATCTAGGTATGGGATCGGGAGCTTCAGATGCAGGCCGCAGCTACCTGTCGCCTCTGCGATGAGCCCAAATGCATCCTAGCTCCCAGCCCCACTAAATCGTGCATCGCGTAGGCCTGCCGCCGAGTCCCCCATTGTGTGAGTGGGTACATCCGCATCATTGCGAACCATCCTCCAGTAGTTTCTCGTCTGCTAGCTATCAAGTTCAACATACTAGATGTTAAGCGTAGTGCAAAAGGCCTTTGTAGCGAAATATGATTAGATGCTTAAACAAGTGCAGGCTCAGCAGGCTAAACCCCTTGCCAGAACTTCGACTTGTTTGATCTCTGCTAAAGACCTCGGTAACACAATGCCGTTAATGGGCACCACAATTTGATATGAGGTGGTCAAATCTTCCGTGACCTTCGCGGAGCCAGTATCCCGCACTCTCCACTTTGTCATCTCCGCCGTCTCCTACCGGTAGCTTCAAGGGCGGACCCGGGTAGCGCTCGAGAGATCTGTATTGTATCTGAGGCTCCTTACTATGCAAAGCTCTCCATTTCGATCGTTTTGACCAACCACTGGCGGGTGCTTCACGTGGATGCTGCATTATAGGCCGAATGCACTTGATCGCTCTAAAGTGCGGTTCAGGCAGCTCGACTATCATATTGCGCAACTGTTTTGACCTCCAAAAGGCATCGAGTAGGGGTAAGGCTGGACCGGTGAGTAGATCGTGGCCATGCCGGTCCCAGTAAACGAGCAGGGACAAATAGAATTTGCGGATACTATGGCAGTATTTGACGATGTTGTCGAGAATGGGCTCCAAGTGGTCCATATTATAGTACCCTGTGCCATCATCTTTCTCAACACGGTGTGCCTGAACTGTCATTTCCAGAGAAGTGATCGATGCCAGTCGGTTATGAGGAATCAGTCTTGGAAGATGAAGAAGCAAGGGCTCGCTCTGGATGCTTATGCAGTTGGCTGAATACAAGACATCGACACCTTCCATGTACGCCTGTCTGGAAGACAGCAGAAACCCCATAGCGCCAATGTCATACTTCCCAGAACGCACAGCGGGGTCGTTTGGGTCGCTACTTCTATACCGGCCCTCCTCCAACCACTTTATGCACGAATCGTTCCACGGGCCTATCCAATGCCACCGCATGGACGACTTATATGCCGGGTGATTACGTCCGCAGGTCGTGCCTCTCCATCGCCATGCGCCTGCCTGCTGTACAAGATCCATGTGGAGGATGCGTCTACCGAAGGCCATGGATAAGATGATGCTTCGGATGTCATACGGCAGCTGGAAGAAGAGGCATGCCGGTGTGTCGATCGAAGTCGGTGTAATCGGTCGTCGCGAAGAAGGTAGAAACGGCGGCTCGTCAGGGGATGGCGGTTTGGGGCTCGATTCGATGCGCAGGTACTTCTTCAGCCATGCGCTGAGCCTGGACATGGTTGGGGATGCGAGAAGAGGATGGTCTTGATGGACAGAGGAGAGATCAGGCAATAGGCAGTAAGCTCATACATAGGTAGCTGCCGTCTGTCCGAACGAGTGTGGCACACGATATGTGGGCGGCGACCCACTGGCGTGATGAAGAAGGCGGCCGCTGATTGCGCCTCCGATCCCGTTTATCACCCCTGCGTCGGTCGCCAAGGAACGGCATCTTACCCATAATGATCCGATGTACAATGCAAGCGGCTTCACACCGTTAGCGGCGGGCATCGTTCCAAAGAAAAGACTGCCCCTCTCATTCGAGTTTTGGACCGTCTCCAGCCCGAGAGCTGGTCTAATCTATATAGCGTATTTGCCAAGATCATTTGCCGCCAGTCTGGATCCACCATCTCCCCACAATCTGGTCCAACACCGCGCCGCAAGACACCATCGCCGCAAGTAAGCAAACTTGCACTTATTGACAGCTATCTTGATTACATTTTGACGGCGCCAAGGCGGCACGTTCTGCACCCAGATCTGTGACGCCATCAGATAGATCACACCCCAACGCAGTAGTAGTAATCAGGCCATAGGTTCTGGCAGTCATTGCCCACAGCGGGATTCCACTCGTAGAACTGGCTATATGGCAAGGTCAGTATAATCTTCGAAACGGTACAGGCAAAGCTTAGAGAGGGAAAGAAGTTGGGCGCGGGAGGGACTTACGCCAAAGAAATGCCGGCACCAGACGCCATCGCATAGCAGAACTCATCTGGCTGCTGGAGGTGAAAGCTCACGCAATTCTCCGCCATGCCTTCACGAACAGGTGAAGGTGTCTGCACAGGCTGAGTTGGCTTTGTTGTAGTGGTTGTCGGTTGCGTCGACGCAGTCGGTTGCATGGACTCTGTCATTTGTGTTGGCGATGGCGCGCCTGGAGTCCGAGTAGTCGGCGTGCCCGGGCGACCTACACAGTACCACGCATCTGGAACGATGCCGGCGCAATCACCGAAGACGGAAGGATTCCACTTCACGAAGTCGGCCTCGCTGAAGCTGCCAAACATAAGCGCGATGAGGTCGCACCTGTCGTCGCCGGTTGTCTGGTACCATCGCGCGCAGTCATTGGGGTATCCCAGAGGGATTTTGCCCTCCATCGGTTTGGCCGTCTGATGTGCGGGTAGTGGGAGATCAGCATCCGCGTATGCGCCAACACAGTACCACGTGTCGAGCCAAAGACCTAGGCAATTGCCATCGAGGGCTGGGTTCCACGACAAGAACTGCTGTTGCGAGAAGTAGCCGTACAACTTCACAATGTCATTGCAATTCTGGTCGGCTTTCGCCTGATGGAACACTTTGCAGTTGGATGGCATGGGTCCATGAGATGGAATTGGTGCGAAACTCGAATCGGCCGTCGGTAGTGTAACAGGCGTGTAAGTGGTGGGCTCGGGAGGCGCGGTGAAGTCTGGCTGGGCCGTTTCCCATACAAGATCTGTGTTTCCTGTTTGTCTTTGAACGCCAACACAGACCCAGTAATCGGCGAGAAGCATCTCACAATCATCCTTAGTCGCGGGATTCCATTTCAGGAACTCGTCGATGGACTTTAGGCCGAACTTGTCAACCGTTCGCTGACATGTATCGCCGGGCATGACGCGATACCACGAATTGCAGATTTCCGTCTGCCCCGCGAGCGTCTTGGTAGGCGGCCACGCATTATCTGTACTGGTAGCCGACACGTTCCAGGAGGTGACCGGGTGCAAGACGGAATAAGTCGAGTTGTACGAGGTGCTCGTCGGTGCAGGGGTTGACGTGGTGGCCGCCTGGGACGTGATTCTAGAAGAAGATGTCTTGGAACCAGAAGTGGACGTGGAGGTAGGACGTGTGGATGTGGCAGGTTTGGAACTGGTCTTTCCGACGCTCACACAGTAGGCCGAGTCGATCCAAAAGTTATCGCGACAGTCAGAGGAAACCGCGGGGTTCCACTCAAGAAACTGGTTTGTGGGAATGCCGTAGGCTTGTGATACGATTTGGCAATTCTCGTCTTTGACGACAGTATGCCATCCATTGCAGTTCTCCGGCTGACCTGGGTGCACCGGACCTCCAGGACTGGAGTCTTGAGCAGCGACGACTGTCAGAAGCAGGCCCGCGGTCAAACGACGCGTTCTCTGGCTCGATACCCGCATGATGGGGATTGAAGCAATAGCTAGGCGAGCGGCTGATCGTGGAAGTAATTGAGGGACCAATGTGCACAACCAAGCCTCGAAGAGTGGGCTCGACGCAGGACTGTTGCAAAAATCTCTTGCTCTGCTCCAAAGGTACGGGAAACGAATGAACTGCTACAAATCCAGGTGCGAGATGTCTAGCGGCCCGTGAACAAGATGCAATACAGGAAAACCCACAGGGTACAATTGTTAAGGCCAGCCGTCCATCATTCGAGTCGTCTGGTAGAGACAAGGATGCATGTCTGGGCAGGGTCCAAAGGGTAGAGCAGCAATGATGTTCGCTTCCGAGCCGCATGTTGTAGTGCGTGATGGTGCACCTTGCGGAGCATTCAGCCTATCGGCGCAGATTCTATGTGGGGTTAAGGCGGCCAAGCTCACCTGCAGGAACCCGCCGTACCGCCGCGGACAAAGTTTTATCATCCTTTTCGTCCACCATGTTACATTGCATGCCTTAGCCTCATGATCCCGCCAAGCATACCTCATATCGGATGCAAGCAGGGCGTAATCGACAGGGGTGGGTACCTGCCCCTTTCGATCACCATGACCGGAAGAAGTGGGGACGTCTAGTTGAGGCTGACATAGTACGTTGGCAGGATAACCCTCATGGCGGGGACTGCACAACGGTAAAATTAATTCCACGCGGTCTATCGAAATAGACCGTAAGCGAAAGTTTTCAACAGAGATGGGCATCTGCTCGCATTGGCGGCCTTGTGCGAGGCCGAGACCAGGGATGAATGGGGCTTGCGTCTAGGTATCTTGTGTGCTGCCCACTCCAGCGCAACTCATCTTTGGATACCTGTTATCGCTACTTGGTTGTTGGGTATCACCCATTCGCCATCTCGAGCGGAAGTCACTCGTTAGGTCATTCACTCATTCACTCATACACTCGTTTATCATCACACTTGTTCAACATGTATCTATATCCCGTTCTTATCTTCTTGCTTGCCAGCACCGAAGGAGTTCTTGGTGGCAGCAGGTTTTGGGAGGCCAAAGCACCGAACAAACGCACAAACACTCGCCCTGACTACTCAGCCATCGAAACCCTCAACGCGACATCAACGCTCAGCAAGCGGGCTTTCTCCATCGAGAGCCTGCCAGGCCAAGCAAATGTGCCGCGCATCTGGCCAAAAAAGACAATCAGATTCTGTTTCGAGGAGAGCAATGATGAAAATCTCGAAAAGCTCAAAGGTCTCTGGCACTTGGCCAAAGAAGGGTGGGCTCAGCTTGACAGACATGGCTTCAAGTATGAGGAGGTCTCAAACAGCGACTGCGAGTCCGAGTCCAAGCGCGACTCCGTGATGCACATACTCTACAACGATTACGGCAGGCTTTCCACGACGATAGGCATTCCGGTAGTCGATGCACAGGAGATCGCGGACAACCCCGGGACAGCCGTCCGTGGGCCGATAATGCGTCTCTCCGGCAAAGAAGGTGTCGGTCAAGACAATGTCGCTGCCAATGTTGCCCATGAATTAGGTCACGCCTGGGGCCTTGCCCACGAGCACCAGAATCCGTATTACTGGGAAGTAACCGACCTTTTCGGGCCCTCTTGGAACATTCCTCAGGCCAAAGACGAGACCAAAAAGTACTTTGAGACCGGCGACTTCAAGTGTGAAAACCTCGAAGACCATTTGAAGATTCACAAATCAGTGCAGGTCCTGATTGATACGGCAGCAGACGAGGACGAGCGGGGTGTCCTGCAGGAGGAGTTCGACAATCTTTGCATTTTGCGCACCGTTGCCAGCAAATACGGTTTTAGTGCTGCTGATTGGCTTCCCGTTGACAGCACTGCCAACATGGTCCGAGACGCGAAGTTTGACCCAGATTCGCTCATGTTGTATCCTTCGCGTGCTGGTGGCGGCGACAATGGCGACGCTCGACGCATCATCATGACCTACAAGGAAGACTCTGAGATACCAGATCGACTCATTCCGAACCGAATCCGCCCCAGCAATATGGACATCGAACGTCTAGTCTCGCTCTACGGAGACCCCGCGCCTTCCACCCTGGAGGTACCGCACAATTCGGGATCGAGCGGATTCTATAACAGGCTTAAGAAGGTGAAGAGCAGTGGAAAAATGTCCCGCGCCGGCGATACCAAGGACGGTACCTGTGGGTGAGCAGCACGTGTACAAGTACCCGTCAGATCTGTTTACGGATGACGTAGATAGACTTTCCTTGTCATGTCTCGTACTTTCAGCTAGAATGACATACATGTCGTCATACTCGTGCAAGCACTGTGAAACTGGGGGTTGATCTTTTTAAGTGAATAAAAAAAGGCAAGAGGTCTCTCAACGGCCGTACACATGTCACCGGCAACTGTATTGGCCATGCAACAGGAGACAAAGTGCAATTGCGACTATGTCATGGCTCTGAACGTAACTCGTGACGACTAAGAACAGCTTTGTAACATGAACACGCTCGTCTTGCTAACTACAATTCAGGCCTTGCACCGCATTCATAGACCTGTCTTGGTTTGTACGTGGGCATTGGTCGCCTCTTGATGTTCTTGCCGAGGGCTTTTGTGAGCGTACCGTCGTCGAGATCTATAGCCCAGACCATAGTTCTGCATCCCAGTTAGCAAATAGTCTCAGGTTCGCGATGCATCAAAAATGGGATCGTCGCACTTACCCTCCTAAGCAATGCTGATGAGCAAAATCGACTTTTGTTCCTAACGTCTGGGTGTCGTCAAAAGACACCCACTGGTCCGAGTCCCAGGTAACAATCTTGACAGCGGCCTCTTCGTCGTGTGTGACAGTGGCGCCATTGACGATGACCTCGTTGATCTCCGCCGCCGACAGCACGCCGGGCGTGCCCGTGCATGCGCCGCCATTGGCGCCATCGCTAAACTCACAGCCAGCCTTCATGCATCCGGGGTCCTTCATCGTAAAGCTGCGGCCGTAGAAGCCGAGACCCAGTACCACACGCTCTGGATTGATGTTGTTGCGCCACAGGAGCTCGAGACCCATCTTGATTTCCGTCAAGTTCGTATGAGCTTGGGCGATAGGACCGAGACTGTCGATACTGGCGTCCCAGACACCATGAATGTCATACGTCATCATGTTAAACCAGTCAAGGTAGGGCTCCATGCCTTGGAGATTGAAGCCGCGGAGATACCAATAAGAGGCAGGCTATTAGGGTCAGTCGCGATTGGACAAAAACGAGTCTAGCAGAGGCTAGATGCTACTCACAAGTGTTAGACTGATGCCGTACTCTCGGCCAGACGAGTTCAGGCGCTCGCGAAGTCGCCTCAGAAGATTGACGTAATTGTCAAAGTCCTCGGGTATGCCGCCTCGATCCTCAGCTACGGGGCTAAAGCGCGTGCGTCAGCTTAGCTGCCAGATACGATGAGGGTTTGTCACTTACTACTCCCAGTCCAGGTCAACGCCATCTAGATTATATTGGCTCATGAAAGTCAACAGTGAGTCGAAGAATTTGTCTTGGTTTGCTTCGCTGGCGGCCATGTCGGAAAAAGCAGTTCGGTACGGGCCGGGATCATTCATAGCCCAGCCTCCAACGGCAATCCAGATCTTGAGGTTAGGCTGCCTCTCCTTGAGGGCTGCGACACGACCGTAGCGTGATCCAGTACCTGGATCCATGTCTTCGATGTGGAACGTTTTGGGATTGATGAGAGCAAAGGCAAAGTTGATGTGCGTCCAGTGGCCCAAGGGAATGTCCTCAGGCTCCATGTTACCACAGGGGCGCTGAAAGTTCCAGCCCTCGTAGTAGCCGATGGTGCGCGCGTCGGCACTCCGCTGCGAGAGGTCGCACTGAGGATGCGGCACAGGATTGGGGCCGCAGAATTCAACCGTCGTGCCACAGAAGCCATGCTCGCTACAGCAGACGTTGAGTGGGCAAGTGGTGAGGTTCGCATACTGGAGGCCCCAGGTGCCTGGATCGCATTCAGATTTACGATTGCAATCGCTTGTGCATTTGTCGCCGCAGAAGACGGGACCAAAGCCACAGGCACCGGTACCAGTGTCATCGCTAATGGCTATCATTAACATCATGGCCGATCATACATGTTCATGTCGACAACTTACAGAGGTCCGCAGCATCCAAGATCACATGACTTAGTTGCAGTGCATGTGTAGTCGGGCTTCTCGTTTGCTTTGGTAAGCATCTCCCTAGCTTCAGGTGTGGTCTCCTGGCCCGCGACGTTCTCCATGAGTAGCCTGACTTCCGCCTGCCCACCGAAAGAGTTCAAATCGAGTGCTTCTGTAGTCAAGAGGAGGCTCAAACTGAGGGCTAGGCCCTTGAGCGAGACGCCTCGGAAAGCCATGATGATAGGGGAAAGATGTCCACACAACGCTCCTAATGGAACAAGAAAAGCGCGACCAATCTTTCTAGCGAGAGAGACAGTCTGACGAAGGGCGTAGTGATGCCGGGTGGGATGAGACGTCCACGCCCAGAAGATGGTCGAGCGGCGCGCAGCGCAAATTCCCGTCCCAGTCCAGACTCACGGCTGGGGACATCAGGGGCGACCCGGCAGTGATGCCGCAAGGCCTGCAGGGCCTCCAGGGTGGTATCAACGAGAATCTCATTTTGCTGTACAGTAGTATCTGCTCCGACGCGATGTAGGTGCCAAGATGAACGAAGGATGAGGTTGAGTTTGTCTAGGTGGGTCAACGCGAGGACACTGCCGAGCCGGGACGCCACTAAATTCCGCCCTGCATTTAGCCGCCGAGCACCTCCTCCATCCTTCTAACCTCAACGAGGAATCCCCGAGTGATGCAGGTACGCCCCGCAGCATGCACCTAGATCTTGGGCGTAAATTGCCTGGCTTATGAGTGGTGCGTTCGTACGTACTTGAACTGATTGCTGCCATTGTCAGGCCGATACGCTGATCGTCGGTATCCATTGAAGACACTTTTTCTTGGGTAACATCGGCTACATTGTCGCTTGCCTGATCTGAGTTAGGCTTTTGGCCCCATTGTGAAAGGCTGGACTTTGACTTAGTTCTCACAACCGAGATGGCATCCTGCAGGCCTCCTGGGGAGGGTCATTGACGATATCCACAGCCCGGCCTTGGCTAAGAATCCCGGTCTGCGTTGAGGCGACAAAGGGCCATCTTGACATCTGGACGCCTGATCATTATCTTTCTTCGGCAATTTCTTCCTCCGTCTGTTCCGACGCTTCGATTTCTTGTTCATAGTCTATGAACCTAGCTCACTCGCTCGCAAACTAGGCAATCCGCACTCTGCCTCACACTCATTATCCATTCATGTCTCTCATTTAGCCCGGCTATACCAATCATCATGATCACCCAGTTGATCTTGGGCCTCTCGGTTCTGAGTGGCGTGACGAACGGCTACGTTCCACACCACGCGCATCATGGAAGACATGGCATGGGTGCCAGACTTCAGCAACATGCAGAAGCTGCTTCGTCTGTCAACTCGTCCTCTTCGTCGACACCGCCTACCCTCTTGAAGCGAGACAATGATCCAAGCAACATGGAGTGGATCAAACGCTGGGCAGCCATTGGCGATAGCTACACAGCCGGCATCGGTGCTGGAAGACCTCTCGGCCACAGGATTACCGAGGACGAGGTAGCTATCAGAGTGCCTAGTGGGCTTGATGAGGTTCGAGACAACTGGAAGTGTGCCAGATATGACATGGCGTACCCTAAGGTCATAGAGGCACAGTTTGGTGCCCACGTCGAAAAGGACGGCGGCTTCCAGTACCTCGCCTGCAGCGGCGATCGTTCTGAACAGATCTACCAGCAGGCACAAGCCTTGAAGGGCGACCTCGATTTCGTCACTTTTACATCTGGTGGAAACGACCTCTGCTTGGCCAAAATGATCGCGGACTGCATCATGCTGCCCTATGGCAAGACATCAGCCTGTGAAACGGTCATCAAAAAGGCCCAGGATAATGCCAAGAACATTATCATGGACAACATCTTTCAGATTCTGGAAGCGCTCAACGAGAAAATGAACGAGGACGGTATCGTCGTCGTTAACAGCTACGCTCAATTCTTCGACACACAGAAGGACAATTGCGATCGCCAGTCGTGGGATGTCTTGTGGTTCCTCCCATTAGGTTCCTCGTACCGGGCTCTTACTATTGAACGTCGCCACACCTTCAATCAGCTGGTGTTAGACATCAATCAAGCGATCCGCGACGCCGTCGACAAAGCTGCCAAGAGCGATAAGATCAAGTACAAGGTTGGCTACGCGGATTGGGACTACTGGGTTTCGAACGAGGTGGACGCCCGAATGTGCTCGCCGACTAGCAATGGCGACTATCCGGACCCCAAACAACCAGATATGCACTTCATCAAGCCCGACACACACCCCTGGTTTGAATGGCAAAGTGATTTCGAACGGACGGAGCTACGCAAGCGCGATATGGACTTTGAGGAGATACTGAACTCGACCAGGCTCTCGAACTCGGAAAAACGCCAGGTTAACCGCGTCAGGGCTATGATGGAGGCTCGCGACAGAAACCTGGAACGCTCACTTTACGACTCCATTCTTTACAAGTCACCTGACCCTCGTGCTGCCGTCAAGCACAAGCTCGACGCGCGGGCTCCCTCACCCCCAGGCTGCCCTGGGGATGGCGGCGCAGACATGACCTTTGGCATGGGCATGCCCGACACCGTTGGCCGTAACGTGAGTACCACTTGGGTTCACACAAATGTTTGCCAACGTTCCTTAACTGACATCCACAGTTCCATCCCAATGAAGCCGGTCACCTAACCATAGCTTCCTTCGCCCTTTCAGAACTCATGGATCTGCGCTCGATCGCTCTGGGTGTAGACTCTCCCGCCTGTACCGTCAAAGACGAATTTACCTGTTTCTCCAAGACCGGCAGCAAGTTCTATGTCAGCGGCAACCGCACTAATGAGAACTACGAGGGCTTTTGCAAAGAGGTCGAGGACAAGCACGACAAGAACAAGATCAATTGGAGCTACTCCAAGACCTATGACGAAGGAACACCAGAGCAGCACGACTACGTCGTCACTCTCGGCAATGGTGTCTCAGCATTCGACAAAGACGAGTGCGTCGAGTCCATGAAGAAGATTATCAATTCGTGCGATACATCCGATAACCCAATGAACTGGAAGGGCGGCGGCCGCTACATCCGCGGTGGCGGAGACTATAAGTATGAGCTCAACCCCCGGCGTAACAATCGACCTTGGCCACCGCCAAAAGCGCCTTACGGCCGCTGTGAGGGCTGGTATAAGGTGTTCAACGGACGATACAAGGTCGAGGGTGCTGGCTTCTCGACCTGGGATCATGGACAAAAGACTCTTCGGCCGAACATGGATAGCTGTTATGGTCTTGGTACAACCTATTGGAAGTTTGAGTACTTTGACAACCCCGCCGATCATGATGGACATGAATGGTATGCGACTTTTAGTACGCCAATTTGGGTTCGTGCAAGGTGTTGGGCGAATAATAAGATTGTTAAGGCGGCGGGTGGGTGGACGAACGGCTGTAAGGGTAATGATTGAGTAGTTACTCTGGCTTGTTTAGGGTCTTGTCGGATAGACTCAGTGCCTGCCTCACAATTGCAGCTATGCCTTGTTTCATACACATGTGCCCCCAGTCTCACTGTCAAGCAATTTTTCTCCGCGTATACCTTCCGATGCGAAAACACACTTTCATCCTAGTCACTAGCCGAGTCAGGGTCCATATCCGACTATTCCCCTACCGCAGGCTCTTGTTCTTGCTCATCCCCAGATCCCGCTTCTGACTCAGACTCCGATTCTTGCTCGTGATCATATGTGTGTTCACCCTTCAGATACGCAATCCTGTTCCGCACCATTTGTTTCGTACCTTTGAGCTTCTCGGTGCGATCGTCGTCGCCGTATTCATCGCGTGCCTCTTCGCGACCTCTGCGTTCACTACCTTACTATGAGCTTGTGATGTAGTGCCTAGAGTGCGACATATGAGGAGGAATGCTTGGGACTGACTATTGGAGAGGATGTGACTTACGCTTCCATTTCAGCAAGCATCTCTTCATTGTCACGTTGCTCGTTTTCTGCCCATCCCTCGAGGTCATCGTATCCCTCGTCTCGCCTGGCTTCCCAATTTCTTTGATGCTGGTGGTAGTCGTCCTCGTTGTCGGACATGCTGGGCTGTTGATATTGGGTTCAACTAATGAGGGATCGTAATTTGAGCCATTGAATTAGTTCAGTGATAAGTTACCGCGCGGCTGATAGCAGAAAGAGCAGGGCTGAACCGGGAACTTATAACCCTCTCATATGTCACGAGGCTGACTCCCATATCTATCCACACCCCAACGGACAAGGCTGAGCTGAAGCATTTACGCGTCGGATACGACAGGGATGTATGCTATTGTAGAAATAGTAAGCGATCTCACAGCCACCTGGTTGCCATTCGATGAGGCAAGGCAATAGTCAACAGCCTCTGCCTGTCGAACCCCCGGAGTTGTCCTAGCCCTTGCATGTGTGCCTGCCGGTCCATCAGAACGGCCAAATGTAAGCGAACAATGACTCTTTCGTATACACCTAGGAGAGCATCCTGCAGATGCGGGTGATAGAAAACGTCGAGGTTTATGCCTGGCTAACACTGTTAGGGAAGTTGGCATCGCCAACCTCATACAACATGAATGGAGGGGACCATATTGAGAGTCGTAAATCGCTAATCGTATTCAGTCCAACGCCATGCTGATGCTGAGAATCATGCCGTGATATAGTACAGAGTCTTGGTATACACATCGTCCACCTCTTGCCCATCAATTCAACCCTTAACCTCCTTCTCGAGAAGTTCTTTCGCTTCGTTGACCTTGGTCGCAAGGTAGGGGCTACCGCCGCGATCGGGATGGTTCAGAAGCATGAGCGATCGGTGCTTCTTCCGTAACAGTTCTTTCGTGATGCCGCGTTCGCTGGCTATCGTCAGTCTTGCGAGCTCTATGTGGGGCATATGATTGTTAAGTAGACTTACGGCATCTCTAATATGAGCGCGGCTTCCCTCCGTGTCATCTTGGGCTCAAAACCGCCTTTGTAGTATCCGCGTCCTAGTGCTCCGGCTCCACCGCCTGATCTCCTTAATGCCACGAGTGCTGCGCGACCCTACATGTATCGATTAGTACACCTTTTTCATCATATATGTTGTTCCTGCAGTTCCCGATCCAGTCCATTCAAAACCGTAACTAAGGAAATCGGAGGCCATACGAAGAAAGCAGTGGCACCGGCGCCTACTATCCAGACCCAGGCCGACATCTTTCTGCACTGTCCTGGCTCGACTGTGCGATTTCGGGTTCTCGGTATACGGGTAGTGGGAAGTTGCGATGCGGGTGTGAGATACGTCAGATGGAGATGCTAAGGTGAATGGCGGCGGCGAGGTGGTCAGAAGGAAATTTGCGGAGGTGCCTCGGTCGAGAAGCATCGCAATTGGCGGGCCAGAGTGGCAGGTGGGTTGACGTGCACAGACCACCCAAAATTTCGAGCCGGCCGAACTTGTCGAACCTCAACCTCCACACCTTTGCACGACACCCGCCTCACCACCGCCAACTAAGTGAAGCGTGGTCGATCCTTACATATTCCGATCTCAGCCCGTGCTGAAGACTACTGCGACGCGGATAAGCGCATACCTACTCCCGATAAGAACGAGCGCGATCGCATTCGCGCCACGACGACAAGATGAGAATCGAGACTTGCTACTTTTGCTCTTCGCCAGTATACCCGTCCAAGGGTATAACCTTTGGTATGCATAAGCGACAATTCTGCCTCGATTTTTTTACTTACTTTATCAGTGCGCAACGATGCAAAGGCCTTCCGCTTCTGCAAGAGCAAATGCCACAAGAACTTCAAGATGAAGCGCAACCCCCGCAAGCTGGCCTGGACCAAGTCGTTCCGCCGCGCGCACAACAAGGAAATGACCGTCGACTCCACCCTCACCTTCGCCCAGCGCCGCAACGTGCCCGTGCGATACAATCGCGACCTCATCCAGACGACCCTCAAGGCTATGGGCCGAGTCTCTGAGATCCGGCAGAGGAGAGAGCGCGCATTCTACAAGGCGCGCATGCGTGGCAACAAGCAGAGGCAGCGTGAGGAAGACAGGAAGTTGGTCGAGGAGAACCAGCACTTGCTGCCGCCGAGCGAGAGGTTCGCCAAGGAGGAGGTCGAGCAGGAGGAAATGGAGGTCGATGTGCAGAAGGTCAAGGATAAGGTTGCGGCTAGGAGGAAGGAGCTTGAAGCTGAGGAGAGCGAGCTCAGTGAGCTTGAGGAAGAGCTGCCCAAGCAGAAGACAAAGACAAAGAAGATGTTGAAGAGGAAGGTTGGTGGCGGCGTTGAGGCTATGGATGTTGATGAGTAGGACTTGCAGTCTGTATCATCCGCGATATAACACGACTACCTCGGCAATTTTTGGACGATCTTCCGAGATGTTCATGGAGTTTGGCGTCCTGCATTATGGTAAATTACGGACATGATTTCGATACCACAGCAAAAGCATGTTTCAACCCCCAAAGCCCAGCGTCGTGTGTATATTGGTGCAGCTTGTACTTGGTGTTGCTCAGTCGTGTGAGCACACCACAATGAGTTACGTGTGTTGCACTGAGCTACATTATTCGTATCCAACATGGTTCCAATCACGACGATGCTGGGAGGTATAACATGCATTATGGGATGGCCTGATCCATGGGTAAGTTCTTCTATGGCTGTCTCCAAAATCACGTGATCGCGCAGTAACTCGCTAATCCTGTTTGACACTCGGCTCCAGCCACTACCTCCCATGCTGATTCCCTTGACTACGACTTCAATTCTGATCAATTGCCTGCTGGTGCAGCGCGCCTTCCGTCGACTTCGACACACGACTGATCTCGCACCACTGATTGTGCGACTGTCAGAGCACAGCTCCATGTCGCGTAGCCTTGCAGCATCGGGATGACGATGCGAAGACGCCGCACGAGCGACACAGCCTTGTGTTTCCAAATGGTATCCTTCACCAGTCAAGACTGACATAACCCCGCTTCCAGGGAGTCCAAAAGCTTTCAGGGACTCTACTGGTGGCAACCGGTAATGCTAAGAGCGACTCACAGGCTATGATGGCTTCGCAGCATTTACCAGGCCAATAACTGAGCCTGACAACACTCCGATATGCAGTACCATGATGCATTTGTGGCTGTCAGACTGCTGCCAATCGCCACGCACCAGCTGTCCGGTTGACCGGTGACGCGAAGCGGAAGGCTTTCTGGCCTTGGTCATCCCCACCTCCACCGCTACCTTCCTTTCGAGTTACTTACGCTCTCTTGTGAGCCTATTGTGGAGCCTCGGGGGCCTTAGTGTCTTGCGTAATAGACTCCAAACTCAAACTTCGTCGACATGACCTCCTCCACGCAACAAACCATGGCCGTCTCGATCGTTGCAGGCACCAACGGCCTATTACAACTAGGCTTATCAATCTCCGATCTAGCCTTGCTGGTCGATCAAGGCAAGAAGTTCGGCAATTTCGTTCGAGCTGGACAAAATGACAACGATCTGTTTGATGTTCTCGGTGAAGATCGAGAAGCGATACTCAAAAGGGGTGGACTCGTGAATGCACCTGAGATGGAGAAGAGATGGCCAATGATGGACTTTGTCCACCAAGGTGTGAAGATCAAAGGCAAGATTGTGCAAAGCTCACGGACTGAATCGTCCGTACGCGAGGCTAATCAACGGAAAAAGAAGGCCAGCACTCGCGACGATGCGGATAGCTTCACGTGGGTCATGGTCGCGATCACTTCCGCGTTGGATGAATGCCTGCCATCAAGTGAGATCCAGGAGCTGCTCATCCACGTCTTCGTGGATATATTGGGTCGCGACGATGACATTGCACCTGCGCTGAGAGTAACCATCAAAAAGAACGTTGAGTCCTGGAGGTCGTTCGGATGTGCCAGAGAAATAGCTTTCGCTATCAAGCAGGAGATGCGCAAGAGTTTATCGAACGGGACGTCCGATCAGTCCTCGGCACGTGCTATCCCTCAGCTGAACGAGGCAGAGACGGAGGACATGAGACAGATGCTAACATGGCTTCTCAACGGAGATGTGACAGTCTTCAATGCCATGTCTCCGATTACCTTCTCCATTGCTGAAGCTTTGAAAAGAGTCAACCTCGACCTCTGCACCGACGGGAATCTTACCCACGAACGACAAGCATGCGTTAGGTATCACCATGGAGGTCGGCCTCTGGGGGTATCTAGCTTTAGCAACAAGCCGATCCCAAGGGGATTAAGTTCTAGACCTCTGCAGATATCGTGGCCTCGCGACAGGCCTGAGTCAATGATCGACGCACTCGGGGTCGGCCGCTCGTTGGAAAACCTCATGAATCAATCCTGGCAACGTGGAAAGATCGCTGCCGGTACCATGGAACTTGTAGGACAAGCAGATGGACCATATGGAGCCAGTGAAGAGGTCTATTACGCCCTTCAGATTTCCGATGATGCATACGTCATCAAAAGATACGACCATCACATTGGTATGCTCGCCGATCAAGGTCTTCCTGTAGATACCGAAAACACCTATAGTGCTTTGGAGTGGATCCTCCAAGGAGAGCCACCAGACAGCTCGCGGTGGCTTCACAGCCATGTTGCGCAAGACTATCTGCTTCGCGTCGATAACGCAGACGCGGTGCCCGAAGAGCCATACAAGTCTGTATATTTCAAGTATCAGGCCTTTGTATTCGGCTTCTACTATCAGCTTCTAACGAAGCTCTTGTCATTTGGTCTTGTTGAAGCCACGGCCTTCTTTCACGGCATATGGGGCGCAAACAGCACAACATTCCTAGCCATGTGCACTCAGCTCGGCCGATGTTGGCGACGAGATGAGAAAGTCAGTCGGGCCCATATGTTGTACGTACTCTCAGCCATGTATAACGGGCGCCGCAAAATCTTCGACGCAACATCGAAGCTTCCTCGACTTGTCGGTGTTCTTGGACCCATCTCAGTGCTGGCACTTCCCCTTGTCCGGACTACAGATGACCCCAAAGAAATTTCGAAGATTGCCATCGTCGACCTGCCAATTGTTGACCTCAGTGCCGAGGGTGCTGATGGGGATTTAATGGCAAGCGAAGGCGGAGGAATACGTTTTGAGTTCCCAGGCGAGCACGAGCACGCGACGACAATCACAAAACCATCTGGTTCGACACGGAAATGGACCGTACACCCCTACATGAGCATAGCATTAGGCGGGGACGGCACCGGTGGCGTGGTCATGGTAGCTCGGTGTGGCAAAAGGCTTGTTGGGTGGTTCAATCCACTGGCTGCCGACGTTTCTTTTCTCAGTTCGGCCTACGTAAAAGAGTCTTACAGTGAAGGGAATGTGGTTGCGTTCGAGATAAAAGACGAACATTGGGAGGCTGGTAAAGTTCTACAGCCTAGCCTGAGTCTATCAGGCCGAGCATTTGGCGTCGTGCGCTCTCACAACTCTCCCAGTCAACGATACGCTGCGGCTGGATTCTATGCCGAGCGAGGTGGAGAGATAACTATCGCTCGGTCTGCTACCGAATTCGTCGGGGCCTTCGACAGGCTACAAGCACAGGATTCAGGTATGGTCATTGCATGATTGCTACAACCTGTTTTATATCTCAAACAACGTCAATTGAATCACATTTTGCTTCCTCTCGGGATCTTTACGATAAAGTGCATATATGTTGACGTCAGTGGCGTAACAGTTTCATAAACATTGCAAGTTCATAATACAGTCTACTGTCACTACTACGTCTAATTTATTCCGTGCTGAACTCAGTATTTGAGTATGCAGGCTATGCTTGTTACCATGAAGTGGATCTGCAGCTTACGGGTTAAAGTGGGGAGGGTCCGTGCGCTGAGCTGAGCGTGTGGTCACCACTCATCAACCCGCGCCGCTAAAGCTTTCTATCAACACCTGCTACAAACATTTCGTTTTCAACTCTGTCCCGTGCCAACAGGTCACCATCGCTTCCTGAAAGACAATGCGTCGCGCTGATCGAAAATTATGCATCGATTGACGTTGCCACTCCATGGCTGTTCAGTGCATAGCCTTGTGCTGAAAGCCTAACGCCACAAAGGCAAGCATGTCTAAAATGAGCGGGAGTGGCTTTTCAGGCATCCCTAAAGCGCCACAGTCGAAGCTGTCTGACCGCAGCGAAGCGTCCATGCTCCGCCCTGCTCCCAGCCTCATTAATGTGTTCAGACGCTCCTAGTTTACTCCTCCAGGCGGCAGTATCGCATGAACAGCTCACTTCTCTATACGTACGCAGGAAACCGGCTCTATCGGTATCAGACTGTCAACATCTTCCAAGATTAACGCGACTATGCGCCTCCTACAATGTTCATCTGACTCTGTCGGCTTCAGCCTCGTTGAGCGGTTCAAGGAAGAAGTCCCGCCCTACGCAATCCTATCACACACCTGGGGTTCGAACGAAGATGAAGTCACATTTTCAGATATGAGAGACGAGCGAGCCAAACGCATCCCTGGGTATAGCAAGCTAGTTTTTTGTTCTGAACGCGCTACTAGCGACAAACTAGAATTCTTTTGGGTGGACACATGCTGTATTGACAAGAGCAGTAGTGCTGAGTTAACGGAAGCCATCAACTCCATGTACAAGTGGTACCAACAGGCTACGAAGTGCTATGTTCTTCTTTCAGACGTGGAAATCGATGTGCCCGTCGAAGACATATCTGAGGAACAATGGGTGCAGATATTTCACAGCAGTAGATGGTTTCAGCGTGGTTGGACACTGCAAGAAATGATTGCGCCAAGAGTCGTCGAATTCTTTTCGAGGACAGGGAAACCGCTGGGCGACAAAGTCACACTGCTACAGGCTCTCCATCTTCGAACCCGGATACCTGTTCTGGCACTCCAGAGCGGTTCACTAGAAGAGTTTAGCATCGACGAGCGCATATCATGGATTGAGGGACGTCAGACGAAAAGAGAAGAGGATTCAGCATATTCTCTATTGGGTTTGTGCGACGTCTACATGCCGCTAATATACGGTGAGGGGTTTGGGCGAGCCTTGACCCGGTTGCGCAATGAAGCCGAGCGCTCGCTGCACGATAGAGTACCAACCGATCCACCTGGGGCACGTCGATGGACGGTTCCTTTTCGGCGCGAAACCGAATTCCATCATGGCGATTGCTTGGAGAAGGTGTATCAGACATGCTCCCAGAACGGTGGCTGGGCATCCCTGATTGGACCCGCGGGCATTGGGTACGTTTGGCCGTTCATAAGGAGTGACAGGGTACTGATGTGGCTATCAGGAAGACACGACTCGCTATCGAATATGCCTATCGAGTCCGAATTCAGACCCCAACGAGATGGGTTTTTTGGATCAACGCAGAGACGCGTGCAAGTTTCAGAGAAGGTTTCAACGCAATCGCCGCGGCGGCGAAGATACATCACTGGAACGACCCTTCTGTCGACATATGTCCAATCGTGTATAGATGGCTATGCGATATCGCAAATGGGCAATGGACAATGGTGGTTGACAATGCTGAAGATGCCGACACCTTCTTCGTCTCACGCATATCGCGAAATCATGCAACAGCGGATCCGATTTCATCCGTGCAGCAACTCTCCAATTTCCTTCCAGTATCCCCCAACGGGTCGATCCTCTTCATCACTCGAAATCGAGACTTTACGCGGGGACTCAGGGGTATCAACAGTAATATTGCGAATATCGAAGTCCGGGACTACGCTTCGTTCAACATAGAAACCCACGTAACACCAATTCTTCAGGAAACTCCAAATGCTTCCGAATCATCACAGATCTCTGGGGGCAATGTGGTAGCATTGCAACCGGACAAACGTACAGCCGAACCAACAGCGCCCAGAAAGGAAGTAGCCGTGTATTGGACATCCGTAAGTCTGTTTCGCGGTTCTTGTTGAAATACGCTAACGTTCACATTAGCGTGGTAAGCGCATGTTCGACAAGTACGTTGACATTGACCATGGCGCTGTAAGGGAGCTCGAACGAGAGCTGCAAGCACGATACAAGACTCCCGCGAAGGACACGTCATGGAGCTTCGCACAAATACTGCGCCTATCAAGTCGGCAGGGTGGAGATGGGAAAATGACAGACTCGGAAGCCGAACGGGGAGGATGCGAGTTGCAGACTCCTTCTGGTGTATCCCGCCCGGTTGATGCTACTGCGGCGTTTGAACGTGGATTCAAAGGTCCAAAAGGGGAGCCTCTTCGTCTACTGGTATGTGTGAATGATCAATCGAAGTTGAAGTTGACGCAGGAGGATCTGCATGATATTAACGACGATCGTCAACTATTCCATCACCTTCGAAAGCGGCTTTTGGCATACCAACATCGGGTCACTCTCAAAGACATCAAAAGTTTCACTTTAGCCAAGGTAGGCTTCCAGTAGAGTTATTGTCTCACTTGGGGTTAACTATTTATTAGTTCAGGCTCGATTACAACAACAACCCTGTAGTCTATACACACCAAAGTTCGTGTAAAGTCTTAACAAATAGGCTTTATCACCCGGATTCGGGATTCTATTGTATCTGTCTTCCGCCGGAAGAGATGGTCGGAAACGACAAGGAATACATTTGTAACCCAGCACCAGGATCTCGAAATCGGCGGCTGATGCCGATCCTTGGTTTCAACATGTTGAAACAAGACCTTCTTGATCCTGATGCTATCGCAGCTGGTCAAAGAACAGTCCTTGACCAGCTTCCGAAACGGAGACTCCCTGGACAACTCAAAGCAATTCCGGGAAGTGATGTTACAGGTTGGGGTCTCTATATTGAAGCGAAGTCTTCTTCGTCAAGACGCGGCTGTTGCTTAATCTTGTTCTTGGCGATAGTAGTGATCGGATTCATCTTGGGCTTTTTCGTCTTTAGAAGGTTGTAGACACGACTACAGGATTAAAGACAGGGGTCTAGTATCTACATTTTACTCCCCTTCGGAACCTTTACAATGAACCCCAGACGCGGGAAATGGATTCTAACCTGCAACTCAGCTTCCTCATCCGGCTTGATGACAACCTCTTCACTTCCAATCTTGACCAATGTGCCCTTCGTAGGGTTGCCGCGCCCAGTATCATCTGGCACAACACTTACGCCCACCCCCGGTACCATCCCTCTCCGAGTGTCCAGAGCTTCATGCGGCGCAACCGCCGTAGGAACCAGCAGCTGCTCATCGCCTAGCAAAGGTGTCCTTCGAAGCGCCTCCTTCCACTGCGTATCGTCTTCCGGTACTGTCACTTGTGTATCAGGCAAACCTTCAATATACTTCTCAAACGCTCCAAACCACCTCATCAACCCCGGATACCTCTTCCCATTAAACACCTGCCCCACAACATCATCATCTGTATCGCTCGCCCCGCCACCACTGAGATCACCAATCCCCCTCCCAGCACCAATATCCATACCCCACCTCAATTGATAGTACAGACTCAAATCAGCCAACGACGGCGTCTTCGTCGGCATCGCCCACGTCCCCGACGTAAACATTGGTTCCAGCATCGAAAGGTGCATATCCAGGATCGAAAGATTGTCTGGGATTTTGGCTTGCAGTTTTTCAGGCTGGATTGGATGTCCAATTAGTTGAGCGCGGTCTTTGCCGAAATCTGAGGACCAGACTGAGGGTGGTATGAAACCTGTGGTTGTGCGGAATAGCGGTTTCTAGTCACATTAGCACTCAACCACCCCCACTTCCTCCGCCTGCTCAACACAAGGATAGGCTACTTACGTCTGTCCAAAAACTCGCAAATCCCCTCGCCATCCCTCGATACATCCACTCGCCGACACCCTCGGCTTCCGGATAGATAGTACCCCAACCCTGGTTCGCGGGGAAGAAGTGCTCCAGTGCCTCGATTATAAGCGAAGTGTCGCAGTAGATGTGTCTGCCGATGGCCAGAATGGGGATTCTGCGGTATTGAAGGCCGAATGTTGATGTTATGATGGGGCGGGGGAGCATTGATGATACGGGGACGTATGCTAGGGGTGCGTGGTTAGCTACTAGCCGCTTTGTCGAGAATGGTATGTTATGATGCCTATAGAGATCTCTCTGGCTTACAGTAGGGTGTTTGTTTGATGCGTAGGGTTAGTTTGACTTTATTCGTGAACGGGCTCGCTATGTATTGGTCAATTTGTGTGATGCACGATATAGGCCGAGACTTGCTCACAGTCATAGCCGAACAAGATGACCGATGGATGATTTGTCGGAGGTGCCATATCTGCTGGGTTGGATTCTAGCAATTGGATCGTTACATGTGCTTCTGAATGGCAATGTTGATGGAAGAGATACAATGGAGTGGTGATGCCGGGTCGTGATGTCGGCGTACCCCGCCCAGCCATTCATGTGCCGAGGTCCTGGTCGGGACGTACGGCATGCGACGTAACAGATCATATGTCATTCGAGTATGTTGTTTATCTTTGAACATGGTGTTGCCGATGGTTTGCGGGTCGCAATACCATTTCTTCTGGAGGAATTGACAACTTGATTGAATTATACCATGTGGAAATTGTAGGGCAGAAGACGGTTATACACGTATTTATTTTGACAAGAGATCATCCAACAACAAAAGTAGCTGGGCAGTGCTCTACAGACCCTCCTCTTGATTCAGACGAATACCCCTCTCAACCAACCCTTCGATCCACCCATTAAACTCTTCCCTCATCTCCGCAGGCAGCACATGTCCCTGACCCTTGATAAAATGCTTCTCAATCTCACCTTCCTGCCAAACGTCGTCTTCCTCTTCAACACCTAACCAGTTCTCCTTGCCCGTTACACCTTCGCCCTTCTCCAATCCACGCCACAGCACAACGCCCAGCGGGAACGTCAGCATACGATCCTTCGTCCCATGAACAACCATGATTCTGTTCTTGCCAACCGTCGTCGCAATCTGTTGGAGTTGCTCAGGGCTCTTGTGATGCCAACCTGCAGCGATGGCTTGTAGCATGAAGCCCGCCTTGCCAAAGTACTCCGGGTGTTGCCTCTTCCATAGTTCGTTTGCGGCGAAGCGGTCGCCGTTTGTGGGGAAGGCTTGGACGACGGGTTCGAGCGTGTCGGGTGAGTCGAGCCATTGTTGCGTGTAGAGATTCTTTTTCACGCCTTCGATTTGTGCGTCGAGGGATTTTGGGATGAAGAGGTTGGCGCGGTTGATGAGGTTTTCGAGGAAGCCCTGGGGTTGTTAGTAGAAGAAGGGTGTTTGATGTGGTGCTACGTACGGTTGTTCGAAACAATTGTGCGGCTGTTGATACGAGGGAGAGTGTGCATATCCGCTCCGGTATTAACATAGCCTAGAAGTTTGTTAGCGATGATGCATAGTGAAGGCATGACGGCTGTCCGTAATAGGCGATTTCGCCGCATCCCCCACGATCGATATGCACGACCGAAGATCATATATGCTCTACTAACGAACACGTGGGGGTGGGGTAGAATCGAACGGAGCGGAAGATGGATGTGCCGATGAGATTACAGGATGATGCTGGGTATCAGAAGTTCTGAGAGATGTTTGAACCTTCTGGCGACTATGTATACCTGGAAGTATTTGTGTTCGATGACGGAACGTGTAGCTTCCGAGTCGAAGATCATGACAAGGAGAATGCGGTCGACTTACTATCTCCTGAGCTATCATTCCACCCATGCTTATGCCAATGACGTGCAGTTCGCGCTTGCCGGTCCAGCCGATGTGGTCGAGGACCTCGACCAGGTCTTGAGCCATGGCAGAAGTGGAGTACCTCGACGTGGGCTTGTCGGAGTCGCCAATGCCACGGTTGTCCGTCACTAGCGACGAGTATTGGTCGCCTTTATTATGAGCAAAGTCTTTTGTCTGACGCTGCCATGCGTACTTCATGCCACCAAGGCCCATGACCCACTACATGGCGTCAGTCGTTGAGTCTTCATGATAACGATGTATACGGAAGATGCCGGAGGCGGCTATAGAGTGAAATGTATAAGTGTGCGAGTTGGACGACCTGAGACACGCCGCAGACGCGTTGAGACGGTCAATGTGACTGAAACGAAACGGTGACAGGGTGCCGGTACCCGTGGATTGGTAGAAGAGGAACATTACAAATGCATCCCGGTCAAGAACAAGCTTTCTTTGGTCTGATATGCAGCGCATCATGTTGGAGCAGATATTAATACCGAAAGTGGGGCGACTTACCACGAGGTGTCTGTCGCCATGGCCATGGACCTCGTAAGCGATGTCAAGGGGTCCGCCACGGTCTTTGGCCACAACGGCCTTGCCTTTCTTTTCTGGTTTGAGATCCCAGATCGTGTGGTTGAATTCAGGATGCTGCTGCAGCTCTTCGACCGTCATTGGTGCCATGGCGGGTAGTGGGTTGCAAGTCTGGATCTGGAAACTTAGTTAAAAGGTTCAAGTGGAATGTCAGGAGGGGCGAAGATGCGACAATGCGACGGGAGTGGTGGCGCAGCAGAGCGTGGACAGCGTTGTCGTGTGGCTGCCGCTCGGCATGTGTCTTTTGGTAGCGGTGTGCCCATAGCGCATCCTGGCAAGCGACAGGTACGCGAGCGTTGTAAGCGGAAGGGACAAGGAACGCTGACGTACTATTCTTGGTAGGCGCTTACAGAGTGTGTGCTCTAGGCTACAGAACAAAGAGCTCTAGGCTTGGAGAGTCGTGTGCTCTAGACTGGCCTGTTGTATGTCAAGGAAATGAGTTGTATGAATAAAGTTGTTAGGGCGGCATAAGGTTCTTCCCCTGCCAAACGCGTGGGAGAAGCAACATCGCAACGTCATGTCTGCTAGTCCGTTTTCAGCTCAGCTGGCGTGGCTCGTGTCTGACTAAGGCGGACTGGACGCGCGAACTACGGACGACGCGGCCCTCTAGTCTGGCCGTGGTTATAGTAGACGCGGAGAAAGAAGCTGCCTCAGGTGTCGTCTCAGCTGCTGCCAGACGACTAATCACCCTTACCGCCATCCTCTCAGTTGCCGATTTTAGCGGGCGTTGCGCATCTGCAGTAGACCAAACAAGCTTTCTGCCTCACCCGTTCACCGTCGGCCACTATTCGACAGTCGGCGAGTCTGCGACACGCACCCTCAGGGCCCTGTAGATGTGATCCTCGGCAGCGTTTCACCTCGCTCAGCACTAGACCCTCAGGACACCCCTCCGCCTTCACAAAACACCACGACGCCCCGGATATCCGCGAGGGCCCAATTGCCCGACGACCCTCACGACTGACGACATAGCGCCTCCTAATACACCATGAACCCCCCTCCCAACGGCTTCTATGCCACCGGCCCGCCCATGATGAACCCGCCGCCGCCGCGTCTCTTCGGCAGTGGCACCTACGACCCGTCGCAGATGCCTCCGGGCAACATGTTTGGCCTCGACGAAGACGACCACAACGATAGCGACCCCAAGCGGCGGCGCATCGCACGGGTACATGGCGCGGATATGAGGGTGACGACGGCATGCTGACAGGATGCAGGCGTGCGACATGTGCCGGAAGAAGAAGATCAAGTGCGACGGCAAGATGCCCTCGTGCACCCACTGCCAGAACTACAAGACCGAGTGCATCTTCACACAGGTCGAGAAGAAGCGGCAGCCACCAAAGGGGTAGGTGCTATCCTGTGTTGCGCACACGGCATGCTGACCGTGCACAGCGCCAAGTATATTGAGGGCCTGGAGAATCGACTGGCGCGCATGGAGTCGCTGATGCGCCTCTCCGGCGTTCTCCCCGAAGACGACGATGGCAGCACCGACCTGGCCACACTCGAACGGCGGCTCGAGGCAAGAGCCGCCCGATCCGCTACACCCCGAACGAGCATCGACGACCGACGAGCCTCCATGGCACCTCCCGCAGCAGGACACTCGACCACCAATGGCACCCCAGTCCAACCAGCGCTCCCCAGTCCGAGGAGCGGCACGGCCTCACCAGAGCCTGAAGAGGACATGGACACCACCAAGGGAAAGGACAAGGAAGAGGACGCGCTCGCCGAGATGATGTGCTCTTTGGTGACAAACAACTGCGGAGAGACAAGATATATCGGTACATTCTTCCAACTCGTTGTCTTCCCCGCTAACGTCCTCAGGTTCATCATCCGGTTTCTCCATCTTCTCGCCCAAAGGCATACAATGGGTCAACGAAAAGACCGGCGACAACTCCTTCCGCGACATGATCTCCACAGCCGCCGTCGAGGACAACAAGTGGATCCAATGGCGGCCCGACGTCTTCCAGGACATCTTCAAGCGCCGCGTCTACAAACAATTACCGCCCAAGCACGAAGCCCTCTCCCTGCTCAAGGACTACTTTGAGAACTTCAACTGCATGTTCCCGCTGTTCCACGAACCCACCTTTATGCATCTGGTAGATAAGCACTACTCGAAAGACCCATACGAAGGATCCGGCTGGTGGGCCAGTTTAAACGTCGCTCTGGCTTTCGCTCATCGACTGCGCGTCATGAGCAATCTGGTCCCAGCAGAAGAAGACGAAAAGGCGTGGCAGTACCTGAAGAACGCCATGAGTGTCATGGTCGAGCTCACCATGCGCAACACCGATCTTCTGAGTGTTCAGGCTTTGCTAGGAGTGGTATGTAGTGACGGACTTTCGCGATTTTCTCATCTAACATCTTTAGGGTCTCTTTCTCCTGGGGACGCCGAACCCACAGCCCACCTACTTCTTCGTTGCCACCGCTATGCGACTCGCACATAGTATTGGTCTTCACAAGAAGGGTGCTAACTTCAGTCTCAACGCCGCCGAGGTCGAGCAACGAAGGCGTGTTTTCTGGATTGCCTACATGTTGGACAAAGAGTGGGTCTTTTCAATCTCCTCGCAGTACACACAGACTAACACCATCAAGTATCTGCCTTCGGTCTGGCAGACCACCTGTACAAGACGATGATGACATGAACGTCGAGCTACCCAGCGAGACTCCACCGGACAACATCGGCAACATCCCGCTCGCCGACGGAAAGGGTACCATGAACCTGTTCCGTCTCATGTGCACATTCTCCGTGATCCAAAGCAATGTCTACAAGGGCCTCTATTCCGTGAAGGCATCCAAGCAGACCGATGGTGAACTGCTCAATACTATTGGCGAACTCGACAAAGAATTGGAAGCCTGGAAGGACGACATACCGCTGGAATTCAGGCCAGAGCACGACATCAAGGCATCGCACACCCCACTCATTCTCCAAGTTGCCGTACTGCATCTCGGCTACTACAACTGTCTAACCACTATCCACCGCATGAGCGTGCACCACGGATACTGGACCAGCCGATTGTCAAACTTCGCGATACAAGGGCTAAACGCGCGCCCTCTGAACCCCAGAGTTTTCATGTCCGCTCAATTATGTGTGCAAGCCGCCCGAGCTTCGATACATCTCTTGAAGTACATACCAAAAGGTGACTTGTCATGTGTCTGGCTAGTGATTTACTTCCCAGTCACCGCTCTGGTCACACTGTTCGCCAACATCTTGCAAAACCCACAAGACACGCGATCACGGTCAGACCTCAAGCTAATGAAGCTGGTCGTCAACTTCCTGAATATGCTCAACGACGACCAAGGCAGTGGCAGTGTCAAGCGCATGTGCACAGTTTGCGCCGAGTTTGAGCGCATTGCTACCATCGTTCTGGAGAAGGCAGATCGCGAACACGCATCGCGGCGGAAGAGGAAACAGGGTGACAGCGAACAGGATGCTCAGATCGAAGCAACCGCGGCTGAGCTTCTCTCGACGGGCCGTAACCCACAATCCCCACCTCAGCAAGTCACGACTCCACAAAATCCCCCCGCCCAAGAGGGCATGATCTTCAATCCAGATTTCCACGGGTTCAACGAGGTAAGCTACACCACTGTCGTGCCAGACCAAAGCTAACTTGTGTAGCCATTCCCCTTCTCACCAAACTTCACACACGACTCTTTACAACCCAACATTCAAATGAGCCAATACGGCTCACCAGGAATCACCGCACAAATGCTCCAGCAGTCACAAAGCCTACCGATGACAACTGGTGGTGACATAAACGGCGTTAGCGCCAACATCAACGCCATGGCAGGCATGGGCCAGTTCGATCAGACTCTGAACAACGTTCCACAAGACCTATGGAAGATGCCAATGACACTGGAGTGGGACTGGGCAGACATGACTGGTGGCTTTTCGGGGTATGAGGATGGCATCAGCATGAACGGAGTCCTCCCGGATTTCTCGAATAACACCGGCCACGGAACAAGCGAGTTCAATCAGGGCGCCATGAATGGTGGTCGATGATGAAGCTTATTCGCAGCCCATTGGATGGAGCTTGCCGTCCCAGAAACGATGTTCCACAACATCAAACTTTGCGTCTCGACTCTTCGATTCCAACAAAGCGTGGTTTCGCGTCAGGCAATGCCAGTTACCGCCCAACTTCAGCACGATTCCGCATGCTTCGCTTTATACCACTTCTCACCATCGGAGGCATCACGGTGTCCACCTCCCTTTACGATCTCATAGCCGTGTAAAATAATGTTGTATCTCCAAGCACATACTTCTTCGTAATAGGATAGCTTTGTTACAACCCAATAATGTAGCGCATACATGGTATTCATTTTTCGGTAGCGAGCTGCAATGTATATCACAGGCTGTCACTAACATGCCGCTGCGGGTTATAGTCCGGACATCCTCGCTGTACGCCATGGTAGCTATGATGCTTACCTGCTCGACGTATGTCCGCACGAAAATGTGTACATATGCTAACCATCCTCGCGCTGATCACATTGTTCCAGCTGACATATATCCCCTTCTATACGCCTTACATAACCTTAACTCGTATCCCCTTTGATTTCAACCCAAACCAACAATGGAGAACATCACCGCCCTCCTTTCCTCCCTCATAACAGCAAACCATATTCTTTCCCACCAGGCCGTCCGCGACCCTTTCGGCCACATCAGCATCCGCAATCCAAACACCAACACCACGTTTTTCATCACACTGCAAATCGCCTCAGCGACCGTCTCCAGCCGCACCGATATAGGCGTATACCACACCCCTGACAGCTCCCCCTCTCCGGTACCACGGGCGGCTACGTAGAATAGTATACTCACAGTGAGATTTTGAAGTGGTATACGGATGTTAGTGCTGTTATGCATAGTCATTCTGAGAATGTGCTGCCGTATACGGTTGTTGATATGAGATTGGAGCTGGTGTACCATATGGCCGGTTTCCTGGGCGATGAAGTACCAAAATTTCGATATTGAATATGTGTATGAAGACGGTGATCCGAGGGATATGTTGGTAAACAGCGTACGTCTGGGCGCGGCCCTGGCTGAAATGTTCAAACGGAATGAAACAAGACCTACATTGCCTCTACACACAACGGCATTGATGCGCGGGCATGGGTTCATGACTGTAGGAGAGGGGGTTGAGCAGGTCACAGAATTCGCGTATTATGCTGCAAGTAATGCAAGGGTGCAGACGAAGGCGCTGCTGTTGGCGGGGGGTCGGGGGGGAAAATGTGAGGCATTTGAGTGGAGATGAGAGGAAAGCGACGAATGAGGTGAATCGCTGGATTGTATCTAAGCCTTGGAGGTAGTGGGTTATAGAGGTGGAGAGGAGTGGGAAGTTTTACATGTTTTGGGGACGCCGGTGCTGGATATGGAGTGATGGGCAGAAAGATGGGTAGTCCAATGGTGGTGTTCAAGCTGATAGAAGAGTGCAACGTTCAAAGCTAGAGAATCTACAAGTGAGTTGGCTATTTTATTTCGCGTTCTCGAATCGTGAGATTGGTGCTGATAGATCTGCATGACGCCATCTGCCAAGCCCCAACAGCTCGGGATCGGAGGAAGACGACAGGCGTTCTTCCTCTCCGCCTTGTCGACTGCCGTTCGTCCCCACTCACGTCATGTTGAGGTTATCCCACAAAAGGAAGCTCGATGTGGTACCAAGACCCTAGCAGCATGAGGGACGTTAGAATGCTTGCGAGGTATCGATGGATGTAGTCATCCGCTCCTGATCCATGCCTGATAACGTGCTTATGCATACACATCACGACTTACCGGAAAGGTGTCTAGGACTGACGTATAAACATGCGTCGCCTACGATTCTACAAGCGATGTATCTCGCAGTACCTCTCGAACCATCTGCTAGGTCGTTAGCCTCGAACTCCAGAGGACGTCGACTGTGAACGCATAGATCATCATGAGGGCCTCATACAAGACAGTCCTAACTGTAATTCCACTCTACGCAACTTCAGTCATCGCGGATCGATATGCCAGCAACATAAGACCGGTCGTTATTGATGCACCACAAGTGGCAGCTAATTTCCCTGATGTCGATGGCATTCAGCTGCTATCACCGGCTTTCCTTAATCCGGAAAATGTACCAGCTACATTCGCAAACGGCACATCTGGACCGACTCCGCAGCGTGATTTAGGTACAGTTTGAATATCACAACGACCCCAAGCTTACTGACCCTTCGACAGAAAGCTTCGTGAAAAGTCTCACCCAGCGCAACGGATGGATCACCTACAATAGCGACCTGAGATCTGAGGAGGATCGCGCGATACCTTACGTTACATTGACAAATGGCAAGAAAAGTAGCAAGAAACTACGGATCTGGATCCAAGGAGGCCAACATGGAAACGAGCCCGCAGGCGACGAGGGCGTGCTTGCACTGCTCGGAAAGTTTGCGCAAGACTCCCAGTGGAGCGCTAAAATCCTGGAGAAGATTGATCTCGTGGTTCTCCCACGCTACAACGTCGACGGTGTCGAGTATCTGCAACGGCAATTGGCTTCCAACTATGACCCTAACCGCGATCATGCGGTACTTGAGCGACAGCAAACACGAGCCATCAGAAAGCTGCAGTCTGAGTTTGACCCTCACGTCTTCATCGACGATCACGAGTACACAGGCGGCAACTTGGTAGCGGAAAAGTATATCCGCGCGCAAGATCTTCTTGTCTCCGCCAACAAGAACCAAAATGTCAATCCCAGCATTCGAGCGTTGAACCAGGAGTTCGTGGACGACATCTTCTCAGTTGCTGAGAGCAAGGACCTGCGGATCTTTCCATACTTTACCACGAGTGTTGCTAATGGAACGATAACGATCGAAGAGCCTGATGCGCTTGCCGCGGCAAATCACAAAGGTGCTGGGAATTACCAGGCCCTGACTTTCCTGGTCGAGACGCGGGGCATTGCTATCGCGGATCAGCACTTCCAGCGACGCGTCGCATCCCATGTTATCGTGCTAGAAACGATTCTCAACAAAGCAGCTGACGAGTTCGACAACGTGTACAAAACCGTTCAAGCTGGACGCGAAGCATTCGTCGATAGCTCAGACAACATCGTCGTAACCTACGAACAGCGCATCACCAACAAGACAGTCCCCTTCATCGATGAGTCAAGCGGCGCGATTGTTGATGTACCAGTCCGTTCCCGCAATAGCGATCCCTCCATCGTCACTCTCTCGCGTTCTCGACCAAAAGCCTACGTCTTTTCGCGCGCCTGGGCTGATGTAGCAGAGCGTCTCCGTATCCTCGGTGTCACCGTCGATGTCCTGGAGAAAGACTTTGTCGGAACTGTCGAAGCACTAGTAGTCACGAAGGCTAAGCTCGCAGAAACGAAATTCGAAGGCATCGCTGGTACAACCGTCACGACCAATGTGACGCAGCGTGCGGTTACGATACCGGCTGGCGGTTTTCACGTTGATACCAGGCAGAAGAACGCTGGATATGCTTTTACGCTGTTGGAACCGGAGGGTGAAGCGAGTCAGGTGTATTATAACAAGATACCGCTGGAGGTGGGGGACGAGTATCCTGTGTTTAGGGTTTTGTAGACTTCGTTATAGAAGCTTCTGCAAGAATAGTATACGAAGAACCCATCTGCCGATGTTGGATGACTTCTTCGTCCAAATGAACATGCATATGCCCGTCTTCAGCCCTACATTTGTCCTGTCAACGTTGCTAGCGCCCGGTAGAATGCTTCCAGTGTGCTTCTACGATAAGCCAAGCGAATCGCGAGATGGGATGGTGATCTGGGGGGCCTGATACTAAGTTTACCACGCAGACCCTTGGTACCACGAGTTTGTAGGGCCGAAAAGGGTAAACTCAATTCTTCACCATCGTGAGAGTAAGTGAGCCGGGGTTCAAGTCATATTTAGCGTACGGTAAAGACTAGTGCTTACTGCCTTCGATCTAAGTTCGACCGATAGAGGGTTTGGAGGGTAGTATCAACGACGACTGGGAGTGTCGGTAGTGTGGTGTGTACATCGGCGCCTTGTAGAGTTCTGTCTACGACTCGGAATATACGCATTAAGACTAATACTACAACGTCTCTCACTCCAAGGAAAAATCACATGAATGACGCAGTTTTGACTGCACTGACAAGTCATGAAGCGTATCTGTTACCAATTCGTTCTCATAGATATATATACATGAAATTCACACTCGTCCAGAAGCACTTGTCTGGATGAGAACAGAACAAAGCCGAAATATACTGCGCCCACAAGCATTGACTTCTCTTCAACCTTCTCATCTAAGCACCGAGCTGCTTAGTAACAAACGACGCGCCCAACTTCTGCGTAGGAGCATCACCGGGGTACTGCAAGTGCTGAGCGTTGATACCAGCACCGTGTGTAGTATCGCATACACCATCGCCCTATAATCATAACAGTCAGTAAGTGCTCTTCAAGCCAGAAAGCCAAAATGGCAAGCTAAGTGAGAAAGGAGGAGGACTTACAAAGATGCACACATCCAGTGTCTTGCCCTGCCAGTTCTCCGGAATACCCCTGCTCAGCGCTGCTGACAAACCATTGACGTTCTTCGTCGTAGTACCGCCGTTGTTGTCAACGTTGCATGACAGTCCAGATTTGTGCGCCGGGTCACCGATAAGGAAAACACCCTTTACAGCATCGAAGTTCGCGCCAGTCAACTGAGACATGGCATTCACTGTCGCCTGAGCACCCTGACTGTATCCCTCGAGAATGAAGCACTCATCGGGCTTTGTGCGTAGTGTAGACTGGACTTTGTTGACGATATCAGCTGTGCCGGCCGCGCTGTTCTGATCGAAGCCGGCGGCGTAGACAGTGTTGTAGATTTTGCCGCCGGAGACTGCGGACTGGATGTTGCGGTTCATGGTGCGGAAACCGGAGGATTCGCCTTGGATCTCGCCGGTGCCGCGGGTGTTGATGATGGTGTAGGAGGTGCACGCTGCGCGGGTGTCAAGAGTGTCAACTGGGGCGGCTGTGGAGAGGGCGAGCAGCGAGGCTGCGGGGAGGATGGTGGAGAAACGCATGGTTGATGTGTGAAGATGGGTATGGGTATGTGAGTGAATGTATGAAGTATGACAGTGAGAGAAGTAGAGCGGATGATCTTATCGTCAGGGTGGTGCCGATATAACAGCGGATCTTCTCTGCCTTATATATCCACCCTCCCACTCACCAACCCGTGTGTAATAGAAAAAAAGCACCCTCTGATATCCACGGATTTCACCTCACCTCGGCAGACATTCTTAGCGCGTTTCACTCGCCGATCCCCAGTCTGCTGCTCTACACCGAAAAGGACGGAACCTGCATCCGCTTCGGAGAACTAAGTCACAATCGTGGCCGTCTATCCCGTAGGCGCCCCGATCGACGCATGGCCTAACGGCTGTCACCGTCTGGGGTGGGTAAGAGATCTTCTCGACCTTCTCGATTCGGAGACTTTCCAGACCAGGTACGGGGATTGCAGGTGAGGTGACTTGAAGGATATACGGCGGGTGTTTTCATGCATCGGCGCCATTGTGTCAAACGTGTATGTCATATGTATGCCTCATTCCAGGATACCGATGGTGAGAGGTGGCGCGGCATGGCTTTTCGAAACTCCTCAGTCTTGATAGTGGCTGAAGCGACGTGGAACATTCCATCCTATGCCGTCTACTCGAAACAGTCAGGAGGTGGGGTTTGAGTCTCACAACCTCCAATAACATGACGAAGCGCATTCATCGTGCCTCGGGGTAGTGACTGCACCATTGTGGATACTGGACCACCTCCTCGTGCCTCACAGTCTCTAGGCGCAGGTCCTGAATCGCGCATGCGGGTCTGCGGATTGTTGGCCTTACCACGTTCGGTATACTTGCCTGCTGTTTGTGGTTTGGAGCCTGCCGCAAGGAGAACCCCCAATTATTGCTCCTTGCCGTCGATCGGCATCGAGCCTCGGCACGGCAATTGAACAAGGGGAGGTGCAGCATCGGTGGTGATACCACAAATGGATGGTGACGATGTGAAAGTGAGGTCGGAGATTATCGAAAAAGCAAGCGAGTACTGAGCCCAGCGCGGGATAGGCAGGTGCGACAGCGGCACAAACAGTTCGTCGAGGGCGCTGCAATGCAAGTAGTGGACACTGACAGAAGACGTGCAGTCGTTGTGCGTTGGTGTGCCGAAACCTGGGCCGATCTTGCTACTCGCAGTATGGTACGGGTGATCGTTAGCGGGTCCCGCTGATCCGAGGAACGGCTCCAGCGCTGCGCTATGCAGGCCAAGCTCCGAAAGCTTCGACTCCAGGTTGGCATCTTGACCGAGATGTCGGCTGGACGTTGACCGAGGTGGTAGTTGGTGAGTGCGATTTGGTAGCGGAATGGGATGTTTGCCTGATCGTTGAGCCTTACCCCGCCAGATCAATCTGGGGTGACCTCGCGGGAGGCAAGCAGTAACGTCAGCGCGTGAGCTGGTCAATCGTGGTTTTCACACGAAGTGCCGAAACGGCGAATTCAAACCTTGGAAGGGAGTGACCGGACGGTGACATGTAAACTTTAAGTGACGTCTTTGCGCTAAACCATGTGTCAAAAGGCTACCTCAAAACGTCGCCACGTGTGACGCTATCTCCACTTCGGTTCCTCTTCATTTCTCACTCCAGGTCTTCCCGACCTTTCTGCATCACGACGACTCGTCTCGAGCATTTTGTGTCCATGTAGTATCCAATGAGGATATAGATGTCGCTAGGTCCTTCGGTACACGGTGCCGCTTGCACACGATTCAGTCGTCTTCAACCGCTTCAAGCTTAACGATTTTTGACCCCGATGACGGACTCTGCAGCTACAGAACGGAAGAAAGAAAGGTAAATCCCAGAAAAGGCTGATTATATACGCACACCTTCAGACCAGCGCTCAAGATATCAATGAACTTGGCTTTGGCGTTTGAACGGAAGCAAGAAACCGACGCGTAGGCGCCTTCTCTTACATCCTGGACCAACTTCCCCAAACGGCTGGGCACATCCATCCTTGATGTCGAGCTTTTGGATTCATTTTGATCACTCTCTCCTCTGCTGTATTTTGCACCCACAGACGAAGCAGGACCATGCCATTTCCACCAGACTCTTTCGAAAACCATGTCAACCATAGTCCAGCATTTTAGAAAACAATCTCTCTTGGTAGATGTGAGCTGTTGGATTTCACACGCCACGAAGACGGTTTTATACACGCCAAACTAGCGCTATCGCCGCCCGGGCGGTAAGAAACCTTCGCGAGGTGGTGTACCGAACAACTCAAAAGGTTGGCAGAGCCGTGTCGAACTCCAAAAAACAAGATGAAATGTACTAATGTTCTCTGCGCCCGTTTCCGCAGTCATCAAGGCAGATTCGTTCTTTTTGGAGCTTTTGGACTCCCGCAGAGAGAATCACATGCATGTGCACTACTTCCTTGTGTCCTCGTACTCGTTCTTCTGCGATCGCACAACGGGGAGACCAGCAAGCTCGCAACATGTAGCAGAGGTATGTTCTTTTCAGATTCTCATGCTCAGAACGCTTTGTTGTTTTGGAAGAGTAAAGTCTGTAATATTTTAGTAGATGAATAAGAGCCCAGTTGTCGGAATCTGTATTTTATATGCGGCCAGAACGGAGGCTAACCAGCGCCGAACTCATAGAATTAGTGTAAGTGATTGGAAGCGGGGGTATTGGTAAAGGAGTGAGACTTCTGCAGTCGTCGCAACGTAGGTTTTATACGCGCGCTGAACGCAGACACACAGACGCACCACATTTCAATCCTGAATCTTCTTTTCGATCTTCATATGACATCTGCGTTGATATTGTGGCAACAGGAGACTGGATCATGCGTATAGAAGGAAGGCGGCGACACACAGCATCGTCTTTTTTCCCTGCTGTTCCAATTTCCATTGGAAGTATAATTGTGACTTTAGGTCAAAGTAAGCCAAGGAATTGGCGTTGGAGTGGAAGTCCAGTCATAGAATCGGACCAAGAATTTTTGTGTAAACAGAGAGAGAAGGCGCAGACGCAGAATATGCGCTGATGGTATCCCATTTTTGGTTTCCATGGAAAGACGATATGTACCTTTTGATAAATCCAACTCATAAGGTTGGTGTAGGAATGAAGCTCTTGTCTCTGAAAAAGAGGCGGGTTTATATGCGATGAGACCGGACACAGGAAACTCTCGATATGTCTCACGTTGCGGTCGCTTTTTCGAGATCTCACCAGAACTTCCTCCATCCATTTCTTGGTAAAAGAAGGACTGGGTTGTTGGTAAAGAAGTAAACTTCCAGCCGCGGTGAGGTGTTTTTATGTGCGACTAGAGATGCTGTAAGCGGACAGCATATCATCGCAACACAACTGTATTGGAATCCGATGATAGGTGCCATCGGCAATGTTTTGGAAAGCGAAGACTGTGACATGGCGCATGATGATTTCATTTTGAGTCTACGGCTCGAACGCTATCTGCGAGCTGAGGAGCGACAGGCAGACATTACACATGCGCACTATCATTTTTCGTTTTCAAGCTCCCATCGATCGAACCCATCGATACCGTTTTTGGAAAGTAAAGATTGCGACGTTGGAGAGAAGGCAGACATAGACTGCTGAACTGTGGATTTCTAGTCGATTTAGAGGAGAACAAGCACGCGCAACATCCCCCTAAGTACACCGTCTTTTCGTCTTCATAAGCGGAGCTCAGGGTTGTCTTTTTGGTGCAGCAGAGATCAGAAGGCGCATAGAGAAGTGCGAGCCGATTCTCGGACTTCGTCACTTTTGGGATAGTGAAGAACGGAATTTTGGTGTAAGAAGCTACAATCCAGTCCGCAGGAAGAGAAGGCAGCGGCGTCATCCAGGCTACCGACTTGTTTTTTCGGTCTCCATCAAGGATGTCATGTAGGGGTCTGAAATGCCAAAGACACGCATATGAGTACGCAGCTGGTGTTTGAAGAGAAGGCGGAAGGACAGGACCACCATGTACTTGGAGTTTAGTATTTTGAACATTAAGGATCGCGAAGTGAATGTAGGAGTCCAAATCCAGCGGCCGCAAAGTAGTTTTTATACTCCGACTCTAGGACACCCATCATGGCACCGGTTGGGATTGCTTTTTGGAAGAAGAAGATTGAAATGTGGTGACGCACGAGTCTGTCAGAGACCATGACCAGCCGGGGGTTGATATTTGGAAAGACTCAGAGGGAGCGAGGCAAGAATATAGCATGACGTTCTCCATTCTTTAGAGAGCGCCACATCACGAGTCGCTATCACTCTTTGGAAAAGAGAACCTGAAGTGTAGATGTAGAAGGAAAGAAAGGAAGAGAACGAGAGGGATATTTATACGTCGCCAATACGGCAATACGGCCACATGTCCAAGCATCATCCGCAGCATTCACAGATCTGATCGTCGCAAAGCTCAGTTCCGATCGTAGTCATTAGCTGAATGAAATGCAATATCAAGAATAAAGTAGTCATTAAACCATACTAACTCGCTCTCGCCATATCGCGCAGCCTAGCTATCCAGCCTGGAGGCATGTAGATGAAGGAAATGTCCAAAGTATTCCGAGACGAACAACGCTCTGTCCGGCTATTTTCCTTATACCAAACGCCCAAAGTATCAAAGGAACGGGGTATATGCCTTATCCAAGCTTTTATAATATTCCAACGTCAACGTCAACGTCAACGTCGACCCCGTCATGACGCAAGAACCTCAACCCACCCCTCCCTATTCCTCTCCACCTTACTTCCATCCTCACCAGCCGTCAACTCCTTAGCCAACCCATCCTTCGCGCCCCTCCGTCTCGCCCTCTCCCTCACACTCCGCTCATCTTTCTCGCACTCCTTGATCGCCTCCACAACCTCCAGCTCTTCAAAGCGCGCATCCTGCAAATTGAGCTTCTGCCACTGAGGATGTTTCTGGCAGCGCTTCTTCAAGCACGCAGTCTCTCTGTCATCGACATCGATGTCCATCGCATCGGTGGCGTTGGTCGCGGGTGTGGGCGTGGAAGAAATCTGTTCGGGTGTGGGAGTGAGGGTGGAGTGGTGGAAAGCAGCGCGACCGTGTTTGCTGTTGCGCCAGAGGAGGAACTCGGCGTCGGACCATGATAGCCGCGAGTCGTAGCCGCAGAAATCCTTCGCTTTGACCTTTTCGCGGTCGGCGAGGCGGACGGCTTGTTCTTTGGCCATGCTGACGAACTTCTCGCGGTCTTTGAGGACTTCGAGTCGGTCTTTTAGTTGGGTCTTCTCTTTGTGTAAGGCGGTTAGACGTTCGATCTCGCCAGCAGTGAGAGCAAGGTCTTCGCCATTGGAGGGAAAGGTTGCGCGGGATGGGGAGGCGGTTTGTGGGGGTGTGAGGACGCCGGTTCCGAGGTTCTTGAAGGCTTGGATGTTGGGCGATGCGTCGACGAGGGCTTTGAGGTCCTTGGCTCGTAGTGTGCCGCCGAGCGGGGTTGGCTCTTCTTCCTCTGCGCCTTCACTCTCCACAGGCTTCTTCTTCTTCTTGGACTTTTCCTTTGTTCCATTGGCGCCCTTGGCACCTGCTGTGCGTTGGAGTTGTTCTTGCATGAAGAGAACTCCGCAGTCGTCGGAGCAGTATTTACTCTCCCTGCTGTGGTTGAGTCGCGCTGGTTTTCGACATCCGTCCCGCCGGCACATTGGCTTCCACGTTGTGTTGCCCCTGCCGTTCTCCTCGCACTGCGGACATATGAACTTGTCGACCAGTTCCTCGTCCACCTGTCGCATGTTTACGCAGTCGCCGTGGAACCAGTCGTCGCATCCGCCATCGCATCCAATCATCCACTTGTGGTTGTCTGGTTTCTTGCATATGCAGTAGAGGTTGTGATCTTCGGATGATTCGCCGTCGTCATCGGAAGCGTGCTCGTGGCCGGGGGCGGGCGAGGATCCAGAAAGTGGAGTGCCGGCGTGCGAGCCTTTCTTCATAGCCCTGCTGCCCGCCGACTTGGGTATCCTCGAGGTAGGCGTGACGGACCGCGTGCCATCTTCCGTCTCGACCTTGCGCTTCTTACTCGGCTTGGATGTCTTTGCGGTGCCTTTCTTTTTGATGGCGGATGCGGAAGACGGAGCTGGTCGCTTCTTGGTCAGGGCGGGTGCTGGCTTGGAGTCGACTGGTGATGGTGCGCTTTCTGCAGCGCTCTGATTCCGTCTGCGCAGTCCAAGATCGCTCTGCTTGGCAATCTCGAGGGCCTTGAGTGTGTCGGCGTCCACGTTCTCGCCAGTCACGGAACTCTGCCGCTCGGTTTGGGAGGCGGTAATCGCAGGAGTGTGTTCGCGCGGTGTACCAGAGGGCTCGTCCTTGATAAAAGGCTGAGGTGAAGGCAGGTTGGCGTTTCCATTGTGCGAATCAGGCTGGAGGGTGCTCGCTGTGGGCTCTCGGATCTGGGAGGTGGTAGGCTCGTCGCGCGTGACTGCAGGTTCGAGCTGCTCTTGCAGGGCCGAGGACAAATTTTGTATGGGCGCGAGCACTGGGGCGGGTGAGGTCCTGGACAGCAGCGACTGGCGGCGTTTCTGCTCCTCGGGGGACTTGGAGCCATGATGATAGTGCTCGAGGGTCGGCGAGTGCACCTGGGGCTCGTCGAGGGGTGGCGAGGGCTCGACGGGCGCGTGGTGGGAGCCGAAGCTGCTGGTGCGTCGCGGCGCGTGGGACGAGGCGGTTGGCGAAGGCAGCTCGCGCGTCGGGGCGGGCACGAACTGCTGTCCACTGCCCAGCGTCGCCAGCGTCGTCAGGGCATCGGCAGCGTCGTCGGTCGTGGTGGTGGCAGACGGGCGGCGCTGCAGGCCGGCGTCCGGGTTGAGGAGGGAGTCGATGCTGCTCATTGTGGCTAAGCGGTCTGTCTTAAGCGGTCATGTCGGGGCGGGGGATGTCGAGGATGCAGAGAGTGAGTAGACGTAGGGCGGACTGGAGGCGAGCAGAGAATGAGGAGAAAGGGCGGGTGGTGTGGAAAATAGAGCCGTTTCAATCAGCTTGGCGCGCAGAAGCGCTTGAGGGGCGGGCGAAGCTGCGTGAGCCTTGACAGCATGCAGGCATTGCTCGACCTTGCCGCCTACCACTGCCACTGTCCTACGACTGCACCTACCACGATCACCTGCCTCGTGACGCTGACAAATGGGCAAGCCACTACACGTACCTCAATATCGCCTTTTTCGCTGCCGTGGTTTCTGTCTTTGTTGCGACGGCTGCCCGCAGCTCCATGGCGCTTGCCGCCGATGATGCAACTCGACAACTGGTCCCTTGAGGGGAGCTCCGAGCTAGCATCGCTCAACATGACGTTGGTGTCCCAGTAAAGAGCATTGACATAACTACATAGGGTATCATGGGCGTCTCTATCCGTTAATCATGCACCAGACTATTCATCGTCGTTGTTCCTCGGTCGTCCGCGTTTCCGTCCTGCCGCCTGCGATGCGGCCTGAGTAGCCTCCACCGCCGGCGCACTGTCACTGTGTGCGTCCGCCACCTGCAGAGTCCTCTGCAATCGCTTCTCGAGTTCCTCCACGTCCTCGCTCTCCCCAAACATCATCCGTATAAACTGCGCGACGCCCTCTCGTCCAACCTCGACCTTGCCGCGAGGCCCGACAATGTAGTCGATCGTCTCCTCGCCCCCACCAGGCGTCTCCTTGATCCTGACAATATACCCGTCTTTGATCATGTTCGTAAGCGTCTTGTCTTTGGTACCGACAGGCGTCGTCTGGTCTGCGTTCATGCGTCTGAGAGCACGGTCTAGCTTGCCTTCTGGGATCATACCGCCGGATATAGTGATGAGGGCAATGGCCATGGTATACAGCCCGACGTACGAGTCTTCTCGGTTTATCTCTTCTGCGTCGGCTGCTAATGGTCGCGAGGGGCCGATGATGTCTGGTATGCGGTACTGCTCAGGCAGGATAGTCTGGAGCACCCATATACTGGTCGACTTGCTTTGCGAGTCCGAGCCGGCGGCAGCTGGAGTCATGTTAGATGAGGGGAAATACGGTGAGACTGGGATATGTACCGCGCTTCTGTCGCAGCGTCACTTTGTCCGCCTTGGGCAGCTCGACGAACTGCATACCAAAGACGTCCATGAGCTGGCTGTTTGCTTGCGCAAAGACGTCCTTGAACAGCCGAGTATAGGAACCGAGGACTATAACGATTAGTCTCATCTCTTCGATAACTTTCGATGCACTCACCTCTCTCGTTGATATCCGCGCGCTTGATAGGCTTCCGTGAATGCTCGCACGAGAGGGCATACCGCACCAGGCCCTTCGCTAGTTGATCTACGCTGCCGCTGCCCTGCGCCTCTCTGATAGCGTCTTCCATGTCAATGTCTTCATCTTCTTCGGGAGTGTCATCTCGCCTCCGTCGTTGTGTCTGTATGGGGACTGGTGAGGATTCTTCAGTAGCCGCTCGTCGTGATCTTCGGGGCGGCATCGTGTCGTGGTAAGTGATTGAGGCGTGGGGTAGACTTAATCTACTACAGAATCACCCTGTAGGGCTGACGCGACGCGCCGCGGTGAAAGCCGCGCTAAAGTGCTCGCTTCCGGGCCGGCGACGACATCATCGAGACATGGTCCAAGCTGCTCCTCCGCATTGCAAGTCTCAATCCACCCATCGTGACTTACCCCAGTCAATGCAGCCACCATGAATTCGATACGATTCGCCGCGCGACGGCCCATCTTCCGCTGCCTCAACACGCCTGCGCCCCTCCGCTCATCCCCCCAAATCCGACAGGGCTCGCGCTCCAGCAGAGCAGAATTCGAGGCCATTCTCAAGCAAGGCGCCCGTCCCAAGGTCCCTCGCCCAGATGAAGACTTTGTTTCTGTACACCGCGCCGAGGCCATGCGCCGTGCGCAGTTGATAAAGAGGCGGAATTGGCTGGCCCTCGGTGCTGCGCTCTCCATGATTGCCCCCATCTTCCTCGTCCGGTTATGGGATGTGCCGCCGCTTGAGGAGAAAGATGAGAAGCCCAGTCGCGGCATATCCGACATGATCATGGGCCCGCCCACCAAGTGCGATGCACCGCGCAAGGCAGCAGAAGAGTTCCAGGGCAAGAAGGTCGTCATCGCAGCCGGCGACAAGGTCATTGCCACGCCAGGCGATTCCGACAACCCCCAAGCCTCCGACCCCGACGCCATCGAGCTCGTCGAGACAGGCACCTCCTACGTCCCTTACTTCCCGCGCACCATCCGTCTCCCCACCGACACCGCCGGCCCCGAAGCCATCACCAGCGACGCAGAATACACACTCCTCGGCCTGGGCATCCGAAAAGTCTCCTTCCTACGCGTGCAGGTCTACGTCGTAGGCCTGTACGTCAAAACCGCCCACCTGTCCACCCTCCAAAACCACCTCATCAACACCGTAAACCCCACCGCCTCAGCCCTCATTCCCAACGAGAAGAAAGACCTCCGCGAGGCCCTCCTCGACCCAGAGAAGAGCAACAAGATCTGGGAGTCCATCTTAGCCAAAGACGGCACCGCAGGCGTCGACATGGCGTTCCGTGTCGTACCTTGCCGCGGCACAGATTTCAAGCACCTCCAAGACGGCTGGATGCGCGGTATCGCCTCGCGAACAGACGAAGTACGGCGTAAGCAGGCCGAGCTCCTCCGTCAACAAGCCGCAGAAAACAAGTCGATATCCCTACCCAAGCCCGTAGAAGAAGGCGAATTCCAAGACGAATCCTTCGGCCTCGCAATGAAAGAATTCCGAAACCTTTTCCAAGGAAAGGGTAAAGCGCCCAAAGGCAGCGTCATCATCCTCACCCGGGATAAGAGCGGTAGTCTGGGTGCGCTGTACCAGCCGCTTGTGCAGAAGGGGGATAAGCAGGAGACTATGGGCAAGAGCAGTTGGTTGGGCGAGGTTAAGGATGAGAGGGTGGGGAGACTGGTTTGGTTGCTATATCTGGGTGGGCAGAATGTTAGTAGTGAGCCGGCGAGGAAGAGTATCGTGGATGGGTGTATTGATATTGTTGAGAGGCCGGTGGGCACGCTGGAGACTATGGTTCATTAGTGGAAGGATGTGTATCAAATGGAAGGGGATTGGATGTGTTGCGCATGTGATCATGCGAAGAATTTCTTCGTCTCGTCTCTCGGTGGTGTATATAAACCTCGCTTGACTGCCCTCCTCTTTCTCTACTTTACATCACTTCTCTTTGTCAAAATACTAAAAGGACTTCGGATTCACGCCATGGCTCGTCCACCGAGCACTTTTCCAAAAAAACATCATACTTACATTCATGTTTTCCTCCTTCTTCTCCGGTCCCGATTACTACCCTACTTCGTCATCTACCCACCAAACTCACTACAGCACAATAGACGACTCCTTCCTCGAGCACTTCTCTTAAAAACACCGACTGTACTTACCATGTCTGCTGTTCTTCCCGCCTCTCCGCAGACTACGACTACGACTCCAATCCTGTTTTCAGATTACCAAAATTGCGTACCAAAATGTCAAAGTGCGCTCATCCAGCATTTCTTCCATAATCACCAACTATTGGTACATGGCTGGCTCTCTTCCTGCCTCTGGTCGACGACTCGGATTTCTCAAAAACACAAGTAGAAATGGTGATGGTGCATTCGTCGAGCACTTCTCCAAAAACTAGTGGTTCTGCCTTCATGACTGGTGTTCTCCTCGCCTCCTCGCCGGCTCAGGGAATCTAAAAGATTGGAATACGATTCGACGGCGCGGCCGTTGAGCACCTCTTCAAAAACCACTTCGCAACCATACATGTATTCCCTCCTTCCCGCTTCATTGACTATCTCTCGGAATATTCAAAACGAATCGATGTTTGTCGTATGGCGCGTTTGTCGAGTAACTTTTCTAAAATCACGATAAGACAACCGCTATGGCTGGCGTTCCTTCCGCCTCTTCAACTGCTACCGCAATGTTCAAAAAGCACTAAGAATGAAATAATGGTTCGTTTGCCGAGCACCTTACTGTCAAACCAGGTTGACAATTTGAAACTTTTGATTCTCATGGAAAGACCAACAACGAATTCCCATGGCCGGCTTTCTCCGCTGCGCCATCTGAGAGGTGTATAAAAGCACTTTTTCTGCCGGCTTGCTTGCTCTTTCCTCATTCACACTTCTTGGGAGCTTCTCCAAAATGTGGAGATGTTTCCCGCACGTTCGCTGCCCTCTTCCCTCCCTCCAAAAACACAATGCTGATCGGCTCATGATCTGTCTGTCTCCGTTCGACTTTCCAAATCGCATATGCAAGCTCATTATCCGCTGGCTTCCTGCGTCTTTCCTCTTCCACATCCGCTCTGAGCTTGTCCAAAACACGCGTGAGAATAGATTATGGGCTGCTCCCTCCTCTCTTCCTCCAAAAAGCACGATGAACAATGCATGAGACCTGCCTGTCTCTGCTGCGCTATCCGAGAGGTGCATAAAAGGCCCTCCCTTACCAGCTCCTTTCTTCTTTCCTCGCCTACACTCCTTGTGAGTTTTCTCCAAAGAGTAGAGAGTAACAACACATGTGCTTCTGTCTCCTCTGTCCCTCAAAAAGCATTCTATTTATCGGCACATGTACTGTCTGCCGTCCCGACCGTTCGAAAGCTTAGTTGGAAGGCGAAATGACTCTGCTTCTGGAGTTGAAACACTGCTTCGAACATGGAATGTCTCTGGGCTTCGCCGTCGACTCACTCCACCAAAAAGAATTCACCCACTTGACGGCATGAGAAGAGAAGATCGGCACCTTCCTCTCTCAAAACATACTTCCGTCCCGTTTCGCATATGAAAAACTCCCAAAATCGTGCCGCGATTACGCCATAGAGATCGCTCTCTGGCCTTCTCCTAGTTCCAACTTCCCTGCTTAGATCGCGGTGTATAAAACTGTCTCGCACTTCACGCATGTTCTTCCTCTACAACCTCTCGCGACTGGGGCAACACCGAAACTTGATCATAAGATGCCCATGTTTTGCGCTGAGGTGGCGTTTATACCAAAAAGCAAGAACAAGACTCGGCATGATCCTCCTCTTTTCCGCTCGACACCACACAAGATGTGAAGTCTATCTACTTGCATCTCATGCTCCCGTGCTTATACCTCGCCAACTCCAAAAACCATCGCGTTTCAAAAGCACCCAGCCTACTACGCCATGGCAGCAGCAACACCAGCACCAACACCATCACTAATCACCCACCTAACCTTGTTCTTACCCGACCATGAAAGTCCTCAAAAACCGACCCACCGAACCCGCACGCGACACCAATGCATGGGCGCACCGCTTGAACCTCCGATCCGAAGTTCTACCGCGGAGCTGTCGGCGGCGATTTACGTACAATCGCGACGAACCGGTGCTATCTCCAGGTGCAGTCTTCCGATGGTTAGATCAAGGCGGTGAACGTGCGGCTCAGCATCACATGAGCTTGTGCGTCCTTCTCCGCTTGGAGTCTCCAGTCTCCGCAATTGTGTGCGCTCGGTCTGGGGAGTACATCGCTGTGAGTGTGTAGCGGGCGTGGCAATATCTGCCGTTGTATGCGGCATCGTATCGGATACACACATATCGCGCGAATTTTTGAAGCATCGGGTTTTGCCTGCCATGTGAGCTGCAAATGCGACAACGTCAGATTTACATGCGGCTCAAAATCCCAATCTCAACGCCGTCCCGTGTCCTCCGGCCGTTTCTTCCCTTCTTTCGTTGGGGTGATGCAGGTGCTTTCCCTTCGCTTCGCTTCGGCATGCATTAACGCGGCCGGCTGTCGGATCCTGCCGGCACAAAGTTACTTACGCGACGTCGCCATCGGCTTCTGAACAACGCGACAGAAGCCGGTTGGCGTTACCGGCACAGTATCCAATCAAGCCCGCCTCCCGCGCAACCTCAGGTGCTTGGAGTTCTTGGTCATATTCAAGATGGCGAGCCAAGTGCTCGGCCTACTAATCAATCATGAATATCAGTACGGCTACCCAATCCCCGGCGACAGCTCCAGACGACAAGGGACGGAGGACGAGCTAATGCGGGGAAAGATATCTTTCGCAGGCACAAATCGCCGCTGGTTTCCATGGTCACACGACTCGTGCGCGCAACGGTGGCAGACTAATCAATATACGCGAGTTGCGACTAGAAAAATTCGAAGAATGACTGGGGCATCATGCAGGCGCGCATTGGGGTGACGGGCAAAGGATGCAACGGTATTTGGTTGACGGCAAACTAGACAGGCCAAGCACCAGCATAGTGGGGTAAGGTTACCACAAAAATCTGGAGTATCCGCAAAGTCGGAGAAGCCGACTTGGTGTGTATATTAAGAGGGGACCCCAGATCTTTGACTGAACGTCTGTTCAACTCCGGTTCCCTAATCGCCGCGACAAGGGAAAAAACTCAGGAATTGAGAGGACGTTTGGAAAGATGGCGTCGACACAGTACCCGGCGGACGACAAGATCTCCGCCCACGATGCCGCGCAGATCTCCGAACATCACCATGCAGCGAAAGTAGGTGGTCTCGCAGCGAACATGAGTCCAGAGCGGAGAGCGGAGGTGGAGAAGAAGTTGAAGAGGAAGCTGGACGCGAGATGTTCGCTTTTTGTGTTGATTTATATCATGAACTGTGAGTTACCATCTCGATACCACCTATAAAAGCATCTGTTACTAATGAGTGTCTTCAGATCTCGACCGCAACAACATCGCTGCCGCCCGGCTCGGCGGTCTGGAAGAAGACCTCAACCTCTCCCCCACACAATACAGCACCTGCCTGTCCATTCTTTACGTGGGCTACATCCTAATGCAGGTCCCGTCCAACATGATCATCAACAAGATTCCGCGGCCCTCGCTCTACATCGCCGTCGTAATGCTCATCTGGGGCATGATCTCTACTCTATCTGGCAACGTGACAAACTTCGCCGGCATGGTCGCGATCCGTTTCTTCATTGGCTTTGTCGAAGCCGCGTTCCTGCCCGGCGCGCTGCTTATCCTGTCGAAATGGTATACGCGCCGCGAGTTGACTCTGCGGAACGCGATCCTCTTCTGCGGAAACCTGATCTCAAATGCCTTCTCCTCCCTAGTCGGTGCCGCGGTACTAGGAAACATGGAAGGAACACTCGGACACCGGGCCTGGAGATGGCTGTACTGGATTGAGGGCGCAGCGACGATGCTCATTGCCATATCCGCGATCTTTATCCTCCCGGATCTACCGCACAACTCGAGAGGCTTCACCGAGGAAGAGCGTGCCGTCGCCGTCCTACGCATGACTGAAGATGTAGGCGAAGCAGACGAAGATTCCGCCGAGCAATCTGCTTTCGCGGGTTTCTTCATGGCGGTCAAGGATCTCAAGATCTATGTTATGATGCTCACGTTTACGGCATACGTGGTTGGATTGAGCTTCAACGCTTTCTTCCCTACGCTCACGAGGACCCTCGGTTTCGGATACATCACCACGCTGCTCATGTCTGCGCCGCCGTGGGCGTTTGCGTGCGTGGTTTCGCTCATCAACGCGTGGCATGCGGATCGGCAGCAAGAGCGGTTCTGGCATATTGTTTGCCCGATTATGCTGGGAATCGTCGGATTCGTCATCAGCATGGCTACATCGAATACCGCAGGCCGCTATGTCGCACTCTTCCTACAAGCCTCCTCCTACGCCGGATTCATCGTTTTCTACTCCTGGATTTCCTCCTCGTTCCCACGTCCACCAGCCAAGCGCGCTGTCGCCATCGCCATGATCAACGCGTTCTCCCAGCTCGGAAACATTGCTGGGAGTTATGTGTGGAATATGTCGGACAATGGCTTCAGGAACAGCTATGAGGTTGTTACGGCGATGTTTGGTGTTACGATTGCGGGGTGCTTTATCTTCAGGGTGATTTTAGTGAGGTTGAATAAGCGGTTGGATGATGGGACAGATGCGTGGGTTGTGCATGGGGATGTTGCGGAGCAGACAGCTGCTGTGGAGGGGATTAGTGTTGAGGAGGGGAGGAAGCAGATGGGTGATTTTAGGTATCTTGTCTAGAGATGGACAAAGTAGAGGTGCCCGTATCATTGCAGACCCAATGGAAGACTTCGAACGTTCCACATTGACCCAATCTACAGCTAGCGATGATGTCGAATTGTCACCACCATCCCGACGCTTGAGTACGATGAATCCATGGATCTTTGCATGATACCCCATTGCCATATGTGTAGTCATGGAGCAATACGTTCATCATTCGCAGTATGTATATCACTTAATATGCTTCGAGATTGCCCCCGCGCACGGACACAGTTCACTATTTTGCACGTCGCGCAATGACGCAGGGCCAAAACAAAGATCTCAGACTAGCTCCAACACAAGCTTCATCCATCATCCCCACGGTCGGCGCGCCCACCCCATCCCAGCCCTGCGCGCACAACCTCAAACTTTCTTTTTTGTTCCCATCACCAACCCTCCTTCCACCCAGAGTCCCAATCCATCAACGCGACAAATGGCACCTCCCGCGGCAGTCATCGAGCGCTCCGCGCCTGATGTCGTTCCCGCTCCCAAACGCGCACCCGCGCGCTCGCGTCTGCCCACGGCGCTGCGCGTGCCCATTCTCATCAGCTTGAACATGGGCATCAACATGCTGCTGTGGGAATTTACTGCGAATTTCCTGCGCCCGGAACTGGGTGCTGTGAGCAAGGTGCCGCAGGAGGACGATGTCACGTCGTTTTACTCGCCGGCGGCGCGCGTCGCCATGCGCTGGGTCACGGTGTGGATGACGTGGTATTTCAACTATGACTGTAAGACGCGCGGAATCACAATTAAGGGATGATGGCTAATACAGAACACAGTCTTCGACGTCTCCGCCCTAACCGTTCTAACCTACGCGCCCTTCACCTACCTCCTCACCACCTACTACGAGATCAGCACGCTAACCGCCTGCGCCAACATCACCATCGAAGTCCTCTCCTTCGCCATACCCACATATCTCCTGCGCCCCCGCTCCATCGTCCACCGCAACAACGAGCCCCTGCGCAACCGCTTCCTGCTCAACAGCATCCAAGTACAAGTCTCCTCGTCCATGCTCGCCATCGCCGTATACATCGTCGTGTTGTGGGCGGGCCAGACAAGCGGCTTCCTAAACACGTTCTTGGTCCAGTACTTCGATATTCCCACCCTGGAAGCTGCGCACAACGAGTCTCCGGTGTCTATTCTGACGAAGACTGTGGTGGTGGGCTGGGCGGCGAAGGCGTTCCTGCTTAACCCCAGTTTTGCGGCGCAGAGGAGTGGTGCGCAGACGCCGGTGGAGGTGTTTGATCCTAGTACTGCGACTCTTCCCAAGACCATCGAGCACAACTTCTTCAACTACAGTAAGAGGACGAGGACGCTTATTCAGCAGACGGTTATTCTGAACGCGTTCCTGTTTGCGGGTACAGTTCAACGGTGTATGACGCTCATTGGCACGGATGTCATTGGTGCTGTTGGATACGCGGGTGTCTGGGTCGCGGCGAATACGGTAGTCGCGCTGTGGTATGGTTGGGTTGGTGATACTAGCACAGATTACCAGCCGTTGTAGGGGATGAGGTAGTGAGGGTATGGTGTGGAGCCGACGTGAATGTATTAGTATGCGAAAGAGTTGGAGATGAAGGCGTTGCGGCATTCATGCTTTTCTGAATGTCGAAAAGGGCAGGATATAAGGAGTGTTGCTAGATACATTGGGTTTACTCGGTTTATTTGAGGGAGGACACATGGGTGTGTCGGCGGCTCTATAGCTCATTTTGATACCAGTTATTCTACATTTTTTTCATACCTCGAATCGTCTCGTCTCAGTCCGCCAATACTCTTTCAAGTATTTTCAGATACATCAGTCCCGACCAGCTCTTCGCCCTCAAGGTAGTAACCTTCCAAGGACTTAACCCACCCCTTTAAGTACTTGATGTGGTTACCATCTTCCTGTACCTGCTGCTCCAACTCCACGATAGCCTCATCACGCTGCTTGACCTTGGCCTTCAGCTCGTTGATAACTTTACCCTCCTTCTTATCGGACACGCGCTTGCGAAGTTGCTCTTGCAACTCGGCGATCTCGTTGTCCTTTTCCTTCAGCTGTCGCTCCGACTCCGCGATTGCCTCATCCCTATCCGCATCGACTTCGTCACTCTTCTTGGTCTCAGTAAGTTGCTTCTCCAACTCCGCGATGGTGTCATGTTGTTCTTGTAGCTGCTGCTGCGACAGGGCGAGAGCGTCGTCCTGCTCCTTGACCTTGGCGTTCAGCGTAGCGATAGTCTCGTCTCGCTGCCTAATATCAATAGTGGAGCCATCGATAAACTCCTCATCGCCCTCGCAGTATTCGCGAAGCTCTTGCAGCTCGTCCTTCAGCTCTTGTACCTCCGCTTCCTTGGCCTCGTACGATGCAAAGAGGTCGTTGATAGCAGCACTATGCTCGCCGATCTTGGTCTTGTATGTAGTCCGGAGCTCCCCATGCTTCTTCTTGAGTTTCTGGATCGTTGCGTCTTGGAGCTTGATTATTCTATTGAGCGCTTTTTCAATGCTGTTGCGCATTTCGATGAGCTTTTGGAGGTGGCGAACCTCAAGATACTCGTCCCGAAGCTCTGCCAGCTCAATCTTGGCCTCTTGAAGCTCGTTTCGCTGGTCAACGCGGGAGTCGTCGACTGCAGAGAGCGCTGCGTTTGCGGCAGCGAACTCATCGTTGCACTTTTGAAGGTTCTTGATGACATGACGAAGGTCGTTGGCCGCGACTTCTTGGATCCTGATGGTCTTGCGGAGGTCTTGTGTCGCTTCCTTTTGGATGGCGATGGTGTCGCGGAGGTCTTTTGTCACCTCATTTTGCATGGCGACGGTGTCCTTGAGGGCGTTGATCTCGAGCTCCTGAAACTGAAGGGCTGGATGCTGCGTCAGTGGGAGTGAGTCAGATGGTAAAGTCACGTACCTAAGTCCAGATCTACTTCGCTGCGAGGAGTTTCTTGACCTCCAGAAGACGGGGACTCGGGTCTGTCAGCCATAGCGGCGGCGAATGATGTCGGAAGAGGGAAAAGCAGATTAGTGAGTGGTGGCGGAGCGGTGGTGTGCAGTCGCAGGCCAGGAAGATGTGCCTCCGGATTGAGGATGAGTGGCAAGGACATAGATAGAAAGCAACTCCAGAGAGAGTAAGCACAGGCTGATAGATATGATGCTGCCGAATGGGAAAACTCGCGCGTCAAAAGGTGGGAGCGTGAGACTAGTGTAGGAGGAGCAACAAACGCAGGTAAAGGTAGATATTGACTCCAATAGTGCGCCAAGCGAGGAGCTGACTAACGTTTGTTCTCCTTCACTTTCAATATCAGTATCTCAGAAGACATCAGCTTTTGCGTTTGCGATGGGCGATTGAGGAGGGAGTGAGGCGCAGACGTCGACGTCGAGGTGAAATATCGCCACTGGCGACGCCGTGCATGGAGACGACAACGATTAACGGCAAACCTCAAAGAAGCGTTGCAACGAACTGAACACCTCCGAGCTGACCCATAGATATGGTCAAATGTTCTTGCCGCATCTACACCACTTTTGTCTTGCGAGAGACATTGATGACACCACTGATGGGACACGGACCTGCCCTGTTGCTTGTAAATGTTTGTTGATATTGCAGCTAGACAATTCAAGCACTCGAAGCATTCGAAGAAGATTCAAGTGACTTCAGACACGAGTATATCGAGATGACGTCGGTAAAGGAGGAAAGTGAGTGCCAGATTGGCAAGTGCGAACAGCGACATCCAGAGACAGTCCAGGTCGTGTGAATCTCGACCCCTGATATCTGCTGGAGGGATACATTATCTTGACAGCTTGCCCAACACCGAGATTAGTTATAGTATAGGCCTCAATGGAGATACAAGTAACGTCGCAATCGTCGCATTCACTTCTCAATGTAGTCCGGCAATCGCTGCATCGTCCGGTATTCACTCCCGCATTCTTTCTGGATCATTTCCCATGAAACTGGTACCTTGATGTATCGACTTCGTTGCGGAGATTGAATGTGGTGTTTTCTGGACGTTGTTGCAGCTCTCTGGACACGCATCCTCGAACAATTGAAGTTCTAGCGTACCTGCCCCACGCGCCATCGTCACTGCCTCAACCCAGCCATCAAAGCTCCACTCAAACTTCCATCACATGATCGGCCTCTCCACAAATCCATCCAGGCATCCAGCCTTGCCCACAATTCTGTCTCACAACCAAGCCCTGAGCCGCAAGAGCCTCGTTCGATCTCACAACCCATCTTGAAAACATCGTCATACCTAATTAGGCGTACAGCTTTGTTTCCCCACACTGACATGTTCACTGCCACACACGCCGGGCCGTACAAGCTCCACCAAGCTTTACCCCTCGGCACATGATGTTCCGATCAAGACGAGCTCACATAAAACGCGATGGATTCCTCCAAAGAGCTATGTAGCTAAGACGGACAATTACCCCTCCAAAGCTATAGCTCTACAAATTTCCCCGCTACAGCAACATCATCACCACCAAACACTATTATCGACACCGCACAACACCAAATCACCCACCAAACTCCCAGGGAATTCTTTCAACATGCCAATGTGGCCTGCTATCACGGACCCCGTCCTCGCTCTATCTGGCGGTCTCGCAAACGAAGAACAAACCCGGCGTCAAGTAGCCCGCGAAATCGCGATCAAAAACGGCGAAGACCCAGACGCTCTCGCCAAGAAAGATCAAGGACCGCGTCGGATAGGACAATGGTTGTGGCTAAAACCAGAGTGTGTACAAGAGTACAAGAAATGTCATGCAGAAGTCTGGCCCGAGGTTTTGGAGCAGATTAAGGATTCGAATATCAAGGATTGTACGTTCCTTGCTTCCTCATATGGTCTATACAACGAGGAAACGGATGAATATTTACTGATGTGATTCAACAGACTCGATTTACATGAACCTTTTCCCCCGCCCAATGCTCTTTGCATCCTTCAAATACGTCGGCGAAAACTTCGACGAAGACATGGCGCGCATGGCGGAGAACAAGACGGTGCAGAAGTGGTGGAAGATGACGGATAAGATGCAGGAGAGTCCTGTCAAGGGGGCAAAGGGTAGTGCAAAAGGACCAGGATGGTGGGGGCAGACGGAAGAGGTGTTCTATGTCGAGTAGATGGGTAGAGAAAAGGCAAGGGTGGATGAAGCGAGGAACAGAGGCAGAATAGTTACTGAAATTGACATGATTTTGTATCAAGAAAATCTAGGTACTACGGCTCTCCTTCTGAAACTACGGTTTCTCCACACCCCAATCATTCACTGTCCTTCCGGAAAAACATTCTCCTAGCAACTAACTACTCGCGACCACTCCACAACTGCTTGCTCACCCGCTTCTTCCTCATCCGCCTCTTCCTCAACCACCTCTTCCTCAACCACCTCTTCATCTTCATCTCTCACTCACCCCGCAGCTGCAATGAGGCCAAGCTTGGCGGTGAGAAGAAACATTGCGATCGGGTGATCAAAGAAATGAGGAAGGGCCATGAGATCGAAATCGACATGATGAAGCAGGAACACGCACTAGAGTCTGAAGCCGCGCAGAAGGACTACGAGTCCGACCTCGGCAGGCTCAATCAAAACTCCGCGAGTCTGGAACGTGCTTTCGCCGACAAGAGCTTGGAACTTGCGGAGCTCAAAGAGACAAAGACTAAGGAACCTGAAGTCCTCGAAGGAAAAGATACCAGTTTGTTCACTGACAAGAAGACGAACGACAACGACAAGAGTGTGGATATCAGCGACAAGAAGCCCGAGATCGACGCCCTCAAAGACACCGTCGGTATACAAATAGTGGCTGCAGAAAATCTCCGCGAGACCATCGAGGACCTCCGAGAGTGCAATGCAAAGCTTGAAGCAGATCTTCAGAAGAAGTAGGGCGAGACGGAGCATACGTGAGCGAGTCGCGACAGATTGGCGCTGAGGTGTACATGTCGGGGGCATTTGGAGTAAGAACCAGAATGGATGAATGAGTTTGATCCACAGGATAGCATTCTTTCATCTCTACTTCTCTTCTGTACATGCTCGATAATATCATAATGAATCAATGAACTCCCATAACATCACCATCATCTACACTTGTAAACCTGAATATGAAGAGGAGATATTCTTGCATTGGTATTGAGTACATCTAGTCGTCTCGTCGTCCATGTTCCTTCCTTGTTCCATCCTTCCATCAGTCCACCCCACCCCTCCTTATTTACCATACCATACACCTCATGTACATTGGACATAGATTGTGTTCCCTTGAGCCATCCGCCCTAGTCTATCTAGATATACAGCGAAAGCGTTTTGGAGTCGTCGGTATGCGTACGTAGAGAACACGCCCATCCATCTCCCCATGTCGAGATCAACCCGAAAACTCCAAAGAATGCAAGCCGAAGCGATACCGAAAAGCCAGATTCCCATGAATCAAAAGAGAAAGCGCATCAGATTCGTAAAACGCTGCTGCGAACATGTCCGCAGGTATGATACAGATCGTTCGCGCGAACAACAGCACTTTTCCTGTTATGTATACTTTTGGCGTAGCTTGTTCGTAACAATATCAGACAACATCAAAACGCAACACCGCGGGTTTAACGCTTCCTGGGGTTCGTCGGCTTCTTCTTCGACGGTGTCTTCTGCGCGTCTCCCTCAATGTACTTGAGGAGGTCCTCGATCTTGCGCTGGTCGACGCGGCCGCTTCCAGTGCGCTGGCTACCGGCGGCGGCAGCGGCGTCACTAGCGGAGGGCGTAGCGGCAGCCGGTCGCAGGGGGTTGCGGCCGGGAAGCTGCATGCGGCGGATGCGCGTCTTGGCGAGATCGTTGAGCTGCTTGGCCTGAGAGACAGCGCTGTGGGTGAGCTGTTCGAGCCAGCTCTCGGCTTCCTTGGTGTTGCGGTCCTCCGCACCGAGCACCTCCTTGAAGATGTTGTAAGACTCACGCATGCGGTTGACACCACCGCGCATGTCCTTGTCGAGAGCGAGAGCCTGGGCGGTCTGGAACAGCAGAGTCGCTGTGTTGATCGAGTTCTTGCCGCAGACTTCCTCGCAGACGGCGAGCGAGGCCTCGAACCAGAGTCGCGACTCGTGGTACATCTTCGCGGCTTGCAGCATGACGGCGGCGTTGTTGAGGGTTGTGATGGAGTCGGGGTGGTCGGGGCCGTAGAGGATCTTCCACAGCTCGAGCGCGTGACGGACGTAGATCAGAGCGGCTGTGGTGTTACCTGAGCCATGCTCGAACAGACCGACGTTGAGGTAGGCAAGCACAGTCTCCGAGTGGTCGACACCGAGAGTTCGCTCGGACACGATGATGGCCTTGTGTGCAAGCTCAAGAGCCGAGACCTTGTCGTCAAGGCTGTAGAGCAGGTTCGACAGGGTGTGGTAGGCCTTGGCTACCTCAGGGTGCAGCACACCGTAGATCTGCTCGTGTAGCTGGAGAGACTCGAGAAGCAATTCCTGTCCAAGCTCCTTCTGGTCCTGGGCAATGGACATGCGACCAGCCTCCAGGGCCTCCTCAGCCAACAAGCTCTTTGGTGAAGCCTCCTTGATGACAGGGACGATGTTCAGAATGTCGTCCGCATGGAAGGTTTGTGGAGCAAGGGGGACAGTGGGGCTGGCCGTGCGGGCTGGCGGGGTGCTGATGGACTTGTTCTTCTTCTTCTTAGAAGATGTGGAGTGGCCGTTGGTCTGCGGCGCGGCAGGCTTCTCAGCCGGTGCGCTGGCGGCAAAGGCCTCCTTCGTGAAAGCGTACGGCTTGCACTCGAGCTGGAGACCAAGCTTGAGGGAGACCTCACGGAGCATCTGCATCTCCTTGCCAGACTCGATCCACGACTGACCGAGGTCGTAGCGGAATCGTAGGGCAATCTGAGCGACAACCTCCTTCTTGAGGGTCTCAGGTGTGAGCTTCTCGAAGCTAAAGTCATCCTCGGGGTACATCTTCTTGAGGCTGCTGTCGCACTCTGCTACAGGCTTAGCGCTAACATCAGCGCCGAGCAAGCAGTTGAGGAGGTGGGCGGCAGCAGGTGCTGCGAAAGGCGCGGACACGTTGCGCAGCTTGGAGTTAGCAAAGTGCTTGAAACCACGTGCGATCATCTCCTGGATGATGAGACGCTTCAAGGCCTGAAGCCTTGGGTCGGGCTTGTCAGCTAGCTCAGCAAGCTTTCCAAGGTAGCGAATGTTCACACCCCGCTTGTGCAAGAGGTTGCTCAGGGATTGACCGTCCATTGGGAAACCGACTTCGCCCTCCTTGAGCTCCTGAACCATACGGGGAATGACTTCCGATGTGAGGTGCTCGCAAGCAGCGCGGACCTCAGCCTCGTCCTGAGCCCACTCCTTCTTGTCTTCCTCTGATTGCGGGTTCTGGCCCGAGAAGACATCAGGGTTGAGCGCGAAGGAGAATCCGGAAATGTCGACACGCTCCTGCTCAGGGTCTTCGGCCTCGGGCTTCTTCTCCTCGGTCTCCTTCTTGGCAACCTTGGCAGCTTTCTCCGCTGCCTTCCTCTCCGCCTTGGAGATTTTCTTAGCCTTGGGTGGCTTCTCCGCCTCTTCGTCAGAGTCCTCCTCTTCCGAAGAAGACTCTTCCTCTGAAGAAGACTCTTCGTCAGATTCCTCTTCCGACGAGCTCTCTTCAGCCTTGGCCTCCTTCGCAGGGGCTTCGTCCTTCTTTGCAGTCTTCTTAGCCATCTGTTCCTTGACGTACTCGCGCAGCTTGACCCTGCCGTAGGACTCTACGAGCTCTGGGCGGAGTGTGGTCATGCGGTGGGGGTAGTCCTTGTCCGTCGCCTTCGATTCACCCTCCTTGCTGGGCTCAGTCCAGTGTGCCTCTATCCAGGCAACATCAAGAGGTGTGAGGCGGTAGAGGTCCAGAGCGTACCGCCTGCCGTCGGTGCCGATCAGACCCTTAGTCTCAACACTTCCCTCAAGCTCGTGACGGACATTGTCCTTGTCCCAGACAGGATGCTTCTTGACGCGCAGCGCCTTGGAGAGCTGCTCGAACAGCGGGACGAATGACTTGTCATCGGCCACGATCTCCTTGCCCTCAACCGCACCGTAATCGATTTGGTGCTCACCGGGGTCGCGCTGCTTGAAGATTCCAGGGACTATGCTTTGACCAACAATGCGCTTTCCTTGGTAGTCAACGACGACGGTTCCGGAGGTGAAGAGGTTGTTGATGTCGAGGTTGTTCACTGCGCGGACACCGAAAACGTCCTTGCCCACAGCCACGCGCGCGGCCTCGTCGCCACCCTCAGCGCCAAATGTGCCGACGCCATCAGCGCCAAAGGAGTAGAAAATGTTGTTGTATACGAAGATCTGCGCGTCCTTGGCCTCGGTCGGGTTGAGAGGCGCAATCTCGCCTCGTGCTACCAACATGGCACCGCGGGTCGCAGCATCGTTGTAGTCAGCGAACAACTTCGATGTGAGGCGCTCGCGGAAGACGCGGTCGTGGACAGCCTCCTTTGGCATCTCCCTCGTCGACTGGAACTCTTCATTCCAGTCACGGAGGGTCTCAGTGTTCTCAACACCCGAGATCAGATAGCTCTCCTGTGTCCGCGCGAGATCCGGCTGGTGTGGGGTGAGGGATGACGTGGGTGCGGGCACCAACCATGGGTTGGCGGGGATGGCGTTGGAGAGCTGGAAGATGGTAAGCAGCTCCTTCTTCGCATTATGCTCAAGCAGTTCCTGGAACGAAGTGCGGAAGGATGGGGAGAGGTCCTCGAGGAGGGTGAGGAGCGAGTGTGCCTGCTTGTCCTTTGGTGACTGTCGCGGGAAGGGGTCGAAACTGGCATTCGACGACTTGTTGACGTAGAAACCAGAAACGTGAGCTGTGATGTGGTGTTGCTCGTTCTCGTTGGTCGTGACTACCAGGTACAGCAGGTGGCCCTTGGAGCGGAGGTGGTATGGCGGGGGATTCCAGGGCGATACGGCGATGGATTTGATCGTCTTGGGCGCGGCTTCCTCGGTGGGCGGCAGCAGGTTCTTGATGTTGCCCGATGCCTTGAAGTCGTAGTCTGCCAATGGCGACTGCTCCGGGCCGTCCTGCTTGGGCTTGGAGATCTGCTCGTGGCCGACGGTGTCGTGCAGTGACAGTCCGGCCATGATGCCGTGCAGCGCATCAGTACGGTCACCGGCAGCGCCGATGAGCTCGCGTACGCGGACCACATGTAACCGCGCCTCCTTCTCTGTGTATGGGTCCTCCACCAGGGTGAGAACGGAATCGGCCTTGAGTCCCTCGACTTCAGAGAGTTCGACGTAATCGTTGATCCGCTTGCCGTCGTGTTCCAGATGGAAGCACGAGTACTGGAACGTGTGGGGCGTCTCGATGATGCTCTGACGGAGGTCTTGCACCTGCTCGGCCGTTGAGATCTGGAGTCGTGAGTTTGTCGTCTATATTTTCTTTTCTAGTTCTCAATACGCACCGTTATCGGCATCTCAAACGGCTCGTGTGGGAGCTTGATGGTGACCTGGAAGATGTCTACATACATCAGTAGACATTATTTAGACATGGGAAGTCAATTGACATACTGTCTGGCTGCTGGCCAGCGCCATCTTCCTCTGTGCCCTCATTCTGCCCCTCTGTGGTGACGTCTTTGCTGGGCGTCTTCTCGACCTCTGCGTTGCCATTGCGGTTAGCCATGGGTTGCAAAAAGAGTTATTGCGCCTCGAAATAAATTTCCATCGCTGTCGTGTGCGGGCGGGAAGCTCACCAGACTTGGAAGCGTCATTGGTACTAGCGGCCATGATGGCGGGCTGTGGATATGTCGAGAATCACTACGACGCCGGGAAAGAACGACTGGGGAAAGAGGGATTCAGTCTAGGGAAGGAAGGAGATATACAGGACAGGCGCATTAATGTACAATGACATGCGGCGAGTGATGGGGAGAGAGGTGACTCTCCGGTCATGTCTCCAGAATATTTTTCTTGAGGGCGCCGGGATGGTCCGCTAAGCTCGCTCTCCACTTCCGAGGCCACAGGCATGTCATCGGGAAAACGGCCCCCATGCACCGGGGTCAGCAATATCGCGTTTGTTCCGGAGTACTGGAGTTGTCATGTCCTACACGCTGTGTCTGTCTTCACGTCGGCTATCGATATGGTGATTGACGCGAGTTCCACCATGCTGTCACCCACAGTCGCTCCTGCCGTTCGCACTTGGCGCTCGCACTTGGCCCCTGCGGCAAATTATCGCAACACCAGCGTAACAAGGCCGCGGTACCTCCTTTGGCGTCCCTCTCCTCCAATCTCATCCCGTCCATCTCAATCATCTCTCCTTTCACGCGTCTGTCTCTCGTTTAACTCTCCTTCGCTCCTTCATTTCTTATTCCATTGATTCTGGCAGGCCTACGTTTGACACGTGTAAAGCACGCGACACCAACGTAACTTTGGACGCGCCAACGCGATAATGTTAATGCTACGACATATTACGCGCGCTCATGCCGCGTTGACACGACAACCTTTCGCGTACCGGTCTCAGCAGGCTGGTCCGGTACTGCAAAGAACAAGGTTATGCCAGCCCTCTTTGGCGCGCGCTCTGAGTGGCCAATCCGGTCCTCCGACTCCTGGCAACGATGCGCCAAACCCCATTGACGACGCTGCAGAGCGTCTGGAGGAAGAGGAAGAGCAGCAAGAGGAGCAACGCGAGAAAAAGAAGGCAGAGTGGAAAAGCACGGCTTGGAAGATGTTTGAAGCTGCTGCTACTACCGGAGCCAGCATCTTCATCCTTGGATGTGTCGGCATTGGTTATACTAAGTACTACAAATGGAACGTGCTTGAAAAGATGGAGAACGCTTTTCGGGAAGGTGATCCTGTATTAGAACTTGCAGCTACCGGAAAGGAGATGCCTAAAGCGGGTGAACCTACTCGACTACAAGTCAGCAAGGACGTGGATGGTGATGACAAGGACTATGACCGCTGGATCCCACGTGATGAGCAGGAAAAGATTGACAAGATTGTCTGGGGCGAGACAAAAGGACGTTACCACCTGCTTCTCGGCGAGAAGGGTACGGGCAAGACGTCTATGCTTATTGACGCCATGGATAAGATCAATGGTGAGGGATGTTCGATGATGGAAGCCCATGCAGATCTCGAAGTCTTCCGTGTACGGCTAGGTCGCTGCCTCGACTTTGAGTACCACGAAGACAACATCGGATCGCTATTTTCCATCCGTGGGCCGCGCGATGCGGGTGCCATCCTTGACATTGAGCGTGCGTTCAACAAGCTCGAAAAGGTGGCTTTGCGGCGACGCGCGACTGTCGGCAGACCACTCATTCTCATCATCAATTCCGCACATCTGATCCGAGACAACGACGATGGCAGAGACCTTCTCGAACTCATCCAACAGCGTGCAGAGCAGTGGGCAGCCGCCAACCTCGCAACCGTCATCATCAACTCGGACAAGTACTGGGTATTCGAACGACTAAAGCAGTACGCGACCCGCATGGAAGTACATCAGATCAAGGACCTAAGCAAAGATCGCGCCATGCAAGCCTTGAGGAACTACCGAATGAAATACTACGGCGAGACGGTACAAGAATCCATCCTCGAAGAAGTATACGACAAAGTCGGCGGACGCCTAACCTTCCTCAACCGCGTGGCCAAGTCGGAAGACATGGTCGCGAAATGCAACAGCATCTGCGAAATGGAAAAGATCTGGTTCCTAAACAACTGCGCGATTCTCGGCGAGGAAATGGACGACGATGTCATGGACCAACAGAAATACGCTGTACGTATATAAACATTCGTCTATCAATGTCTCTGACTAACCCCCACAGTCCACAGCCATGGTCCTAGCCAACGCCCTCTACAAACTCTACCACGACATGGAATCAACCTACGACCCAAAGGAAGGCCACATCCTACCCTCCTTCCCTCTTCACCGCGCCCGCTTCATCATGACACGTTCCGACTTCATCCGCCAGCACCACGACCTGTCCATCTTCTCCATTGACTCGCACGCCGTTGTCCGCGCCGACTCAGTTCCCATGCAGCGCGCCTTCAACGAAATTTGCGCTGAACCTGGGTTCGAAGACTTCCTGGAAGCGACGCTGGAGAGGATTGGTGCGATTGAGAGTCTCGGCAGGACAAAGGAACTTACGTTCAAGGATTTGTGGGAGGGGGGCAAGTATCGGATTGTGCAGAAGGATGGCAAGGGGAAGGTGCAGGGTGAGGTGGAGATGGAGACTGTGCCTGGGAAGGGGGATGATGATGACGATGATGAGAAGGATGACTGAATGGAAGGGCTGGGCCGTACATAAGATGTTTGGACGTCGGGATGATTGGACTGTTATGCGTTTGGATGTATGATATAGGATTGGGCGGCTGCTTGATTCTGCGTGGCGCTGGTGTCTTGTGGGAAGCCGCGATACCCTAGAATGTCAGTTTTCCTATGTATGTGCCCATTCTACTTACTGTGCTCACTGAGAGGATTGCTGGCTGTTTGCTGCTCCACTTATTGTGTTCGTCGCTGACTCCTTCCGTCTTTGTCGCAGTGAGTACGTCTATAGTCTATTTTTTGGGCTCACCTCTCTCTCTCTCTCTCTCTCTACTTTCACCACAGCGAATGTATTCCTTAGCATTGTTTCTTCGTTTGCTGCTTCTGCTTCGCCCCGAGAGTTTCAGGACTAGTTCTCTTTTGGTCACTCCACTTACCACATATCGCTTACATTTTTATTGACTCTTCTGTTACCTGTTCTTTGTCCATTGCTAACTGATTCTCCCTTACCGGCCAATTATGAAGCTTTCGTTGTCGCTACTAGCTATCGTCGCTTCCACCGCTCTTGCCCAGAATCTAGCTAGCACCAACGCAACCGATGTGCGCGTGGCCGCGGAATTCGACCCCGAAGATATCGCGAGCGCCGCCGAGTGGACAGCAGCCTACGAGAAGGGTACTAGACTGGCCTGTCGACTCGAAGCTAACGACAAGGCCGCGGGAAGACTGTGGCAGGACGTTCGAAACCCACCCTCTGCGCGCAGCCAGTGGGCCGATGTCACACTCCAGAAAGAGCTGAAGCTTTGGGGTTGGTTCACTGGCAAATATGAACAAGAACTTCATTGCGATTTTTCCGACGACAAAGACCCTATGCATGTGAACCATCTCGGTAAGTCAATACCTCTACGCTGACCAGTACAACTTCTCCTCGAGAGGTGTATAGGCCAAAGATTGGTCTTTGATGGATGTTGACTGTTTATAGGAACGGTATTTAAGAGTCTCGGCGTTAACGACAAGCCACGCGAAAAGGGCGGTGATAACATGTGTTACAACCTCGAACACTTTGACGCAAACGCCGAGGATTACGATGAAGATACTATGGAGCAGTACTACGAAGTTGATGGCCAGGAATATCGTTGCACTGGTGCCCATGTTCGATTCGGTATCAACCAACGAGGCGGAAGTGAGTCTCTACGAGTGATTTCGGGTTACCACTTGCACATCAACATTCCCGTTCACCTCTCAGGTCGAACTTATTCCACGGCATGCTAATTGGTTAAAGTGATCATTGGCGAGAGCTTCGAAAGTCCTAGAGTCGAGGCGGAGGCAAACTGGGGTTACAGCCCCAAACAGGCCGAGCTTCCACAGCTGCAGCGCGTTTCCGACATCGTGATGGCGTTCTGGCTTCGCGACAATCCGGACCCGAAGAATCTCAAGTACTATCTTGTGTGCAACATCATCAACGAGCGAACTGTTGCGCTCATTAACGCTATCCTGAAGAACCACGGTCTCGATAAAATACCACACTGGCCCGGCATTGTAGCCAACATGTGGGATGAGGAAGGCCCGGCACTACTTGGTAAGTAGTCCCGGTTACCCGCAGAATGCTTCAGCACAGCACAGGAAGGAAGCGTCGCTCTGATCCGTATTCCATACGACATGCCAAGGACCCCGGGTTATCATAACGCTGACGAACTTCAGGATCTCCGTTGGGTGGCTCGCTCGCCTACTTGCTTGCCCAGCACAAGGCGGAGCTAGGTATCAAGCACGTCACTGAGGTCGTGATCTTCAGAGATGACTTCGCTCAGGATTGGAGTCCGTATGTGCAGTTGCTCTTCAGAATCAAAGACGTCCCGAACCCAGCTCCAGATCCAGCCCTAGGTGCAGAGTCAGGCCAAGCTCTGAGACTACGAAGTTCAGTCCTGGACGATGGCTTGAAGAACAGGATACACATCCACAAGATCTTCCCGGATACTAGGGCTCTTGTTATCGGGGGCGCATAGACGGGTGGAGTGTGAAGAGGCTATGCTGACTATGTGATTGGAGTTTAGATAGCGGTCGAAACTTGTAACGTATAGTTGAATCTGGTTTTCGTCCGGTGATAAGTACCAATGTGCTATAGAAGCCAGATTAGACAAGACAATCAAGAACATCCTGTACGTGAATAGACTCACAGCTCATAAGCATCGAGGGAACAGACTCTGCTCAAGCAGTAGTCCTGTTATGACGTGCGTAACATCCAAACCGCGGACATATCTACCGCTCTCACATCAATATCGCGTGACATCAAGCCCCTTGCGTGCAGAAAGCGCAACAAATGACGTGAACGCCCCACCCGTGCACTAAGCATTCTCGCTAAGCAATTCCCCACCGACATCCCGCTCGATGACGTTGCACCCACCCTCCTTTCGACGTCAATTTCCAATCACCTTTTAACTTTCCCATCGTGATCTTTTCGCCGACCCCAGCCGAGACGCTGATTAATACCGTTTTCGCGCACACGACACGCTGTTATTCGTGGGTCTGCGGCTGCGCGTGGAAGTGATAAGCTTCAGCGAAGCAACGATGGCGTAGGATCGACGCTAGCACCGCGACGGTTGGCGGGTGCTTGTTTTTCTTGTGGATATGGCGGGTTTGGAGACGGGTTTAAGGATTTTGATTTCTTTGGTGATGTGATGGAGACGGTGGAGGCGCGACGTAGGTGGTGTGGAGTGGCAGGAAAGAGGACCCTTAAGTATGCAACTGCCCGTGGGACCCCGGGGAGGCTCGATATACGCGCGGTGATTACCTTACAGACAAGTTTCCTGGCTATCGCGACTGGCACCCCAAGGCGTCTTTTATCCAGCCTTCCGTGCCTCACTTGCCCTCTTTCTCTCCAGCACGCGCACTTCGTTAGACAACCCCATCTTCCATCTCATTACTAGCATCCATATCCAGTCACGATGGCGGTAATATGGGGTCTCGACCTGAAGGAGATGCAATGGGGCAAGTTCAAGTCCGGCTACATGTGGAACAACACGTACCACAATCGTCGGACAAAGTTCATCATCTACCAACTCGCCATGATTCTCTGCGTTGTCAGTGAGAGTCTGGGAACGGCTGCGCTATCTGGTACGACATTTCCCTCCATCTCTGTTCATAGTGGCGACAACCAGCGTCTGCTATTCTCCAGCTTGAACATCAGCTAACATCCGACAGACTACGTCGACCAGCAAAAGTTCGTCTCGAAACTCGACCGTAACGTCATGATCCACAACAATAACTTCGTCGGCATCGCATCCTACAACATCTTCGTCGGTATCTTCGTTGCCACCATCTTCGGTGCGGCTTTCTTCTTTGATCTTTTCTGGCCTGAGCGACAAGAGTCGAGAGGCGTCAAGATCGCGTGGAAAGTTTGCTCTGTCTTCGCTTGCATGCTTACGCTCTCCGATGCTCTTGCATACACGTACATCACCGCGAGCAAGAGTGCGCACCTCACCGGCACGGATTTTGAGCGTGGACAGGGCCTGTTGTCGCAGTTCAAGAAGGCCGGTGAAACTCCGCTTGCTTACAACAAGAATGGGCGGGCGATTGCTAGTGTTGTGTTCCTGTGGCCGGGCATGATCTTCACTTTCGTCAGGTAAGTCACGCCTACTATCATCCCTATCGCTCGATGTCACTGACTTGTTCGTCTAGCACATATCTTCTCTGGCACTCGTTGAAACATATCGAAGACCACGGATTCTTCTCCACACACGTCCGCGATGAAAAGATCGCCGCGGGCGTTGATGGCGCAGAGCCCGAACCAAGAGGCAATGCCGTATAGAATTGGCTCATGAAAACCATCACATTCGATTCCAGTCCCGGTCCCTCTCGTCCCGGTCCCTCGACTCCTCATCAGGATCATGAATTGCAAAATCTAAGCAAGTCGAACAAAATTGTCGTCACCGCTATTAGAGACGGACCTCCAGACCAAGCTGCTCCTCTCACATCCGATTCCCATGCCGGTCCTTCTCGTCGTCCCGGTCCCTGGACTCCTCGTCGGGATCGCGAATTGCGGAAGCTACAGAAGAGGACCAAGACAAATATCGCCGTTGTCACAGACGGACCTGCAGACCCACCTGCTCTTGGAAGATGGGGAAGTAGGGATGCTGCGCATGGTCCTGTTGTCGAGATGCCCGTCGAGACGCTTGTTGAGCAGAATAGAGCCGAAGTGCGGAGTAGGCTACAGATTGGAGATCAGGATAGGGATGAGATGGTCAGGCAACGTAATGAGGAGTTGCTGAATAAGAACAAGGATTTCATCAACGAAAGGCCGTTGAGTCCACAGGAGTCTAGATGATGGTTTGGTGGAGTATGCCTCTGGGTTTGGTACGGCGTTTAGGGATAAGTGGGAAATTGAGTATTGATACCCTGGTAGCTTGGTAATTTGAATAAGAATGAATAATGGCAATTCTTCGATCGTTGCGTTGGTCATAGTGATGATGCACCGTTGTCATATGTCGATTATCAAAGGACATGCTGTGATGTTGTCTTCCTGATGACAGATTGCCGTCGATGCTTGAAGATGGCATGTCATATACCAAGTTGACAATCTACCCACATATAAGCAATTTCTCCAACGCAGCGAGTGTCTATCTATATCCCTACTCGGATAATAACTGTTAAGCGTGCACCATCAGCCCACCGGTTCGAATTCTCGCTGTATATCTTATTGATGAGCTGCACGCTGTCAGGAACATCAAACACCCAAGAGAAGGTCTACATGTAGCTAGCTCATACCAAGCAGAGCATGCATTCTTTCACAAACCCGCCTTCCCCACCACCATATGCCCTCCCAGCTCCCTCAGCCCCCATCACGCCACCATCCACATCCCCGGTTCTAGCCTCATTCCATCTCGACGCCACCCGGCGACCACTACACCTTTTCTTTTCGCCGGAACTACGGCCCAATGCACACCCACAGGAACATCGTGAAACACAACCTCGCTTCCCGTACCCACCACTGCCACACCACTTTGTCCCGCGGAGCAAAAAGCAAGAAAAAACAAACAGACCCTGTGAGAGTTCAAGCCACAGTAAGCCACGGTGACGCGAGGGCTTGCGAGCGATAAAAATGATACGAAAAGAAGAAAAGGGGAGATCTCGGGACGGAGGGAGGACGGGAAAGAGGGAATAAAGATCTGGTGGCGTAAAAGCCACGATGACGTGGAAAGTTGTATATATGGAATGGGGATGGGAAGACCGAGGCTGTGGGTGAAAAAAGCAAAACCAGGTCAATTCACTCCAGACGCTCAAGAAACCGCATGACGCAACTGCTTCGCGAGTAATGATGTGATGAGATTGGAGGATGGAGGCGAAAGAGCAAGAGTCGTGTGCATTGCAAAGGTTGCAAGAGTCAGCAGGAGTAACGAGCCCGGCCTACGGCAGAGTCATGAGAAAGAAGAAGCAAACAACGAGGAGATAAATTGAGCATGCGAGGAGAGTTGCAAGAGTCAAGAGTGTTGCGGAAGCGTATGCGAATACGGCGGATGTGCGTAGATGGAGATAGGGAAGGATGAATTTGCATGGTAACTTGAAAGATGACTCCGTAAAGCAACGCGAAGCGACGCAATGCAAATGTGATCTCAACAACCAGCCTCGATGCTTGAATATGTGGTTCAAGGTGCTAGCAAGAGTCTTGCCACCTACACTACACTGGGTACTACCGACTTGGCCCTCGTCTACTCTCCGCGGGAATTCGCTTTGTCTACACCATCCAAGTAGTAAAATGCATCGTCACCCTGATTACGTATCATTGCAACAAGGGAAGATATGATCCTAAGTCTCCGTCCGGATTACCGCCACAACTCACCTGAGAAGAAGTTCTTTCGATGGGATTCCACAGCGCTGGATACTTGAGATCCAAAGAGAGCAACTACAACGAACGACTACCAAGTTTCAACATCACCAACTCACCTACACATAAACAGCCTCACCAGCGGCTCCGCTCCCCTCCAGCATTTCGGACAGCGGATCCGACGCCCTCCCAGTCAGCCTCCTCCTGTCTGAAACCCGGCATCGCGTCAACCTACCCTCGTCCTCGGAGCAATGGCACGGCTCCATATGCATGTCATACCCAAGACGAGTCTGACATAAGCCCCACCGCACGCATCTTCCACGTGGAAGCGGAAAGCCCGTGGTCCCTGTAAACATGCGACAGCGACAGCTCCGACCGATCGCATTCAATGCAAGCAGGGTGCCAGGTACGTCGCTAAACCGTTGCATCAATGGTTGATCATGTGAGACGAGACGGGCTCGGGGACGATGAGACGAAGGGGAGGAAATTGGAGATTGTTGGAGATGGGCGTTGTATTGTTCCGAGGCGAGATCTGACGGTGTTAATGCCGGTGATGTGCCGATTGTGGGACCGAGGTACCGCGGGTACTTGTAATCAAATCAATCCATCGCTAGAACTCTACCTAAGAATCTACCATTTTTCGCCGAGGATAAGTTGTGCTATCGGCGTGTACTGTATTTGCATTTACGTCATGAGACAGACTCGCAAATGCTCTCCAAAGCAGATGAAACGCGGTGATAGATGTGAGTTGCCTTGGTCGTAGGCGTAGGCTAAACGGAAGACGGGGGACGGAGAAAAGCGCTCAGCTCGGCGAAATGACATGTCGCAGCCCTACGCATAACCCCCGAGCCCACCTTGTACCTTCCAGGTATGCTTTCTAGAAACACGTTCGCGCATCAAACGAACCAAGCCCAGTCCAGCGCACGCGCGCGTCAAACAGATTGTAGCTGTCAGTCGCGTTCATTCCAGTCCAGCAACCGCACCAGCAACAACGTAACCAGCATTCCAACCCAAACCCAAGGTCTTCGCAACCGAAATATGCATTTTGTGTTTCTCGTGTTAGATGCCGGATAAAGCTTGCATATACACAACTGTGACAAGACATACGTACCACATACACTTCTGCCTGCCTAATCGATAAAGCCCATGACAAACTTCCTCCCCGTCGCGTCGTCGTTTCAAAAAATCCCACCTATAAACTTCCAGTGGTGCCGGTCTGTCAAAGAATTGAGATCATCATTCGCAACCCGTGCCAACGGTGTTTCAGCACCCAACGGCGTCCAAGCTAGGTTAAGCGTACCACGTTCTCGCCGCCCATCCTAGGTACTTTCCTGTTTGGGAAGCTAGCGTGGGAAGCGTCGGGCTGAAAGAGAAGCTGCGCTAGTACGACACGAGATTTCGCGTGGAAGCTATGCCGCGGTCGATAGGGCACTGTTGGCGTTGGCTGGGCTTGCCGCTTTAATCAAAGTTACGCGGGCTAGCGTGAAAGCGGTTCCCGTGTCCGCGAAATGAGGATGCGTCTGTGAAGGGAGGGATAAGTAGGGCTGAAGAAGGGTTTGTGGAATGATGCAAGGCCGGTAGGAAGGCTGGGATGTCTGTGCGCGCGTGAGTTGTGCATGGACATGGATTGCGGCGTCATTGGAGAACGAAAGGAAAATTGCGAGAGATCGCGATGGCTTGCGTGGTTAATATTGCGCGCTGGAGGATATGCTTGTTGTGGAAATTTTGGGTTCAGAGTCTCTAGGCAGGAAAGCGGGAGGAGGAAGCCGTGGGCTAGAGGACGTGTCTTGATTTGTTCGGGTTCTGCTTTTGCCGTTGGGCCTAAATATGTGCGCGTCCATATCGATTGAACGCTATCGAGGTGATGAGCTAGCAATTAGCCAGCCATGAGTTTATTTGGAAATGACGCTTTGTCTTGATTGCAACTGCGACGACGACTTCAAACTGTCCGGCGATCGCTCATGACCCTAGAAATGGAACCTGGGCCTGCTATCTCCACAAGCTGAGGTGTGTCAGTGACGAAACAAAAAGATAAGTGCGGTGCGGGAGAGCGTGGGATGTGACCCGGTGGACGGGAGGTTTCAAATAACGAGGAAGGTGCGTGGGGTCGTACCTTCTCATGCCAGCTGAGCAGTACGCTCATGGCTTGGCCGCCACCCTCGCCGCCGCCACGAGTATGAATCTGCGAGAAGCCGGTCGGTTGGGGGGTGATGTCGCGCTTGGTGCCTGACGGTGCTCCCTGTGCCATGCCTTTGTAACTGCAAGTACTTTTGTTAGTCTATGTTTCTGGATGTACGACGGTGGCGCGTGGTAGATGCTGGAAGGCACGATGGCCAGTAGAGGCCGGTGGGCGGTGAGGCTTGTAAGAGACCCAAACGAGACGGTGGACGTACATGTACTTCATCAGGACGTCCAATGCTTCGGTTCCACCCGGTGCACCGTATATCCGGCTGAGCATTGGTGACATGTCCGACTGGCGTATGGATTGTAGGATCTCGATGACGGTCGCAAGGTGGACTTCCTGTGGTGGTGGTGGAACTTGTCAGCTTGGTCTTGGGTGGTATAATGTCGCCGACCTGGTCGTCGGTAGCCCAAGTCCAGAGACGCGGTGGTGATGTGACCAGCCGTCTATACCTGGAGAGACATCCAGACTGGTAGCTTCGTGTCTCTGGAGCTGTCTCGAGCTATGCTGAGGCGCAACGTACCTTGCCCTTGTCGTCTGCGCCATATGGGGGGTTCTCCAATGCACTCTGGAGGGCCCCCTCATTGTCACCACCCCGTAGCAGTTGCCGTATTTGCTGGGCGTTGGCCTGGACATCGGCCGTCGAGACAGGCGCAACGGCGGGAGCGAGGGAGCTTAGGTCGAAGTTGGCGGGGCTGTCGGGATCCAAGGCGTCGATGTTGATCGTCCGCCAGTTGATGTTGGCCATGGTGGGTGGTGAGATTTGTGTACAGACGAGTGTCTAGCTGCAAAGCGACGACTGTGTTGGTGGTGGAGCTGTGGTGAGGTTGCAATTCGGCGCGCCGTATTCGTGGGGTGCAGTGCCATGTTCTCCACTCTGCCCGCCAAGCTTCGAAGCTACCCAGTCCAGCACCCGCAACATCTAGCAAAACACCCACAAGGTAGAACGAACCAGGGTCGCCGCTCGATACCGCTGCATGCGGATCGCTAAGACCATTCGATGAACCCGCGACGGAGATCCGCAGCGCCACATGTGTGACGGGAGTACCATGGGTGTGGGTGAAAGCGATCACAGCACATGCAATGTCATCATCGAGGAGGGAAAATTGATAGTAGTAGATGTTGATTAGTCTAAACTTCAGCCAGTTGAGTCGCGAGACACAAGTACAATGGCCCAGGCGCTCAGTCTAATGTTCAAAGCTATGGGGAGAGCGGCCCATGCATGTCGTTCATGAGGAGCCGTCTAAAGAAAACAAATCCGTTGAGTCATGGTCGCCGATTCGACCACTCCAACGCGCTATAGTACAATACAACTCGTGCCATGAGTGCCAGTGAAGGCTGGCGACGATCAATCTACCCCAGTGCGCTGTCCGAAAGAATGAAATGAAGGTCCGTTTTTGGTATCTATGCCTGGGCCCAACCGTCTATAAGAACGCCGATGAAAAGAACTTTTTTGCCGTAAGGGAATGTCGCTGAACGTGTGACGCAAGAGAGTGAGGAGGCTGTGCGATGAGAGTCGCTTGATAACGCCGGAAGCCGAAGTCGCAGGGGTATTAGGTCGCTGAAGAATCGAAATGGTCGCTGATGATTAAAGTGCGTAATTCCCAAGTGGCTCCGTGGAACAAGTTGCGCCGTTAACCCAAGTAAGCTGCGCGGTGAATGCGCTGGAAATGTGTTGTATGCGGGACTGAATCATGGTCAGTTGACGTGTTCATGCAGGGTGCGACGTGGCTGTTACTTACGAGGCATGGGATGGATCCCTCTAGTCTCAACGGAACAAGCAGCTTGCCGCTGTCGAAGTGATGGCATTGCGAGGAGACAGGCAATGGCGGCAGGCGAAAAAAGCAATGCTCCGTCGAGAGGTGGTGACGCATCTTATTTGGGCGGTGGTGGAGGAGGCTTGGGGGTGCCAGTAGTGTCGTAGGCTCCGCGACCCATGTTGTTGGACTCTGACTCTCTGAAGATCATGTTGTTGACGAGTGTGTTCTCTGGTTTATAAGTCAGCATGATGTTGCACAAGAAGGTCCAATGTAGACACGGTGAATGCAGGACGTACCAATTGAGGAATGCGTTTTGTAAGACGTGCCGGGCTGAACACCTGGCCTGTGCAAATATATTTGTAGAGACGAAAAGTGAGTGTGGTAGTCGGCGTTCGTTCGTGCAAAAGGCGATACAAAGAGCGGCGCGGCGGTGGGCGAGCTTTATTAGATAGTGTCGTGTACCCGTGGACTGGCTAGCAGTGACTGGGGAGTGGGGAGGAGTGGAATGAGTGTGGGTAGTTTGAAGTGAGTGAGGATGATGATGGCTGTAAACGAAGGGCGCCCTGAAGCTTCTATATTCGCGGCTTGAATAAGGGGGCCTGTTACTGACTTGCCAAAGGTGGCCTTGGCTGTCGGCGAGACAAATGAAATGAGAGACAGTGCTTTTCAGAGCAAAAGCCCTGACTACATTGCGCATCGGGAGCGACGGGTCTTTCGGCCTGTTTCAAGGTAGGCTCCCTTGCCATCATCAGGAGCCAGGGTGATCTGCGCACTGTTACCACCAAGCTGGTTATCCCCCTTGAATAGTGCCGCGCTAGAAAGCCGTACCTGCAGGCGCTAACGATAGCCATGCCAACGGCTTCGCTGGGGTGCCACCCTGCGAAGGGTGTGCTTGTGCTGGCTGCTTCAGTGCCTTTTCACCGTAACATGGCGTAACATGGCGTACCATGGAGGCGATTCTCAGGCGCGTCTCCCAGCGCACTCACTCGGGCTCGCGGCCCTATCGCATTTGCCATGACTACTCAGTCTCTCTCGCCGCGCGCTTCCAGACACGGCGGCTTAGATGAGACAGTGTCAGCGCTCCCGTCTCGCTGCTTTGACCGGCGGCGTCGACTCGTGCCGCGTTTGTTGGACTGCGCCAGAAGCAAGAAGAGAAGGTTCAGAGACGCCACACAGACTTCCGGATGTCCTTCCCCGGCCGGTCCACTGCCTATGCTGAATCACCTCTCTTGCAGCCCTGTCTGCCCTCCATGCCTCCCAGCCAACCGGGTTACTGGCTGTCGGGATCGCAGTGCACTTGCCTTTGAGCGTGGCGGCTGATGTTTGACGGGACATGTTCATAGCAGCTTGCTTTTGTGGTTTGATGAACCGTACGTGTCTTGGACGCGCCTTTGCTTCCTCGTCGTTGCTTGTGACGGGGTTGCGCCACGTGGGATGGGCTGCTCCTGCCTCAACCAACCCTCGCGTACGCGGCGACGAGGAAGGAGCTGCCCTCGCCGCAGCCCAGCACCACCATCACATCTGCGGCGTGCAAACAACTATGCCTCTGCACCACCGCCGCCAAAGCAATTCGCCAGCAGCATCGCCAGGTGCCGTAATGAGAGCGTTGCCCGGCTTGCGGTGAGTGGGCCCGGCGCCACGAAAATCTCGCCTGCGGTTTGTTCTGGAAAGCCTCTGGAAGGAAGAATGAATCGCCCGCTGAGTCGCCCTCACTCCCAGGCTGTCCCTGACCATCGCAGACAAACTGACACAGAATGCGCACTTATTCACGACTAAGAAATTTGGCCGCCGGTCGTTCTCAGACACGTCGCATTCGCGGATCGCTGCAAGCCTTCCGCGCCTCCAAGCACACGGATGCTGCATGCGTTCGACGTCCCGGGATCATGACCAGCAAGGTTTCGCGCACAATCGCTTGCTTCTCCAAAAACCTACACGTCTCTGCCTCTCTGACGCACTCTCTCACCCACCACGGAGACCAGCCGTCGCCATGACGAATTATTTCTGGCACGGAACAGGCGATGACATCGCCATTGCCCCCTTGGGATTCCTCCGTATTACAGCCCGCTGCCCATCGTAAACACATTTGCCAGAATGCAGCCGTTATGCCAGTCCAATAATATAATTCGCAAGCAGCACCAACCCTGATTCGCCGTCCTGAGTATCGACAGGGGTCGCGTGCTTCACAATCAGGCTGAGACGCGCGACAAGGGCATCCCGTCCTTATCCACTAGCCTCACGCAGAGACATGCCGAAAGCCACGCGACACCGCCTGCGCGCTCGACCAGCGTGGTGTTTGCTCATATTGTCCTGTGTGTATACTGAGAGATCGCTGTCTCCCGCTGATACCTGCGGCCGTCGTACGTTGGGCTGCCACAGTCTCACGCCTATCAGTGCGGGAGCGTTGAGGGCTCAAACAGCGTTCGCGATCTTCAGTCCATGCTCGCTCAACTCTATCCTAGCGATCGTGATTCACAGCCATCATCAGAAAACCAGTGCAGCGTCGTCACACGCCGACAGGGTCTGAACTCCATCAGGTCGTCTTTCTCCCAACGTCCGTCCAAGCCACCGACGTTTTACTGGCAGCATCGCTGTCACTTCTGACCGCCTTACAATTTGACAGGTGTTTGACGGATTTCTCCACAGAAAACTTTGTCGAAATTGTGATCGTAAGTTAGACCTTGCGGGGAGGAGGGAAAGTGGGTCCTGGAACGGCTTTTGGCACTTCCTCTTTGAGCGCGCTACTGCAATCTGCGTGCCAGTCCCAGCGATGAGAAGCGAAGCAAGGGTTGTCATCTCCAAAAGGATCATCGCGTACGAAGAGAACCCTGTCTACACGTGGAATTCTGCTCTGTGTGGACCTTCGCCTGACTACTGGAAGAGGGCCCGCGAGCCGCTTCGCCGATGTACCAGCGCATTCATGCCGACTCAAGGCCAACTGTGCGCTGCACGAACTTTGCGCTGCTACAGAAGGGGAGTTCCATGAGCACCGTCACACTAGCTGTCATGTTGACAGGTACTGGCTGGGGGATTCGGTACCATTAGCCGGTGGAGCCATCTGCACCAGGCAACTCAGCTCTCGAGCGTCGCATTTCATAGCGTTTCACGCATGCTCTATTCGGGCCTTACAGTGCAACGTAGGAACTACCTTTGAACGTCCAAGCAGGCAAGACGTTGCGCCGGGTTATTGCACAGTCACTGCTGAAAGACCTGCTTCATCTCGGATTTGTCGCAGAGCTCCCCGGACGCCAGCGTGAAAGCGATCAGCAAGGATGACTTCACATCCACGTAGGCCATCACTCGTCCCTGATGATCTCCTTGCGCTGGCGCCCAAATCACTACTCTTTGGGCTACACAGTCCGAGGCCGCCTCTCCCCCGATCGTGTTCCCTGAGCAATTCCGCGTGCCAGCCCCGCGACATTTCTCGCGACTCAATGATTGTCGCACCAGAAAAATTTCCGCCGTCGATCCGGAAGTATGTACCTTTTCGCATCATTCCGCTGCTCCGGTACTCTTGTGCGCCGTCTTGAAGCTCGCTACGCCAGGCCTCGTGCGTCATCTGGCTGCCCTCCAATATGCTAGCATCCGAGGCTGACTGCAGCTGCCGAACACCAGTTCCTCTGCTCTTCGCCGACATGTCCACGTGTGCAGTCGGCACTACCAGGTAGGTTCAAGGTACGCTGCACAAAGAGAAACCTTCCTCAGGTTTGTATCGACTGCAACAGAGTTCTTCGATGCACACTAGGAAAAGTTCAGTGTCATTAGCTCTCACCAGACACACGATGCCGTTCCACATGGGCGATGCACATGTACGCTTCCGGAACACGATGGATAACCTGCCACTATCGATACACTTTCTTGTTCCTCCGATATCCCAAAACAATGCGCCGGCTGCAGCCTCCCAGTAACGCCAAACTCTAGTTCCGAATTACTCTTCTTTGTACTTCGGATGGGAATGGTGCTCCAATTGCGATGGTTCTCTGGCTGCATGCGTTACCAGTCGCGTTCCCAATCATCGTGTCGGCAACTTTCCTTATTCCCCCGGTCAGCCCAAATGCGCCGGTCGCAGGTTTACGGCAGAGCTACTGCATTCGTACGATTACGCCTTCCATGTGGCATGCACCCAGGACTTGGGTTCTCAATAGACATGGGCATGGCACCAAATACGGCATCTCCCTCGCGGTACCAATATTCAGGATTGCTCACACCACCGTCTAGTGAACGAGGTTTACTGGTCAGACTACCACTTCATGATGACATGAAGCGGTCACCACTGCACGTAGCTCTTTGGGCTTGCTGCTCAACCCCAACGACTGATATCAGCTGTTACGCTGATATAGTCGTTCCGCGACGCTCCGCGCGGCCCATCCATACACGAGGAAGACTACGGGCCGTCTCACACGCGCAACATATCACAAGCCTTGCTCGACTCCGCAACACAGTCAGCACGCGAGCATTGGTACATCTAGTATGGCCGAACATGTACAGGATGGGTGGTAGAGGCGAAGGTCGCTCTTATCTCTCCTGCATCACCACCCATCCCACCTTAGCGATCCAACCTCCTCACAGCGCAGTCAGCACGCTCACTCCGGTACACCTAAGCATGATCGAACATGTGTTCCCACGACGCGCGCGCACATCCATGACACAGCGCCATCGCGCTGAGTAACGTGACTTGCTTGCTTATTCTTGGTTTGGCGTGCTTCGGGTAAAAGCAAGCATGCAGTATTGTGCGACCGGCATCCCGTAAACCAAGAAGCCGGGTAGATTGGCGCGTGAGATGAGCCTGTCTGACCCAACATGGTCCTGGAATGCTTAAGGCGGCGATGTGACACTCAGCCGTATGGTGTTGGTAAGCGCGTAGGGTAAGGGGGATTGTATGCATGGGAAAGGAGGTAGGTACAGGGAGGGAAAAACCGCTATATGTAGATGTTTTATGGTGAGTTGAGCGGATTGCCTTGGACTGCTATTGTCGGTTGGCGGCTGTCCAGTCGACAAGTTATATCCGTCTTCTTCATCTGTTTTCTCGGTTAATGGCTCGTTGTTTCCGCAGACCCCGGCATACGTCAAGTTTTCCCTCGTTTCGTCATCTTTCTGTGATACTGCATGCCTTTAATTCCAAGCCTCTATTGCCCTATATCTGGATTTATTTCGCACCTGTAAAACGTGGTGTTTTTGAGTTTGGCCCCGTTGAGAATCAGAGAGAAGTATGGTGATGTCAGTTTGTAGGCCAATCTCAGAGGGCGGCGCGGTCTCTTGAGCAGTGCGTGAACTACCGCATCCGCTTTCTTTTGAAGCCCGCCTTGTTTTCTGTTTACTTATCATGCATACACTTGGCGAATGCGCTTTCTCTGTCAACCTGGATAGGTGGGGGAGTTGGAGGGGAAAGATGGAAGTTTCGCCTTGATCACACACCGTTAATACCATCGGCCATATCACAGTCATGAAGACTTGTGGACGCCATGCATAGAACAGTATCTGATATTTTGCCTCCACCACCCCTCGGGAGCGTGATCTCTATTCGTTTCCCGCTCACACAACACATTTGGCGCACGTTCTTTCATTGCCAATTTTATCCCGAAATGGTCTGCCGCGCGTGCCCACCGCTCGCTGTTTAGTCCAACCCAGATAATATATGAGACCAGAAGACTTATGTCTTAATCAAAGTCAAGACACCAACTCCACGAGATCGTTCCAAAGCATCGCGGGTCTCGCAGGTCTCGTCTGTAGCGCTCTCATCGAAGTACCATCTGGCGATTCTACTTTCTATAACACTCCAAGATTAAACACTGTTCACCCACGCACAAACTACGATCCAAACAACATCGCCAACACAGAAACATGGGGCACATGCTCTACAAAAGGCGGATGGCCTAACTGTCTCCTGGACATGACCGACTCAGAAGCAGGCAAAGCATAGCCTGACCACTTGAACTGGGTACCTACCACCGCAAGCAGCGAATGGCAAGGTACTCTAAAAGGTAAGCCATTAGGACCCACTCCTCCTCTCTTCTCTATCATAACGTCGACACCCTGCTTGCATCCTCCGTAGAGCAGCTGGCGAACTGGAACTGGCACGAGGCCGAATACCACCAGGGCCACCACTGCGACTTCACTGATGACGGTAATGGGTACAATCGCATTGGCGTAGCGCTTACTGCACTCGAACTAGACGCCAAACCGGCCACCGATGGACGAAAGAACAAGGGCTACTCGGTTGAACACCAAGATTCCGAGGAAGAGTACGAGAATGGAGATCAAGTACCGGTCAATGACCAAGTGCGTGCTGTGAGACAAGACACGTACACCGCTACAGGAGGGCATTACCGCTTCGCTATCAACGAAGAACAAGGAGCGCTCTTTTTCCAATCTCTCGGTACACCACGCCACGCCGCAACGCATGATTGGGCTCACACGCCTCGATCCAACGAACTTCCTCGCTTGCAGTTTGCGCCAGATATCTTGGCGGCTTATTGGTCGAGAACGCCTCATCCGAAGGGCTTGAAGTATTACTTTGCGAACAATGTGTCAAACGAGGAGACGTTGCCGCTTATCAACAAGATAATAGAGGAGAGTGGGTATGACAGGATACCAGAGTGGCCAGGTGTACGTGTTAGTGCGGATAGCGAGGAAGGGGCTGTTCTGGTTGGTAGGTTTGTTGCTGTTCCTGTTCTCCTCTGTTACTCTGCTTTGACACATCATACCCTCAATACCTTGAAAACACAGATTGTTTCTCACTAATACCACACCAGGCTCATCCATTGGCGCAACACTCGCGTACATCCTCCTCTAACACAAAGCCTCACTCGGCGATAAGCGCATCACCGATGCCACTATCTTTCGCGATTACAAAGCGAATTCATCGTTTCAGGCGGATATACAATTGCTCTTTCGCATTGAAGACGTTCCGGAGGATGTCTTAAGGCACGGTGATATGGATGCGGGGTCTGCGATTGAGAACGAGGATGCGGAGGTAGAGAAGCGGGGAGGGGTCGAAAGGAGGGTTAGCGTGATAGACGGGGTGGGCTTAGGGGTGAATCAGAGGAGGTTACATGAGGTGAGTGTCGATCGGGGTGGTGGAACGGCGGCTGTTAGTTATGGGGTTGAGCAAGTTTGATGACGCCTCCAGAGGGTACTCTCACTCCATACTCCACGCTCCACAACAATCGCCGCTCGCCGCGTATGGGTTCTCATTAACGCTTGTATCCACTTATTTAGGCGCACTTACGCCTATGATAAAGCGCTTGGTGTATCTACACCTGAGCTTTCTCACTTGAAGTAATGCAATGCTCGACCAAATCCACACTGATACCCTGAGAAACGAAATCCGTGAGTCTCAGTAGCCATGAAAATCACTGCACTTCTCGTTACCGTAATCTGTGCGTCTCTGGTCTACAGCAAGCATGTTGAGGTATCCTTTGGCTCCTGCAATACCACAGCCTTTCCATCAAGCCTTCTGGATCGTCGAGACAGCGCGGTGAACATCCCATCAACCAACGACAAAGCCTCCGCCTCCGAACCAAATCTAGTCCAAATCGCAGCGGACTTTGACCCCACCGACGTCGCGAACGACGCCAGCTGGGATAAGTATAAGAAGAAAGGCAACTGGCTCCATTGCCTCATGGATATGCCAGACGAGGTCGCCGGTCGAAACTGGCCCAACTACCTGAACCGCAATCCGCCGTCAGCCAGGAGCCAGTGGAAAGGAACACTTGAAGGCAAGTCCTAGCAACTGAATCATCATCCGAAGCTAGCCGTTGACACTGACATCCACGCAGACGAACTCAAGGATTGGTACTGGCACGAAGCCTACTATGACCCGGACATCAACTGCCACTTTTCGGACGATTTCCAGAACCATGAGTCGAAGAACAGAATTGAGGCTGCGCTTAAGGACCTTGGACTGAGTATCAAGCCGGTCGGAGATGGTGGCAAGAACAGGTGTTACTCTATCGAGCATATGGATGAGAACGATGTGGATGATTATGATGAAGAAGTCCCTGTAGACATGCAGACTTACTTTATTGGAGACAAAGAGTATGGCGTGAGTGTTTCGGGAAGAGAGATATGCCAAACATTGACAGTTTGTCTGACTACCTCCAGGCTACTGGAGCTTACTACCGCTTCGCTTTTAATGCGGAACAAGGAGGTAAGACACCCTTCCCTCCACCCCTCAACCACCACGACCACCACCCACTAACCTCACTCCCTAGCAATCTACGGCCACAACTTCCTCGCCCCCTGGCCTGCCGCCATGGAAAACTACGCCGGAGATTTCCCTGCCGACGAACTCCCCGCCCTGCGCCAGGCCTCCGACATCCTCGCCGCCTTCTGGTTGCGCAATCCCAACCCCAAAACCCTAAAATACTGGTTCGGCAGCGACATCATCAACGTAGATGCTGTACCCGTCATCAACAGGATCCTCCTGGCTAGAGGCTACAACGAAGTACCGCATTGGCCAGGCGTACAAATAGACGCGCCCAGTGACGAGTATCTCGCACTCCTAGGCACACCCGTCGGCGCAAACAAAGCCTTTATGCTGGTTCAGCACAAGGCGGAGCTGGGGCTGAAACATATTCCCAGTATTACTATCTTTCGTGATGCGACGAATCCTGCGCGTCCGGAAGATAATAGGCCGGAATACCAGCTTTTGTTTCGTATTGAAGATGTACCGCAGGACGAGGTTATGCCTGATGATATGGAGGTTGTGGATGAGGAGATGACGGGTGCGGCTAAGCGGATGAGAAGAGGAGAGAGGAAGGATAGTTTGGTAGAGCTAGATTTGGGGAAGAATGTTGGGAGGCTGCACATGGTGAATCTCAATGAGCGGGGCGAGACGGTGTTGCGTAGCCATGAGTTTGAGCGGGAGCTATGATGGAATTGTTTTGTTGGCGGGATGTGCTACTATAGCCTTGGTGAGCAGCTGGGTGCCATTCTATTACGAATGAAGAGCAAGTGACTGCATACGCAGATACATGGCGACCGCATTCAGGCATGACATGCGAACGGCCATGATGCAAAGCGTAGACGCAGACCAGACTCGCTAGTCTCGCCATTGCGTCCTGTCTCCAAAGAGCCTTCGTAATGGCAACCAGGATAGTCAACTCAACACCTGAAGAGCCTGCTAGTCGCAAGCCACACACTCCATGCGTCTCTCCAATCCCTGGAAGCCTGGCATCTGAATCAGATCCCAGCACGTCATGTATAACAAAAGGAGTAGCAGTGGGTCTTGCCGCCAAGTGACAGCCTCACATTCGCGTCGGCGGTCGATTGGTCTGGGTGTCTTGCCGTAGCGCAGCGTGCGCAGCCCGACCCTGACAGCGGATCCCAGGGCCGGAACTTTATCATGGCCAGGTAGCATCTGTTGTCTCCACATACGAGTCGAGCGCGCATATGTAGGCGTGTGTCATGTCGATGTCGGAGAGATGGGATGGTTGGGAGAACTGGGTGGCTGATGCAGGGAGATGTTAGCGTTGCTGGCTAGTGCGGTCTAGTCCGCCCCGAAATAGGAACACGTCTGCCGCTGTTTTTTTTTGTTTTTTATGCTGTTTTCAACACGAAAGTAACAGCTCGGACTCGTATCTTTCCTGATTTGCAAAATAGAGCAGTCGCTTCAAAAGTTCAGTAGATGGACGGGTTGCATTGAAGGTTCGGATCTTGGGCTCATTGGTGGAAATGTAGCCGACCACTGGCAGCGTGACAGGCGCGACGATGGTCCTGTACCGAGGATACCTATCACAGACCAAGCGGAGAGAAAGTTTGGCATGCAAATATTGTTGAAGCTTTTCGGCAATCACTGCTCGACGCGATTCAGCGATCGGGACTGTACCGTCGGGTGTTGATTGCAATCGTTACGCGACAAGTTATTGCTGTCTGTGAACGCGTGTTGCGAAGAATACCTGTGCGTTTACCTCACCTAATTGTGACAAGAAAGCAATAGCGAAGATCATACGCTTGTTGAGTCTAAAAAGGGCTTCTACCCGAGGGGCTCTTTGCAGAAGGAGGGTCATGAGGGCCTTTCGAGGGGCTGTGTGCTAGAGTATGATAGACTGATCGTAATACATATAGTACTTTGTTACAAATCTCCACCTTTCCTTATTATCTTATCAAGACGCTGTAGCGCAAAATAGAGTAAGAAAACAGTGTTAATGTTCTAATTCTTCCAGCCATCGCATTCCCGCAAGAGCCTACATCTTTTCTTCCAGCCCCCAATATGCAACGACCGTTTGACGTCAACGGAAAGACACCCATAGTAGCGAAGACACCCAAGGTGCCATCAAGTACAGTTCTAATTCGTAGAAACAAGATAGCCTACATACTTCAACATTAAGGTCAGAACAGGCTAGAATAGATGCAGTAGTAGTAGTAGTAGTAGTAGTAGTAGTAGTAGTAGTAGTAGTAGTAGTAGTAGTAGTAGTAGTAGTAGTAGTAGTAGTAGTAGTAGTAGTAGTAACAAAAAGACACTGTTCGATATCTGCATGATACGCAATTGGTTCCCATGACCCTTGCTGGGTAGCACTCGCAGCACCAGCTCACAGCCAGTTGATCTATCAGGTTGCTAGGGCTATAACCTGCTTATTGCAGGTCTATACATCCGTGGAGATTCCCGGTCCCACAAAAGCGAATGGGCATGCTGTAGGCGAATTACTTGCAGTTACAGTCAGGTTTTTTGGTAGTACCTGCTCGTGAGATGGTATAGGTCATTCCAGAAGACTAGAGATGAATCGCTACGAAGTTTCAATTGTGATGAGCTCGTACCGGTACCATGAGATAAGCTAGTCTAAGCTACAACGGCCAAGGGACTGACAACGGATTGCGCAAATCATGGAAGGCAGCGCTACAGTGCAAGCGATTTTATGTTTCACAACATATATTGGATTACCCACGCGGGGAGGCGGGTGCGCTTCCAGTTAACGCCAGCGCAAGCTGAGTATGTGCATAACGTTCAGCGTCGCGGCTAATGTCAATCAGCATATGAAAGTAGAGTAACAGTAGACTGGTGTAACAATACTAGGAAGACAATTGGTGTACGACAGCTATACACATCCCCCGTCGTCGGCATCCACACCCAACCACCTACTAGAGATTCGCGACACGAGCCTCTCTAGGGACAGACGGCTCATCAGAGAGCAGACGGGGAGTGATATACATTTTGTTGTCTCCTAAATCCGTACAACAGCCATGATACAAGGAAAGTGCGACTTTTGCAAATTCCTCATACGAGGAATAGTCAGGGCTCGTATCCGGGGCCAAGCCAACCGGCACCTTGGTTTCTGGATCTACGAGAAACAAGTCGTTTCCAAAAGCCTTCACGTCGGGCGAAGGCAGGTGTTGGCCAACGCACAGTAGATGAATAGGGTGTTTTCGCTGATGTTTAGGCTGACGTGCGTGCTTTGCCAAGAGACCGACGGAAAGAAGATTTTCGTTGTGGCGAATGTAGACGGGGACAAAGAGCTTGTTGACCCACGCAGTGGCAGATAACGGAATGCGACAGTTGACCATGGCAGCGAGGAGGAGCACGGTACGTAGTAGTGGTATAGACCAGAGACCTTGCATCTGTCGCTTGAAGTAGGCCAAACGTGCTCGCGGCGCTTCGTTCATCTGATCCACCCCATGTGCGGTGAACATGTAGTCTAGTATCTTCCTGGCCTGCACGAAGAGTGGTACGTACTCGCCAGCCTCGTAAATGCGCGCCTCTTGCTCAGTCTCGTCAAGGTCACTCAGATCCGCTATACTCTCGTCTTCCATGAAGCCCAGTCCGGGGGCAATTTTTGTCCGAGAGTGATCTCCATTGTCGTGTACTCGTATCGCATCCTCTGGATGTGTGGGAATCCAGCCACAACTCACGGCATCGGCGTCATTGAGCGTCCATGAATAATCAGGATCATCCCCAAATCCGAATCTTGAAAGCTCACCACCTTGCTGAGACTCCAGCCATTGTCTTCGGGAATGTTTGAAACAGGCTTCTAGCCGGGCGACGAAAATGTCTGGCGAGCATTCGCTTTCTAGTTCCTTAATCTGCACGTCCGATGTAATGTGTACATGCCGTGAAGAAGAGTTCGAAGCCTCGAGTACGCGTTGCCCCACCAGTTTGAGAAAATCGCCGAGTGTCGTCGGACTCGGAAGTTGTTGGCTCGGTAGCCAACCGTCCGTGGGATCTGTGCATGCGGAATCGAGCATCGAACGAGTGAACCTGCATGTAAAGGCATGTCCAGATCGTTCAGCTTGCTGATAAAGATCTGAATAGATCTCCCCAAATGACATCGCTAAAGCATCCCGTTTCGGATATGTATACCATGGAAACGAGGGCATGGTCGCGAAGATGTAGTCGCGAGGCATAGTAGCGGATCTATGCGATGCTCGATTAACCAGTAGAAAACGACCAGAGTGGATGTCTTCATCCTGGCTACGCTTTGCGCTATGTGGATTGACAACGGTGCCGCCATTGACATAAGCCTTGACGAATTCATTCATGGCGGAGACGCCCTGAGAGCCGCAGAAAGAGGAGGCTAGAACACCAAGAGCATCTACGAGAGTCGTCTGTTCAGTCTGGTGCCGGTAAAATTGAGTGTCGTCGCGAGCCTTTTCACGCACCGCGGGCTCCTTCGGTTGATCTAAGCCTTGGTCAATGACGAACAACAAGCAAAAGGCTGTGCCCTACTGTCGTTTCCAACCACGAAGTCAATCGTATGAGAGAGTAAGCACTCCTGCAGCGTCCACAATCTTTGAAGGTATGACTCCGCGCAGAGATGGCCGATATGAATCTGACCATGATCAAAAAACCTTTCGACGAACTCGTGGAATGTTTCGAAACCAGCGATAGCAGCGATGCAGCAGTCGTACAATCCATCGCATTCCCTAACCGCGATTGTCTTTTTTGCCATCCTGAAGATATCGGGAATGGCATCCACGATGTCGGATACTTCAACCGGATTGCGTTGATCGACAGTCAGCGTGTCCATCCAAAAGGCACCATCACCAACCAACGCGGGGAGGTCGTTTGCAATGAATTGTGCTTTCTCTTGTGATGCTTTCACCTCGTACGGTATGCCATCGATTGAACGCCACGCCCAGTCGCCCCAGACGTGAGAGAAGGCAATGTAGTCGGTAGATTCAATAGGAGCCTCAAAAAGCTCCAGGGTCGCATTGTTGAAACGCGCAAATTTGATCACAGAAAAAACAGTAGGGTGTTCTGAGGCTGCAGACCCCTCGCTTGTATTGTGGTCAGACACGTCTGGGGTAGGTTCTGATATTGTCGCTCCACCAGAAGCCATGATGTGGGATTTTTACTAGGAACAAGAGTTGAAAGCGAACGCTATGGCCTTGGAGTCGGCGTGCGCTGGTTTTGATATGGGGTATTGACTGGATGGCAAGGCTAAGAATGAGACTCAGCTGCGGCTGAGCAACAGGCCGCCTAGCCTCGCAACGTTTAGCGCCAGCCCAGCCTCTCATGTACATTTTCGCGCTCCCTGTTCAGCGCGGCCAATGGCAGAAGCGCTGATTAACGCATAGCAGAGAAAGATGGTATGGCTTTCCAATGCATGAAGGCCATAACCTGGACTATCTGTTAGTATGAGCAACACCTACTTTACTGACCCCAGCCTGCATACAAAGCCCGTTTTACAGAACACATGTAACCCTTACACACCCTCCATCTGGTGACCGGTTTGGTCCTAGACGTGATGCCTGACTAGTTGAGCGGATGTCACAATGATCGTTGGTTATTTTAACAGATTCATCAACGATCATTGTGACATCCATCCACTCCACAGGCATCATATTGAGGACCAGATAAACCATCTGCACAGTGTAGACTTGGTATCTACAAGGATCAAGTCTGTCCAAGGGTCGGCTCGTGGGGTTACGGGAGGATTTGGCCATCGAAAAGCTGAGACGGATATTGTGGAGTCTCAGCGACATAAGTATGCCCGGGGTACAAGAGCCCATAGCGTGAACGAAAATCGTGACGTGCGCGCTTGTTGAACGAAAGTATTTCGGTCTGATGCCCGTGAGATGCACATTGCAATTGATGAGAGTGTGCATACCCATTGGAGTAGACAGGTGATTGACCCATGCCAGGGCTGACGAAGGAACGTACTGCACGACAATAGCAGCGAGGCGTGACTTGATGGCTGATAGTCGCAACGGCCACTAAGCATGCATGAATATCTTGCACGAATTTCTTGCACTAGCACATCGGCCTGCAGCGCAGTATGGATGCAGCATGGGTCGCCCGCGGAGCAGACATGGCCTGGTGGTTGTTCGCTTTGACATGCCGCCTTGAACAAGCGTGGAAGAGCCACCTGAACTCTTGAATGCGCAATATCCGATCTAGTTCGGAAGACTGATAGACAAGATACCAGCCAAAAGATGTTGTTGTCTCTCAGATGGTGGACGCATGGCGAGTTGGACCTCGACTTGCGTGCATGTTTCTCCTTTGAGCAAGGAGTGAGGCACTTTTGCAATAGGCGCTCAATCACAACATTCACACATCGGAGCCCGACCTCTACGCCGACTCCGATTCTGAGTCTTCTCAAACTGCCGAATAGCAGCTCCCACCTCAGGTTTGTCCTTGAGAATAGTGGTTCTGTTCTTGAAGAACCAGATGTATTGAGAGGGTACTTCCGCCAATGTCTTCCCTTCATGCTTGCCAAATGTGAACCTGTATTCTCCCTTACGCAGAGTACCGACGGGTGGATTAGGGCGTTCGTATTCATCAACTCCAGCGGCAAGGTCAGGGCGTTGCTTGATGACACCCTCTCTGTTTAGGAAGGCTATGTAGTCGGGAGGGACTTCGGCAATGGTTTTCCCTTCGCGCTTGCCGAAGTCGAAACGGTATGGTTCTCGACGGGGTGGAGGTTGCGAGGAGGAGGGTTGTAAGGTCGGTTGCGAAGCCGAAAGCTGAGGTGCGAGAGGCTGCGAACTACTCGGTATGCCGTCCGTACAATGGGAGTAATGGCTAGGGGCAGATGAAGGCGGTGGAGTTTGCTGTGATTGACTCAGGGGTGAATCCTGCCTGGAGACATGACATGGAGGCATTGTATACTGGCTAGGCGCAGCTTGGTGCCATTACTGGAGAGTGATTGCATTTGATTTCCCATGAGATGATGGTGGTGTGAGAGAAATGTTCGCATCGAGAGACCTTAACGCAGGTCGAGCGTTCGCAGGCGGGACTTGCGCAAAGGGGGAGCTTGTTGCGAAAGCACGATCTCATTCACGACATCTGCGACGTCGGAATCGAGGTCCGATCCGTAATCCGATGACATTATGCGCATTCGAAAGCTATTCTGTTGACGGAAATAGTGTTTACAGTAGTTGAGATGGACGGGTTGATGGGTAGGTGGGGATGACGTTGGGCTGCAGCAGCGAACGTGTGGGCTGTGGAATTTCGGGATGACGAGTGCGGAACTTCAACGGTCAGGGTGGTGCACAGACACACACTTCATTTAGGTCGCGCGGGAGGGTTAGCAACAGATATGCAAGAGCAAAAAGACCTTATCAACATAACTTTGAAATATTATTTCCTACCTCCTCTGTATCGAAACAATGCATGCGGTCCTCCGCGGTCTACCTAAACGCCCTTTCCCTACCGCGATTCACCCTCTTGATGCCGGCGCCCTTTCACACTCCCTAACCTCTTAAGCCACGGCGACCTTCTCCGTCTGGCTGATAATATACCACGCGTGAATGACACCAGGAATCCACCCGAGGATGCAAAGTGCGATGTTGATGAAGAGATCAGCGGCGCAACCACGCTTTATGGCGACAGGCAGGAAGGGGATCCATATTGCGAGGAAGTAGAGGAGGACTGTTGACTGTATTGGAGAGGTTAGTGGGGGGAGGGATGAAGAAGGGGATGGGGATAGGGATAGGGAGACTAACTGTGCTTGATGGCATTGTGTGGGTGCGATTGATCCGCGTTGATGTGGTAGGTTATAGTGCTTCTTTCTCGTGAAGCTATTCGAGTAGGAATGATAGGATTGGAGACTGAATGTGTGGCTGTCTGCTGTGGCTGAACGGAAAAGTGGGCGAACGCTTATGTCTTTATGTGTTCCCCTGCTACCTAGGTACCAACTCGAAGCAGCTTACGACGCAGACAAGGACCGAATGCCGTGTGTCGGCACATTCCTTGCATATGCAATTCGACTAAGCCGCCGTACTAGCCGTTCACCAAGACCCTGTTCTGAAGTGGGCAGCGAATGAGACAGCCATGCGCCACAGTGACGATGCATGTTGTGGCGCAGGTATCAGTAGAAAGGCCGTGCGTCGTGGTGTTGAGGCTAGACTGGGTGACAGGCTTCCGAAAAGTGCCGGCAGCCGTGATAGCCGCGTATGCAGGGCAGGGTAGTCCTGTCGTTTGATCACAATACTAAACCATGGAAACCACGTCATTTTTTTAGTACCTGCAGTATGCAGAAAAAGAAATGCGTACTGTTTGGTGCCAACAGTGTGATCGAAGTTCAATACGAGGGTTTCGCACTCGTCTTAGGAAACTCCATGTAAAAGGTAGAGCATAATATCATCACTGCTACACGCTATTTCCGCGGGTCTTACGTCTTTATGCATGCCGTCTCCATGTCAAGTGCAGTGAAAGAAACCAGGTCGCCGAATACAGTACTAAGGGTAGGACAGTTGTAACTAGACAAATAGTTCGCGATGTTTCTGTAATGATGCTGTAAGCATGTCAAGGTCATGCTTAAGACTCTTCAGTAACGGTGTGTAGGATAAGATGGCCAGTTAACATACAACTATTGATCCCGATGCGCATTAATTCGAAGACGACATGACGGCGTGTATAAAAACGCGAACTGTTGGTGCTTGAGTAGCAACATCGAAACTCCGGCGGCGATGGTGTAGATAAGAGAAGTCGGAGTCTTGATTGTAGTGCTTGAGATCTTAATCAGTAGGTTAAATTATAACTAACGTGTTAGACTTAATTACTTGTGCGGATTGAACAGATTTATAAGACTAGGAATTTCATGAGAGTGTGTTCTATTCCATGATTTACTTCGGCGATGTGTGTAATAAGACGCGTTAACTGTGTCTTCAAAGAACTTCTAACATCTAGCATACTGTAATTCCACTAGACACGATCGAGTAAGCTGTAGTCAACCCAAACGAATAGTCCTTCTTTTCCTCAAGCGAAAACAAAGCGGCCAAGATCTTACAGAAGCAAAGTAACCCTCGTTTGCGAGTGAGTGGTAGGATTCATACTGTATCACCATATGTCCAACTCGTTCGTAATGATGCTCTTTCTCATGAACGATCATGACAAAGATCTCATCATCGATATCATCAGATGAGAGGATTTCGCATCTGCCTAACACGATACCTAACAAACTACCTTGTTGAAAGTCTGGCGCGTAGCTTTGCTGTGTAGCAGAATCCTTGTCGTACTGCTGATACAACGAAAACAGCGGAATCCAAAGAGTTCTCTCGTCGTCTTGGAATGCAGCAAAATACCCGGAGTAATTCCCATCACATTGATGTGCTTCATCGGAATGAATCCAGCCGCCCATCTCGTCAGAAAGGTACTGGATGTCGATAGGTATTGTCCAGGCTTCAATGTGAATGAATCTGCTGGAGGAACCAGGTATGCCCATGTCTAAAGAGACGTCGCTTTGCTCATCCATGTCTGAAAGTGATCCATCATGGTTTTCTATGAAAATCTTCAATGGCATTTCATTTTCGAGTTTGAGTCCTGTCTCACATGGTCTGGTTTCGTAATTGATTGGGACAGTCCATTCGGCCCAACTCCACGTAGGGAATAGGGAACGCCTGGTACCTGATGCTTTATTGCACCAAGAGAGTCCGGCAGCAAAGGCCTCGGCCTTACCACATTTTGACAGGTTACCATATTCATCCTCCAACCGTCCAGGGTTTGATTGTACGATGGGAATACCCAAGTATTGAAAGACGGGATGCTTCATTTTCCTGAAGCTATGGAACACCCCTTCAAATGCGCGTATTGCATCAGAGCCGACAGATAGCTCTCTCCCACAGAAATCAGTCAGACGAGAGCAGATCTTCCAGGGACTATACTCTTCGTAGTCGTTCTGATTGTCGAAAATTCCTCTTCGCTTGTCGCTGAGGCCTTTGATTATCTCGAAAGCAAGACCAGCTCGACACTCATAGTAGACTTGTTGCTCTGTAAAAACGATACGTCGGGTGGAGAAAAAGCTCTCTTGATACGTCCATGCTCGATGCCACCATCTAGAAGCCTTGATAAGCGTCTGCAGGTCTGGAAGAGTGGATACAAGGCATTGTCCTCCAACCCAGGCACTTGGTTGGGGAGTTCTCGGGGTAGCGCCAACGCCAGGTAAGCCGAAATATGGATCAGTGCCTGCTGCAGCGACTATAGTCACGAACGCATTTTGATATATGAGGTCCATTTGCTGTATCTGGATTTGTTTCTCAACATCGTTGTCTTGGTCGATGCAGTATCTGTCGATCCAAATATATCGAAGACCTAGCAGTTTGCTGGCCTTCAAGGCATCTTCGATAGTGCGTGGCAGGGTCGTGGGAAGTTCGTTATGGACACACCGATCATCGCCAGATCTGCTAGTACCCCACACATAGCTGAGTGCAGAATAATCGTACGTTGGCAATGCTGGCACGATTCGTCGCTGTTCGCAGTCGATCAACTTCAGCTCTTTCGGACTCAAAGCTGATGATTCTACTTGAGTGCACTGCCTCCAGCCTGTGTGCTCTCGACCACAACGCTGTATCCAACCTCGAATAATGTCGAAGTCGATCGAGATTGCATCGATAGATTGCGCTCGCAGTGAATTCACGTGAGGAGCTGTTCTTGACGCGCTTGAACATGCAATGAAGCCGCAAGACGCTCCTTCCTCTTGCGTTGACATTATCAAAGCAAACTCATACTTGGGACCGAGTTCAAACTTGTCTCGGGCCACAGCTAGAACTGTTCCATCCTTAGTGTGGTAGGGATTAGGAGGAAATATACAGTATAGAGCGTAGTTCTTGATGAGAGCGTGGTTCTTGATTAGAGGGCTGCCTTGTATCCTCACCGCATGGAAAAGGCGACATAGTGAGCATGACGACAGCTCAGCTTCTACCCCGAGTTCTCCGAGAGTCATCATTTGCTTCATGTATTGTGTCTCCAGATCGACGAAAAGGCTCTCGACATCAATGGACGAACATCTGGAACAAAGGCTACTCGATTCTTGACGCACTGTTTCGTCACGTGTGTTGGATGTGTCTCCATGGCTCTGATAGTTGGTAGCCGATAGGTCCACAGATTGTTTTCGCTTCCCTGAAGGATCCTCGGATGCACTTGGAACTTGTGCTCGCTCCATGTCGTGATAGGGCCTTTGGAGGACGATTGGGATGGAAGATGGACGGAAGGTGGCACCTGTCTCGTTAACTTCACGGCGCTGGAGTTAAGACACACGGAAACTGTGGAATAGACTTACTTGTTATTCATTCCCTTGCCTGGTCCGCTATTGCCAGTGATGAGACGTGGATGGTGAGAGGTGCGGGGCAGAAGTGCTCTCAAGGCTGCTGCATGCTGGACACCTGCGCCTACCAGCTGGTAAGCGAACTTTAGGTAACCACATGCACGCTGCAGTATCTTGCTTTTGCAACTGCTGTGATTTTTACTTCTACTTCTACAACTACTCTTACAACTATTTCTACACCTCATAATCTTACAATGAGCTGTCTTTACATCAAATCCACTATAACAATCAGCTCACCAAACACTGTGACATAGATAACCTGGTTTTGCAAAGTCGCACTTGCTAGATGAGTCGCTTTATTTGAACGATAAGTTTGCGATGCTGTCGTGACGATGTCATGAATATGAGGCGGCACCAGCTGTCATACATGAGACTCTTTCACGACGGCGTGTGACAAGACGGGCATGCGATACAAGGCCATCAAGTCCAATGCTCGTCAAGACGACGGCAACATTGCGGTGTGTCGATGCAAACTCTAGATGGTCAGGCAGCAACGTCGAAACATCGAAACATCGGCGACGATGACGTACGTATCCGGATTGGACGGTGAGGCTCTGTCATAACAAGGTATAACAAGGATGAACGCTGGACTCCTGATATGACAACCGAAGAAAACCGAAAACTAAAAAGACACGATGAGCGGTGTGGGTGGTTGGTAGAAGGCGGTGACAAAACATTAGGCATACAGGCAAATAGGAACAGGGATATCTCGGCTTCGAATTTTGATCTATTCTAGTCGATAGCCGCGCCTTACAAACAAGGTCGCCGAGGGGATCTTTGGGGATCTTAGGGGAAATTTTGAACTATCCTAGGTGTTGTGGGCGAGATGCGATGGAAGGGGTTGTTGGGGTTGATTGAGTTGTGAAACTAAATGGGCTGAGCGGGATGGGGGGCTGTTGTGGAACGCTAAAAATGCCGGTACTAAGGTGTTTATCTTTCCTTGTAGACAGTGACACGGGAACGAAGAGGAAGGAGATGGGCTATATAGTAATAACATAAGACATTCGGCATCATCGTGTCGCATTATCATGAGAAAGGGATTTGACGGACCAAAAAGCAAAGACAAATTTGTTGGAATCAGGGAAGAGGAAAAGGAACGCTAGAATCATAACAAACAAACAAACAAACTTTGCGTTTCCCAACTATTGGGGTTGCGCTGCTCCGTCTTTTACCATTCGCTTCCGAAAGGCTTTGGCCTTGCTCGCTTGGTTTTTGCTCGCTTGTGCATCCAGATGACTTGCGGCGGTGAAGGCTTCGACGACGGCCATGGCGTTGGCCTCTTCTTCCTCGTTGAATGTGATGAGGTCGAGGAATTGGCGGAGGACAATGGAGCCGAGCTTGGCGTGGGCTTGCTCGACGTAGTCGGTGTTGACGGTGTCTGCTGATGTGCGCGCGAGGACGCTCCAGCCATCGGGCTTGAGGGAGGCTTGTCGGGCTAGGAGTCGTTCGCTGGAGGCTAGCAGGATGAAGGCGCGTATTACTGCTTCTTTGTTTGTGATGTTGTTCTCGGGCGATACGTCGAGAACCTCGAGGAAGTCGTCGAGGGATGCGGTGCCTATGAATGTGTGGCGGTGCTTGTACTCCAAATCCCGCTCTTGTTGGATAGCCGAGGTCGGCCCGGTCTTCTTTGGCAGCTTCTTGGGGGTGGATGGGTGGAGGGAGCGGGTGGTCGGGCTGTGGTGGCGGGGGTTCTGGTCCTGCGCGTTGGCGGCTTTGATGGGGAGGCCGAGGGAGATGCGGCGTTGGTGGGTGTTGGCGGGGCGCTGCGGCTTGGAGGTGTTGGCCTGGAGTTGGAGGAGGCCCTCGTTGGTCTTGGCTCGGAGAGGTAATGATCTAGATGCCCGCTGCGCACTGGCGAGACGTGATTCGATGGTGGGTGTGGAGGGTGTGCGGAGGTGGGAGGGGCGGCGCTTGGTGACGGATACAGCTTCTTCGCTGTCGCCTTTGAGCGAGGGCGACTTGGCGAGGTCGTCGTAGGAGAAGTAGTCGGGCGAGGGGCCGTCTTCCTTTATTCGATCCAGCGAGTAGAGGAGGGGCTCTTCGAAGAGGGTGGCGTCGGTGGAGAGGCCCAGGGCATCGGCTGGATCAATCGCTCTTGTGCGCGGGCTGGCGCGGGGACTGGCAAACTTCAGGCCGTTGACTTCCGGTGGCATGACCCAGTGCTGGACGCCTTGTTGTTGTCGCATTTCGTGCTTGAGCTTGCCCTCGAGGGCGCTTTCCGTGTCGCTCGCCATTGAGAAGCGCCGGGAAGGGGATCGTGAAGGAGTGCCGGGCTGTTGTTGAGTGTCGTACCCCGCATTGCGCAGGGCGTTGAGGATGGAGCTGTCCCCGCGGTCGAGGTAGAGGAGGCCGGTTCTCCACATGGTCGTGGTCGTCGATGAGGGTTCCTGCTGTGTACGAGTAGCCGACGCAACAGTCACCCTCTACAGTCTTGTCGGAGGCGGACAGGGAGGCGCGATGTGCCGCTGCTCTAGCTTTAGTACTTGTTGACAGCATGCGGGTGATCGAGCTGGCCGGCGCTAGCACCCGCTTCACCGCCATTTTTCTCAATTTGGCCCTCCGGTTGAAAAGTCTGTCGCTGCCGTGCCTCTTGCCTCGACTGGGTCTAATGCCTGCATCACGATGCAGCAAGCCTTTTTTCACGTCGTATCGCCCAATCACGCTCACCGTGTCATCGACTTTCGTTGGGCGCTGATTTGCTGTGCAGCCTCAAACATTCCTACACCCTGTACCTGCATCCGATCAGCAGGTTGGAGTGTAGCGTACGTACCCCCAACCATCCCGTATCATCCCGGCAACGGACGAAAGCGTCGAGATCGTGTCCTGCGCGGCTGGCGTGATCGCGAAGCATTCGACGGCATGACGTGGTAGTGGAGTCGGCATGCTAGCTCCAGTCCCGCAAGGCTGAATATATATCTCCAGAGCGTGGCATGGCCATGATAGCCGCGGGTGGCATGCACGTTTTGCTGCACTGCCTGCAGCTGCCAGCGCAAAGGGTACTGTCGGCCGTCGGAGTGTGTTCGGACATGTTGAGGTTCAACAGAAGGCGGGGCGGGGTAAATCGCGACGCTAACATCACGTTTGATCAACATTTCATGTTTCAAGGCGGATATCGGAGTGGAGAGAAGACCACCGAAGTCAGCAGAAGGTCCAGTCACGCGTGCAGTGAGGGAGGCATGAGGGTGTCGTCGCAGCGCATGTGCAGCCCGTGTGATAAGAAGACGTTGTCTACTATCCAACCTCCCACCACATGGGGGCTACATCCTGCACATGGGCAGAGCAGCTGGTGAACGGTACCAAGATTTTCAGTGCAGTGTGCCAAAATCTGCTGGTGTAGTCTGCTGGGTAGTCTGCTGGTGTGGTGGAGTCCAATCACTACTGGCGGGCCTCGCGCGATAAGACGACACCACACCAACACTGTTCTCGGCCCTGGCTAGTGTACCTAACAATAAACCTTCTGGATTGTCTTCTGGCCTGTCCTGTTCGTCTCACAGGACTCGACCCCGCAGTGACACAGCTTCGGTTCGCTCGCTTCATGGCCAGCAGTTCGACACCCTGGCTCTCCCACCGTGAGGGTGCCACTATGAGGATGCCGCTATGAGGGTGCTGACAGCGCGCTCTGCACCAGCGATCAAAACACGTCCCTCTCCACTCCACCAATGCACGCGAACCCACCTCCCCACGCCCTCACCGAATCGCATGGTGACGCGTGCCATGCGTGGAGCTCACTTACCCTACGTGGAGTCTCGTTTGGTGACAGGCACACCGCTCGGCGATACTACGACTCCGCTTCTCACGCGTGACGTGTTGTTTATGCGCGTCGAGTGGGCAACAACACAGCGCTTTCTTCTTCACTCCTCGCAATCACCACAACACATAAGCAGCAGACGTCTGCGAGAAGAGCGTCTAGAGGGCGTCTGGGTCAAACCGACTTTGATGTCATTCCCATGGTTTGGGAGGGCGTTGTGCAGCGTGGTAGCATGCAGCGTCAACGGCCCGCACCCGCTAGCGAGCCATGTTTTCTTGGCGTAAACAAACCTGGACCGCCGAGGAGCGCCCTCCGCAGCCGAATTATTATGAGGCCATTGGCACGTCGTAGATACTTTGCAACCGTGTTCACAAACCCAATTGCCCTCTGCACAAAGCAAAAATTGATCTCCGCCGTACCCCACCTACACCGCCCCGCCGCCGTTCGCTCCATCTCGAGTCAGTGGAGCTGATGTTTTCTTGCACTGCCTCGCCCGACGACCTCCGCCGGTAGCAATTTCAGCTTCAATCTCCCCACGCAACGATCCCATAACACCTGCACTCGTCGCCCTCGCGGGCCTACCCAACCATGGACGACGGTCCTCCACCTCCGCCGCCTCCGCATGGCGCCAATCCAAAGACCACAGGCGGCAGCCATGCACCTCCCGACCCAGGTCCAAGCGGCGGTCTGCCACCGGGCAACTACGACATCTTCATCATACCGCCGCACTCTTCAGGAGGCGGCTTCATATACCTTCCTAGCATGGGTGTGCAGCAGAACAGCTTCATTGCGGGTGTGCTCAGCACCATCGCGAGCATAGTGCTGTGGAAGGCCGCTGAGCCTTATATGAAGCAATATTTTCTTATAGTCCGACATGGAGTGACGACTGGCGGCAATGGCGTCATACTGCTGGCGGTCTTGATGTTGGTCGCCGGATGGGCAGTTGGTCAGACGCAAGCAGGGGGTCGCTTTAGCAGTGGCGGAGGCTACAATGGTCGCGGTGGAGCGGGAGCGGGAGCTGGAGCTGGCACACACACACCAGGAGGAAGCTCAAGCTATCAACGAGCGCCTCCACCACCACCTCCAAACGGCGGCTTCCCTGGCAGTCCTCCACCTCACGGCGGATGGGGTGGATACCGCCAGTACGGGGCTGGCTCGCCGCCGCCTCCACCGCAAGACGACGAATCTTCCTTCGACGAAGAAGCTGAGCGGGCCGAAGAGGAGCAGAAACAAGCAGAGGAGAAGGAAAAGCGGCGGAAAGAGAAGGAGGAAAAGAAACGGAAAGAGGACGAGGAACGCAAGAAAGCTGAGGAAGCCAAGAAGAAGCAGGAAGAGGAAGAAGCCGAACGCAAGCGCGTTGAAGAGGCAGAGAAGAAGAAGAAACAGGAAGAGGAGCTTAGGAGGAAACAAGAAGAGGATCTCAAGAAGAAGCTCAAGAAAGAGCTCAAGGAGGCTGAGGAGGCTAAGCGGAAAGAGGAAGAGGAAGAACGCAGGCGTGCTGAAGAAGCCAAGCGAAAGGCCGAAGAAGAAGCTCGACAGCAGCGCGAAGCTGAAGAGCAGAGGCTGGCCGAGGAAGAGAGAAAGAAGCGTGAAGCTGAGGCACAGAGACTGGCTGAAGAGGAGAAGAAACGGCAAGAGGAAGCTGAGCGCCAACGCATCGCCGAAGAGGAACGCAAGGCCGAAGAAGAGCGCAAACTCGCCGAAGAGGCTCGGATACGTGCTGAAGAGGAAAAGAAGAAGAAGGACGAAGAGGACCGCAGACGAGCCTGGGAAGAGCTTAAGCGCGCGGAAGAGGCCAGACAGAAGAAGGAGGCTGAAGAAAAGGCCAAAGCAGAGGCAGCCAAACTCGCCAAAGCCAAAGCCGAGAAGGAGAAGTGGGAGCAGATGCGGAAGCGTGAGCGTGAGCAACGCGAACGTGAAGCCCGCGAGCGCCTCGCCAAAGAGAAAGCCCGCAAGGCACAAGAAGCCATTGAGAAGGAAAAGGCCGAACGAGAGGCTCGCGAGGCCGAAGTACGCGCCGCAGTCGAGAAGGAGATACGGGAGAAGCTCGAAGCCGAACAACGCGCCAAAGCCGCTGAGGAGGCTGCCAAAAAGGCTGAAGCAGAGAAGATTGCAGCCGAAGAGGCAGCCGCCAAAGCGAAGGCAGAGGCAGAAGCTGCTCTTGCCAAAGCAAAGACAGATGCTGAGCGTGCCGAACGCCTCAAAGCAGCTCGTGAGCGAGCTCAAAAGGATCGCGAAGCCCGCGAGGCAAAACTCAAAGCAGAAGCCGAACGCATCAAGGCCGAAGCTGCCGCCGCTGCAGCCACAGCAGCACTGCCGGACCTCACAGCCCGCCGCTCAACTACGTATGGCAATGTTGGTGGAGGTGAAAGACTGGATCCATATGCTGGAGCAAGAAGCACACCACCGCCCGCCGCATCCGTCACCTCAACCCACTCCTCCCCCATCAAAGCCACCGTCACACCCAAGAAACCCTACGAACGCCCCACGGCCGCATCGTATCTCGGCTCTGAATCCGACGCCGCATCTTTCGCTCCGCCCCGAACTGCCACAGGACCTGCCCGTTCCACAGCCACACGCTCGCATGTCTCTTCCGCGTACTCCGAGTCTTCGTACGCGCCTAGCCAGTCTACAACAAGGACGAGTCCGCCTGCGTCGAGAAGTGGACCGTATGCAACAGCCGACCCGAACAAGATTGTTATCAAAGCGGTATATTTGTTCAATGATCTTTTTCCTAAGCCGGTTGCGCAGTTGGTGAGCAATGTGGGCAAAGTAACAGACGGCTTGATTCTCAAGATACAGTCTGAGGGTTTGTTCATCGATGATGATGTTAGGGGGATTCCGCAGCGCGAGTGGGATGTCAAGGCTTGGACGCTGAAGATGGTTGAGGTAGGTCATTCCCATACAACATCCTTGATCTCATGCTAACAGATACGACAGACGGGCAAACAACCCACCAAAAACCTGCACATTCTCCGCGCTTCGGTCCGCGACGCTGACGGCAAGAAATACGTTTTCTTGATTGACGAAACCGAAAGTTGGAAGCTGGCGCTTGGATTGCAGAGGCTGAGGAAGGGAAGTCAAGTACGCAGTTTGCAGTCTGCGCAGATGGCGCCGAACGAGATGGCGAGGGTGCTGAATGCTGTGCCGCCTATTGCTTTGTAAACTCGAAAGAGCGGCAGTGTGGAAAGGATGGTATGGTAGTATGGCATGGTAGTTGTATGGGTGGTGGATTTGGATACCCACTTTCGTTCCGCGTAAAGCATCAGCGGTGGAGTCGTCATTATTTGTTTACAAGCATCGTTACAAGATAATTTCCTTCTTTCTTTCGTTGTATATGCATCTTTGGAATGGGGAAGAGCTGGAGAGATGGAGTAGAAGTATATATCACAACTACATATTGGCGCTGGATAGACAGTAGTGGCGAAGGTGTCTCAGGTGTACACAGGAACTATCAACGGTTACATGTCACGTGTCGTGATCTTGGAGTTTGGATCCGTGTGTATCGTTGTCATGCCGTGATTTCTATCCACTTGCCGTGTCGTGAAGAGGGATTATCTTGTTAGTGTTAGGCGTTGGCGTGGACTCCGCCAAACTGTGTCAAGGTAATGGTATGTTTTCGATACAGAGAGAATCTTGACATTGTGGATTCATCATGAACCAACGTCGAATTTCACTCGTTCTTCCCTCGAGTTCGAGTAAAAAGATGATCATTGCAAGAAGGCCGACGTAGTGACTATATAAACTGGCTGCTACAAGGCGCCTCCGTTGCTCCCTTCCTCCAAACACCCCATCCATCCCTTATTTTCCAAACCCATTCTCGGGGGTGCATCCAGCACAGCCACTGATCTTTCCATTGATGACGTTGAAGGTGCCGCCATCGCCAGTGTTGCAACCAATGACGTCTGGATCGTTTGTTGTTGTGCAGAAAGTGCCCTTGGGGACTCTGACTCCTGCGGCGACCGGGGTGCCGGGTGGGGGGTTGGACCCACGTTGTGGTGTTGGTGTAGCGACAACAGCGGCCACCAGGGCGAAGGCTGTAACGAAGAAGCTTGATCGCATTTTGATTTCGTTTTTGGTGGAAGGATGTGCCGGTTGGTAGTGTGCTTTGACTTCCGGAGTCGTTGGTATGAAGAAGAGGATAGTAAAGATGGTAGTGGTGATGATAATGCTTCTACTTCGCTATGGATGAAGGCTATCTATATATGCGCTGGGAACAAGTCCTCCTGGTCGTTACCCCAGCTTCATCTTCCAAACGTCGCATCATGTTATCGAGCTAGGACAAAGGTAGAAAAAATGATTACGCGACATATTGCCATGTTTGGCCTTATGCCGACGTCCGTCTCTTTCTCACTTCGCGCGTTTCAGTCTTCGATATTAGGTATAGAGACTCGGCTCTACTAGCACACAAGCCCGCCTATAGTAACACCGTAGATCTGGCTAATCTCGCTAGAGTGATCCCATATAGCTCCCTTTCGCTATTTCTCCGGCAATAGGTGTAGAGAGTGCAATGAGCCCATCAGCTCTCACAGTGTTCCTAGAGGCGTTTAGGTTGGATTTTGGTTAGCGGGCTGTTGGGCGCACGCGGTTCCTGCGAATCCGTGGACAGAAATAAATCCGTTGCCAAGATGCCGTATACTTTGATGAACCCAAATTGTGCTCCCGGGCCACAGTTGGTTTTGCCAAGGCAAACCTGAGGCTCAACTTCGATACCCGGCGCGGAGCTTATCAGAATGAACAAAGTGTGCCTTTGACTCAGACTACGGTCTGGTGCTGATTTAGGCTGGTTATTGAGATTGTACTTTGGGATACGGTATGATTGCGATAGCTTTGATGTTGAGAAATTTGACTGCGCAGCACACCAAAAGCCTTTGAGTTGCAACGAATGAAGCTATAATGCTAGATTTTGGACGGACAGGTACATACGACCATAGGATCATGAAAATTAGGCTTCCCGTCCGCTCAGCCATATACAAGCATGATACCGGCGGATTAGTAGTTAGGTGGGTGACCACTAGCGAATCCCCGCTGTTGTATGTTTTTGGCTTATATTTTTACTCTTTTTTGGTGACTTGAGTAGAAGGTGTAGATGTGTAAGTGGGGAGGATGTGGAGGGAAGGAGAGAGGGGGCGCGAGGGTTGGTAAGAGTCAATGGTTGCGTGGTATATGTTATGTTTGAAAGGTGATATCGGGTGCAGCCTGTAATGTCATGACTTCATTTTGTTCTTCAGATTGTCAGTGGGACTATCGTGGTGGGACCTATGGTAGAATAGTGTCGGATGAGACTTAACTCCACATTCCTCCCTTCTCGCTCACTTTCTTGGCACTCCAGCAGCACCGATACCTATCGCTTACACCCATAATCTTCGTCCTCCTCCGATCCGAAAGTCCTAGCCTCAACCGCATCGTGAGAAGTTCACTGAACGCATTAGCGTCCATATCGACAACATCGAGACTCTATAGCAGTTGGCAGCGCAAGACTCACCCAGACCAGAAGCCTAGTTGGCATCCTGACCAATGCTCAGCTTGATAGACGCAGAGAGATCAAGAGGGAAGCAGTTCTCCTCGCCGTAGATCGGGAGAAGAGAAAACCCGCCGCGGCAGTCGGGTTTGGGGTAGGTATTCATTGTTGACGTGTGTTAGCACTTCCTTCCTCCAGATCCTCACACTCTCCACTTTCCCACCGGTTTCCAATGGAACAAAAGACTTACAAGCATTATACTTGATATCTCCATCCTCCCCAACAACCCTGATGCTCTTCACCCCATCAGAAAACCCATAGCAGACATTGGAATCAATCCAGAGGAACTCGTAGGCGCCGCCGCAGTTGTCTTGTTTGAAGGTTTGGGCGCGGACTTGGGTGTGCGCGCTGGGATCGGCGGAGGTGGTGGGCGTGGGAGTGGCATTGGCGCCGGTCGTGGCGCTTCCCAAGAGGGCGCATAGGAGGATCGTGATGAACATGTTGGTGGTGAGACTTTTGGTGGGAATCGGTGAGTTGGAGTCGTAGGTGCGGGGAGTAAAGGTGGTGGTGTTGTGTGGGATACGGGTTGGTTCAGTGGATGAGTGAAGTGAGTGTTTGATGTGCGTGCGATGATCTGGTTTAGTGGGTGAGTGGAGGTGAAGTGAGTGATGGCGTTTGGTTTGTTCTGCTTGAACAACCCAAACAGCATTGAGGAAGAAGGAGGAAAGAGTTAGGAGCGAGCGAGCTGTTTATAACTCCGTTCTTGCAGTCCCTGAAAGCTGAGGAAGGTACGTGGTTATCTGACGCAAACACTCTGAGGCGGATGGACTCGGGAAGCGACGCCCGACCGCGCGTTTTTAGGTGAAGGCACTGGATGAGGCAGCCACGTCCCTGGTTGCAGGATTTAGATCGTTTGGAAGTCGCGACTGCGGTGATTGCGGAGAAGGTGGGGAGAAGGAGCGGTTGGCTGGTACATAGGAGGCAAACGAACGGTATCGTGATACGTGTCACCAGAGGTTTGATGGTCGGAGGTGGAAGGTTGGCAGGTTTTGTAATAAAGTATTCTCTCGATGGGTCCTTGGGCGGTGTAAAAAGGTGATGTTGGTAAAGAGGGGGAAAGAGGTGAATGGGGAGGTTTGGTTACAGTTGCACAGATGGAGTGATTGTGTGACAGACGGGTAACGACAGGAGCATCGAGCAACGCAAAAGAGGATAAGCTGGAATATGTTGCACGAACATGCTGGATACAGGGAAACATTGAAAACACGTAGCAGTTGAGTATTGCGAAGCCCTTGAATCATACCTACGTCTGACCGTCGCACTTCAGATGTCGAGAACACAAACCTTCATAGCACTATTTGCGGATGTGAGTATCTCAGAGCCTTCAATTATAAACTCGTCAAGAACCAGCCTACTGTATGTTCAACACCATCCTCCCTCACTCATTAACAGGCTTAGCACCCAACATCCACCCAATACCACTTGCCAGCGCCCCCGTCGCAGCATTAGCCACCATATCCCTCCTCCTCACCCGTTCCATGCCATCGATACTGCCCGTCTCACTGCCATCGATACTAACTCTGCCAGAGTGCGGTTCCGTACTTGGCGCAACCTGCACACTACCACTACTACTTCGGAGTGGGAATGCAGTCTTCGAAAACGCAGCCGCAGCACCCCTCGCCACATCAAACAACCCCATTGGCGCTTCTTCCACCGCACCCCGCCCCACTTCGCGGCGCTGCGGCTGCACAGTGATGGGGTCCATGTCGAAAGCGCCGGGGAGTTTGCGGTCGGCTGCATCGTTGAAGCGTTCTTCTGCTTCGGTTTCTTGGGCGAGGAGGTGCATCATTTCTGCTTCGCATTGCTGCCATACACCTAGGACTTCTTCGAGATGGTTAGGTGGGGCTAAAAGGAGGGCCTGCGAGAGGAGTTCCATGCGTTGCTCCAGGCGACGGAGGTCGGGGCGTGCGGCGTTGTTGGCTTGGGTCCAGGAGGTGGATGAGGACAGAGAGGTGTTGTGGCGGCCGGCGCGGAGGGCGGCTCGCCAAGCTACGTCTTCGGCGTCGTCTGAGTGGTCTTCGGTGTCTGCAGTCCCGAATGAGAAGAAATTTGAGGATGTTAGTGGCGTTGGCGACGGGGTTGATGGTGTTAATCGGTTGACTACGTATGAATACGCCGTCTCAAAGTCGTCTTCTTCCAGTGCAGCCTCCACAGCCATACCAATCACTCGTTGCTCTGCTGCAGCTTTCTTCCGCTCGATCGTCGCGGTATCTGTTGGCACGTTTCCTGCTTCTTCGTCCATGATGGTTGATGGCATGGCGACTACCAAGTTCTGACCGATTGAAACCAGATCGTCGAGCTTAGTGTAGCTACCGCTGTTTTGCGATAGTAACTTACGCACTAATGACAGCGGATTGTGGCTCACTCGGATATTGACCGGCTGGAAAGGAACGCCGTGCTGGAGGATGAGCGAGTAGAATGACATGGCGTGAGTTGCTGTGAGCAAGGCTTGGAACCGACGGAATCGCGACGAGGAGGAGAAGTGAGGAGCGAATGCAGTGATGATATCAGCCGCACGCTTCATGCCACCTCTGTTGCGGTTACCGTTGCTAGCGTTGTCGTAGTAGTGCATGGCTGAGGCGAGCACGACCTGCTCCACATCCGAGGAGAGCAGTGGCTGCTCGCCAAATCCTGGTTCGATGTATAGATCTATCACGAGGGGAAAGTGGTTGCTCTCCAGGAGCGCTTTCAATACTTCCGTCTCCAGCATCTTCCGCTCTAGCAAACCGAATACACCTTGGGCTTTTCGGTCTTCGTCGTGGTAATCGGTACCCCAGTTCCAAAGCCACAGCAATTTGGACCGAATAGTTGCCCATTGTTCCCTGTCTTTCTTGGAGCCGCTATTCAGAGTGTGCAGTATTCTTTGGAGTAAGGATAGTTGTTCGGAGTAATCGTCCCGCAGAGACATCTTCGCAATTTCCCGGATAGATACTGGTTGTTGCAAGGTCGATAGGACACACGAAGAGAAGATAATAAGCTCAAGTACGCGAAACGCTTCAGCGCCAGGTTGTGTGATGACGTTGTCAGGATCCAGCAGACGATCTTCTCTCAGTAAAGCAGTCGTAGAGTCCTGGAGAAGAGGATCCTTCAGGTCGTAGCTGGGCAATTGGCCGACACCGGTACTAAGGTCTGGAGGCGGGTCGTAATTGAGAAGCGTGCATATCCTTGTCAAGAGCGAATGTGCAGTCTGTAACGACGTGGTGTCGCTTTTGTCGACCAGGTAGAGACATGCGAGGGCTGTTCGAGCATATTTCATCTCCAGCTGCCGCTGTTGTTGGTCATCGACGTAGTCTCGTCCTTCTTCGTAGCCACCGAGATCCATATCCTCAGGGCCGTCCCAGTCGGAAATGGCTGCCGTGACAAGCGCCAGATGCTCCTTGGATGCATGTAGCAGCCATTGGAACAGACAGTCCCAGTCGTCTGGTTCCCGTGCTTGCTCCTGTGCTATCGACGCTCTCCGACCTTCATGTGTGATCTTCCGCCTCTTGCGGTCATTGGCTCCGCACAGCCATGGGGCGACTACGCCCTTCAGGTCGCGTGCTGCGTTGTGTGTATTGGCATCGGTCGTGCTTCGAGCGTGGGAGAGTTGGTAATCGATGGCACGTCGTCCCTTGAGCGCCGCAAATTCGTCGAGCGTGGTTGCAGCAGATTGTGGGTAGTACTCGTAGCTGAGGCGTAAAAGTGGGAGGACAGTCGATATAAACCACGTGCGTAGGTATTCGGAGTGGCCCAGGAAGGGGACCACAAGTTGCGGTACGAGATCCAGTAGGCCCGTCTGCGAGTCTATTCGATGGGCGCGGTGTATTAGGAAGTGGCTGAACAGATCAAGCTCACTCTGTTCCGCATAGAGAGGATGTACTACGGACGGCAGATCCAGCGCATGTCTTCTCTTCTTCGCCCTTGAATTCGAGAGTTGCTCTACCGATGCAACGTCGAGTGATGCCGCGGGGCTCTCGCCGGGATACCGCGATCCTGTCGCCAGACCATGGAGATATTCGCAATACGATGCCGGGTCGCTCTCTTCTGGGAGGTAGTTGAGGATAATGCTCAGGGTAAGCTCAAGCGGCAGAGTCCCGTCCCGGAGTGCTGTCAGCGCCCGCAGCGCTAGGATGTTGGATTCGGTGGCATATTGTACGGCGAGGAGCACGCAGTGTGACTGGGACAGTTGCGACAGCTTCTGCAGGGCGGCCATGTCGAGAGTTCGTGGGCTGCTATCGTGATTCGACTCTCATGCTTGATGTGAAGCTTGGAAAGGCCACGCCCGCAACGCGACAATTCGCTACGTCAACCGCCAAGCCCCGCTCTCGGGGGTCCGCTCACAGTCGGCCTTTCACCATCCATCACCACACAACACGACAAGACACTGGTCTAGATTGTGCTCCATCAACACCACTCAGTAGAGCTCATCATACGAATAGCAAAGATCCCTGATGTCCATCACGTCGCTAATCTTCGCATCCCAGCCATTGTACCCAAGCGAAAGCGGAAAGTCCAGCGTCACATTGCCGCCCTGCGTGTTATCCCAATCTCGAAGCATTACCGGCCCAGACATGTCGCGTAGTCTTGTTTCTAGGTCTTTCGTCTGCCATGACCACCAAACGCGGTCCAGATTCGCATGATGGAGCCAGAAGATGGGATCGGATGGTGACGCCCACCCATCGCTCATCTGGCCATAGGCGCCACCAACACTGATGCTGAGAAGGCGACTTTAGCATTACAGTAGGAGCATAGCTTCGGAATACTTACTGCCCTCCGGTATGAATCTGACTTTCATCCCAGGTTGTACCGCCCTCCATCGTGCGCGCGAACCATCCATAATCCGCCTGCGCCATGACTTTGTCCAATTCGCTTTTTGCCAAAATGGTGGCAGCATATTCAGGCGCCAGATCTCGCCTAAGGCACTGGTCGTTCCTTGCCAGCGAGTCGAGTGGGCCTAGATGGACTGTAATGTTCATGAAAGGTCCGTCCTCTACGCAGCCACCCCCAGTCCGCCCCGGCACCGTGTTGTTTGAGGCATCGGGGGGTGGAATAAAGGGACCGTTGCCACCGAAGCCGTATGTTGCATCGAATACAGGCGACTGCACGAACTTCCAAGCCGGAGTGTCCAACGTCCAGTCCCAGTATGGCTGCGCGCCTCGATAGCCACACTCATCACGCAATATCTTCTCGTAGTACGCGGTGAAGAGACGATGCCATGGGAGGAATTGCCCCTCGGTCGCCGTCAGTATTTCTCCCAATGGGCGTATACTGCACCTACATCTAGGTGTATGGACAATGTCTGATTGATGTGCGTCGCAACAAGATCGTCATACCGTGAAAGCGCACCTGGCGCAGCAGGGGTGGGCGTGACAGCCGGCTTTTCGAGGAGGCATTGTACCGCAGTGATGTACTGCAGTTGTTCTGTCCTTTTCAAAGTTCGCCTTGAGGTTCCGTCAACTGAAGCGTCTCATCACTCCCTAACTGGCAATGGACCCACCATTCTTTCCTGACAATAGCATGACGACAGCTTGTTGGATGCTCTGCTTCGTTGACACAGCAATATTGCAGGAGCCACAGTACAGTAAGGCGTAGTGACATATTGAAGACCGCAATGCTATGGGTCTAGTCCCAACCACCATCTGTAGACAAGACAGTCCGCATATTTACACCGTGTATGCCTCCCAGCCCCTCAATCAGCTGAACTATCAACACGAGCCGCTAAGACGCCTCTATCTAAGTCAACCCAATCGTATCCGACCGATTGAGACTGGCATATGCACGTCGAACCGTTTGAGCCATCCAATTACCCGGTCATAGGATAGAGTCTTCCAGGACGGCACGCAGTCACGTTTTTGCGTGGCAAATTTGAACGTCAGGCAATTCATATGCACATACTACAACAGTACCGTCCTTGTTTGCTAGTATAAGATGCGAACTTGCCCATCACCAAAATGGAAGACTAGGTCGCTCAAGCTGAAAGATTTTGCATACATCGTTCTTGCACATAGAGTGGTATCTGAGTAAGTTCGACTCTACCAGCGAGGCTTCACTCCGGATGGGTAACCTGCTCGCAGCATCCTTCAACCTCCTGAGGATCTTACAGTTCTTGGCTATAAGACCGCTCGCCGCGTTGATTCCAGTCAAGTCTAGGCACATTTGCGTGCTGCCGTATGCCCGTACCGAGGTGCCAAGTGCTTGATCGACATCGCTGCAAGCCCCTAGCCTAGCGCCCCCATCGTCCGACAACGCCTCGAACAACACCAGCCACGACCTTCTGTCACCAAGCTTACGAGCCCCAACCTCTGGCGACCTGTTCTTCTTTTGTTTCGACCGAACGCATATTTAGATATCAGCAATGAGTGATCAACAGTTGCATCTCAGAACGAAACTTCTCTAAGGAAGAAAAGCGCAAACAACGGGAAGCAACGGCAGTTCGCTTGTACACACCCTTCGCCAAGCCAACATCAAACATGCAGCGTTTCCAGCACCGAAACAAATGTGTAGCAGCACAGTATGTCGGCCCAGCCCTTGGAGTTGCAGATCAAGCTTTGAATGCCTGACCTTGGAGTCATTACTTAGATCGATGGCTGCCTGGCCTCTTTCTTGACCTCCACATCCTCTTACTCTCCTTGTTGCTTGTACATTCTTGATACCCTGGTTCGGTCCATTCTTTGCGCGTGCGCACGTTACAATCTTTATTAAATACTCATTCTTTTACTATATTCACCGAAAATCTCTATCTCAACCAGAAATCATGTATATCGATACTGCGTCGGCGAATAGTCGGTCCTCGAGGCCTCAGATTACTATCGAGCCATCGCCGTATAATGATCGCTCGACACCACTCATGGAGGCTTTTGTGGGACAAGAGGCTGGAACGGAGGAGAGGCCACCGCCTACTTACCTCGAAGCTACCACGCCTGGTCTTTACACAAGTCGACTGAGTGGCGAAGAAGGCGCGAGGTTGCTCTCCTTTGATGGACGAGAAGCCCGAGATGCGACTTACAAGGAGGAGCAGTACGGAAGACGGAGTCTTAGGTCGCAATGCCTCAAGAAGACCTGGTTGAAGGTGGTCGGTACAGTGCTTGGTATGATGCTCGTGTCTGCTATGTTGGCCCTGATGGTTGCCGCTGTGTCAGTCCGCAGGGACAGACAGGTTAGTGGATACACCCAAAGAAGTACTTCATCATACTCACACATACGTCAAGAACTCTTCCACTACCTCTCTATCTTCAGCACAGTCCGCACAGGGTGACGCCGCCCACCCTGAAGGCTTCATCGACGACGATTCCGACAAGCCCAGTCTCATTGCCGTCCCATGGCCATCACCATCCGCCGCAGCGCAACCCACAGCACCGAAACAATCCTTCCCCATCCGATGGCCATCAAAGTGCGGAAAAGACTACAACGTCCGAACCGAACACCACGACTTCGGCCAAACAAGCGAGCTCAGCATCCAAGAAGCCGTCCACCAACTCGACGGACCATACAGGCGAGTAGCAGGCTGGATTCATGTCGCAACCGCCCCTCCCGAGCAAGCCCCCGGCACCATCCAAGTAAAGACATCCTACGCCGTATCCGCCTCCGTCGACGTCAATGCTGTCCGATACGCCTCCACAGACAACAGCCTCACAATCGGCGACCCTTCCTTCCCCGACGGCTTCGACGGCGTGCGCCCCGGAAAGGCCTGCCTGGGCATGTCCGTAGTACTCTACATGGCCCCCGGCGCCACCCTCTCAAAACTGCACATCGCGACCACGCACATGGGCATGCAAATCCACAGCGGCACAAACTTCACCGTCACAGACTCCACCTCCATCTCCCTGACCACTGGCACCCTCGACGCCATCGCATTTTCCTCCCGTCAAACATACCTCTCCACCATCTCTGGTTCCATCTCCGGCGCCTACGCCCTCTCCGACCTCCTTTCCGTCAGAACGAAGAGCGGCTCCGTGAACATCGACATCGAACCCCAGCCTGCCGCAGAAGGCTCCACGAACCCCGCTGTCTTCACCGTAGACTCGCTCTCGGGCAGCATCCGAACGGATTTCAAACGCAAACACATCCCGGAGCGCGACTACCAAACCTACATCAACACGACTGTCGGCTCCGTCGACGGAACATTCATTCACGGGTCGCGCACCGAATTTAATTCCGTCGCTGGCCTCGTCACCGCCGACCTCCTCCCGTTTAAGTCTGGGGACTACCAGTCCGAAATCTACACGCACACCCACTCTGGTCAAACATCCCTCACCTTACGCTCGCCGTATAGGCAGAAGGGGGTAGCGATGTCCGGACTGGTGAGTACGCATAAGAGCACGAGTGGTGGTTTGGATGTTACGTACCCTCAGGAATGGACGGGCAGTGTAGATGGCACGTCATTGAGTGGGGCGTTGCACTTGCAGGGGAAGGAGTTGGAGTTGTTGGGCGAGAACGATGAGCCGGGGAAGAATCATGTGGAGGCGAAGAAGGGGGATGGCAAGAGTAGTTTGAGCTTCGATACCGTGTCTGGGGGTTGCGAGATCAAAGTTGGGAAACTGTAGATGTGATATACCTTTTGATTTTGGTGTTGAGGGTTAGACGGTACTCCTCGTAAATGGAAGACATCACGATTCATTCTACTTTGATGCCCAACATCCGTATCTCTCATGAACTCAAACACGCCGTCTCTTCAATCACCCACGCGTTTTCATCTATACTAACTCATTATTTGGATTTGCAACAGCTTAACGTTCCTCGTTTTCGAAATTCTTGCCCCGTAGATGAGTTGTCGTCCGCGCGTCCCGCTCCCGCCAGCTCCTCCCTGCCAGCCCTGTCAAAACCACTGTCTCGGCACACATGGATGACCCCAGTTCCTTCACTTATGTTGTACACGTCGATCCCGGGTCTTGGGGCTTAGGGCAGTAGGGCTGAAAGATGTGCGGTTGGGTTCGGGGGAGTTGCGACGCATCTACGACCGGGTGTCTTGGGTTGATTGGAAGTGCCATGTGTCGTTCGTGGTGTGGGTGTAGGCTACGTCATAGCGTAAGGCTGAACTTTGTTGGAGTTCGTGACGGAGTGATGGGCTGCAAGGAGGGGCTGGATTGATGATGAGCTAGTGAGACTTTGTGTTCACGTTCGTACATGTTGCGATAGGCTGATGCCATGTGGTCGCGCTGTAGTACCAGATCTACATGTCGAGCCTGTGGATTCAATGAAAGTAACGTCGCCGATGACGTGGTCGAGGGGTCGCTGCAGGATCGTTTCGTACGAACCTAGCTTTTGCATGCATAATCTGTGGTGCACGTGCTGTGTCGTCTCTTATGATATGTGGTCGTGATATGATATTGATGAGCCCCAAAATGGTAGACCAAAGTGTCGTCTTTGACTCTTTGGGACGATCGACGCTGCATAGGCACATCGTCTGGGCGACACGGTATCCGTTTGCGACTCAATTGGAAGTACACCTGTTGTTGGCCGAGACGTGCCGGACAGATCTTGACCTGAAAGACATGAAGCTGTGGAGATACCGTTGGCACCAGGGGGCAAGGCAATATTTACTCCTAATCGCATGACGAGAGCGGCGATCTGTAGCGATTTTGAGTTCATGAGAACTGTAATCATTCATAGCTGGTGTCTTATGCTCTTTGCAAGCCACGATGCTTACGTGCTGGGGTCGTTCCTTGTGGCGCATCATCCGCTTTGGATTCTTGGACTGTCCCACACGGCACCCGAGGCAGGGCTGCAGTAGTTCGTGCTTCGGAATTCGAACTCTAGGAAGATTGCAGGTAGCCTAGGTTCTCAAATTCCGGTGGTAATTGTACCCTGTTGACATATGTGTGTTTGGGTTGGTGGTGGTACAAGACTGAGGCATGCATCGTAACGAAGCCACGAACCAGGGCAAGATTGCGAACCATTCCGCGGCCTCGTGATCTGAAGTCATTCCTTCATCCGTACAAGGCCAAGTCCTGGAAATATTGAATTCAATCAACGACGTCTTGTAACGTTCAGACTAGCAGGTAATTTGGCGATCGGCCGCTGTCACTTGTCAACATGACTCAATGACGTGCAGAAGCTTGATAACCGTTGCACCGTGCTAACTACACACGACTGACGACTGACGATATGATATTCCTGCTGGCGCAAAGATGGCGCCATTCCGGGCAGAACGGAATGAAGTGGCTTCGCGTCAGTCATGGGCTGTTGACGATGCCACTGCTCGGCGTTAACGCGGTGCGTCCGAGCAGTGAATAGCTGAATACGTCGACTTCACATGGAAATGCGGCCACAACTCCGCTGCGCGACACAACCGAGCGCTCGTGTCGGCGAATCAATATAGAAAAAACCGAGAAATGTGTCGATGGTGCGGTACACGTTGCGAGCAGGGTGGGTCTCAGGTTCCCCTGGACGTGTGTCAAGAGTGTTTCGGACCTGTCGCGACGCGGTAAAGAGACGTGGGGCCAGAGGAAGCGACTGCTGACTCAGCCCATCCCTCACCAAACTACGCGCCACATGCGATGATACACTGTCCACCCCCCAATCAGCTGCTCCGTGCCACCAGACTCGCACTCGATTGAGACAAAACTTTTCCAGCTATGATGAAACTGGATCCCTAAACCTGGTAGTGGAGCTGATACAGCGGGAAGTTGCGTATCTTACGGCCGACCTCTACCAGCTCTCCATCCTTCCATAAACGACATGCACCAGCCTGTTCGAGCGCTGAAACTCGACGCCGAGCTGCAACGAGTGATGGGATGCCCTTCCAGCTAAACTCATCGACCAAGTGCTCCCTGTCAGAGGGTCGTCATGATGGCCGAGGGCAGCGCAGCATCCATGTCGACACCTCTGCCTCAGTACATGGGGCACTTGGTGCGCAGGGCCGAGGAGCCTCTCCGAGCCAGCCGAGAGGATCATGGAGACAACGACTGGTGCGACCGTTCAGAGTGCGTCTAATCGCCTTTTGGCATCCCAGCAGCCTTGCGCCCGGTCCACCACCCACTACACCATCCCCGCCAGACTCTCTTTTGGGTGAACGCTTCTGCTGTGGCCGTTCCAGATCACCTGCAGCCAAGGCGCGTCCCGACACTTCTCTCAAACTTGCGCCCAAGCGGTTCCGTTGCGTCAATCACAGAGATCATTGCTCTTCGTTGTTCCTCTCGGATGCTGCAACCCCCGTGCACTCATCATATAGCCTAGCAACCCCTCCAACCGCCTTTCCTACTATTTGGCCCGTCACTCTTTAGGATCCTGCCCAACTACTATCTTCGTATACATTTCTTTCATTTGGAGCGGGCTCCATCCGCGCTGGCAGCGATTGAGAACTTTGTTCTCGTACACTCATTTGAGAAACTTACATCTAACCCGGCGCCACATTTGCTCAGCCATAGTCGCACAGCGCTATCGCCCTGCCACATTCATTTCTGCAGCCGTCTACTTTCGTTATCAATGTGAGTTTCCTAATTGAGTGTTGCTCGATGTCACTCCTCCAGGGCTTCGACGGGTGATCCCTTGTCTAGCAGTATAGCCTAATCAGTCGCTAACCACGTTGCACTACAGACCACTTCCATAACATCTTACGGACGTTGTATATAGAGAACGAAACCCAAGATGGAGTTCAATGCGGTTCAACAGTAAGCACACTCAGTATGCTTTGTTTCGTGCGCGCAGACTGACGACCTTCATAGGTACCGTCCGTCACCTAATCGGCAGTACGCCATGGGACATCCCTCCCCCTCCCCAGGGATGCAAACAATGTACTCTTACGCAAGCCTTCCTCCTCATGAACAGCAACAACATCAACAACATCAACAACATCAACAACATCAGCAACAACAACAGCAACAACACCAGCAACAAGGCCTGCACCCTATGTCCAGACCTTCGCCACCCCAGTCCACTTGGGCTATGCCGCAAACCCAGTCGTACTATGCTACGCCGCGGGGTCCTGTTGTAGGCAGTAGAGAGGATCAACGACAGTTTATGGGAAGACCGGACATGATGACTTCGCAACCGACTGTTACTAGTGGTGTTGCCTACAGCACCACCATGACTGCCCCGCAATCGCTTGCGACGACCGACTACTTTCCCGGCGTCATCGACACAAGTAAGCGTCTTCAATAGCTGACATACACGTAATGCTAACGAACAAAGGTCCATGGGGTCAGAAGGTGTGCGAAGAGCTAGAATCATTTCCTTCTCTGGAGTCGGACGTGTCGGACTTCAGTCACGGCATGATGGGACACGATGAGAACACCCCGATCATTGACTTACGCCAATACAACAACATGGGCCAGCAAGAACACGACAACATAGCGAACTTCAACCCAAACTCCACCCGAAGACTGTCTGAATCGTCCTTTTCGATGTCGAGCACTGGCGGTGTGCTTCCAGAGCCGGCGTCGTACGAAGAGATGGGATCATCTGAACCAGTTTCATATCCGTCTGAGTATGAGACTTGGAACCACCCGGAGCCGAGTGCCAGCCATCTTCTATCGCCGCTTGCCTCACCACGACGACCCCAGTACGATGGCGTTGTTCGCACTGGAAGTCGCTCCCGCGTGTCGCCGGCACCGCACAACAATGTCCGCTCATCACCATACACACTTGAAAGCACTCGGTTCAAGAGATGGTCTACTGGACAAGCGCCGACATCAACTCCAAGCAACTCGCGCCCAATGTCGCAAGTCTCGGATCGTTTTGCCCCATACGGTCCTCGCATGAACCCGCATCACTCGCTACCCGCTTACCCCCCGAGCGCCTACAACAACTTTGGACTACCTACGCAGAATATGTTGTACTCGCAATCGAGTTCGCCTTATGCCAACAACCAGCCCTTCTTCGCGCACCATGAGCAGCAGCAACAGCATCTCGAAGTGCCTCGACCTCTACCTTCGCAGGGCCTGTTCCGCTTACTCCAAAGTAACGCGGATCGTCACGGAGGCTGCTCATCTCACTTTGCAGACCTTTCAGACCCACCTGATCTCTACTCGTCCCTACACGAAGAGGCACTGAACCCACCGGAGTCCGACATGAACCCTTCCGATCCCGACCTTGTACCACACGAGCAAGATCTTCGCTTTGTTGGCGACTTGTATACCCCGCGTTGGGTTCGCGGTCATGGCAACAAACGAGAAGGCTGGTGTGGTCTATGCAAGCCTGGCAGATGGCTCGTACTCAAGAACAGTGCTTTCTGGTACGACAAGTCCTTCACCCACGGCGTCAGCGCAGCTACCGGCGCGGCGTTCCAGGGCCCGCAAGACACGCGCCGGACGGAAGGCAATCTCGACGTCTGGGAAGGACTTTGCGGAAGCTGTGGCGAATGGATTGCGCTTGTCAGCAATAAGAAGAAGGGAACGACATGGTTCCGACATGCGTATAAGGTAAGTCGTCTGTCCTTCACATTCCACGGTGCTTGGCTATTGGTTCTCGGTAGTTTTAATTCGCCTCGCTACCAACTATAATGAGATTTAGCATGCTAACGATACAATAGTGTCACACACATCCCAAAGTCAAAGATGGCCCCAAGCGCCGCCGTGAGACACAGGCTGGGCGCGTTCGTGCAGCATCGTCCGCATCAGCGACGTCGTCTTCGTATCCAGTCAAGCCGGAGCTCTCGACGTCAGATGCGACATCTCACCGCCATTCTACACCAACACCGATACCCGGTAGTTCGTCGCTCCAGTCCTATGGCATGTCGAGCGGCCCGTCTCCCATGCCAACCTCCACGCCAACATCGACCCCGCAAGTCAACACTTCGTGCTATCCCAGCACAGCATACCCCACACCAACTTCAGGCACACCCAACATGCATTCGCTTCGTACCCCGACAGCAACCTCTTTTGGTGATGCGTACGGCGACCCTTCCAGCAGACACGAGCCGGTAGTTGGCATGTTCACCACGCCATTACAAAGCTTACAGAGTTTCTCTGGCCACCAATACTCGCATTCGCCAAACCTTTCGCATCAAGTCAGCGAGCCAGAACTCGTGGGTATACGAACGACTACCACGGCACTCAACTCGATCGCGAGCATGATATAAGTCAAACTTCGATCTCTAGACTTTCTTTCACGAGCAACAATTGTGTCCTGGGTTTCGGCGTCACCGGCGATACGGTACCTCAACGGCGGGATGGCACCAAAAGACTATCGCACGGCTGGTGCGGTATGGGTATCTGAACTTCATCATTTTTGCGTCTAATCTTGCACACGTCATCGCGACTATTACACCCCTTTCAAGCGTTCTTGTTTATAGCGTTCCATTCCCGCAGCAGCGTCACATCAATCTCGGCATTCACGAAGGCACGACTCCCAGCATTTTCAGTAGTAGCATAGCCTTTCTGTCATCTCATCCCTCTCTCTCTCTCTGACATGTCACACACACACCAGCGATATCCCCCCTTTACTTTGCCAACAACGTAGGTAGAACGTAGTTTAGTCCCGCTTTTTTCTTTGCGCAGCGCGAAACGTTTATAGACTTGTTTTCTCCTGCAGAAGTTGCAATACATTGAACAAAACGTTGAGAAGTTTTACATTCATGGACTTGAGAACTGTTGAGTTGGGCTATATTTGGATAATAGAAGTAAAGAAAATGTTGAGTAAACGTGCTTAGGAAAATAAAAAGACGTTGATTTGGTCGACTGGATCTGCAGCGGTGCGGGAACAAGTAAAAAGGATGCCCAACGCTCAGCCACATCCGACACTACAATGTTTTTCCCGCACTGCCACCTCACGCAGTCACTCAAACACCAAAACCACAACCATAACAACAACCAGCAACATCCACGCACCAACACCCCATCTACTCACCCAGCAACCACAACGCACCGTAACTATCTGCCGACCTACCCAGAATAAAACCCTCAACTTCGTCTTCCCGCATTCCCGCACACAAGTTGTTTCAGCCTTTTTGCCGTTGGGTCTCAGATCCTGCAGCCCGAAACTGAGGCTGTGACGAGGCTGTGTAACGTGGATGAGGCCGTGTGGGTTGGGTATGACAGCGGAATGGGAGTGTTGACCGAGGTTTTCGGCCGTCGTCGGCCGGTGGGTGGAGAGGGGAGGGGGATGTGTATTGTGGGTGTAGGAGGGAAAGTGGGGAAGAGATCATGTCAAAAATAGTCGGATGGTATAGAGTGTTACCGATATTAGTGAGGTTTATTCGTAGTGATGTGGCCCACGTTTGCTGGGTTGTATCGTGAAGGCCGCGCGCGCCGTTCGCATGACCCATCGCGAACAACGCCGTCCACATCTAGTCCCCGTCCTCCGATATCCACACTTTGGCAAACTCTAAAGACTCCCAGGAAATTGTTCATGCATACGCCACATACAGCAACCCACCTGTCACCATCGTATTCCACGATCCCGCAATCCTAGCCTCGTATCCTGAGGCTGGGTCGAACTCAAGGTCCAAGCGATGCCGAACGGGATCTACGACGTGGCGTTGTCCAGGCGTATGCACGACATCTGCTTCTGATCGGTGAAGGTGGTTTTTAAGTTATATGAAGGACTGTTCGTCTGCCGCTTGGGGAAGGAGGACGGGTAGGGGTTGGTTGTGGAGATGGGAGATTATGCCAATGCGGGATTCGCGGCATATGCGGGGAGAAGAGTGCGATTTGGGAAGGCTTTGCGGGGCGATGTGAGATGAGGTAGAATGAGCGTGAGGTATGTAACCTGGCGGAGGAGTCGGATGTTAAGTGAGGCGCGTTAAGACGAACATCCGCATCCGGGTTTGCCGTGGTGTTTGAAGTCGTGGTAGGCGGTTCTGACGATAGCCTCGACCGACTCCGATCGAAGCCCTAGTACATAGTTTGAGCTGCGATTCCTGAATGGTTTTGATGCGTCGAGTTGTTCGTCATACAGCACGCTCCGCTCGAGCAGAAACATGCCAGAGTCGGGAAATCCTTTCTCTATTCTTTTCTCTCCCTCTGCAACACACTCTTGAACATCGTAATTCCCGAAGGTAAACTCATGGCCAATTGTCTTTTCAGCAGATCTCAGGACCTCGTTGGCGGACGTTATGACGCCTGCAGCGTATATGTATTGGTTCCTGACTTGGTCCCAATGTGAGATGACGCGTTCCACGACTTGTCCGACTCTTTCCAAACTAGAAGCTGCGAAAGCTTCAGTACCGATGCCATGAATAGTCGCGCTATGCCATTCGAGATCAAAACCCATGTTGCCGCTAATAAGCTGAGTATCCAGCGTATAACCTGTCGCAATCGCAGTCCATTCGAAATATGGGTAATCCTCCCGCATGCTCCTCAGATGAGCAATGACCTTTGCTCGGCCGGCATCTTTTGGAATGCGCGCCTGTATCTGCTTGTTCATGCTGTCGTGACTGAATTCATCCGGAATGAAGCGCCTGACGCCGGCGGCGATGGCGGCGTTGATTATGCGGATTTGTTGCTCTGAATCTCCGCCTGACATTGTGCTTATAACTAAGTCTTGTCCAGTCATTACTGATTGCAGTGAAGTTGACGAGTAGCCAGATTTCTTATGCTGTACATCGGAAGCCTTGACGTGAGGTGGCAGGCTGAGGGTTTGTGAAAGATAAGTGAGTACAGTGACTTGATATCTGGGTGTGCCAGGTTGTTTTTCCTGTGGAAAGAGGGCGTTGAGGATGGTGAGGCAAAGCTCCCAGTTCTACGCATGTTAGCCACCCGATACTAGCCAGCCCGTTTCGCGTCTTACCCCTAAAATCATTATCTTCTCGATTGCCATGTTGGCTTTTCAGAAATCAAAGACAGGTAAAGAAATGTCACCCGAGTCCAGTAAGCTTTGCCTTTACATAGGGTGGAAGATGAGGCCCCCCGCACTTGACGCGGTTGAAAGGAAGAGCCAACACTAGCTCGTTTCGTCATACAAAATAGGACCAAAAATGAAGCTGTAGAGGACTGTAATATCAATACGGACAGGGGATCCAACATTCTATACACCAATCATCATCTTTGGGGTACTGTGCAAACCTTAAACTCTAGTGTTAGGTAGTCCGGCGGCATGCAGCAGCGCCGCCCCAGAACATGAGCGAAGGCTATCATGAGACGGGATGGGTGTAGTGGAAGCGACGATGTAGCAGTCTCAAGACCTCTTAGAGACGCAATGTTTGACACAGATGAGTAGTCGTGGGGAAGTGCGGAGTTGGTAGAGGAGGTGGTGCCAAGCCCTCGCACGGACGCGGCAACTTCCGGAATCGCAGCTGTGCGAGCTTTTGCGGACGACGATAGCAACATCACCGAAACTCCCGCGACCGCAACACCATCTCCGCTCATCTCCCCAGGCTTCGACCATCGCGTCCAGTGCGTCAATTCCCCCTCTCACAGGCTCCGCCCCGCCAATTGGACCCCCACAGCAGTGCGCTGACCCGCAAAACTCCAGATAGCCCATCATGAACGCCGCCCGCTTCCTCCGCCCCTTCTCCAGGGCCGCCGCTGCCCGCGCGCCCATGGCTGTCCGCCCCTCCGCCCTGGCGCGCCCCGCCTTCATCGCGAGCCAGAACAAGAAGACCGAGGTTGGCCCTCAGCAGATGGTGAGATTGGAGATTCGGAAATGGTAGAATGATGGAAGGAAGCTAATACAAGTGATAGACTGTCCTCAAGTCGGCTATGCCCCAGCTCATCCCCTTCTTCTTCGTCAACGAGACCACCGTGGCCTTCATCCTCCTGCCATCGCTCATCTACATCTTCTCCAAGTACATCCTCCCCCAGCGTCTGCGCATGTTCGCTGCCCGTCTCTTCATCAGCAAGTTGTAAGCGAGGGGGTTGGAAGGACCAGAAAGAGCGGATGACACTGTATAAGTAGTGGGAATATGCTCATAGACAATTGAAAGGCATTGCACGATGGATGGTGATTTGTGGAGTGATGACTATAGGGCATTTTCCGATGTTTAACCGATGTCTCGGGCTCGCTCACGATACTACGAGGAAGGCCGCATGAGCTGGAAAAAATGCAGAGAGGACCTAGTGTGTTCTGAGCGACAACCCCGCATCAATGAACGGTAGCCGTGTCTATCAAACCAGCGAAGAATGAACATGTGGGGCATCTCTTCAACTGACCAGGCTCAAGCCTTAGACTTCAGTATCCTCAAACAACCACCTTGTACGGTCCACATCCACTGCAACTGCATCTTATTACCGGTTTCCGAGCGGCATTTCGAAGGCGCGTTTCGTCAGCACGCAACCATGAGTCGACATGCCAAGTTCTGATGCGTACCCAGCTATGTCTAGCAAGGTCCCCCCTCAATTTGACGAGACTTGCCACTGCACAAGCTGAATACTGATATCAGACGTGTTAGTACTCACAACCACCTGGAGTGTCTGCCTTGTCTTTGCGTAGGTTCAATTTTGAATCTTGCCTTCCATTTTATCACCACGGCACTACAAGCACTGTCCTCACTCTTGACCTTCCGATTCCTTCCTCACACTGCCTGATGTGAAACACCGATCAACGACATGCGCAGCAACTGCAGTCATGATAGCGCGGCTGAAGAGGCTGTCTCGGATCACCTGCTTACATACCTCTTGGCGAGTCCGACATAAGACCGTGACAACGGACAGATCTGACAGATCTGGCATACGCATGCAATCTTCCGTCCTTTTGCATGCTGTTTCTCTACTTACTACAACGTTTCCAGCACATAAGGGCCTATTTTGACAAAGTGCTTCATTTCATATGCAAGTGATCTGCTTTGAAGCTTACATGCAGGTACCCATAATGTCGCAAGCACCCAAGACCGGGAAGACCCCGCGGCGCAAACATCGGGGAGATACGCATCGTGGTGCACGTAGTATAAAGTGAGGCAGTGAGGCAGTGTAGCTTAGCTTAAGGTCATATACGTCGACTTGAATCCCAAACATTTCATCCAAGTCTCTCAACATGAAGTTCACGATCCTTACTGCCCTCTTAGGCTTTGCCTCTCTCGCTGTCTCCGCCCCTGCACAACTTGTCGAACGACAGGGAACTCTCGAACAAGTCACAGACAGCTACATGTTCGACATTTCCATCGCAGAGTTCATCGCCAACCGTAATGGCAAGGTCGGTCCTCCGGAACTAAACTGGGAGAGCAATGGATGCACGGCGAGTCCGGATAATCCGTTCGGATTTGACTGTATGTTCTCTTTCCCCACATTCTCCATTACCCGCCATCCCTCCAGTTTCCGTATCCTTTACGTGCTTCTCGGCAGATGAAGCCCATGATGCTGATAATTGCAGTCCTCAACTCCTGCTATCGCCATGACTTTGGCTACCGCAACTACAAACAACAAGGCCGCTTCGATGCGATGAAGGCGCGTACCGACGATAACTTCAAAACGGACATGTTCAACCAGTGTGCGACTGAGAGCGCGAAAGGACCGTGTGAGGCGACTGCTACGTTGTACTATGAGGCTGTCAAGGCGTTTGGGAAGAGGGAAGAGGAAACGATGGAGTAGACGAAGGATGTATGATTGAATGTCATGGTGTCATGTTAGAGAGTATGCTTCAGTATGAAATGATGGTCTCCAGTCCCGGTCGTAATCGATAAGCCACCCTCGGCGCCTTCCCCCAACAGCGCCAATCCCAGTACCCTCATCAACCTTCCAATCAACAACGTCATGCCCTCAGGGTCCAAAACGACCGCTCAAACCCCGAAATAGCCCTCTCCCTACTTCCATCTGACATTTCCACAACTTTCCACAATGCATCACCCTAACCCTTTCCCACTTGCCCTAACGCGTCATACCCCCCGACCCCGACCGAGGTCATCCGAAGTCGCAGACCCTGTGATGCATGCGCGTGGGCTCGCTCTTGGCGCCCGACAATATGGCCGACCATGAGCACCAGCTGTACGAGCTCACTGCAGCTTCGTCAGTTTCAGCGACAGAACACGACACGATGCCGCCGGATGAGCTGGAGGAGGTGCATGCCGTGGATGCGCGGTTACATAAGAGGACTCTGAGGAAGCTGGACTGTTTACTATTGCCGTTTCTGGCGTTGCTGTTCTTGTTTAATGCGCTGGATAAGTCGAATGTAGGTATTCGCGAAGTGAAGGGGAGAAACATGGGCTGACTTGAGGCAGATTGGAAATGCAGAGTCTGCGCATTTCACGGCAGATATTGGACTGGACAAAGGCGCCTTGAACACAGCGGTTGCGCTGTTCTTCGCTTTCTTCGTTGCGCTGCAACCGCTTGGTGCGGCGCTGGGGAGGAGGTATGGCATGGTGCTTTGGGTGCCTAGTTGTATGCTTCTCTGGGGAGTATGCACGGCGCTGCATGCGTGGGTACGACATAGGTGGCAGCTGTATACGCTGCGCATCCTCATCGGTTGTCTTGAAGGTATGGATGCCTCCCACTTGCTCTTTCCTCATTCGATGGTCGCTTCCCTATCCAGACGCAGAAGCTAACATTGTCCGTAGCTGGATTCTACCCAGTCACCGTTACCTACCTCTCCCTCTTCTATACGCGCTTCGAATTCGGCAGACGACTCTCGTTCTTCTACGGCCAGGCGGCAGTTGGTGGTGCGCTTGGGGGCCTTATAAGCTACCTTGTCTTTTCCCACTTTGGAAAAGACAATGAAGGTTCAGACAAGGATTGGAGGCCGTGGCAGGTGCTCTTTCTACTGGAAGGCACTCTCACTATCGTGGTGGCATTCATCGGATACTTCTGGCTACCGCATAGCGTGGAGACGGCATGGTTTCTCACGCCCGAGGAGCGTCGATATGCATCTTCGCGTGTTGTGAGAGACAGAGACATACAGAACGCACCGACAGCAGTTCAGGAGGACGACCGGGAGGCAGAAGAAACCTACGATGAGGAGTCGCGTGGTCTTCTCGACTCATCCAAGCACTCAATCACCTCAGCTACGCCATCGCGACAGCTGGTGGACGATCGCGGCCTGAGTCCTCACGACGTACTGTCAGCAGTCTTCAACACCAAGATATGGCATATTCTGGCCTGCAACGTTCTATCTGCCATTCCAGTCTATGCCTTTTCCGTCTTCCTCCCGCTTGTATTGGCACCTTTGACGAAGAAAGCGAACCCTGCGCTCATCAACTTGCTCACTGCACCACCACACATCTGTGGAGCCATAGTACTGTACTTCGCAGCTAGCTACAGCGACAAACATCGCATTCGCCTCAAGCCTATACTACTCGGCCTGTTCATCATGGTGACTGGCTTGGTAATCGTGGTCCTGTTGCCAAGCTCATGGGCAATACCCCGCTACATTGCTCTCAACATCCTCCTCTCTGGTACCTACGTCGCTTCTCCGCTCACTGTGGCCTGGATATCTGGCAACACGCCGTCACCTGGCACGCGTGCATTACTCCTCGGTATCAACGGCTGGGGCAACCTTGCTGGAGTTATATCAGCGATCCTTTTCCGACCAAAATATGCCGCGGGTGGTTACATCGTTCCGTTCTGGTGGACGCTTGCATCTGTCGCATTAGCAGCTCTCGGCTATGTGCTCTTCCTTCGACGACTAAAGGTTGAAAATGAGATGCGGCAAAATACCATACGCAAGTGGAGCGAAGACGATGTCGAGGCAGAAAGACTGCACGGCCGAGGTCCGGTACCGCAGCGGCAACGATGGCTCAAGAGAGCTATCGGTATGACAGGGTCGCATAGTAAGCTCGCATGGCTCGCTGATTGGCTTGAGAAGGCTGCGCGAGCTGGCAGGGAGGGTGACGATAGGCTCACATTCGTCTACGGATTGTGAGGCACGATCTGCTGTACGATACTGCGAAAGACTATGTCATGCCGAATTCATCTTCGCATCGTCCCATAGGAGAGGATGAGCATACGGTACCCACATATGTCAGCGTCGAGGCTTTCGCGTGGGGCGCAGCGCTGTCGAAGCGATACATAGCCTCAGCCTCATGACCCACAAGGCAAAATCTTGGCAGCTGAAGTACTTCGAGTACGCCAGTCGACTATCGAAGGACAGGTAAGCTTCTTTCTTTCGTGTTCTCATCGTACCTCCCAACGTAGGAAAAGGCAACGCTTTCCACCTTAATTCAATCAAAAACAAGCAGAAAGCAATTCGCGCATACTGCCGTGGTCGCCTGACTGTACTCCGTCCTCAATCGCGTTCCATGACGCCGCAGCCAGAACGAGAAACATTGCCATGTCTGACGGTTCACAATATCATTCCTGGAAACCTGAGCCCTTGGTTCGTGGCACGTTCTCTATACTCTCGTCTTCCCTTTTGACGATGATCTTGTGTGTTTGGACATCCGTTCACTTGAATATCCCTGAGTATGGAAAAGCCAAAGCACAGACCTGGCGAAAAATAGGCTGGATGTTTATAGCGCTTTTTGCTCCGGAATGGGTATGTATGGATTGTATTATTGTATGGCTGGCAACCGCTAACTCAACTCAAGGTTGTTTTCACTGCCTACTGTGAGCATATGGATGCAAAGGATGTAGGGAAAACAATGCGGAAAGCTTTCGACCAGCCAGACCCCCCGGGTTTCATCGAATGGCTGAAGATGATACTGAACGAGTTCCTCCGATCCGTCTTCGATGGTTTGAAATGGATGGGAACCAAGATAGGGCTCGTCAAACAAGCAGAGCATGTTCCCCAAGCTATAGATGTGGAGCTTGATCCCAAGTTTCGGAGGCACTCATGGACAAAAGCGCACTCTCTATACGCCACGATGGGGGGATTCGTCGTCGATACCCGTGGCATAGACCAAAACTATCTCAAGGATGGGCAACAGAGGATGACACTGACACTTCAGGGTCTCAAGTATGTCGCTAACTGGGCGCCTGACATCCTTCCGGACCTACACGAATCCGCGATCATAGACAAGAGCAAGGCTAACGCCTTCACGAAGCTCGTGACGTGTGGACAAGCGTCATGGTTTGGCGTACAATGCTTGACTCGCTCAGTCCAAGGCCTTTCCATCTCGCTCCTGGAGATTAACACCGCTGTGCACGCTATCTGTACCTTGGGCATGTGTGTGCTTTTTTGGTGGCACAAGCCTCTTGATGTTGAGGAGCCGACCATTCTCACACATGCAGACACACATCCGGTGATTGCATTCCTAATAACTGGCCAGACGTATCGGAATATTCGTGTGTCACTAATGGACATGGAGGGCGACAACGCTCTTGACCTAGTCCCCGACTCTGGAACAGCGATCCACCATCCCAACTTGAACCATATCCTGCTCAAGCCATCGAAGGACCCGAGTTTCCCGCCGCCTCTCTATGTCGTATATGATGGTTTTGCTATCCCTGCGTCCAGATCTATTTCGAATAAAATTGTCGATGATCTTACCGAATCAGACTTCGAACGCTTAAAGCTTGCTTCACAAGCCATTAGAAAATATGGGTCATATACTGAAACGCTGCGTCACATGAGTAAATCCGTAGGAAAAGACCACTACTTGATTGTACGTTCGCGCAATCGGCCTATTTCAATGGATACGGATTCGGACGCGGAGACTTCCTGGGTTTTCGGATTTCCTCTTGCTGGTCTCTTCTACGGCGGTGTACACCTTCTAGTTTGGAACCGGCCTTTTCGCAACGAGACGGAGAAGCTGGTGTGGAAAATAAGCAACCTGACCATTCTGTTATCAGGTACCCCATCGGTGGCTTGGTTATGCTATGAGAGTTTGCCCAAGACATTTCTTCGACGTCTCCCTAATCGGGTCAATTCTGCCTTAGAGATATTGGGTCTGTCATTCTTTTTCGCCTTTACGCTGTTCTATGTTTTATGTAGGTTGTTTGTCATTGTCGAATGTTTCCTAGACGTCTTTCACCTCCCAGACTCGGCTTTCGAAGTTCCAAGGTGGTCGCAGTATTTCCCGCATGTATGAAGATAGAATGCAATTCATACACGAAACGAGTAATTGCAGCATTTCAATCTACTGAGCTTGTGCAATTTCGCACACATCTGTTTGAAATCGCCGGCTTGCTGACAGGAGAGTTCTTCTAGAGGCAAAGACATAATAGTCATCCAATGGCAATGTCAAGACAACCTTGAAAATCAGGATTTCAGCCTTTCACAATGGCGCAGCTCGGGGTCATGTCTTCTACCCTGTAGAATTCGAGCAGGATGTTGACATAGTCGACGATGTTGCGCGAGCGGTACTTGCGATTCCCATCGAGTTCAGCGCCGACGTTGCATGCGCGCGTGACAAGCCTTCAGCCCTAACGTTATGCGCAGGTACCCGTCCCGCAGGCCTCTCATGTCTAAACTCTCCCGAATCCTCTCGCGATATCTCTCTCGGTACTCGGCAGGACTCCCCGCCTGAGCGGTGTACTTCAGCCGGCAGTTTCACGCTGCTTCTCGCAACGAGCAAGGCCGTACTCGACAAAACTAACGCATCGGTAACGCGCGCACTCAGACGAAGGTTCCCTCGGTCTTGACGCTCGACTTGTTCACGACCGTCATGCAAAGTGCGCCTGGAAGCGCCTGAACGTGCATGTCACAGACTGTCGCCTAAATCAGCCGTTTAACCGCAGGTTCTTCTGCGTTTTACATCTTTCCAAGGCCGCATGTTTGAGAAGGCAGCAAGTGTTTCAAGTGCAAGGCAGCGCTTCGGTTTCGCTTGCCAGCTCGGGTTTGACGGCACTGGCAGCTGTCAAGTGTACCTTTGGTTCGAGATGGACTGTAACACGCCTTTTGCACGCCACCAAGGTTCTAGTCCATGACAGAAGCTCATCGTAAGTGTACTGTATCTCGCGAGACTAGAGACATCAGTGTACTGGTTCCCTCTCGGCCATACTGCTTGCGCGCCATAATCATTGTTTTGACCTCGGTTTGCCAGACCCGCCAGGGCCCGCACGCCCGGGCATAAGTTTGAGATGTGCATGATCGACTGCCTGCGACTGCCTCAGGATCAACGACCCAGGATACCTTTTATGGAAAGCGAAATAGGTATCAATGCTACCCAGAAGCTCTCACAGTATAAAGCTCGCACATACGCCAGCCCATAGTTTCTTTCCCAAGCCAGTCTTCCAATTCACATCTACATTTACTTCATTCACTACCCGCTGTGCGGATCAGATCACTTTCACTCACCAATAACCTTCGAATAATCAACTGTTAATACCCCGAAAAACCAACTACTCCAAAACCGCCAACATGCAGTTCTCCATCACCGCCCTCCTCTTCGGCCTCGTCGCCATCTCTTCCGCCGCCATCACCGACGTCGAGGGCGTCCGCAACACTCCCCGCGCTGTGCTTGACACCCGGCAGGCTGCCAACGGCGCATGCTGTATCCCCAACCAATCTCTCAAGCAGGATGCCTGCACTGTCAACGGTGCTGCTGGCAAGTGTGTGCCTGGAGGTCCAGCTGCATGTACGTATAAAGACCTAGATGGTTATTGAAACACATACTGATGACGTTTCCAATAGGCAACGGTGCTCTCAACTGCGTAGCCAACAACCAGCTTGTGTGCGATAACAACGTCAAGGAGCGCTCTGGCAACCTGTGCCGCTTCCAGGCTGCGAATGGCAAGATTCAAGACGGTGCTCAGCAGATTAACAGTCTTGCTCAGGCTAAGGTTAACTAAGAGTGGATGATGGGGATTTGTGTTATAGGTTGATGGGTGGATTTGTATAGCATGCCCCTATTTACATACAATTTCTTCACGGTATAGCTAGGTGGATGAATAAATGAATTTGTGGATTGTATATTGCGTACCTAGAAGTTCGGAGTGATGTTGTAAAGAGTAAGCGATGGATCTACACGGATTACAGTAAGCTGAGGCAAAGCCGTATGTCTTGTCCATGTTAGAGCGTGCAGCCTCTGTGGTGTCTTACTTACATCTAGCATACCGCCATATATATATTAAACTCAGTCCAGACATCCGCGCTTCACACTTCCCAAACTTCCTCTTGTCACAAGCGAATACTTCTCTTCCAATGCGAACCTCGTTTCTCTCGAAAGAGACATACTACACAAGCTGAGATATACTAATCAATTCATATATTCGTGTATCATACCCCCCATAATCCATACATCATCTCAGTCATCCCATCTACCGTCCCCACCCGGCAAACCTGCCAATCTCCTTAACTTCCCTCCTGCCCACGACACCTGCCGCGACCGCACACACCGCACCGACACCGACGAGCAGTGCGCGCGCCAAGTTCAAACTAGCCCATTTGTCCATCAGCTCCTTGACTGTCTCGCCTTCCTTGGCAAATTGCTCGACGTGCTTGTCGCGCAGGGAAGCGTTGGCAAGTTCGTCCTTCTTTGCCATGAGTTTGTCGTTCGTGGGGCCGAGGACGAGGAGGGTGAAGGGGACGATTGAGGGGAGGAGGACGGTTGCGAGGGCGTTGAGGCGGAAGGGAGTTGAGGAGCGGTCTTCTGTTGGGTTGTCAGTTATACATTATTAGTTGGGTGGATGGGGAGATGAAGTGGGGGCATGGGTGCTGGAAGGGAGATGGGGTGTGACGAAACGTACGGTGATAAGCCAGATACCCCGTTGCCAGCGCCGAGATAGCAGCAAGAGGGCGTGCGATTGCGCCGCCGCGTGTGAAGATTGTGTACCACTGCTTTACGGCGAGGGGTGCGGGGGCTTGCATGGCGGCGGGGATGCCGACGACGGAGAGGGAGACATTGGAGCCTGGTATATATGTCAGTCATGGCTCTTCACAAGAAACACCTTCCCATTGACCGCGATCGAGATGGTCATTGAGTGCCAGAGTGTCTTACCTAGCAGGAATACACTGCCTGTGATGCCCACCGCCTGTGCGATTGCCAGCGCCGTGGGCGTCTTTTGCGTGAGAATGTCCATTGTGTTTGTGTGGGTGGAAATGCTTCGATTGAGTTATTCAAAGCGAGATTTGTGACTTGTCAAAGTGGTGGCCTGGCTAAAAGAATGATGGTCGTGGGTCGGCCTGATAGCTCGGAGACGCGCTGCAGCGCTTGGCCGTCAGGCTTCCCAGGTTCCCCGCGGACCCCGATCGCGTCGACTGAAGCTCCGCACTCCGATGCTTGCCATAGGTCAACCACAAAGCTCCGACTACTTGCTTTTGTTATCGACGTCCATGACGAGGGGCTGGATGTGGCTTCTTTATTGCACAAATCTTAATCTAGTTATATTCCTAATTGTCATGCCTGGGTGAGACGCGTCGCTTACCGCCGTGAAACTGTAGAAGCATCATCAACTCGCGCTCGACATACATAAGCTTAGCTTCTCTCAAGCTTCTCGCCGATAATTTTGCTTTTGACCTTCGAAACTTACCATACTTACTATAATCTCTTTGTGCTCAATCTGCACCAGAACTCACATAGAACAACATCCGCGCCGCATCCTGTGCCTCATCGCAGTTCTCACCACCATCTAATCAGCTAACAACCCAGTCCACCAGCCATGTTCTGTATGTACCTGACCCCCTACTCATATTCGCCCTCCTAACAAATCCCAGCGCTAAACACAACCGCAACCCTCCACCACGTAACGCACCTCCCGCGCTCCGTCTCCTTTTCCACTGCCGTCTCCCATCTCCACAACCACGTCCTCCTCATCCGCCTGGATCCTGAATACGCCTCGCACGAAACCCTCCCCAGCGACCCCTCCACCCCAGACGCAAAATGCTACCGTATAACCGACCACATGAACGCGCTGCCCGCAGGCCTCTGGGACACAACGGTCAAGTTCGACGCCAACATGACTGATCTCGACGACGGCGTATTATGGACTATCAAGGCGCCGCTAGGGCTTACACAGCAAACTACGTGGAGGTGTTTGAAGACGGAGGGGTTGAGTGAAGAGGATAGAGAGGGTGCTGAAGGGTGCGAGTGGAGTCTTGTGGAGGATGTGGAAATTAGGGCGAATCGCATGTTGGTGGGGACGGTCAAGGCGAAGTGTGAGGAGAATTGGCCGGGAGCCCATGGCAAGTTTTTGAAGTATTGTACGGGAGAGACGGTGGCATGATGAGCTATGGATGGGAGGGGAGTTGTATTTGGGTCTACAACATGCTGAAGTATCGTGACTTGGACCTGGGGTATGAACCATCGTGGAATACAGCGCAAGTCTGTACTCACTAGATCTGCAGCAATTCTAGATGCAAACACCATGCTAAGATGCTGCGCTGAATCCGTCAAGCTCTCGTTGTCAAACCCAATGGACAGACGCTGTTCGTGCAATCCTCACCCGCCATTCAGGAAACATGGAGACTCCAGACCAACCAGCACCCAGCCCGGGTCAATGGTCCATGTGCCGTTGGGTCCATGGATGTATTTTGCCTGGCGTCTGGGGCGAAAGGTTCCAAGGCGGAGCCTCTGCATCTAGAAGGCATCCAGATTGGCGGAATTTGTACCAGTGGCGGGTCGTGGATGTCAGCTAGACGCAAAAAGGCTGCTGCTCGTTGACCCTGCATAACACCAACTGCAGGTTGGAGACCTGACCCTGAATGCCGATTCCTGCTGTCTTCATATCTTGCACTTGAAGCAGACGTCCATCTCGCAAGATGTGTGAGATGCCTGTAAATCAAGGCTCTTATCAGCTCACGCGACACTGTTTCCACGGTCAAGCGACCAATGTCTCTCTTCGGAGGTGCGCTGGTGACATCGGAGGCCGCACGTGGCGCGCCCCCAATCGGGCCTTCCGGATCTACGCGATAGCAACGATAAGACATTGGACAACAGCAAGTCGCTGCACATGAAAGAGCTGCACGTCGCTGCTGCTGGCATCCTTCGCGTCATCTCGTCGCACACCATAAGCGTCGCACCCAGATGCCCTTGAGTGATGCCCGCTCGACTTTTCAGCCAACGGCCAAGGACCCTTCTTGAACCGAAAGGCTATTGATCGGCCTCTGGCTCGCCGCATAACACGGGCCATATCCCCGCCTTTCTAGACTGCACTGAACTGCGCGTTCCGCCATCCGCTCAGCTATCAAAAACCGCGCACCCAACCACCGGGTCGGCGTCAGCTTCTCTCACATTCGTTCCTTTTTGCTGGTACGGGGCTGTTCCCACCTCCTCATCCTTTCATCTTGCTCCAGTAGACGTGACGATATCCTCGCTCAGTCTTCGACATCTTGACCCTCCTTCCCCGCGCCGTCCCGCTTATCGCCGAGCACGCGTACCGCACAGCCACGCTTCACCATGGAGCCTCTGTCTATCGACTCGGTGGTCGTCGACCACAGCGAAATGCACCCTACGCTGGAAACCCCTTCATCAGACGCCATCATGATCGAGCAACCAAAGCTCAAGGGCAGACAGCGCCTTCTCATGGGCCTACAAAGGATGGGCTCCTCCTCGAGTCTAGCGAACTTGGGTAGACCCCGCTCTCACAGTCTGAGAAGCGGCGGAAAGGCATCCATGTCTTGCGTCTCCCTCGCATCGCCTGGCTCGCCCTATGGAAACTCGTTTGGCAGCTCCTACTCCTCTGAACTGTCGAATGGCTTCTCTACGGCACCGACTTCCGTCGCCAACAGCCCACCTGGCACTCCTTTTTGGGACGAGAGGACCCGTCTGCGCATGAAGACACCAGATATCCCATCCTCGGTGCCTCTTCCTTCCGCCCGACGACCATACACTCGAGACGGCATTGAAGCCGAGAACGACTACTTCTCGCGACCAGTCCACAAGGTCCAGAAACGGGCAAACTTCAACTTCTGGAGTGATATGCCTACCGAGATCCGCATGCAAATCCTGAGGTACTTCGAGCCGAAGGAGGTTGTGCGTTGTTCGCGCGTCTCCAAGTCGTGGCATACCATGTGCTTTGACGGTCAACTGTGGAGCGATCTCGATACGAGCAAGTTCTACCGCGACATCTCAGCCAACGCCTTGGTCAACATCATCACATCGGCGGGTCCGTTTGTGAAAGACTTGAATCTCAGAGGCTGCGTGCAGCTGAGGGAACACTGGGGCAAGGACGGCTTCATTGAGTCCTGCCAGAACCTGGAGAACTTCTCGCTCCAGGGCTGTCGGATTGATCGGACATCTATCCACTGCTTCTTGCTCCAAAACAGTCGCCTTGTCCACGTCAATCTGTCAGGTCTTGCGGGGGCGACAAACGCAGCGATGAAGATCCTTGCTGCACATTGCCCGAAGGTCGAAGTCTTGAACATCTCGTGGTGCAACAACATCGACAATCGAGGACTGAAGAAGGTTGTTGAGGGTTGCACTAAGCTACGCGACATCAGGGCTGGTGAAGTACGAGGCTGGGATGATGTTGACCTGATGGTCGCACTTTTCAAGCGCAACACTCTCGAAAGGCTCGACCTAAAGAACTGCGACAGTCTCAACGACGAAGCACTGGCTGCTTTGATTGAGGGCGTAGATGAGGAGGTCGATGTTCTGACCGATCGCCCAATCGTTCCACCGAGGAATCTCAAGCACCTGAACCTTACGCGCTGCCGCAGCATCACGGATGCTGGCCTAAAGACCCTGGTACATAACGTTCCGTTCCTAGAAGGTCTACAGGTCTCGAAATGCGGCGGCTTGACCGACGATGCGTTGACCAGCCTGCTCCCCACCGTTCCTGTTCTCACCCATCTGGACATTGAAGAAATCGACGGCCTGACAAATGACGTCCTGAAAACTCTATCCGAGTCCGCCTGCGCCCCTCATCTCCGCCACCTCTGCATCTCGTACTGCGAAAACCTCGGCGACGTCGGCATGCTCCCCGTCCTAAAAGCCTGCACGCGTCTCGCCTCTTTAGAAATGGACAACACACGCATCTCAGACCTCGTCCTCGCTGAAGCCGCTTCCGGTCTCCGCAACCGCAACCGCGCCGCCCGTGGCCTAACCAACCTCGAACGCCCCGAAGTAGGCCTCCGGATCGAAGCCTACGACTGCGCAAACGTAACCTGGACCGGCGTCCGCGAAGTCCTATCTCGAAACGCGGAAATCACTCGTCCTTCATCTCGCTCTGCCTCCAAAGTAGCGACGTACCCACGCGAAATCATCAAGCTCAAGTGCTTCCATAATTGGCAGCCGACTGTTGAGGAACACACCAAGCGTGTTTTGCGCGGTGACTTTGCGGCTGCGGCTAGGCTGGAACGGAAATGGGCGGATTGGATGATGTTGAATGAGGAGGCGGGGGTTGGTGGGGCGGGAGCGAGACGGAGGAGGAGGCGCGCGAGAGAGGCGCAGATGATGCATGCGGATGAGGAGGAGGGTGGGGCTGGGGCTACGGGCGGGGTTGGGAGGAGGAGAAGGGCGAGGAGTGGGCCTGGGGGGTGCGCTGTTATGTAAATGTTCGTTTCTTGGTGTCGAGTCCTTCTCCACCGCAACGTTTTCTTGAGGGTCCATGAGTTGGCCCCAGGTTTGTGTGCTGACGCAGTGATGGCGGTCATGGAATGAGGGTGATGAACATGAGCCTAGGATTTTGTTTTACGAGCGCGAACATTGGATCTCAACGATGCTTTGGCCTGAAATGTTTGGAGTCTGGGGCTGTTTACGATTCTACATATATAGATCTGCATATGCTGCAACCAGTAGGGGGCTCCAATGCATCTTCATACTACTTCAACAACCAAGTTCCCACACGAACACATCTCGACATGCCTGATCTCAACTTCATCTAACCCTCAACAAGACTGCTCAGGCCCCCATCCCATCTTTCTCACCGCTTCCCTCCCATTCCACCCAAAACCCTACTCGCCGCCCTACTAACCTTGATAACATCCCTATAGGTCAAACTCACCCTTGTCCCCCTCACATTCCTGCCCCCATTCTCTTCAACCGCCCTTCTCCCTTCTTCACTCAACAACGGCCAATTCGCCACCGTATCCTCGTTCAAGTTTTCGTCGACGGAAATGGGGGAGATGCCGTGCATCAGGGAGCGGTAGGCAGGGCCTGAGGTTATGAGTAGGGAGCGGGGTTCTTGAAAGATGCGTGCAGGGAGGATGAGTGTGTTTTCTCGTTGGTGGTGCAGCGGTTCCCCGTCATTCTTCGCGGGTATTTCTTGCCTTGCCTCTTCTTCGTCTCCTTTTACAACATCTGCTTTCTCATTTGTGGGTTTGGCAAGCACATCCAAGCACAGCGCCCCTCCCAAACTCACTGTCGCAACAACCTCAGCGTACGCCCCGCCATCTTCATGCGGCATGATGCCCTCGCCGGGCTTGTACTCATTGACAAGAATGTGGTTGGGTTGACCGTGTGGTGTGTGGTCGAAGATACCTAGGTCGGAGAAGCGGGGGATGATGGGCGTGGTTAAGTAGGTGGGTAGAGGGGCGGCGAGGAGCGTATTGGTAGATGTGAGAGTGGAGGGGAGGGCTTGGAGGCGCCGGTGGGTGAGGTGTGTCCACCGTTGGGAGGGGATCTAAGGGAGGCGGTTTGTTAGTTAGATTTGAGTGGGGGGCATCTATAGATATTTTGAGTGTAAATCTTATGCGCGAGGTATTGTTGTGTGTGTGGAGATGGCAGGCATTCAGTAACGCGGGGTAAATAAACCCCCCATATGCAACGCGATATTCAGATCTGTAGACCAGAAAGGAACATGTGATGAAAACATACCTTTTGCAATATCGACGCTTCCTCCTCCACACTAATGAAGTTAGGGATGTAGTAGAAGTCCGGCGGTAGACCCGCTATGCGGAAAGCCTTCAGACCGGTCTTGTCATCTACGGGAAGAGAGCACATAGTTTCTTGCTGGATACTGTGGCAATCGTGTCAATAACAGAAGACTGTCTTGCTGGCTTGTGGTCGGGTGTTGATTGTCTATTGCATGGGGATGAGTTTGTGGATTCGGGGATGATGTAATGCAGCTGGCAAACGCGCGCCACCTGTTCGAGCTAGTCGCGCGCTCACGTGTGACCGCTGCTCTAGATGTCACAACATATGCGTATTCAGCCTGCTTGCTGGGACAGATAGATGGATATTAAAATCGTGTTTGGTATTCTTGCGTAGTGGAACAAAGGAAAGCTCAACCGCACATATACACATCTTCTCTCGCCTTCTTCAGCGCTTCCCAGCTTACAACATCCGGCCCCAGATCCTCACTCACCCACTTCACTGCTGACCCTTAGCCGGCCTATAGTGTCCCGCCAACTCCACATCCTCAGCACTCCTATCGCTCTCCCTGCGCTCCTCATGCACCTTATCCGTCCTCTGCGCGTTCTGAGCCCTAACCGCCTTCTTCCTCTTCATTTCACCCACAACCATCGCCGCAACCCAAATCAACCACATGACCGCCGCAATAACACCATACGCAATCGCGCCATCGCGCGAGTTATCCGCCAGCAACAATCCCAACCCACCGTTAATCATACCGAGGGTAATAGCAATACGCCCAACCCAGATGTGCGCGTAGGAAGTGAGAGTGCGACGCTGCGTCTTCTTGAACAGGACGTGATGTAGGGTTCCGAGGAACGGCATGAAGAACACAAGGCAGAAAACGAGTATGCCGATGATGGCGTGGTAGCTGGAGATGTAGTGACCCCCGCTGATGGGCAGCGCGAGCCAGATACCCATGCCAAACGCCGCGATGTACACCATGTACGCCAGAATCTGGAAGCCAGCGTGCAGCCACACAATGCCTGGGAAAGAGGCGAGCCGGATGGCGATGGCGCCGGACGGGAAGAGGATGACGAAGGCGAGGGACGCGAGGACGCCGTGTGCGATTAGCATGGTGCGTTTCTTTGAGGGACTGACGGAGGCGCCTGAGCCGATGGATTGGACGGAGTTTCCGCCAGTGGCACCGCCGTTGGGGAGGGTGTCGCAGTAGGGGAGGTCGTCGTCGTCGTCTTTTCCGCCCTTGTCAGAGGAGGAGGAGCGCTTGTCTCCTGGGGGACCATTGGGGCGCGATGTAGGACGAGAAGTGGGGCGACCGTAGTTGTCGTCATCGTCGTCGTCGTTGTCGTTGTCGCTACTGGTTTGGCTTGGCGTGGCATCTCCTGTTGCTGCGGCGCCGGAGGGACGCTGGCGGCAGTTGGTTGGTGTTGCGCCGCCTGTTGTGCCGGTTGGTGAGGTGTTGACTAGGGGGTTTACACTTGAACCACCCTTGGCTTGAGCGAACTTCCAGTCAAAGACACCCTCGTTGGAGTGCTGGTTAATTTGCGCGGAGGTTGAGTCGTCGTTCTTGGGTCCGCCAGATGATTGGTAGGCGAAGATCCAATTTCCACTGCCTTTGGTGAAGTCCATAGTGCCGCCAGACCAGGAGTTGCAGTTTGAGCCTTATCACGTGTTAGCTTGTGTTTATGTCGTTGTGAATTTGAGACTTACATCTCACGTTCGCGGTCATAACACCGTTCGAAACACCAGAACCCTCGAGCAGAGTGACTTGAGCAGCATCATTGGGGCTGGGAGCCTGATGGCTGGTAGTCGATCGCGGTGACAGTGTGACATTGTTGCCAGACCCCGAAGTATACACGATGAACATGTTGGAGTTGGCCATGCCACTGCCTTGGCCGAGCGCAACCCACTCATAGTTGCTTGGGGCTGATATCTGGAAGAAGATGTCTCCCGATCCAGATGATGCTGTGCGCTCCGGGATATTGAGACCATAGCACACTCCGGTAGAAGGACAGACGCTGGCTACCTGCGCTGTGGCTTGTGAGGCTAGATAGGGTTAGTACCGTGGTACGACGAGGCTGTTGTTGGGGGCTTACCCAGAGCCAATAGGCCCATGACCGAACTTGTTGTGCGCTTCATCTCTTGTGTTTTGGAAGGTCGTTGAAAGAATGCCGAATACTCAAGGTTGCCAAAGGGCTCGATGCTCAAGGCTAGTAGACAGCGCTTAGCTGAAAGCGTGGCTTGATGGCGTCGTTCTAGAGTCGATCACAAAGCTATTGAGCTGAAGTACAAATAGCCAAACCAATGAGAGTAGATGCGTTTAGGTGAGTAAGGGATGACCAGTTCGATAATGATTTGGCAGCAGTGGACAAAGAGGTTTATAGTTGGTGGAGCCCGGATCACCCACCTTCCAAGATACACCTCCAAGCCCCCCCAAGAGATGCTGACAGAAGCATGGCTACGTACACACAACCTGGCTTAGTTTGGTGGAGGTAGGTACCTCGCAGGCACAGGTGAACCCAACGGTATTACTGCTGATGTGTGGTTGGACAAGCCTGGCCGAATGCGGCGGCTTTGCGGAGAGCCGTCACCGGCTGGGCATAGCAAAACACCGTGGGCATCTCAGGATATGACAACATAACTTGTGCAAGCGGTACGCGTCACGAACGCCAGAGGGCGATGATAACAAGTGAGCTCTTCCTGCATGTACATGGTGCAGGGTCTGGCGCATCGGGGTGGTACCAGTAAGGGCCAGCGGACTCAAAGTTCGGCGCGGCTTGGCTGGACGCGTCGTGGTGGCTATGTGCAGGGCCAAACAAGTAAGTTGCATCCGGACGAATCAAACGCCAGCTATTTTGCAAAAGTAATGTTCCGGCGCGGGGGCACGCTGGGAACGGCGGGCATGTCAGTTCACGTAAGGTTGGGAACATGTGCGGTCTCGACGGTCGCGGTCTTGGTGCCCGCTCTTGTGGGCCCCCTTGTGTCGCACGTCCCTCGTCTTGGATCTCTCAACACCCAATTCCAGCGACCGCAATTCCAAGACATGTCAGCAATATGCGTCGAGATCCAGACTCCCATGACTTCATCCTCGAGCTGGGCACATTATTACAGGAGCATGGTATCCAGGCTGTGCTCGTTATCGTCAGCCCTCGATCACCGGCCTAGTCGGATTTCCCATCGGAGATTCGGCCGGTTTCTCATATTACGGTGTATACGCGACTATTACCACTGCATGGAGCTGGCTTCTGTTTTGGGAGCCGTCGCACTGCAGCTGCATGAAGTCCGGTCGGTTTCACGTGGCGCTGTTCATGTCTCGATAGGCGCAGGCTGGTGGCTTGCAGCGTGGCAGCCTCAGCCCTGAAGGACCGCGTCAGCTCCGAGCGCGAAACCTTGGATTCCAGGAAGTAAGATCAACACCATCGGCGTCTTGTGGCAGGAATCACCTAGGCATCACGATGCCAAGCTAGCTGCTTTCTCTCAGCATACATCGATGATGAGTTATCGACATCTTGTTGCGGGGTTGCTGGATCGCAAGGGTCCGTTGTAGGTATCTACGAGAGCCGATCCTGAGTGTCACCAAGTCAGCATCCACCGCCCCAATCTTTCACAACAATCGTCTTACCTCCGCGAACCTCGCCGTCTTCTCGCAGTTTGTGCTCGTGTGCACGTTTCTCTTCTCGCGTGCATTTCACGATCAGTGTGTTCTTCAATTCGGTTGTTTTTCTCTTTGCGCACCGACAACGGCCCTTTTCCCAGTCACAACACAATTTCGCAGCAATCACGTGCTACCTCTTGCACTGCCACTTCCAAGTTTCTTACTCACTGAACCAATCAACATCCCAACAGCGTATGTCGGTCGGGAAAGGGCCGAGCAGAAATCTGGGGTAGTACCGTCCGCTAAGGAGTAACATCCGGCGGTAGCGGTAACGAGCAATGAGCATCATACGATGCCTGCGATTCCAAATTCACAGATTGCTGCGCCTCACGTCTAGAGCGCATTTGGAGTGAAGCATGTGGAGAAATTGAGGTGTGTTCCCAAAAGAGGAAGTTGGCGAATCGTATCGAGGCTGTAATTGGTGGAAGCGTGCGGTAAGTAGCTCATCTCCTCCTCCATTGTGATGGAGTAGCGTACAGTAACGATAGAGAATCCTTTAGTCACGGTTGACTAAGAGAGGTACATCCTCATATGTTGTCGCAAATTCCTCGGCGTGACGGCGTGTCTTCATCTACGCCACGGTCGTATTCTAATCACTGAGTACTCCAACTTCTCCTTCTGAACATCCACCTTTACCACGTGGAAACAAGAGGAGGTTAGAGGCGGTGAGGAATTCTATTTCCGTCGAAATTCGACCGCTATGCTTTGACCAACTCTTCAAGTCATCGCATGTACCTACTTCTTCAGTTCTGAACAGTTTGTCCGTGCTTCCATCAGGGTTAGCGGGTACCTCTCCCTCTGGAGCAGCGCTTTTGAGTTTCGGAGTATCTTCCGCACGTGCTATCGACTTTCACTTTGAACTTATTAGATGGCTGCCGAAAACCAAAGCCGCTCGATGGTGTCATGTAGTATTTGAACACCAAATATCATTGCACGCAGTGCTCCTGATGTGTTTACTACAAACTCGGTAGTCTACTAGATGTTCCCCTCATTCTTGCCTTTTCTCCGAGCTTGCATGCTCTGCATATATTAACGATCACCCGGCAGCTGCATTTAGCCTTCGGTATAGTAGCATCTAGTCAAACTAGATGTCGCCTGCATCATTGGAACCTCCTTCTCTCCGCAGTCCTCATTTGCGTCTAGAGTACCTCAGGCTTCGTGTTCATATGTCGTGGACGATGGCATACAGCGCGATAAATGAGGTGTCGCCAGGTGGACAGCATCAAGACCACATAAGACACTCAGCTCCTTGTCTCTTACACCAACATGTAAACAAAGCATAAACACAGCTTCGCGCAGGCAATACGTACCTCCACAGCATCGCAACCACTACAATGTTGCTCCCCACCCTCCTCTCCTTTACCGCCTTCCTTACAACGGCCTCCGCCCAAACCACCAATACCGCAATCCGCTACATGCCCTTCGGCGACAGCATAACCGAGATAATTTGCTGGCGTTCCAAACTCTGGCAGCGTCTCCAAACCACCCCCTTCAACTCCTCCACCGTAAACTTTGTCGGTAGCGGCAAAACCGAAAACAACTGCCGCGACACGACCTACGACCGCGACAACGAAGGCCACTCTGGTTTCCTCGCTATCGACATCGCGAATAAAGGGCAGTTGGATGGGTGGCTGAAGACAAATCCCGCGGATGTGATTACGATGCATTTGGGCACGAATGATATCGTGCAGCAGAATAAGGCGGTGGCGGATATCATTAAGGCGTTTGGAACGTTGGTGGGGAGTATGAGGGGAGCGAATCCGAGGATGAAGATTGTTGTGAGTTTGTCCTTCATCATACCAACCTAGGCACCTGCGTAAGGTGGCGCTGTTGTATGAGTGCCGTGTTGTTACGTCGTATACCAATCGCATACCTACTCACTCACTCACTCACTTACTTATTTATACTGCCAGGTCGCGCAAATTATCCCCATGGGCTTCGGTAGCTACAATACCAAGATCCAAGACTTGAATCGCGCAATCGTTCCATGGGCTCAGGGTCTCAATACGACGGAAAGCCCCATCTGGGTTGTGGACCAATATACGGGGTTCAGTGGGACGGCGGATCTGAGGGATGGAATACATCCAAATGATAGTGGGGATGTCAAGATGGCGAATGTGTGGTTTCCAGCGGTCGTCAGGGCTTTTGAGGCGGTGAGGGCGGATAGGGGTACAGGAGTTGGTATGATTGAGAGGGAGTTTGTTGGGTAGATGTCGATGCTGTCAGAGAACGGCAAGATGTGAGATCTATATGGTCAAGGGCGATACTATGAATACTACCAACTTAGGAATGTATGATGAAGTTTAGTTCTGGATGCTTCTTAGGTCAATCGCGACCAGACGAGACGATTGCACGTGACGCTAGCGCCATGACTTGACGCTAAAATCTCCAGCGTGGGGCAGCGGCGCCCAAATTGTCAACTCCCCGACTCGAAGGCGCATCAACAAATAACAGCACTCACGCCCACCGCCTGCAACGCCACCCCTTCACCACGGACACTTCGGGTTGCATGCTTTTATCTCATCGCTGATCGCCCAAAACAAACCCTTCGACGCCAGCACACAGATAGCCGCAATGGGAGAATCAAGGTAGGCACCAGCCCGAGGGGTTAGGCTGCGGCCATCTGCGCAGACACCTTCACCACGACCACACGCTGACATGGACACGTGAACAGACAAGAACTCGTCGCCTGGTTGAACAACCTCCTCCAGCTCAACATCACCAAAGTCGAACAATGCGGTACCGGGTACGTTACGCGCGCCGAGGATAGAGGGGCACCCCTGGCCTCGGGGAGTGAGGATGTGTACTGACACGGCGGACAGAGCAGCGCTGTGCCAAGTCTTCGACAGCATATTCTGTAAGTCCTTCACCTCACCTAGGCGCGGATGAGATTAAGACTAACAGCGTACAGACGATGTGCCCATGTCGCGAGTCAAGTTCAATGCGAACACTGAGTACGCATACCTGCAGAATTTCAAGGTATTACAGAGTACGTCTCCCCTCCCACCGTCCATTTCTCCGCTAACAATCCAGACACGTTCGCCAAGCACCATGTCGACAAGCCCATCCGCGTCGAGTCGCTCGTAAAGTGCAAGATGCAGGACAACCTCGAATTCCTCCAATTCGTCAAGCAGTACTGGGACCAGCATTTCCCCGGTCACGAGTACGACCCCGTCGCCCGCCGCAAGGGCCAGGGCGGTGTTGCCACCGGAGCCACACCTGCACCCCGCGCCGCCGCATCGACTGCCCGGAGAGCACCAGCTGCTAGCAACACGGCTGCGCCTAGGACACGCACACCGCTTGCCTCTGGGGGAGGAGCCGCCAGCGCTGCTCTGCGCGAGGAGAACAGTGCTCTCAAGGAGACTGTCACGGGCCTCGAGCGCGAGAGGGACTTTTACTTCAGCAAGCTGCGCGACATCGAGCTGCTGATCCAGCAAGCGATGGAGGCCGATCCTGAGCTCGAGAAGGACGAGGGTCTGCTCAAGCAGATCCAAAACATTCTCTACTCTACCGAGGAGGGCTTCGAAATCCCACCAGAGGCTGAGGGTGAGGGTGTGGAGGAGGAGACGTTCTAGCCGAGCGTCAGTATTCTGTCTAATACTCCGACAGCCAGTTCGGACGTGGAGCTTGACAACATTATATTCGCTGCATATGCGCTATTGGAAGCGGCCCAGGTCAGACGTGCAAGAACTATTCAACCTGCGGGGCTCGACGACTCTACAGAGCGCGCTGAAACTCCTGGGTGTTCCAAAGCTCTCGTATCCGTAAAACCTGTGAAGCATTTCTTATGCGTGGGGCCTACCGTCAAACCTCCAGGCTCTTTCGCGTTTTCTTCGGAGCCTTCTACTCGAGTTGTTGCTGCGCAGTCGTCTGCTGAGTGTTCGGAGGAGAGTGAAGTGTTCTAAAGGTGGGTATGGTCATGATTGCATTTGGAAGCGAGGATACCATCTTTCTAGGGAGTTTAGCTTCCTATTGTTCAATACACGATGTTTATGAGTTGTGTTCGATGTTTGGAGTGTCTGCTAATGTGAAGCGTGCTGATCGTGCTCCGATGGAGATGGGTACGACGTTACTTCCGTCAAACGTCCCGTCACTGACATCACAAGCCGAAACCGGTGAACCACCGCTTCATCCCTGTGCGTTTCTTCGTGCCCCCGGTCTTCACACCCATCGTACTCACCACGATCATCATATCGCCCATCGCACCCTCTCCCATACTCTCCGGCGCGATACTCCATCCACACTCCCAATACGGGTTCCCCGGATCCACAGGGGACTATGTATGCATACATCGATTAACTTCTCGCACCCTCTACAAGACGGATGCAACGTTACGTACCCCTTCGAGACAACATGCCCAGCCTCTGGGATAACGATCCACAGTACAGTCTGTTAGGTTTGCGACGGGGATAGGCGCAGCACATGGTGGTCCGTGAGAGAGGAGTTCGGGGCAGCATGCGTCGGTGTAGGAGGGGTCAAAGTAGGTTTGGCATACGCTTAGGGGTGGAGAGGGATGAGCGTTGAGGGGGGTGAAGAGGGGGAGGAGGAGGATGGTTATGGCTGTGATGAAGGAAGGGCTGGACATTTTTGGATGGTTTGGTGGGGATTCAAGGAAGGGGGTGGATGGATGGCAGATTGAGAAGATGGGGTTGATAGTTGGTATTTACATTCGAAGTAAACAACACATCCTTCCGCATCTGATACCAACAGGTACAAAATCCCAATCCAACGTTACCCCATTCTTCCTGCTGACTGTTACCTCTACCCGTTCACATGTACTCCAAACGAGTGACAGAGCCATGCAACGTGCCATCCAGCCGTCATTTCTTCTCAATCATCCATCATACAGCCAAGTACGGTGCGGCATACGTCCCGCTCAAGCGTTCTTCTTCGCAGCGACGGCAGCAGCCATAGTCTCACCCATAGCATTGGAACTAAAGTAATCCCAGTATACCTGCTCTAGATCCTCAAGCGTCATGTATTCAGACACGATTCCACTGGGTCCGTGGCCGAAGAGAGGGCCTGAGGCGGGATGAGCGGGATCCTGCTTAAGCATTAGCTCAACGACCCTAATGCTACGCCAATTGACAGGCATATGAATCCATGTGGGAAAATCAGGCCACTAATGATTACCAGAGTATCTTTCTAAATGGGATGTTTACGAACATAGATCTTACCTTCTCAATACAAACAGCCCACCCAGTAGGATAATGATACGTAGAGCACTCAGTCAAGTTGCTCACATACTCGATGTCGGTACAGGGCGCGTTTACGCCTCGACTGATGACGGTGTGGCAGCAGGCGTCGGTGTAGTCGGTGCCATAGAGAAATTCGCAGATAGTATCGTCGGGGCCCATCTGGGCGGTCGTAAGGGAAGCGAAGAGAACGAGGAGTGGAGTGTAGAAACGCATGATTGATGAACAATTGTTGTTGGGTCTGTGTGAAAGTGGGATGGTTGCGGTTTGGTGAGAGCTGGGATGTGGCGCTTCTTCGTGGGTTTTATGCGTTCTGGAGATCGGATGGATTTGTGGCAGAGATGAAGATGCGCTCATTGAGGACAATTTGGTACTGTGGATGCGCTATCCCGTCTTCCTTCCTTCCGGATGGCAGGGGTAGATATCCGTGGGTGTTCCTCGGGAAGAGATGGTAATCTGCAGAGTTGCATGCTTCTGGAAACTACATCGAGCGATGCATGCCAAATGATCTTTTGCTAAGACCTTCGAATAATTGACCGGATCGAAGAAGCTGAGGGAACGGCATGATAGTCCCCAGTGCCGATGATGTCGGCCTCCTACATATGCGGTGTGCTGGGAGAATATGTCAAGGCATCCTAATCTGTCAAAATCTTCCAGATGATGCCTGTTGCTTTCCGTTTTCGCCTTTACCTCTACAGGTAAGTCTCGCTTTCTTCCTTGTCGACCATCGATCATGTGTGAAGATGTCCATGTCATTCGAGCAGCAAACATATCTATGTTGTTACAGTTGTATTTGAGGCTTGGGGGTTGGTGAATGAGGTAGTGAGTAGGGGATGTTGTTAGCGAATGTGTCTAATGAGGAGGGTGAGACGTATACAAGTGTAGTCGAACTTCCATATGTTCCATCACGAAAGATTATCGAGCCAGTTCTGCACATTCGCCCCTACATCCATCTCAACGTCCCTCATCCAAAGCCACGCCTCAAGATCCTCGCCCCAAGGCGTTTGCGGAGCTTCATTGTAGTTTGAGACCCCCTGCATCGATACACCACTATAAGCATAAGTCGTAGGATCATGACGTAACCGCGAGTGTCGCGTCACGAGTCGACTTTCCTTACCCATGAAAGTCGTACGCAGAGGCACAAGTCTATCTGCAAATACGCGGGCCCGCGCTAAATCACCATTCGCCTTCGTAATCTGGAAAGCGAGCTGGTATGCATGAGCCAGACCGAGTGGATTCGGACTGTGGCTGTGTTGCTTCCACAACTGGATCATTTCCTCGACGAGGTGGAGCATTTGCTTAGGTGATTCATTCATGCCTCGCAGCCCGAGACCAGCTTCGTCTGAGATGATGCTGTCGATTTCGTTGATACGATTTAGTCTCAAGTCGCTCTCGTTCGACCGCTGAAGTGGTAACGAGCAGAGGTGGCATAGGCAAGTGAAATGAAACCTCTTCTGAAGCTCCGCTTGTCGCGTATTCCGGTCCCAGTTGCACTCCAGGTAAGACATAGTGATCTCTTCTCCCCTGGAGATATCTTGTAGAGCATGTACTGTCAGCTGCTTACGATCATCGTGCCAGAAATGAGCAGCATTGTAATCGCACGCGTGGTTGATGCGGCATGCTGTGAAGAAGATACCACTGAGTTCTAACTTTGACCCGACGGGTAGAGCGTTTGTGTATAGAATACCTGTCCATTGCGCTGAGTAGTCGTTGAAAGGATGGATATTGCTCATGGAAAGGAACTCGCGTTTCTGATCTTTGGTCAAAGACGCGACTTGCTCTTCTAGACGTGTTGTAACCGGATCTCCTACCGTCATTACTGGTGTCTCGGATATGATTCTTGTACCTTTAGGGATGTACCTAGTCGCAATGAGGCCTTTACCCTTTCCAGGCACATCTTGGATGGCGTACATGAGTGGGGTGGCTGAAGCTTGCATGGTACCGAGGTGTTCTTGTCGTGTGGGATCTCGTACTGGTTGGAAGTCAAACTCCGGTATGATTGACGCCTTGTAGTTTGCTGGATGGTTCGTGAAACATTATGAGGATTAAATGTCTATATAAGTAAATAGCGCAAGTCACGCTCAGGGTGTCATGCTGAAATCCGCAAGTCATAGGTGATACATGGTGGTTTGCTGATGGCACACGAGGCTATGTCTTGAGTAAAGTGGAACTGTGCTGCCCGAAATGTCGCAATCAAGAGCTTCCATGCTGTGGGACAACAGCCGTTGAGGGCGTAGTTCGTGTAATTGTGTGGGCGGCCAGTCCAGTGGATGGCTCAAGTATCGCATTGAGTGAGCCAATATGAATTTGCCGCTATCCACTGTGCAGTCTCGATGCGCGCTGAGGTCAATCATCATGTCTCATAGAAAGCAACACTTCAAATGTCTGCTGAGACACGTGAAGACGTGCGAATCACGGACGTTGTTGAGATGGCAGATCCTCGGCTGACGTTGAAATACCGTAAGCCAACACTCCGCAATCGGACCAGAGGAGCTTTGCCGATGATCTTCAGCTGATCATTTCGAGATTGCGACGGCTATCGTCAGGGCAGGACTGATCAAGGCGATGAGGCATGAGTTGACGGCCGCGGCTTTACATGTGGTTCGTAACAGCTGAGGCTTGCTCGAATGTGGGTTCGGAGCGTTGTGGGGAACGATCGCCTTCCCTGCCAGCGGCTTGGCGCCCGCGCTAGTGGCATTAACGTGTCTCGCGCGCGTTCGGCTTGCTGGATCAACACTCCCCGCGTCTCCTCATAGCATGCATCATCAGCTAGCCGCCCAAATCTGGTCTGGGCCACCAACGAGCTCACCAGGCTCACCGGAAATATGACGAGCGACAGTCGAGACATGCGCCCACGTGTGCCGCACCCCGCATTACTTCTACCCCTCCTGGCACCATAGCTCCATAGCTAGCTCTGGGCGATACCGGGGTTATGCGTTGCTATATGTGTAGAGCGCGCCGTCGGCATGCTTGCGCTCTGTTTCTGCTCTCCTCTGCCTCTCTTGATCCAATTCCCTCCTTCTATTGAATTCTCTCATTCGTCGCGTTGTAACGAGCCACTGAACGCCCCAAAGCACCATGTCTGACTGGTCGGATCTTACCGCGGCTCTTAAAGGAAGCTTGGACAAGCTCTCTAAGCTTCTCCAATCCGATGCACAGCTCAAAGCCTTTACGACTTCGGATGCCATTGACAAGGATGTGACGTTCGGCATCAAATCAAGCGGTTCTGACAACACTCTCCTTGTCACAGTCACCAACGGCAGCGCAAAAGCCAGCACCGGCTCTTCGAAAGATGCCTTGTTCACGCTCTGTGCTCTGCCCGAGCAATGGGAGCAGCACTTCAAAGCAGTCCCGGCCATGCCGTACCAGAGCTACTGGGGAATGTTCGGCATGAACATCAAACAGAAAGGCATTGAAGTCTTGGGCGACCAGACAGCCTTTGCGCAATGGACGCATGTCTGGAGGCGCGTCCTCGAACTCACACACGACGCGCATTGTGGACCGATGAAGGAGGAGGAGCAAACCGAACCCGAGCGCGACTTCCTTACTGGCAAGTACCTGTACCTCGAAGCTCCCGTATGGGGTAGGTGCAAAACCTTCTACGAGTACTCTGGTGAAGGAAAGCAGCCCATTGTCTTCCTACATACCGCTGGTAGTGATAGCCGGCAATACCACGGTGTCATGAATGACGCGAAGATGCGCAAGAAGTGCATCATGTACGCATTCGACTTGCCAGGGCATGGACGCAGCTTCCCTTCGAAGAACTACTCCCCGGGCGCGCACACGAACACAGAAGACAGCTATGTGGGCATCATCACGGCTTTCGTGAAGGCCCTAGGCTTGCGAAGACCGATTATTTGCGGCGCCAGCATGGCTGGTCAAGTTTGTCTGGCAGTTGCGATCCGCCACAGGGAGGTTGGCGCTGCAGGAGTCATTCCGCTACAAGGGTACGTGAGACTGTGAGATGAAGGTAGCTATGCTAACGATCGTAGTTCTGAGTACCTCAACATGGAGCGACAATGGCATGATCGCTCTCCAGTCATAAATCAGTCGCTCTTCAACCCGGAATGGATCTATGGCGTATGTGGACGGGTATTAATAGCAAGTGGATTGTCACTAACATGCAGCAGATGATGTCTCCAACCACGCCCCATGTGAACAAGCAACTCATATGGCACACATACAGCGCGCAAGCCTACGGAGTACGGAGAACCCTAGAATCGTGTATCATTCTCGTCTGACACGTACACAGATATTCCACGGCGACCTCGACTTCTACTTCGGAGGCTGGGACGGACGTTCACGCGTAGCCTCGATCGATACCCAGAACTGTCCGGTATACATGTTGACCGGCGAGTACGATTGGTCCAACACCCCAGAGATGGGACAGAAGACGGCAGACAAGATACCCGGAGCGATGCACAAGGCGATGCCGGACCTCGGTCACTTCCCAGCGACTGAAAACCCGGCAAAGTTCGTGCCGCATCTTATCGAGGCGATCGATCATATACTGAAGATTCGATCGCATAACTTGAGTACCATGCGGTTGGGTGATGGTACGGACTAGACATACATTGTCCAGCCATCTCCCGGCATGTAGCGATAATACCTTGTTTATGCACGAATATATCTACTTCTCTTGATGGTTCAATTGACTTTTCACCCCATCCGAGGGAGAATCCGAACAGGTGCCCCGAAGTCTACATTGCCCCGAAAACCTAAGTTTGTATATTGTCTATGGCAATGTAACCTTCTAAAGTTTTGCTCAGTAATTGTATTTCGCAGAAATAGCTGTCTAGTTTTTCCATTGAGTGGCGTGTTTTCCTCCGCGACGCATCTCAATCTTTCACCTCACTCAAGGAAAAGGCTGTACACTTTGAAGCCTACATCAATGCTGAGCCTTCCACATCGCTTATTCTACCCTAAAGCTTCCTGCAGAACTGTGCAGTTTCTTCCCAACATGAGGAAGCATCAGCCTTGACAACGTCGTTTCCAGGTACATTCGACTCGCACTTGCAGGTGTGGCCAGTCCACGTCCACTTGCCATCTTTTAGACAGCAACTTCTCTCACTAGCAGACGCCCCGAAGCTACTGCCTCCGGTTGGAAGGGCTCAGGTCAGCGCTTACGTCTGCATAACAATGTCTACCTACCGACAACCACATCTTACAACTCAACACACGTCGCACTTCACACTATTCAGACCATATCATTAAAATATCTCTTCACTATCGTTATGGCTGCCCGATACCCCGGCGACGACCTACTAGAAACTCATGAGCAAGAGGTTCTGAGACTGCTAGCTGCAGCTGAAGGCATTGTATTTGGACGACACCTGCACGAAGATCCCAGAACCCCCAGGCTAGATACGTCTAATCTCGCTGCCGTCGGGGATACGAAGATGCTCTTGCCTTTCGAATACATACACCCAGCTGATCGTGCTGCACTGGCCGATCTTGCTATGTAGTCTGCACAAGAGCAGGCATATGCTCAGGCACGACGTACGGCAGCCCAGCTCAATCGCACACCAACTTCACCGCCGCCTACCACAGGCGGGATCGCCTACCCAGGACCTTTCACTGCACCGCCGTTCAGCATGTACAATTACGCCCAGTATGAACGCCACGGTATTCTACCACCAGGTTTCAACATGGCGACCGGTGACATCAGCGGGTGGATGGGTTCCCGTTTCGAGCGTCCCAACGGAGAAATTCCCCAAACGCCATCAGACCAAGACAGACGTCGAGACCACCGTCCTGAACGATCAGCCTCAGTCGGATGTTCAACTCACAATCGTCGGCATTCAGCTCCAACCCTCGCACATCGACCGGCACCCAACTTCTTCCCCAACCAACCCCCTCCCACCACTGCATTCGACCCCGCGTACGATGGAGCCAACACATATGGAAATCCCCGTGGACAGTATCCAGACGGGAATGCCTATGTCAACAACTACCGAGACGCACGGCCAGGCGTAATGCGCGACACAGCGACCCAGACACATATGGCTGGGTGGAACAGGCTAGGACAGATGTATGACGCCAATAGAGATACAATTCTACGGTCTGCCCGTCAACGAGCTGAGATGCTGGCAGCAGCAGCAGCTGCGCGCCGAGACGATCCTGCCGTACAAGCTGCGAGGAATGCCGATATCCCGATGGGATATTCCAGCCCTGTCTGGCCACCTAGTTCTGAATTTCCAAACACTATCCGGCCCTCTGATTTGACTGGACCGCCATTCAGCACAAACGTAAGCAGCGGCTTCAATGCACAACGGAGGCGTGAAAGGGCCGCGGAAGAAGCTAGACAGAGGACCGCAGTATGGATTCCCGGAAATATATATGGGTTGAACCCAGACGATGATCCTTTCGCCGTTACGGCTGTACAGTCATCTAGCCCTGCGAACGCAACCAGCAATGCTCAGCGGAGAAGGACTGAGAACGAAGCGAGACGCAGGGCCGCACGGAATCCTGGAGACGTGTTTGGTTTCGATCCGGATGAAGATGCTGATGCGGATGCGAATTAAGGGATGTGGGAAAGTTCGAGCATAGTGGGATAGTCTTTCATGAGCTGGGTTACGCATTGATCGTTGGGCTTTGGAGGCTTTCGTTTGTGGACATAGTATGACGGCTTGCAATCATTTGACTTGGAATGGGCGGAAGACAGTTGGGTGTTTTACTCATGATCAGATACGTAGACTGAGACACGCAATCAACGACCGTATCTCACATGCACACTTACTTCCCCACTCAAAAAAAGGGTATCGTACTCAAATTATCCATCCCAGTACCACGAAAGACTCCCAGACACCAATACCGACCCATACTCCAATTCCCTATATTACAACCCAGACCCAGAGTCCACCTCCCCACCCCTCCCCACCTACCTCATCTAATCTTATCAACCCTCTTCTTCGCAATCCTAATCTTGCCATCCACCCTTTCCACATCCTCCTCAAACAAGCCTAATAAAGCATTCTGCTCCACAATCTCCGTATTAATCTGGACCCCCATCTCCTTCATCCTTCTTACCACGGTTGTCAAATCAACCAGGTCCTCGTCTTGCTCCTGTATAATCTGCTGTTGAAGTTGCAGCACGCCTTCATTGTCCAACTCGCGGGTTTTATCGGTTTCTTGGGCGGGCGGGCCACCGAGGACGCGACGGGAGGAGGAGGGGTGTTTGGAGGATGAGGAGTTCTTGGAGGAGAAGAGTCCGGCTTTTTGGCTTTCGGTTACCTGGGCGGCGCTGGAGGTGGATGGTGTGGACGAGGTGCCAGAACCGGAGATGGCGGCTTTGACGGCCATGCTATTGAGTACGGAGTCGAGACCGTCGCGTTCCTTGCGGAGACCGCTGATCATGTCTTTCCTTCTCCTGATCTCGCCGTCGCCTAGTTTCTCGGCGGACCAGTCGTCTGAGGTTTTGATGTTTGAGCCACCGAGACGACTCAGCCCTTCGTCGAGCGCCGAGATGAGGATGCCGGCTCTGACGAGGCTTTTCTTTGCGTTGGCTGCGGCTTCGTGCTGGGCCGTTGCGGCGGTGGCCTGTTCGCGTTTCGTCAACCACCTCCGTGCGTCTTGCAGGTTGGATTTGAGCTCCGAGTGCTTGTCCAGCCAGTCGGAACTATCCCTCACTCTATCCTTGCCGAATTGGCTACCTGGAAAACCAGCCGCTTTCTTCCCGTTCGCACCATCCTTCTCTCCTAGTTCTAGAAACTGTTTGTAGGCTTTGGAGACGCGCCAGCGCCCGTCTTCGGCGCTTTCTATCGCGCGGAGGTAGGCTTCTAACCCAGCTCGTCGCTTCTCGATGGCTTCGGGAGACGAGGTGGTGGAGCCTATGCCTAGGAAGCCGCCGAGCCAGGACTTTGGTGGGAGGGCTACGGGCGGTGCAGAGCCGACTTCTGAGCGGAGGGAGGAGTCGAGGGCGGAGAAGTCGGAGTAACGCTTTTGTATGCTGGTTGCGGCGCGTGGGAAGGGGTGCTCGATTTTGATGGTGTAGGATGTGTAGGCTTTGCCATTCTCGGGTGTTTGCTCTTGTGTTGTTGGTATGGAGATCTTGAGAGGCGCCATGATTGCGATATGTATGGTAGAGGATTCCAGAGGAGAGGTGGTGTTGGTGATGCGGCGGCAGGCGGCCGTCTTGTGTTAGGCCGATGCCTGGCGCGGTCGCGTGCACTTGATTCGCAACAATAGCGTTGTTATGCGGGTCCAAGCTGTGGGTATGCGCGTGATGTCTTTGAGTTTATTGAGTATGGAAGCGAGACGCGTTGAATGCAAAAACAAAAGAGCTCTGCTGCAGCAAGATCCAGGGTCCATGCCTTGGTTGACGTCGTTGCTGCGGCCGCGGCACGCTAGCGCCACGTGCGTCACTAGAGCCTGACGTCTTGAGGTTTGCTCAACACCATGTCTTCTATTGCCATCCTTCATCCCCCATCCCATCCAACATCAGACGACTACACTGACCCACTATCGAAGCAGCTATTCGTATTTTGTTTCTATATCTTTCATGCCATTACGAATCGCGATATCAATGCCTACTCGACCCATTCGGCCAGCATGCTCACGTTCGCGGGATCGCATTCGATTCAACACGATGATTGCCAGCACCAACATTCCGATCGATACCAGATAGCCACAATGACCTAGCACCAGAGTAATAACTCGCGATACGTCTCGATGCCAGCCATGCCGTTACGCAGGGCCACGCCCGCGCAATCCAGTCAGCGTGCATGCTCGGCTTTGCGGGACCGTGTTAGGCTCTTACATGAGATGGTGAAGTGCTATATACAGGAGTCACGGATTGTCTTAGATTCAAGCTAATCTGTCGTCGCGGCATTAAAGTATCTGCAGCCCATCCGCGGTCGTTCAATTAAACATTCGCTTGTTGCCGTCATGCCCAAGTCGTGCGCCTGTGCTCCAGCATCCGCGACTCAGTATATCAGCTGTGTTGTCTCGCATTTCGATTATCCCAATCGCCTAGCGCGTTCGATACGGAAATGCTACCTTTCTCTTCCACCGTCTCTTTTTTGGCGCCGTCTCGCTAGGGCGCAACGTTGTCATTAAACAGCGCATACCCGTCGTCTCATCCCTTCTCTTCTCTTCCGGCTCTACCACCCATACTTACGGCTGGACATGACTTCCTTCCATAGAGAGTCTCTAAACAACGTTTGACCGCATCACTTTTGTGGTGCCTTCTCTTCACAGTCCTTTTCGTCCATGGTACTGCGGTGTCACGACGCAGACGAGCGACTCACGACTTCCGAAATCTATGTGTACGTATCTAATCAGGATCTCTCGAAAGAAGAGAAGAATCGTCAACACAAGAGCACTCCACAGCGCACCGTCGTCACAGGTTACTGCATACTCGTGATTCCTTCAAATCTCCTTTCTCCTCTTTGGGCTTCATGATCCATACCTATCGGCTCGAAACGATTTTCTGTTCCTCCAAAAAGAGCTTCCAGGGAATATGTCGTCGCAATACACTCCATCGCGGACGATTAGCGTGACGCATCACGGGCGTCCTGTCCTGCCAGTAGAGGCTAGCCTTCCCGTATATGACCTGAAATTATAGACGACGCCCCTCAGACTCGTAATTCTACCAGTAATGTGTTATAAAGTGGTCCGAGCTATTGCTGTCGATCGAGTGTCTCGTAGATAGAGGAGGCATCAGTGAATGCTTGGACGCGTTGCGGTCGGACGCTTTCCCTGAAGCGAGAGGGTACCCCACTACTTTTCGGACTGAGGCCACTGGACGCACGCGACTTCCTCTTTTTCTCTTCTCATCAAAAGTAGACGGCATTCCATAACGACATCGACAACGGCGACGCAAATCATGGCGCTCACTGCCCTCCCCCGGGAGTTGTTTGATAACGTCATCCGCCTCCTTACCGAAGACGAAACCCCGCTGAGCCTGCCCAAATACCGCCTCATCTGCCGTAAGTCTCTCTACATGTAAGAGTTCGCATCAACTGACTTTGCCCACTTAGGAGCTTTCAAGGACCCCATCACTGACGAGATCGCCAAGAAGCCAACCGGTGACTTCCTTCGTCGAGGAGAGAACAGCGCCCGCCACTTCCTCATGAACAAGGACTTCCTTGGAACCCATCTCGGTTATCTCGGTGTTCGGGCGTTCAGGGGTAAGCCTTGCGGGCGCTTGCCCTACCTTCCCCGTCTCATCGCGGACCGTCTAGTCCTCCTGCGCCAGCATGGAGTGATGCAGCAAGGTCAAGAACTCAAATTTGCGCTCATGCTGGGTAAGACCCTGGCAGTTCAGTGCGATTCTGCCTTTACTCTGGCCATAACTGCGTCGACAAGCCAGAAATTCGTCAACGTCCTTCCGAGGTTCACCATCAATGGAGCAAATCTCGCGGTAGAGTTATTCGCTACCACGGCGGCAGCTGGTGACACCGCGGGCTTCGAGAAGCTTGTAACTCAATTCGGTACCGCCAGTCTCTTTCGCAGGTCTTACGCGTTCGGCTACGCGATCGCTACAGCCGCAGGCGGCAATCACATGAGGCTCGTCCTGCGTTTCTTAACTTGGGTCATGTCCAACTACCGCACGGTTCCCAACGATGAATACGACCTTGCCATCATGGACGCCATTGACGCATCACTGGCCGGAGGGCATAGCGACATGGCGCGGCTCCTACTGGAGGTCTACCACCGTTTCTTCCCTGTGATCCAAAACGACGTCTATAATAGATGGCTTGCACTGGCGGTCAAGCTTCCGGACAATCGTATCTACAAGGCGCTGGCGTTCACCATTCGTCGCGACCCTAACATCCGATCCCATATCATCACATTCAAGATGGCTTGCAGGAGCGGCGACAGGTCCATGGTTCGAATGTTCATCACGAGCGGTATCCTCGATCCCAACCAAGGCTATTTCGAGCAAATGGTCTTGCCTAGCCTGGAGAATGCTCTTCAAACTGCGGTGGCGGCAGGAAAGGTCGGTCCTGTGGAGGAGCTTCTCTTACTTGGCGCACATCCTGATGGGCTGCCCACCGCCAAGCCTCGCGCCCGGCCTCTCCGACTCGCTCTGGTCGACGACCACCTCGAAGTCTTTCGTCTACTGCTGGTATGGGGCGCTGACACCCAATCGATTTGGCCGCAGTGGTACGACGTGGGTTCCAAGATGCAGCCTCGTCGTCGCCCCTTCTTCGATTTGATCCAGTCTGGAATAGGCGACACTTTCGGTTACTGGAATGACCTAGTTCGCCGCGGCCGTGGCTTCGTTGAGGAGCTCGAATAGCTACGATCGACCGTGGTGAGTTGAGGGGGGGCTGATTGCTACGCCCTAGCCTCTTGTCGCAGAGAATAGCGTGTTGGCTCAACGTCGACTCTACGTCCGTGATCGCCCGGTGCACGGACAGACCCCCACGACAACAAACTTCAGCTCGCACCTTCACTCCTGTGGTTGGAAAGCCCTCCTCCATCAGGTCACCGTCCACATCCCTCGAAAAACGATTGAGAAAAACGATTGAGAAAAGAGCGTGGGCTTCATGTAGGCGAGATCCCGGGTCTTCATGGACCACGACTCAGGATACTCGGGCTTTTACACAGCAAGGATGTCGAAGATTTTCGTCTACGCATAAGAGGAATGGAGTATGGGGCTAAGTAGGGTCTTTGTTCATTGTAGAATTGTTTTCTCCAAGCTCAAGTCTTAGATCGGATGGCTATTACCAATCCATCAAATTGCACACTTCAGTCCCAAAACCTCCTTGTGCGCGCCCATTGCAGTTCGTTCTTTCATCTAATCCCTCAGTCTATACCTGATTCTACATTCTGTATTCCTTGTCATCAGTCACCTTCGCCTTATCTCATCTTACTGCGATCAACCGTGAGTTCTCAGGGCGTGTCAAGTATGGGAAGAGGTTTCCTAGGGGCCAAAACGGGCTAGAAAAGTCCTCGAGGGCCTTCCGTCTCATTCATCTTCTGGTATGTCAGAACACGCTCTGCATGTTAAACAGGCGGTAGTAATGGCAGGATACGTACGGTACGGTTCAATTGAAGATATATCAAAGCTTCTACGAATGAGAAATACGAAGTTGGAGTGAGTATTAGAAGTCAACAGTCACTGTGCTGGGCGTTCGCGAATCCTCTGTCATCTCACCAGCCCGTCCGGGAGGCAACAAATGCGCGATCATCCTCCATTGCGCAATCTAGTGTAACTTCACTTTCAGGATCTCCCATCCAACACGCGCAGGCCAACACTCGCAGGCCACCAAGCAATATCGATCTCATTATCCGGACTTGACACACATTACCGCTACCTCGACATCGATACCCTAACCGCAGGAAACGCTAAAAGCTATGCTTCTGTTACTCGATCTACCGATAGAGATCTTCCAGCGTATCTTGGGCGCACTGGTAAAGAAGCACGGTATACCAGAGGCGTGGACGGCTCGAGGAACCAATAGTAAGTACCCGTGCAATAACTCATCACATGTGATATCCAATACTAACATACTGCGACAACAGCGAAGTTCTGCCAATACGTAACGTACGAGGTCCTCGCCAACCCCTCCCTTTACGCCTACAGCAAGACGCCCGGCGGCCGTAAGATTCTCAAGAACTGTCTCGCCGACTTCCTCTTCGTGCGAAGCTCGACGCTGAACGGTTTTGTACGCAGCCATGTGCCGGACTTCATCCGCGATGTTGTGCGAGCTATGAGTCAATGGACCGCCAACGACACGGAAGAGACTGCACTTAGGAAGGCGCTGTGTGACCTGTTCATTCACAACCACAGCGACGCGTTCAGATGCGTTACCACTGACATCAACAAGTTGGGACACTACATACCAAATAGAATTCTGGCCACTGATACCGCCAATCTGGTTGCTGCAGCCGCCGCGACCGGAAAGCTCGACGCGCTGAAACATTTCGCCGGCGCCAAGAAACATCAGCTGTGGTCGCAGTCACCGGCCTTTGGTTACCCACTTGACGTCGCAGTGTATGCGGGCCAAGATGCCGTCATCAAGGCATTGACTCAACAAGCAATTACCAACCAGAGCCGAGACATCGCCGGATACTCTTACAAGGAGCATCTATCCTTCCGACAAGCCATCTGCACTGCTATCGAACTGGAAGACCACTCTACGATCGAATACCTCCTGGCCAAGTACATCACCGCGTTCGGCTCAGCAACCGAAGGCTGCACGACAGCCTGGCTGGATAAGGCGATCGACATCAGCGACGAAGAAACACTCAAGCTCTTTCTTACCATCCCTTCACAATCTGGTCCATCAACCATCTACACCGCCTTCGAAACAGCGTGCCGTCTTTCGAAGCCAGATCTCCCCCATTTGCTCTTCGGTCCTCAAGTTGGTTAGACCAATCTATCAGTCAATCACATTCACGGCTCCACGTACCCCCTGCTCACCGCCGTCAACGCATGCGCAACACCACAGGCTGGCAGTTTCATCAAAGAGCTACTCAAGCTAGGCGCAGACCCAAACGGCCCTGTGTACCTAGCCGGTATCGAGCGACCTCTCCAAGCGGCAATGCGCTACGGCCGAAGCATCGCTTGTCTGGTTTTACTTGAAGCTGGCGCTAATCCGCATTTGGTAGCAAGTACGGCATGGGTCAAGAGCGTGAAGAAGACGTACTCGGAGGATACGAGGGCAGGCAGGGTCTTGAGGAAAGCCCTTGAGACTTGCGAGGTGCCTTCCGTCGCTAGGGACGAGGACTTTCTTGTTGAGGTGACGGGGGAGGACGGGGAAGTGGAGATGGACGGGGATGACGAGGTGGAGATGTTGGACATTTAGGAGTCTATATTGCATCGTGATTGTGCCTAACTTTTGATACGGTGGTAACGTAGACTGTAGGGTCTCATAGATGTCACTAGAAAGTAATGATGTAGAATTGAAAAGCTATGCGAACTTCTGCTTTTAGTTAATGCGCAGAAGAGCCGTCCACTATTGAATCCGTTCGTAGTCGGAAGGGAGAATTCGAGCCGCCTAGAGACCTTGACGAGACAATAGACCCCCCACAACGTCTAAGGTCTCTAATGTGATCGATCAAGCAACCAGCTGAGGATGTTGCTAGTATGAGACATCGGGAGTTTATCATCTGATCTTTCGGATGAACCAAACACTCGTTTGGGTGAGCTCTCAGTATGAACTAAATGCGGTATCATTGATTAGGCTGCCGCATAGGCGTTGCATGTTCCCATAGCTTCGGCCCTGGGATCTTATAACCATCGATCTTCCGATGCACGTTCACATGTATACCTTCATCTGTCATACCGTACAAGTCTTTGCCCAAAATACCACCAGCCAGCTTCTTCCCCTCCTCATCCGTCCCTCTCGCAACGCGTAGATTCACACACTGTGGATATGCCTGAGCGCCATCCAGGTTCTCCGCGACATGCAGCGCGATAATCTCATGTCGCAGCACATAGTATCCTTCTATGAGTCTTTCCGGTATCTTAAACATCCAAGAATATTCGTTCGCGATGAGCACATCCGCGGCCCATGTCCCACCGAGATCCAATGTATCCCAACCCGTACTATTCAGCCATCCCAGTTCGTCGATCTTGACCCACTGCAAATCCTGTCTCTTTGTGTTGGCACAGCTGCCCTCGCACTCTGCTAAATATGTGATAACGGGGCCGACGTGCGATACTGGCCATTCGTTCCAGTGAAGCTTTAGCTCGTCACCGGCAGTGGTGTTGATGTGAAGAGCGCCTGCTAGCGCGTTGTAGTGACAGGCGATGTTTGAAGTGTTGAACTGCGAGGGCGGGATGTATATGTTGCCGAGGTTTGATGCGGACCATGCGGCGAGTGGGTGGGGTGGTGTTGAATTGGTTGACGAGGCGGGATCCCAGCCTTCGTATATGGTGCCATTTGGGGTTGTTACTTGTGTTATGCGACCGTGTGCTTGGACAGCGGTGATAAGAAGGGGCAGTATAACGATGACGGAGAACCGCATACCTGCTTAGATGGAGTCGCAACGACCGTACCAAAGGTGGAGTGCAGCGCATCGAGCAGGATATAAGCATCTTTCCGTGACATTCAACCAGGACATTGGGTTTCATAAAGTTCTTCGTGATGCCTCTTTAGCCATACAAACCCCGTGATTACCCCAGATTTCGCCATGTTGCATCTCATATCGGGATAGATCCGTGATTGGTTGACGCCTTCCCGTACCTTGGATAGATGTACTCTAGACCGAGCGCCTCTACCAAGAGTGCGTCGCAGGTGATACGACACCCGAATATGGCAGACTATTTCATAGTGAGCTACCCGCTAGTGACTGCGTTAACTGTCTCGGTTCTCGTACCCAAGTGCCCGCGTCACGTCACGACCTCGGGAGCCAACGTCCGGGCGCAAAAGCGTTGTCACCTGTTTTCTATTCGCCGTTTTTTGACGTGAGATGATTCTATGACAAGGCAATTGCGGTCCGACAAGGTGCGGCTGGACAAGATCAACTCGTTGGTGGCAGCTGGCAGGCTCGATTGGAAGCTTACCAGCAATGCCGTGCTGCTCATGGTGGTTACCGTGAATGCCCTGCTGGCTCCCGCATGAATACCTCGGGGACGTGATTCGTCGTATACTCCCTGTCCATGCAGAGCCGTTGCTTCTTTACCCGCATCGCAGATGTCGAAGATGCGGGATGCAGGTCTATTGGTCATGACGAAAGAGGCGGGGATCGTGGACCCTGAAGTCGATCGCGACCTGATCCGGGCAAGCGCTCGGCAGCCGAGATCACTTGGACACGGGCCAGCGAACCAACCCTCTTCTACCCCACAAACGAGACATCAGAGCAGCCATCGTGATCCTGCAATTCTACAGACAGAGCAGTCGAGGCGATTGTAGGGCCGAACTATTGATCGCTCGGGCGATGACGTAGAACTTAAGTCGTATGACTGCATCTCGCGCGCTGGTCGCAAAGAAGGCGATATGGGGCCGCAGGAACGGGGCGTATATAAGGCAACCAAAGACCAGGGAAGAAGTAATATTGGATGACCAACAGCTGTTATTTGTATGCACGGGCCGGGGTAGGTCAATTGATAGAATACGCCATCCTGGTTCTTCCATCACTGCGACTGGAACTGGGAATCACTCCTGTCACGTTTGCCGCATGTAACGGCACTCAACATAGCCTAGGGACATTGGAAAACCTGCCCATATATCTAGTGGGTATTGGAACCCACTACGAATGCCTTCTCCACCAGCTAACGAGTTCAGGACTATCATGGTCGTTCTCACGGTACTGGGGTCAGCAGCTTTGGTAGCTACCGTACTGGCGCGTCCCCAAGGATCGACTTATACGCTCCCACCAGCTGTCGATTCATCGTCGCCTTGCGCCGAAGCGGCTTCGAGGCTCTACCTCCAGGATGGACCGCACAACAATCACTTCTACTCTGATTGTCACACCAGCGTACACGTCATAGTCACCAGTCCCCAGCCAAACAGCGATCCTAATGTGGTCAAACCTCGCCTTCTTGTCGCATGGCCTGCTGGTAACAGTGGTGCTATGGCGCGCTTCGCACCCGAAAGCGGGCAGGGTAGTCTGAACATAAGCCTGCTGGCGTCGGAGAACGGACAATCGGTCGAGCCACTGAACGCAACGGATCGTGTTGGCATTTCAGGGTCAATCAACTTCGACGTCGCTGCCAGGCTCACTGTACCTATCCTAGGAAGTATACGGAGCATTCGCGACTTCACCGAAGGAGGAGGCGTTAGTCAAGACTTCCAGAATAGTTTCGGCTTTGCGATCAACGACGACGGAAGCGCTTCAATCAATCGCACCTGGTTTGACGGTGTAACGACTACGACATTGACATTCTCACCGTTAGATGGAGCTCGCGCCATTACACTCAATCGCGAAGCAGCCTGGACTTTGACATTTGGTGCAGGCAGCTACCGCTTCGAAGCTTCCTACAACTACCCGCAGTTGGAGCAGCTCAGCCCCGAGGAAGTTCTCAACGATGCGTCTTCTGGCCTGATTGCAGACAATCCTGATCAGACCACCTCCCTGTCTTTTCTCTCGTATTCGAATAAGCTACTGGCTGGCACTTGGCGCTTCCTCACCTACTTCGGCCGCGACAGTATGCTCTCACTGCTTCTGATGCAATCTGTGCTCAGCGAAGCCGCCATTGAGGCAGTCATCGGGGCTGTAATAGAGCGTATCAATCGCACTGATGGTACTGTGTGCCATGAAGAGGTTCTCGGCGACTATGCAACGTGGCTGAACAAACAGAAAGGGATCGACTCTACCGCACCTGGTTGCGATTACAAGATGATCGATACGGATTTCATGCTTCCTATCGCTATGAAGAGCTACTTTGTGGATACAGACGCTGGCAAGGAACGTTCTGATGCTTTCTTCGGCAAGACTGCAACGTTTCTGGCTGAAAATGACGGCCTTGCCTACTCTGAACTAGCTCAGATCACTGCCGAAAAGATAATGCGGATCGCTGCGCCGTTTGCGACGAGCCAAGTGAAGGAGAATCTCATCCAGCTGAACGAGGGTCAATCGGTTGGTGAGTGGCGCGACTCCGGCAATGGTCTTGGAGGAGGTCGCATCCCGTATGATGTCAATACGGCGCTTGTTCCGGCGGGATTAAGAGCTATCGCTGCTCTGAGCCAGGCTGGCTTCTTCTCAGACCACCCGGATTGGGCTGAGAAGGCTGATGAGTATGCCCTTATCTGGGAGGATGAGACGCTACGCTTCTTCCAAGTCACTGTTCCACAGAATGACGCCAAGCCCCTCGTTCAAGATTATACCTCCAACGCCAAACTCGATGTTCCAACCAACGTCGATCAGATTACCAGCGACGTCACGTACTACGGCCTCGCTCTAGACGGCACTCTCGATACACCCGTCGTACCAGTCATGAACACCGATGACTGCTTCCGTCACTTCTTCCTCGATACCACGAATCAGACCCAGCTGACCGCATTCATCAGTCAGACTGCTGACCACATCCTTCAACCATTTCCTGTTGGGTTATCGACCAACGTTGGATTGTTCGTTGCGAACCCAGCGTACGCCGGAGATGCAGGTTTCGAAGCAGGCTTTTCGAAGACTGACTATCACGGTACCGTAGTCTGGAGCTGGCAGCTTGCTATGATGGGTGCCGGACTCGCGCGACAACTTGGTCGATGCGACAAGGATGATGTTCCTGGTAAATTAATCCTCATCTATTCCCTCGTCTCTCCATCTTGCAATGGCTAACATGGTACCGTAGACTTTTGTGCGAACTCCGCAATCCATGGCAAGGTTCTGTCTGCATACAACAGCCTATGGGACACCATCGATGCGAATCGGGGCCAGCTGAGCCATGAGGTATGGAGTTGGAAGTATGACAATGGCTATCAGGTCGAGCAGCTGGGCTCATTGACTTCGACTGAGAGCAATATCCGACAGCTTTGGAGTTTGACTTTCCTCGCAGTCAAGAGGGAGAGTTTTGGAAGCGCGTAGAGATCATTAAGGGGCGATGAACATGGGCAGAGAGTAAACTAATGAAAATAGGCAAGTAATGCGCTAGAAGCTAGCCTATTAGACATGCCTACGTAGTAGGCACGAGACGTAGTGACTTCGACTAAAGAATAAAGAAGGATACTGATTCCAACTACAAACAAGTCTCATCGCATCACTTCCCATCTTCGGTACTTGGCGGCCAAATAGAACGCAGGGAATGAGTGCCCAGACAATGTTGGTTAGCCCGTGTGGCTTCGGACGAAAGTCGTGCTAGCTCATGATCCGCTCGTTCTGACGTCATCGCTTACGAGCCGCCGCAGCATATTATCCAACCCTCGACAAATGCTGTATACAGTGTATTACTTCAAGCTGAATGACACCAATCATCCAAGGCAGGACAATTTCCCAGTCTGGACGATGTGACCAATTTTGTATTTGCTGGGAAATGATCCACAACTTACCTCGCCGTCCGGGGACGGACCAAAATCTACCCATCAGGCAAGACGTATTGGGGCTAACATGCGCTGGAGTTAGGAGATAGATGTGGAGATAGATGCAGATTAACAGATACTGATAGGCGTACCAGGTGTCTTCTAAAGACCGTAGTATTTATATCGCAAAGAAGAGCCTTCCAAAACGCTCAAATCCAAAACTCCTCGTATAAGACTCACTTTATTAACATCCATTACCTCCAACTTCTGCGAGAAGGTCTCTGTCAAGATCGATCGCAATCCAAGAATACTCACCATCCTAACAATGGCCCAATATGCCGAGCTCCACAAAGTCGCGAACCTTCGTGGTGCAGGCGACGCTCGGCCTACAGCCCTCCAAGTCATTCGCGACGAGGATCTGACCGGCAAATTGGCCGACAAAGTTTTCCTTATCACAGGTGTATCTTCCGGTCTAGGTATCGAAACCCTTCGTTCGCTGCACACAACCGGCGCCCACGTTATCGGAACCGTACGCAACATACCAAAAGGCCAAGCTGTGGTCGACAAAATCCTCGCAGAGGAACACGATGGAGGCGGGAAGATTGAACTCATCGAGATGGAACTCGACAGCTTCGCCAGCATCCGCAAAGCCGCTAAAGAGATTCTCGCGAAGGCCGGCGGAAAGCTCAACGTGATCATCGGTAACGCCGGCGTAATGGCCACACCATACGGCAAGACCAAAGATGGCTACGAGACCCAATTTGCGACCAACCACCTCGGCCACTTCCTGCTATTCCACCTCCTCAAAGACGCTCTCCTCTCATCCGCAACCCCCGAGTACCCTAGCCGCTACGTCAGCGTCACCAGCATGGCGCACATCTGGTCCACCGTGCACTTGGACGACTACAACTACGAAACCACTCCCTACGAACCCTGGAACGCTTACGCCCAAGCCAAAACAGCAAATATCTGGTTCGCGAACTCCATCGAGCGCCACTTCTCGTCCCGCCATCTGCACGCTACATCTGTGCATCCAGGCGGTATCATCGAAGGATCTGGGCTCGCTGTACATGTGTCCGATGAGACGAAGCAGGCAATGTTTGGGGATCCGGAGATACTGCGTACGTTCAAGGATGTTGGGCAGGGGGCTGCGACGCAGGTATATGCTGCGGTGAGCAAGGAATGGGCGAATAAGGGTGGGAGGTATCTGGCCAGCCTTGAGGAACAAGGGAGTCGTGAGGAAGTCGCGAAGAAGGAGGACATGTATGAAAGTGCCAACGAAGGGTATGCGCCGTGGGCGTACGATGAAGAAAGTGAAGAGAGGTTATGGAGGGAGAGCTTTGGTATGGTGGGGCTTCCGCGGGAGTGACAAGGACGATCATCGGCGTTCATAGGCTGTATCTAGATATTGTCTGCAGGGCGTAATTCTCAGGATTTGATTGTATACTTTGATCGTTCGCGTGTATGTTGTAGCTTCGTCATGGACGTTGGGTGTGAAGGGTTGGCTGTATGATCTTCGCATTCCCGTGTGGCGCGAAGTTTGCTGCAACCACATTCATGGAAGGACCGCATTCAGAGCGACAGGATCGTTCGGGTTGAAACTTCTTTCAAAACAATCTGCAGGACTCAGTCACGACGGTACTCTCACAATACCGATGGGTAAACTGCCTTGCTGTACCTACACACACACCCATCGAGAGATGATGCGCGTCGCCACCCATGCACCGCGCCGCAATCACATGCGCACGTTTGCCTTCTGTTTGCACGCTGCATGACTACAGCCTTCTCTAGAAGGTCAAAAGCTTCCGGCCTTCATTTGCATGCAACGCATACATGGATAGGTAATGTGGCACAACAGCCAGGCTCATTAGGTAACCCAGACATGCGTGCAGCCATACTCACACCTATCGAGTAAGTATGCCCTACACCAGCACTACAATCTAGCCATACAAAATGTCCCTGGCACCGCTTCCAGTCACGTCTATGCACAATCACTCTCATGTCCGAGTGGGAGTCTTTACCAAATCTTAACAAGGACGCAGATCGTGGTCGCTTTGGATGGTCATGGAAGGTGGTCCACGTGCATCCTCACCCAACTCACCACTCGCTATCTTCCGTTCTAAATCAGCCCTCTTTTCGATTTCCTTTTCGTTCTTCTCGCGGACCTGCCTGTCGCGCTCGTTCTTTGTGCCAAAAGGGCCAATAAGCCCTGCAGGAGGATTCATCCACTGCCTAGAAAATACGGTGCAAGGTTAGCTGTTGTAAACCTTCGTCGCGATACATGTGAAATTACGGGAACGGCCTACTCTTGCGGAACCGTCCTGCCATCAACTCCTCGAAACCTATCCTCACTCTCTTGGCTCCAAGGCCATCTGTCGAGCCACGATTTGATCAAATCAGGCGACATCGGTTTTGCATCGTAGATCTCCGTGGCAGTAGGCTGATCGGGTGGGCTGGGTAGGTAGCGAATCACCCGCATCACTCCATCTTTGCAAATCTTGTGGAAATGCTGGCCACCCTCGGGCTCTCGCAAAGAGTCAACGAAGGCTTCAAGTGGATCATTGGTGGCGTTGGGCTTTGGTGACTGGGTAATCTCCCGCATGCTGGCTTCGGATTCCGTGGAAGCTTCCGGCTCGAGTTGGTCGGTGGACTGGTGTTTATCCTTGTCGGCCTTGTGGATTTTCTGGCCTGATAGCGGTTGAGAGACTGGCGAGGACATGTTTGATTCGTTCTACATGCGGAGAGATAGTTGGGTGGGTAGTACTAGCTGTAGGTTATATTGAGTGCAAACTCAAATGAACCTCGAAGCGGAGTCCTTTCAAGACACGAGTCGACTTTGTGGGGAAGAGATGCAGTGGGCAGGATCGAGATGCAGGGCATACTTATATGCGGCACAGCTAGTGCTGACCAACACTGTCCGCAATGACGTAGTATTGCGGTTAAACTGCTTTATATTCACGGTGTTGAATGGGTACACAACATGTCTCGATCGGTTTCCGCTTATCTTACAGGCTCTCAAGAACCAAGGAAGAAACCTGGGCCGATATTTCTATAAAGTAACTAAATATCCACAACACCATGAACATTGCACCAGCACGCTTTTGCCAGCTCTATCAATCCTCTGAAAACCTCCCCAAGTTATCGAATTCAACATGCCACTCACCCTCTTTCTGTTTGTCTGTGCTATTTTGTCGTCGGCTGCCGCAGGGGTGCCGGAGACAGAGGTAGATGCGCCGGCACACCACGTTGAAGCGATGATGGTCTAACAAAACATATACAGTCGCTTGATGAGGTACTCAAGAATCTCGAGACCGGTACAGGAATGCTTGATTTGGGACGTGATGGAGTGCTACGTAGTCTGAATCCAGCGCACGATAGAGTTCTGAATTATGTTCAACTCAGTGAGGCGCAGATTACCGAGTTACTGGCTAAGCTCGGAAAAACTCCAGTTGTCATGGCGGGCGTGTAAGTACTTCAATCGAGTAAGCCAGTAAGCGATTACTAACTACATTCAGTGACGGACGTACCGTGATGTCTGATGCCCAACTATGGGCTGTACCAGAAGATGTTCTTCCCGGCAAATCTGCCGTACCGAGATCGATGCCCGGGGAGCTGTCTGTACACCAGAGGCTACCAGAGTGTCTTCATGGCATGACTTGTGACGAGCACTCAGACTGTTACCAGTGGAACTGTCGCAGATGCGTCCATGATTACGAGTGCATTGGGGGTCCGCAGGGATGTGTGACCAGTCGAAACGGGAAGTGCGCTTGGCAGCTTTAACCATCCGGATAACCAACCTAAGCGCTGACCGTTTATACCACCTGGTCTAATGTGGTTCACGCGGCTCTGTACTCTAATCTGGAGACCTATAACACTCATTAGCATCCAATCAAACAGATATACGCTTGGAGCGTATGCGAAAATGAATCTTTGCGTGACATCTTATTCGAGAGAAGTGACCCTGGTATAGTCTGAACGGTCGCGGAAGTTGTGAGTGGCTTGCGAACCATTCCATAACCCAACCCAATAGATACCTAAATCCTGATTTAACGCTGAATCCACGCCTCTACCCCAAGGAGGTATCTAATAACTCTCATCGCTCCGTCTCTACAGATCTTATGAAAGTGATGGCCGTGCTCGCATTCTCGCAAAAAGTCGATGAAGATCTCCAGCGGGTCTATCTTGGCTCGCGCTTCGGTGGAAGCAGTGACCGGCTTCATGCCGCCTTCTTGTTGACTAGTGTCTGTGGTTGACTCCTCTTTGTTGTTGGGAATGAATACTTCCTGGCTCCGCGACTTTGGTAAGGACAACAAAGGCATTGTTGATTCGTTCTCGGGGCAACTAGGAGTCAGGCGTATAGCACTAGCTTTCGATCTTATTAGACGCAACCTCGGGTAGGGTGTTAAATAGAGTGCTGGTAGCAGAAAACGACGTAACTACGAGAAGAGAGCGGAGTGTGCAAAGGTTGAGATGCGGGGCATACTTGTAGACGGCACGCTTAAGCAGTGCTGACCAACAGCATCCTGCCCGACGTAGTATTGCAATCAACCAGCCTCGCAGCCATGCGAGTATACACAAACATGTACATCGACGCCTTGGAAGAATCCTGGAGAGGCCTACCAGTGGTCTATAAAGCATCTACTTCTCGCCGACAACACGAACATCCTCTCAGCACACTACATTTTAATACACTACTCTTCACAAGACCTGTCCACCATACAACGAATTCGATATGACATTCTCGATCTTCGTTTGCGCGAGTGCGACCTTTCTGCTAGCAGGGGCAGCGACAACGAATGATGCGGTAGGCACCCTAAAGACCACAATCAGACAGCCACATACTCACACCGCGTCTCTAGTCGCTTGAAGAAGCACTCAAGACCTTCAACGAGGGCGAGTTGATGAACATTGGAGCCGATGGAGTGCTTCGCAGCTTCAACGCAGCACATGACACTGTGCTAGACTACGTCCAGCTCAGTAAGCCTCAAATCGCCGAGCTCCTTGTGAAGATAGGCTCAAAAATATCTGCCACGCCAGGCGTGAAAGTTCTCTCCTTCGCAATCCTATCCCGATAACTAGAGTGGACGCAACTAACCTCAGGTTCAGTGACGGACGCACCGTAACGTCTGACGCCCAGCTATTGGCCGTCCCGGACGGCATGACCGCACGCGACCCGGCCGTCGAAACATCGCAAGCGAATATGCCAGAGCTCTTGTCTTTGCACCCGAGGGCGCCAAAATGCGATGCTGGAAAAAACTGCCAAGCCGTAAAGATATGCAAGGAAAAGTATCATCGTGCCCGCTGTGTTTTTGATACCGGGTGTGTTGGAAGTTCGCGAGGCTGTTCTGGTTCAACCGGCCAGGGCAAGTGCGCATGGAACTTATGAGGGCTGCTGCCGAGGACTGCCTCTTCTACCGTTTACTCTGCTTTGGAAACCATGGCTCAAGTCTATCACCCTCATTAGCATCCGCTCAATCGGAATTACGCCCAAGCGCATATGCAATTTCTTATTTGGGCGATATCCCATTCAAGAGATCAAGTTTGCGAAGTATGCTTAGGTTCGACCCAGTGAATACACCAGTTTGCACTCCAACTCCAGGCTTCTACTGCTTTCCATTGTGCAAAACCCCCTATTATGGTATTCTCTTCTCTTCTCCACCTTGATTGCAGACTTCTGCTCAAGTGTGACTTGTCTGTACCTAGTCAACTGTCAGCTATTATTTACTATAGCTACCTCTTGAAAGTTCACAACCAGCCATGTTGTCTACAGTACTGGTCAGTGACCTTCCTCCCAACTGCGAGTCATCCTGTATGTTCACCGAGCTACGTTTGCAAGAAGATGAGATCGAAGAAGTCTACACGGGAGCGGGAGGAGGTGAGACAGCCTGGATAGTCTTCAAGACCCGCGCGCTCGCCGCAAAATTCGAGAAGGACCACAAAAGCTACCACTTCGAGCGAACAGGCCAGAAGATGACGACTTCGTTCTGGACCGAAGCCATCCCTGACCACGCCACCGACCACTATTCAGACTTCGTCTTTGAGTGGGATAACCAAATACTGTGGCGCACCGTTGAGATCACCGGCTTTCCGAAGAACCACACCATGCTGCGCATAAATGAGTTGCTAGAGCCGGTGCGAGAACAGTACTTTGAGGCCATCAACCATAGCCTAGACCCGACCGACTACGACTACTACCAACCCATTAATATCATCCCCGACAAAACTTCGGAACCAGGAATTGGTCTTTTGCAACTTGCTCAGCCGTGGATGGTAGTCAGCCTAGTACGCCGGTACGCGGGTACTTACTGGCAGAACGGCACACTCAACGCTCGGTGCGTTCCCGATGAAAAGATGGAGGATCTGCTTGTCAATGAGCCTAGCGCTACGGACGCGATGTTTTTCGTTTCAGGCCTGAAAGTCGGTAAGTCATCGACGGAGGTACGTGAGATCCTCAAGGACTTTCCCATTCGCGACGTCAATATGCCTCCAGGTGGCAAGACGTTCTGCTTCGTCTTCGCGCAGCAAGCGCACGCAAATTTGATCCTCGCGCGGTTTAAAAATGGCGTGAAATGGCAAGGTCGCACCATTGGGATAAGCTTGTCAAACAAAGACAAGAGGGAGAAAGACGCCGAGTTTGAGAGGGCCGTAGGTATTCCCGCACGTGTGCCTGCTGCCTCGCCACCGCCTGGTAGTATCACATATCTGAAACTCAACAACCTTCCGTATGATGTTGCAGATTCCAATATCCGCATCCTGTTTGAAGGCTTCATGCTATACGAGGTCATTGTCAAAGAGGGCTTTGCTTTCGTGGGTATACTGACAAATCAGGTTGGCCGCGCGATCGATAAGCTGAATAACTCGATGGTTGGTGGTCGACAGATCAAGGTCAAGGTTGCTGAGCGCCGGAAGCAGTGAATTGTTCTTGGAGTATAGGCAGTTAAGACGTTCAGCTTCGGTCCAGTATTGTGAAGGTGTCAAAAGGGTTCAAGCGACATCAGAAGCGGGTTGTTGTTGATCTCGTATCTGTCAGCCAGTACAAAGGTGGCTTCTAGAGTTTGTTGAGACGGTCTGTATACGCTTGGGTGTGACAACGAAAGACCCACAAATTCACTACAGTGTTACATTTGTGATAGCTGTTGTCTGAAGTCACAGTGACCCATGTGCGAGTGCGCTCGAACTTCTAGACTGTTAGTAGATTGACTCGTAACACCAATTGCTGCTCATGTAGACATCCGATTGAACCAAAGATACAAATACCAACCATGGTAGATTAAAACTACTACAGTTCCTCAGCGTCCAAGGCTTTACCCTTCTAGTACCTTACCATGTCCAAGCCAACTTTGTCAGAATTACGAGGAAGCTACCTTCCACCGCGCGTCCACTCTACCGCGAGTATTTTGGCGACATCATGGCATGCCCAGCCTGCGCTCAAGACTCCGCCGCTGCGATGGCAGGGTTTGTAATCGAGAGCTTTTCGCAGATCCCGAGAGACCATAAACTGCTAGCGGACTCAATGAACGCGGAGATAGATAAGCAGCGAGAGAACGTGTTGGTCAAGATACCGATCACGGGCGATGGGACGGCGGCGGGGGAAAATGAGGGCGATGAGTCGTTAGAGCAGCCGCGTAGGAGGAAGCTGAGTGTCGCTGAGTCAGGCAAGAAAGCGACATCGGAAGCTGTGTCAGAGGTCGCCGCGAAGATGACAGTGCTCGAAGAGTCCGTGGAATCAGCTTCCTCTTTGAGAATGGGGAATTCAGAGCTTGTTCGGCCAACTCTGCGCCAGGGCCCCGCGACATCGCCGGCGTCTCCAGCAGGCGTAGACCGCGAGCAATCCGAGGTAGACGAAGGAGACAGCGAGGAGAGCTCAATATTGCTCGACACATCAGAGCCTTGGAAAAATTGGCTTTGGTCACGAGGCGCCTGGGTCGATGGTCTAGAAGTCATCGATGCGCTTCCTTGGGCGCACCCAAAGCCGACCTAAACACATCGCCCCAGATAGCCAGCCTCCACATAACGCGCTACAACATCTCGCGGTTAATCCTCATCTCTCTTTGTCCCTGCTTTTATGTCCCAGAAGCAAGTAATCTGCAGTTTTCCTTTGCCCACGCACTCCGTATCCTCGCAGTGGAAGCGCGAACATCGCTCTTGGTAGCGGAAGTCGATATGATTGAGGCAGTACATGCATGGCCATGAGTCGACGTAGGGAAAGGTGGCCTTGAGCTCGTTCGTGGAGTTCCTACGGTGGGTTAGATTCAGCAAGGTTTAGAGGAGGATTGGTCAACACTCACCTCCACTCCTGAATGTGTTCTCGCGTCAGGCAGTGCGATGCCGGAGGGTCTTCTTGTCTGAGGGTTGGGGTGTCACTTCGCTTGGGCGTTGAGGCACTTTCATTGCGACGTGTCGGAGCGCTTTGCTCATCTGATTGCCGACGCTCACTGGTTCTCCGACGATTCTCGCGTCTCAGTCGTTGAGCGTTCATGTTTTGTGGTTGTTGGGTCTCCCGGTGGCTTGATTTTGGAGCGTTTCCGTATCCGAACAGCGACATGGTTATCGTCGTACGATGTACGCAATAGACAATGAAGGAGTGGAGGTGATTCGATGGTGTTAGAGAGGTCGCCGGCTGTCCAGCAAACGAGATTTATGTGATGTTAATCACTCGCGTAGCGCGTGGCACTCAAACACGTAACCATGAACTCTGGAATGTGAGTATGTTTGGTCGTCGCACGGTTCGAAAAGGCATAATGACGCGTACTGTACCAAATTTCCACGGGAAGCTGAACACCACCTGATCCAACAGTGACTTCCAGGTTTTTCGGAGCCTCGTTATTACGAGCCGTATCTATTCTTTGTTGGTCTTGCGAAGTAACAAATGCCGTGTTCCTTGGTACCATTGGCATCTCCATGATCATGAGTGGCTCTCCAGTAGAGGCTCGATACGGCATGGTGAGATATGGCTGACAAGAACTTGAAATTTTGCGATCGCCTTTCCAGCTGGGAAGAAAGCTTCTGCGGATGGAGAAAGGTATCTGTTGTGAACGATGTCTTGATCTAAGCGACTTTTGCGCCTATGACTACTGCGGTGCGCCCAGCTGCATCCATGAATACCAGGGCTGAGATGAAAGTAACATTCTCCAATATACGCAGGTGGGTTTGAGCTCGATAGTCGTCGCGACGGCAAGTTGCCAGCTTTTTTGCACAAGCTATAGGTTGGGAGATTGTTACCATCGTCGTGCGAGACGAAAGCGCACCAAGACGCCATGACCACCGCGTCGGCCAAGATTCCTCCGACCGCCGACGCCTACGGAACTTCAACCACCCACAGGCAAACCTCTATCCTCCGACATCAACGACGAGAGATTTGTACACTATAGCGTGTTGTCCTTCTTCGACTCCTAAGCGCTCAATAGATCGGATCTACGCGACGTCTTTAACTCGCTGGCCATGCTCTATCGCATCCCCACCAGCCTGACCATGCTTGTGAAGACCATCGGCATGATTGAGACGTCACATCGAAGAGCCGGAAAGCTGTCGCGGATATGGAAGTAAACCAGTCATTTGAGAAGCAGCTTATGTTTCAAAATATGCGCAGGCCTGCGCCTTGGATGTTTCAATCAGGCCCGGTGATGTGGGTATGCGCAATCATTTAAGCGCTGAATCGATTTTATAAAAAGTATGTATCCCAGTCGGGAAGCCGCAGGATGAGTGTGCGTTGGAGCCTTGATATTACCGCGTCTTGATATTCGTTATTGTCGACGTGTGACGACGAATAAGCGCGTCTACGTGGGCAAAGAGTACAGAAACGAAGGTGAGTCGGGTTGCTGAGTCGGATCAGGTCATCGACGGAAATATTGCCACGGGTTCTGATATAATGGCGGATATTGATGCGACATGTGCGTTTGTGGGAATGGACTATGGCGAGAGACTTGCGCAACAGCTGGCTGACGGTGCGGAGTATGTACGTTGGGTTGAGCCAGATGATGATCTATTCGAAAAAATGGGATGCAGGCAATGTACGAAAGAGTGTATGGATTGCTACCTGCAGGCTCTCATGCTGGGTGACACGGCAGCCTGGCGTCTTTCAGAGATCTTTGCGTCGCTATTGTACAGGGGTCACCATATCCAGGAACACTTCAGGTGCTTGAATTCGGTATCGCACTTCTTCATTTCACTATTGCGATGCGGCGGATGATATCACAACAGGAAGCAGAACTTATTGTTTATGCTGGGTACGTCTAGCGCCACATATGTTTCCCGACTCTCTCACTTCCGGGTCTCCGTCCTCCGCTTCACTCCTCTAGCTACTCTAGGATGGCCACAATGACGCGCCGCCAACAGCGAAAGACTACCGCAACGGCTAAGCTAGGGAATCTGGACCTTCTCTTTTTCGCTCTACGAGCAGAGCTCGGCCCCGATTGGGGATGCTACAAGGAACTCATAGAAGGGGCCGCAGCTGCGAAGGCAAGCGGTGAGAATGCTTCCGCTTGGGTCGAACAGATCGAGCCGCTGGTACGAAACACCGCTTCGCAATTCGCGCATCAGGGAGTGCTCTTGTTGTTAGGCGTCAAGATAAGTAGTGAAGGTGAGACATATTTGGCTATCTAGCACCTTCACATCAAAACTAAACAACCTCAGCTTCTTCTGTCATCAACGTCACCAACGAGACCTCCACTACGACTCTTCGCACTCAACGCCCGCCGCAACCAATCCAGCACTCAGTCAACATGCAGCGCATCTTCAACCCTAGCTTAACGCCTATGCCGTCACCCAGTCTCAGCAGCTACATACCGCCGACACCCACCTCTGTCGCATCCAGAAAACGCTCAGAGGCCAATGTCGCTTTCCACGGTGACAAGCAGGCTCCCGCGACACAGCCTCTCAAATCCGGCTGGTTCGGCGGGTATGTCCTCCACCAAGATCCAGCCTTTCGGCGCGACTTATTCGAGTTCTTTGGACACGAAGTACCTGACAAGCCCGATCCGAAGCAGCACGATCAATCCGATGTTTCATCCGTATACAAGGCTGCGGATGACGACTTGGCGGTTTGGAAGGCAGGCTCCGGGGCGGAGGGCGAGGTGAAGGATGGCGGTGCGGAGGGCAGTAATGACAGGATCAAGAGTGTGGAGGATTCGAATCGAGAGCGTGTGCTGGAAGGATTGCGCTACAGGCTATTCAACAATCTGGATTGACATTGGCTACTGATGAGATTGTCGCTCTTGAAGTCAGGCGTCCGTGCGGGCCGAGGTATTGCGGAAACAAAGGAAGCTCGATTCGACGAATGGAAATATGAAGGGCTCTTGTAGAGCGCGACACACAGCTGAGCTGAGAGGAAAAGGCGTTGGGCGTCGGTAAAAGATGGATGATTCCCCATAACAAGTACTGTAGAGGCATGCCAGACGTTCTCGGACGACACATGAACCATAGTTTGACAGAAGGCACCTCTAATGCTGCTCTTGTCCTCGAACCTGGCACTCTTACACCTCCCACCCATCCCTCAAACCCCTACAACTTCCCCGCCAAACCCCCCTTCTCAGCCTCAAAAGGCACAGCAACGTTCCCCTCCGCCCACTCCTTCTCCGCCTCCGTTCCCGGCATCGGCGGCACCATACCATTTACCTTCCACAGATCCCTATCCACCTCCTCAACACCATACTCCCAGTCGTACCCTTTATCCCCGATAAACGGTTTCAGCGCTGCATCGACGGCATCCATGAACCGGAGTTTATGTGCCATGTTAGGCCTGTTGGTGGTCAGTATATATGTCGATGTAGATAGAAAATATTGTCAGATCGTAAATGGGAAGTGAAAACTTACATCTGCCTAGCAAGATGCTCAATCCGAATTCGGATCATAGGCACCGAGCTATCGCGGCCGGGCTTGTTGGACTCGGTGTTAGGGGAGGGCCGCGCGACGCCGCCGATGAAGAAGGATTCGGGATCGATGGGCTGGAAGAGGACGTTTACGTAGAATCTAGGGAGGCCGGCTTTGACGTAGATTTCGGTGATTGCGTTTGCGAGGGCGGTTTTGTCGGTTGTGGAGGTGAAGGTGCTGGGTGGGTGGTAGATGTTCCAGAGAGGCATTGCTGTGCTTGGTGGTGAGGCTGTGGAGTGGAGGCTGGGTTTCGATAAGGCCTGCTGTAGATTGAAAGAACTGTTTTAGTCTTCCCTCATGTGAAGTAATTGAAGACCTTCCTTATACCTAAATACCCATGTTGATGCTATGGTAGCTTTGCCAAGATGATGTAGTTTGGATCAGTAATCCCAATCCCGAGGCTAGCAAGCTAGGCCAAGTGGGAGACTAAACATGCACCCCGCCTAGACGAAGATTAGTACTCAAGAAGCGCTCGGGAACACCCGTAAATCTTGTCTCAATTCGCAATGCCAACCAATAATAGGTCATCGTGATGATTCATCGCTGGGGAATGTGACTTTGCGGGGGTTTGTCTGCCCGTACGATGTTACTACGTCGCCATACCACTAGTAATCAGGACTGGATCTTGTTGATAGGTAGATCTTTGACTACTCTTACGTCCGTAACACTTGCTAGCTTATTCGTATCGAGCCATGCGCGTGCATGCGACAGCGATTCCGCGCTCGCTCACAACTCCGACACAACCCTACGTACAACCTCATCAAGATCCTCCTCTTGTAGCCCAAGCATCCTGTTCGCAAATCCTTCTTTCTCTTTCCAATCCGCTGCAACAACTCCCCATACTGCGACAACCTCCTCCCTCGCCTCACCATCTCCGTTCAGCATCTTCGGCCGAGAGACATCCAACTCTTCTTTGCTGTTCTGATCGATCCGCTCAAATCTATCGCCTGTAGCCTTTTCCAGCGCAGCAAGAACCTCGAGCTGCGTGACATGGTGGCTGTGGACGTAGAGTAGCTTGTTTGCAGTCTCATCTGGCTTCTCCAAAATCTTAATGACCGCTTTACCGATGAAGTCCAGGTTGGAGGCGGAGAACTTGATTTTGCCGCCGTCGAGAATGTACGCTTTGCGACCTTTTACGTCAAATTTCAGTAGACCGCAGGTCATGCCCCAGTCGAAGAAGTGACCTGTGACAAGACTCGTCCAGGTGAGCTTCCCTATGCCACCTTCTCGCTCCTTGCCCTCCAACGTCAAGAGGTAATCCCGGACCTCTTTCTTGCCCTTCATGAGCGGCAGGATCTCGTTCGTCTTGTCGTCTGCAGAGTCGCAGCTGCCAAACTCGGCGGGCATCACGCGCTTCACGCCGCCTTTGAACGCAGCATCGATGAGCTTCTTTTGCGACTCGACATGGCTGCCTGCGATGGTGATGACGAGGGCGTCGATCTTGTTTTCCTTGAGTACTTTGGCTACTCCATCAACGTCCAAATCATCCGGGATTGTGATGACTTTTGTTTTGGGGTAAACGGATTTGGATGTTTGGCGGTTAAGGACGAAGATGTCGAACTCGGAGGTTTTGAGCGCGTTGAGGACGGGTGCGCCGAGCGTGCCTGTGCCGCCGATGAGGGCGACGTTGGTGATGGCCATTGTCTGTTATAGTGTTGATATATGGTGGGGTTGCGGGGTGAGACGCAGTTGTGCGGTTTCGTGGAATAGGTGGTCGTCGGCGGCTGCGGGCGCCTATTGACGGCCCTATCTACTCATGGAGAGGCTTCCATCACGTCTCTCGAACGCGAGATCGTACATTGCGCGACCTGTATTTCTATACGTGCGCGACAAGGTAAACACAGCGATCGCGAGGGAGATACCGCGTTCGCGTGTGTTGACGTCGATGATGTCATGGCACCTTCCAGTGGCTACGTCGCCTACTGTCGCGCTCTTGTGATGCCAGCACTTACAATGTCGTCGCCAACATATTGCTTGATAACACGCATTCTTTGTACTACACTCGCGTATAATCCCAATGGCCGAACATCATATTCTGGTCAGTGGTCATGTGTCGACTGCGCCGCATTGCATCTTGTATGCGCGGGTGCGGGGTGAGCGCGACTTCTCATGTAACTCAACAGTCCGCCGGATGATCATCACGAACCAAGAGCCGCTCCTATCTGCTTCTATTCGGTTGGCTACTTCGGCAGTACCAGCAGTGTGCCACAGAGCTGATGTTGCCTGCTGCGCACACTTGACGTCTCGACTACCTCGGACTGACTTCCCGCCGTTCGTGCATCAAGCCCAGATCTGGACATCAAGATGGAGGCTCATGAGGCACCTCACCAATATCAACCAATAAACTCCAGCGAAGATATCCGCGTCCTTCGTCTAGAGCCAGGCGCGTTTGCTGAGCCTCTCATCGGTAGCCTCGTGGTGCGGAAGATCGGAGATGACGGATACAAAGAGCACCTGCCAGCCTACGATTGCGTTTCTTATTGCTGGGGACCCCAAGAGCACTTCAGTTCCTTGGACTCCGACGGCAGAGCTCTTCGTATTACGGTCGCTGTGGACGAGATGTTACGATACCTGCGGGACCCCAAAGAGCCGCGCTGTCTGTGGATAGATGCTAGTACGTGTCGATACGAGCTGAATCATGCACATCGTACTAACATGTAGTAAAGTATGTATCAATCAAGCCGATAACCAAGAGAAGAGTCAGCAAGTGCGTATAATGGACAGAATTTATGCCTCAGCTCAAGAAGTGCGGATCTGGCTGGGACCAGCAACCGACGCAGAAATTGATGCTGCATTCCCATCGTTCAGTCCCAAAAACACTGACTTTAGAACTGCGTTTGTTATTCTGGAGGAGAGATTCCAGGAGTATCCTGTCGGTGGCCAGACCCCATTCTCGCCGTTGACGGATGACTTCTTCTGTCGGTATTGGTTCACACGACGGTGGGTACTACAAGAGGTGATTCTGGCTCGTGTGGCAATTGTTCATTGCGGCCACTATCAAGCCCCGTGGAAACGGTTCTCCGACGGCGCTAGTGCAATCAGGTCTCACTTGAACTACATGGCCAAACATGAGGTTGAGCATGGGAATCAGTTTTATCATGGTATCCATAGGATTGGTACATTGGCGAAGCAGGCTCTGAATTTTGTCGGAGTTGTGACGTCCATCAAGGATTTGAGAGTACCTGATTTTGAGGGGACACATTCGACCGAAGATGAAGGCCCGGAACCTTGGGCAATACTCGAAGATTTACAGGCATTCCATACTGCCAACTGTGCAGATGAACGCGATCGACTATACGCGCTATATGGTTTGTCAGAACCAAAACTATTCACCAAGAATGGCAATATGCGGCGTCAATCGTACGTTGTGGATTACACCAAGCCTTTCCCCCACATCTACTCCCATCTCGCTGCCGCTGCGATAGAATCTGGTCTATGGGACATCATTCTTGATCATGTCATCGAGTTTGGAGGACTTGCCGATCAGGAAGAAGACTGGCCCTCGTGGGTACCAAGCTGGAACATGGCTAAGAAGTTCGAGGGTCAGAAAACGCGGGAATTTCTCAATTACAGGCGGGAGGCTCTGTTTCCGCCAAACATTGGCGTCGATTTCAGCTTCTATATGGCCTGGGCTAGCTTCGACCTTTGGGATGACGATGATGTCAAAGTCAGGCAAGCGCACAGGTCAAGAGCGCTTTACCTCCACGGTTGTATCCATCGCATTTGCGATGTCAAATCTAACAGTGGTAATTTGGACGCGATAGCATATATTGAAACTATGCTGGGCGATAGATGTGTTGGCGAGAGTTCTGCAGCATCTAGATATAAGGTGGTGTGGCTAGTGATGATGGTGTGTCAATTGGTGCCACAGCTCTCGCCCTCTAGTCGAGCAGCAGAGTGTACGATGCCACCCTCCTTCAAGCAATACACAGACATTGCTCCATGGGAAGCCTGTGAGAGAATCTTCGGGTTATCATCGTATAAACATAGAGAACAGTATCTCTGCTCGGAAGAGAAAAAGATGCTTCTTGTTGCCAAGCGGATACTACACAACCTATATCCATTCTGCTACGAGCACGAAGGGTCACTAACGCCTAGCATCGCCTTCGCACAAGTGGAACCCGGCGACTTTGTATTCCGCAGTGCTAGAGCAGCCGGCACTGGGACAACAAAACCTCCCTCGATCTTAGGGCTGCTGATACGCCCTTATCATCGAGCCAGCTCGGCAGGCCCTGACACGTTCCGACTTGTAGGTATATGCATCGATTACTTTCCCTATGTGGAGAAGCCGGAGATCGTCGAAGTTGTTCTGGTTTATGAGGGGCATGCTATATGAACAGCCGGTGTCACTTATTGTATATGGTGTGTTTCTCGGCGTAGTATATGCGGGGGATAAGTGGAATGAGGTGGATGCTACGCTATGAAGACAAGCCAGGAGTAATTCAAGGGACATGTACGTTACGTCAATCTAACACAATAGGGAATACAACTACTTAGCTGGTGTACACGTGACCCTCGCCATAGTATCTTATCTCTTCTGGGTACGACATCGCCGTATCTACATTAGAGAAGGCTCCATTGTCATCTCCCACACCCTCAAAAAAATTAAGATATAGATACCGAAGAGAGAGACTACATGGCGAAATATGGCAACGGACTGCAACAGGGAAATCTGCAGTATACGGGTACCTCATATAAGCACAAATTAAATGAGTGGGCTGCCGCCTACATCAACACTGAAGTGATTGTTAACAAAACTCAAAGGCAAGTAGTCTTTAGATGGTTAATTAATCTGCTATCGCAGTTGCGGCGATGTAGCCGGAGACCAGTCTCTCTTTGAAAAGTGAATGAAGCGCGTGAGTCGTGAGAGAGAAGTAAACAATCTCGATGGTAACCACAATGGCGATGGCAACGGCGATGAAGATGGAGCGAGCGCCGCAGATGCGCCGGTATTGACATCACCGGGCGTGAGGATCTTTCTTCACGGTGCAATTTCACAGGCTACGAGTACCAGCGCGTGATGGGCAGAATCGGAATTGCGACAGGCGTTGCACCTTCTTTTCGATACGTATATCTGGTGTTCTCGATACCTGGGAGCGTTTTGGCAGAGTTTGACTTGGAGTGGGCATCGGCCGCACCCACGTGCCAAAGCCGACGCGCATCGGAAGCACGGGTCAAACCGGAGGCGGAAGCCGGTCTGGGGCCGCGATTAGATCGCTAGCTTGCACGGGACTAGAGCGGCAGCGACAGTGGTAAATAGAAGAAGAAAAATGCATACCCAAGTATTGAGGACGACGGATGGATGAACCTTGATCATTGTCTGATATGCCTAAATGTGCGTTGTCCAGCTCTGGAGTACACGACTAAGTCTCTCTAGGTGGACTTTTGACGCAGGTATTCTGCAGCGTTTCTATCGTGCTCTCGTCATGCGTGCGGTCCCTTGCAATACTAATTACTCGTGTTGAACACAGGACCTTTCTGAAGGTTCTCGACGCAAATGGGAAGCCGTGATCTGTACTAGCTTTCACATGGACAAAGTCGAACGCAGAACGACTTGAAGCTACATACTAGATAAGGTGGGACAGCATAGGTAAAGGATGGACCCTACGTAAGGAACGGACTCTTGAGTTGGCATTATCTTGGAAAAAGGTAACATTCAAATGCGTTTCTACACTATCTAGTTCTAAGTAATTCTTCTGCCCAGCGTGTTCTCGTTTCAATACCGCAACCTTGCACATTGTCTTCAAGTTGTCTTTGTGAAGACGCTGAGTACCCATGCGCCTCCACACTTTTTGGCGGAGTTGCCAGGACATTTGAACTCACACCTTGAATCGTCGACCTTCTGTAGAGTTTGTCGGAAGGTATTATCACAGTAGCAAACCCCGTTTACTAATCCGTGATATTGGTGCTTGAAGCAATTGATAGCGCACATGTCGGTCGTCATTTGATCGCTGCTGATGGTCAAACCGCCGAGTAGCTTCCTGTCGCCATCTGAATAGCATCCCAAGTACTGGAAATCAGGCTTGTGTTTCTTCAACTCCGTTTGTAATTGTTCTACACGAAGAAGATGTTCCTGCTCTTGCCTGTCCAATTGAGCTTTCAGTTCATCCTTTTGAGAAAGACATTGGGTTTTGTCTGCCTGGCACTCGTCGATGGAAGGGCCGCTGATCGTATCGGTGGGGAAGGTCGAAGAGAGGGATTGATTGAAGGTTATCCCGTTCGTGCAAGTGCACGAGCAGTTCGGACTTTCGGATGAGGGATCGGTACAGTCGACTGAAGGCTTCACACCTGGTACATAGAGTAAGCTTCTGCAGATGAATAAAACTGTTAAGGTGGACATACCATTTTCGCATGTATACGCGGTCCCAAAGAGGTCGACAGAGCTTCCGAGTACTTGTTGCGTGTCACTGCCGTAGAGAGTGGCACAAGCACCAGTGACAAAAAGAATCCAGGAAAGTCTCATGGTGATATCGAGTCGTCGAGGAGATGAGTAAAGCTTGAAGATATGGAGTTGTTTGATGGGTGGAGAGAGGTTGGGGCAAGGCCATGGTCTTATATCTTGAGTTCCAAGTTCCTTCTTCTCACGTACTTCGAGGTACCCAGATCAAAGGGTACCAAACTCACCAAGATCTACGTGACCATTACCATTGGAAGGCAATGCGTTCGGCGTAGATTAAGAAGTTCCGGAGCTATCTCTACACTGTGGTTGGGAAAAGTGGCCTCCAGCGGTACTGTTTCTGGAGGCTTGCTTTTGCTACCATCCTTTGCAACCTGTAGCTTTTGTGTCTCGACGATTGCTGCATATCCGAATCCCATATTGCTGTGCTTTCTTTTTAGCTTGATGACACTACTGTCGGCCCGAGCCGTATCGCTGGAACAACTCAACCATGTGCGTTGCCGACATTAACAGCAAACGTTTAAGGCGGATGGAGGGGTTCCGGCAGAACAGCAGAAGTGACAAGTAAAAGTCGCACTAGACAGATGATACTTGAATAACCTCAAGAGTGGACCTGTCTCCGGGATATCGCTTCTGAAGGAACTAACACCATGCACACCTCTTTACTCCTCACATCGCTTCTACTCTACCGCATCACGAATGCGCAATCTCAATCAAATCTACAATTAGACCCACAGCTAACGTGCCAGGATGGTAACCCCCTCTATCTTTGCAGATGAAGAGTTGCAACAGCTAATGCATGGGCTTAGGATACATGCCATCTCTCTCATGCGCTGAACCGCTCCCAGTCGAAGAGCAGTGCTCCTGCACTTGTAGTGACGGAGCAAAGTTCAACCAAACTCGTCCTGACTTCACAGGCTCTATCCCTATCACCCCAAGCCTAGGGGACGGAGAAAAGATGGAGGGCAAGCCATGCACTACAGATATTATCCATCCGTGGATAGAACTATCGTTGCCTCGAAATGCCAATACGATGGAGCCGAGCACGGTTTCGTCTAACACCATCGATAACCCGGAGGACAGCATCTTGCTAGTAGCCGATTCCAGACAGAGATGCCAAAACTTTGTAGTGTATATCGACGATGTACGTGTCGGAGTGACATCTGGAGAAGGTGCGCTTGACGGCAGCTGGTGCGGGTCTGGAGAAGAATGTATTGAGAAGCATGGAGGGAGCCATGCGAACTTCAAACTCTTACAAGGTAAGAGATTCCTGCTTTACAACATCAGCATGATTCTTGTGCTAACCTTCTATGCCTTATCTTCTAGGACGACGCAAGATTGGTCTTCAATGGGTCGATGTTCAGGAGGCATCCGATAAATGCAGAGAATATCCTGAAGCAGTTGGATCTTTCCAGGTGTACAAGCCCTGTGATCGAATGGTGTAGAAGTGCATGCTAGGAAGGTCTTTGAAGCGTACAAAGGGGCCGCGGATGTCAAACGCTGAAATTTTGCCAAAAGACATGTCGATGTATTGATGGCAAACCCTCCCTCACTGTTTATGCAAGTATGTTATAACCTTGACGCTTTATGAGTGAGAGATACAGCCTGCACAAGAATTCCGTAGTCAGGCATGTAGCGTCTAGAGTACTGTGTGCTGCAGTCATAGAAAACCACACGATGCGCGTGATGGGTGCGTGTCGTTTGCGAAAGGTGGTTTATTAGATACTTAGGGAAGTCGCCGCTCAAGACGCGATCACCGAGGTCCTTTAAAATACTGATGTAGATAAAGGCATGAAATCGCATTGCGGTGACCAGAGGCATAAAGGGCTGAGCGCGAAGCCACATAAACAGATCCTGTTGCTGCGAAAACAAAGCTCGTCGTGCAGCTGCAACAGCAGAGACTCGCTAGCTTCGATCATCGAGCCGATTGGTCAGATCAAGCACGGGCGAAACCGGAGACGGAAGACCGCCCGGGACCGCGATAAGCTTCCAAGGTTTAGCCCTCCACGCAATCCCATCACCGTTTCTAATAAGAGTCACATCGCGCTGGAAGTTTGCCTCTGCAACGTCCTTGTGACATGCAGTATTCTTCAAAGAAGATTCTCGTCGTCTCACACGCCACTCGAAATCCTCCAACTGGCTATCGGCAACACATCACATGACGTCTTCAATCGTGAGAGGACGATGCAGACCAGCCGATCGCCATCGTGGTGTTGAGAATGTTTCAGCTGGGGGGTGCAGGCTCGCGGCGTCTGAGTGGGCCGGTTGCTGGTCGCCAGTGTGGAGGGCGGCACTAAGGGAGGCCGCGCATGCAGGCTAAGCCCAACGCCACAAAATGGCGCCGGCGTCCAGGCTTGGACGCATAATTGACTTGGGCTAAGAGAGTACCTTGTTCCACACGGCGAGGGTGAGGTGTGAACTTCACCGGATAGTGATCGAGGCCTGGTCGACTGGTGGGAGTTGTGCGTGTTACGCGTAGACTATTGGGGTGCGATAGTGTATCAGCGATCGTATTCTGATCCGAGGCTTCCGCTTACATTGCACCGTGTACGAAGACTGTTGCCTGGCGGCGCAGTGCGACATGTTGTTGTTGCTGTTGTTGCTTGATGTCTGGCGTGGTGCCACCTACACCCACCACGTTGACTCCCCGCGGACAGCCGGCAGCGGATGACATAACGACACTGAGACGCCTTGAGTCGTCAAACGTTTGCTGGCAGCGACTTAGCGGATGCGCCCCTTGGCTAACACTTAGCGAAAGGCCCCATAATGATGTAAATTGCGCGAAAAGCAAACCTTGGGCGCGCAGCTGGCAGCGACGTCGTCCAGTGAAGCGGTCGAGGGAGAGTCGCGATATGAGGGTGACCACCGGCCATGTCTGCTATTTTCGCATGTGAATTGCTTTGTCGACGACTTTTGTTTGAGACGCAAGGGCAGCATCGCCAATTCCGGCAAGGAGGTGGGCTGACTGGGGCACCCCGGCTAGCGCGGCTTAGCCCAGCCCGTACGTGTGGAAATGCGCAGAATGACTGCTCCCCCCGAACTTCGTCGTCGCTGCCCTTCATCACAACATCATCGCCGTCTGGCACACCATCCCCTCACCTTTTCCCCCACCCACGCCTCTCCACGGCCTTTTGTAGCCCTGCACGCCTGTAATACGCCCCTCTCTCCTGTATTCACGAATTCTTTTCTGGAATTTCGTGCTGGTGCGGCTGTCTCTTCCTTATCAAGTGGCCGATCATCGCGCCTCTTGCCCTCCACGTCACCACCCTCAACGGCTTAACTGCTTGTTGCTTCTCTTCCTGCACTCCTTCGCGCACACTTGATACCCCCTACCCGTTTTAATATTCTCTTCTGCACGACTTGCCCTTCGATTTTCCCGTCGATATAAGTCGCGCATTACTGTTGTTGCGCCTGCTGCAACGTCATCCTGCAGCCTCACTAGCACCTCGACTTCGATGCGCACGACCCTCACAACTACAGATGAGCTCTGTTGGTTCTAGGCTTCCACTTCTTTCACAATGCAGTCCATGTTCCGCCTCCCATGGTGTAACGAGTCGCCTGGCGACAAGATCATGGAGAAATCTACCCTCCACAAGTCAAGACCGCTGCCGGTCGACATGCCACACTTCATGAACAACATGAACAAGATCAAGCGGAAACGGACGGATAGTCCTGAGCCAGTAGTGAAGAAGTGGAAGGGCGCGCACGGTGAGGTGAGACCGTCGACGGTCAACGCAAATGTGAATGCAAACGCGAAAGCTGCGGCCGACAATGGACGTCTTGCGGATGCACCCAAGCCTGCCGCTGCTGATGTCTTGGATGCCCGACCCAAAGCCCAGCCGAAGAAAGAGGGCGCAAGCAAGAGCAAGGCCGCGAAACCTCAGCAACCGACTGCCAAACCTGACTCCATCAACACGCCATCTACCACCACGGACTCTGGACTGACCCCTGTGCAACAAGCTATCGAGGCGCAAATCAACTACGAAATTCTGCTCAAGCATAACGAACTTCGTTTGATTGAACAGGAGCTCGCCAAGTGCCAGGTTTCCCTCGAGCAGCTGAGGCGTTGTTCCCTCATCCCATTCCCAGGTAGCGATGGCCTTAGTGAGGATGCCAGTCTCGGGGTTGGCGCTTCATTGCAACCCAGCTCTGGCATGACAGAACCTCAGTATGCTGCTCCATGGGGAGTCACCGACGGCCCGTACACTCGTCACTACGCAAAATGGTTGATCTCGGATGCCAAGTTTGACCCCGTATCAGAGCGCGCATTCGCTCAGCAAGCCCAAGGGTACTTTGGCACTGGTGAAGGCAGGACGACGCGCGGCAGCTTTGCTGACTATGGGTCTCACAGAGGCCGCACGTCGCGAACTTCGACTGGAATGTTGAAGCTCACGCCCCTTGGTGAAACTCCAGCACCAGCGCCCAAGCTCGACCCGTTGTTGCACAAGCGATCGACCGATGGTCAATGGGTGCGCCTGTACTGCGCTCCCTGTGGTCACAGCAACTTCTCCAACACCCAAGGTTTCCTCAACCACTGCCGGATCAAGCACACGCAGGTCTTCAAGAGTCACGACGCTGCAGCTATTGCATGTGGTGTCCCTGTCGATGTTAACGATGTTGGAACTCCTGTTACCGCCGCCGAACCAGCGAGCGCTCCCGTTGCGCCCCCAGTCGTATCTTTCCCCGTTGTAGCCACTCCCGGTATCGTCCACCCACTAGCATCGCAATCTGCACCCGTTCCACAAGCTCGGGAGGTACACCGTGATCAGAACGCATCCCCACGTGACGATTCGAAGGTTACCACCCCGGCTAGCTTTGCCAAGTCATCATCGACGCCTTACCTTGCTGCACGATTCGCCAACAGCGGCGCCCAAGGCGACTTGAAGGAGCTCGTCGAGACTGCCCGTGCAAAGGTCGACCTGGACGTAATGGACGCCTCGGATGACGACAGCCCTGCTCCGACCCCCGTGTCAGCAGTGCCGCCGCATCTAGCGCGTCTCCCTGCTAGCGGACCCGCAAGCAAAGCCCCGTCAGCACGACCAGGCAGCAAGAAGGGCAGCAACTCCAGTCATGCGCGCCTACCGTTGTCATTACCATCTCCCACCAAGTCTGAAGGCGATCATCACATGCCAAGCTCACCGGTAGATCTCAGCCCTCACACGGTTGAGTCCAACCCTGGGCTCGTCAGCGATCACGACGACGACGATGATGATGAGGATGCTGACGATGCGCACAGCCAGCCTGACCTCTCCATTGGCGGCGACGACGTCATGGTCGAGGATGCGAGCGACGTTGAGGGCGTGCAAGAACGCAGGGGTTCTCGACCGGCACTCCATGGATGCTTCGAAAAGGGAGAGGGAAGCCGGAAGCACTGAGTAGCGAGAGCGAGTTAGGTCCGGCTCACACTGTTCCTGTTTCTCATCCCTTCTTCCTTTACGATGTCACTTGCCATGGAGCTATGGCACTTTTTCATTCTTATCAACACCGGCGGCTTTATTCCTTCTTCACTTTTACACGGGTTACCAGCAATGGACGGAGTCGGTCCGGCTGGCTCAGGACATTCCAACATGTTCTGCTTTTGAACTTTATTCCTTCATCATCTCTCACCTGCTTTGTCACTGCTGCTACTATTGTCGTTCTTACGGAAATGCCCTCAAAATGTGTCAGAAACTCTCATCTCACGAGCGAGTCGTTTGCCTTTTCTATCAAAGAAGGGAAAGTGGCTCTCTAGTTTAGGCGCTGGAAACGTCGTGTATCATCACCTTTGCTATATGTACGAAACTGGGTGGTGTTTGGTTGGGGTGGCTGTCGTTGTTCATCTTTCATGGGATGGAGTGGGTGGATTAGATGGAAACTTTGGGGTTGTGCAGGTACACTTGCATATGGCTAAAATGATGGCAAGGAGTGTGAAAGCTTGCTTGCGCGATTGGTTTCTGCCTATATGTATATAACTTTTTTAATCTTATGAAAACCCTTGTCAAACATGTTTGATTGATTGAGTTGGTGATGTTGTTGTAGTCGCACCTTGCCTGCCGCGGCTTGTCGATCATTGTGGAGGTCTACTTCCATGGATGTGTGACTGATAGTCCGATCGGCATGTTCATTGCCCAGTCTCTGATACTATCCCGTAACGCCTCGCTTCGTAAATGTGTCCTCCGTGAATCACTCTGCTCATCCAACGCAATGTATCCTCTCCTCACACTCAACTCATAAACTGCAGTACCTGAAAATTGTCAGCATGCTATCCAATCGATTCCGCTTCCTTTCCCTTGTTATCATCCCATATCCTATTTCCCTCTCCCCATCCCCCTCAAGACAAAGATAATCCACTTACCGCCATAACCACACAAGCCAAACTAACATACGGACTCAATCTCTCGCCCACGCGCGCCGCCTTCCACACCGGTGATATCCAATATTTCTCCTTGTTCCGATCGAGAGGGCCGGGGAAAGTCGCGTGTGCGTACGTCGCCGTACAGATTGTGAGGAGGATTACGAGGAGCAGGGATTGGAAGTTGAAGAGCGCGGTCTGGGGAATAATTAGCGAAGATGAACGTGAGGAGGAATGGGGTAACGGACCATCGTGATGAATGTGAAGGTGGAGGGTTTTGGTGGTGGGCTTGGATAGGTGCGGATAGGTGTTGGATGGAGGGTGTTCGTAGCTTGTGATGTCTTCGCGGTGTCTCAGAGAAGATGCGATCGTATTCGGAGAGGTAGGTGAAGTTGCTGCCTAGGGAAAGCGCACGCTTCAGGCCAGATTGTTGCCGCAGTCGTGAACGTTGGTTGCGCAACCAGGGCCGCCGCGGACAAGGGGTCTGTGCGCACTCCCGGCCGCCGCACGTGGGATCGTCATTGCAGCTCGCGCGCTAGATCCTAGGAACAAGCGCGACTGCAACTCGCGACTTCACCTCCACAACCTCAAACCTCCAGATACGGCGCAGCGGAAGTCCATCATACGGGTGTTGCGCTTCGGAATTACACGCGATCGCTGCAGATAGCCGCGCCGAAAGAAAGATCAAGAAGAGCGTAAGGAGAGGAGAGCGAGGCAGTCGAACAACGACAAAGACCGCAAGAAACACAACACCATGACAGAGCCACGTATGCGCCTGCGGCAAAAAGGCCAGCAGTTCCCTACGCAAGACTGTAAGACTCCATCTCCTCCACCATCACCCAAGCCGCTCCTCTACCCACCCCAAGCCCCCATCACCACCTCCACACACCATTGAACCACCCATACTAACACCATCTTAGTAGAAGCCTTCCTCCTTGCCTTTGGCGACAACGACTACCCTTTACCAGAAACCATGCGCGTCCTCGACGAAATCATAACCGACTATATCATCGAAACCTGCCACGAAGCCGCATCTGTTGCCCACCATGCTCGGCGTGCCAAAATCAAGCTCGACGACTTTAAGTTCATGCTCAGGAGGGACACGGGGAAATTGGGGAGAGTGTCGGAGATGCTGGAGACAGATAAGGAGCTGAAGAGGAAGAGGAAGGCGTTTGACACTGATGAGGGGGCGGTGTTGGTGGAGAAAGATGGCGGTGGGGAGGGTGAGGGTGGTGGAGGCGGGACTAAACTGGGGAGGCCAAAGAAGAGGGTAGATGGGGATGGGGAAGTAGGAGAGAAGGGTGGAGAGGAGCCGAAGAAGAAGAAAAAGAAGAAGAGGGATCAGGGCGGTGGGGATGATGCTAGTACGGTGCGGAGTGGATGACATTGAGGGTTATGATAAACGTCTGCGGCTGCAACGATGTCATGGAGCTCAGATTGCAGATCGGGACGGGTCGCAACAAATGCGCAAGGCATGCGAGCAGCTATACTGCGGCTGGAAGCGATGGAGAGCTACAACTTCGTTATCGTCGAGCAGAAGAGGCATCGTCACGTTCCTGGCAAGTTCCTAGCAACCGGATGGGAAGTGCGAGGGTGTTGTGCATTACTGGGAGTATGGTCATTCGCGGATTGCATGGGTTTACTGGCGTTTTGAATGGATACCCAGTGGGGTCTTGAGACCTTCTACAAAATACAAAAGAACCAAACGTCATCGATTTCCAATACATCTTCGAACTCGGTGCCCTTACGGTCGCAGTATTACGCATTTCTCCTAATAAAGCATCCAAATAGATAGGTATTACCAACCTACTGAGGAAATCTATCTGTATAAGTTACCCACACCGATAGCAATTTGTGGAGACAGACTTTTCTTCCAATCCTCAAAGTTATGGCTGACCAGTACAAACTCTCAATGCTATGAATCCACCCCTTCATCCTTTCCTTCCGTTGCGTGAGACGGGTACGTGTGTGGACTTCTTCTTCGTTCTTCAGATATAAGACCAGCCGCATCCTGTTCCCAAGTAAAGTCTCAAATCAACTTGTTGCGGTAGCAGGATCCCAGTCTTCCATCATCAAATCCATCTCTCTTGTATACATGTGACCTTTACACCAAGCTATCTCGGATGTAGACATGGAAGACTCCACATACGCGTACTTGTCATCTGGAGTTAGTGTTAGGTTGAACGTCTTTCGGTCGTAGCCGAGCTCGTCGGGGTGAGTGTCTGCTGAGTGTGTGTCTTCGGCATCGGGCAAGTAGAGGGGTTGTGGGGAAGCCATGTCTCTATCTGAATCCATTGTTGTGTCCCCGATAACTGCTTCTTCAACATCAGGGCTATGCGAAGCTTGTACAAGCGGACATGGAACTGATGACTTGGGATCTGAGGGGTACTTGGATAGCTGCGGGAAGTACGAGGTATGTATGGGTGGTTCATTGAGACTGAATCAGTAGAATGCCGGGTTTCATGCGCATTGCCTTTGTGGCTGCGCCACGCACCCGGAATATGAGACTGACTTGGTGATATCACAATTGGTGAAGTATATGTTGAGCGGACAAGGCGTTTGGTTGGTGTTGTGATGGGGATCGCGATAGAGCGGTTGAGATGACGAAGAAAGAGGAGAAAAACTGGGCGGAATTAGATGCGGGAGTTGAAGCTAGAGCTTGATGGTCGGAAAGCAAGAGGTAGTAGATGTGTGGTCGGGATGAAGGGCATGGATTGGGTATGTTATCTATTTCCTGGTCTTGTGCTTCGAGCATGATGGCGCAGTGCGAGTGAGCATTTCACGATGTTGAGGTCGTGGACCCAAACTCTCATATTGTTGCGCAACTCACATAATGCTACATACTGGTCACTGTGACTACGCATCGGAACACAGAATAGAGGCCTCCTAGAGACTCGACGGTTCTGCAGTCGAATGTCGAGGTTGGCCACGCCTTTCTTCGACAGGTCGCTCTCACCTCACTCACGGAAAAGAAGCGCGTTCGATCTCACCGCAGCGTATCCACCTTCACTGACGCAATGCTGCTACTTCGCCTGGCTTGTAAAGGCTTCAATCATGAACACCTACCACAAAAGCCTCCAGCATGAAGCTCCACATCCTCATCATCGCAGTGATCGCGACATTGGCTTCGACACACGTCCTCACCCCCAATGACAGTCCACTCACGAGCCTCACCTACGATGCCGACCTCAAAGAGACACCCATAGCCAATGCCGTCGACATCTCCACCGTCCACACCGCGGCAGACAGGCCACCCAACGTCAAGTTTGACAAAGCCGTGTCCACCGGCCAAACGCTCGACTCCGCCATGAAATCCAAAGACAGCGTCGCCCGCTGGTTCTTCAAAGACTACCCGCAATACGCCGAAACCTGCCAGTCACCCTTCACCGGCGACGGGCGTGCCGACCTCGCGAAGTGGGGCTTCGACGACAGTGAAGCACTGAGCGTGAAAGTAGCGAACGAGTGCGACTTCGATGCGTATCATAAGATTAAGGCGGCGTTCGATGAGATAGGCTTGGATACGAAGGCAGCGAAGGATGGGGGGCCGAATCACTGTTTCAAGGTTAATCATAGGGATGGTCCGGCGATTAAGAGGGATGACAAGGGGGAGTTGCCTAGTGAGGCAAAGCAGGTATATGATGTTTGTGGGAAGGAATATCGGGTCTGACCCCCCTCCTCCTCCTCACCATCCATCCCGCCTCAAACGTATATGCTAACAGACACCCCCAGGCCACAGGCGCATCCTACGAATTCGCCGCCAATCCGCACGGCCTCCTCGCCCTCATGAACATCATGTCGATGACGTATTCAGCAAAAACATACACCTGGTTTCGTACGCCGCTGCCCTCTGAACTCCCCGACATAGGTACGACTCAGGATATCGGGTGGGCCATGTGGAACCGAGTCAACGCACCCAGTCTGGCTGGGCTCAAGTACCTGCTTGTTACGCAGGTGATGAATGCGGGGTCGAGAGAGATATTTCGGCATGCGCTGGGGTTGCTGGAGCCGCCGGAGAGTGAGTATAAATTGTGGCCGGGGCATGAGTTTGGAATGGGGACGAAGGGGGGATTGGCAATTTTGGGTATGTTGAAGGTCCTCCTACTCTAATGATCCACACTGTGGAGAGCCCGGAACGTTAACGAAATCCTAGGCTCCCCGGTGGGACGATGGGCGGGATACTTGCTGCTACAACACAAGGACCAGCTTGGTGGTAATAGATACATCGAGAAGGTAAGGCTGTTCAAACCACCAGGAGCGAGTTTGCCGTATCTTCTTTTCTACGTGGCGAAAGATCCATGGGTCGGCGATGTTAAGCCTGTGGCTGCGAGGATGGTGGAGAAGAACGATACGAGTGTGCTGGTGAGAACGAGGAACGAGGATACGAAGAATGTGGTGAGACAACACGTCGTCTACCTGCGGCCGTAGAGTGTTGCGAAGAAGAGAGCTCGATGAGTGTACGATGGTTGCGATGGCCTTCGAAAGCGTCTAAGACGAGGAACGTTGTACTATCTCTTACGATTTCTTCAGACGCACCTGTCTATCGAATACGAACATTGTAGGATAAATACTCACACAAAGTCAAAGACATCCCCCTTATCGTTCACCATCCTCCCCACCCTCTTCCCCCCAACAATCCTCTCCAACTCCATCCTTTCCCACTTGGAGAAACACACCTTGACGCTCGCTTCTGCGCGACTAATCTCCGCACGTTCAATCGACTTGCCCACGAAACCCACAACTTCATCGTAGAATACAGGGTTCTCGGGTACTCCGTAAAACACCACGCGCTTCACGCCGCGGATATTGTACCTGTGGAAATGATGGGCGCGGCCGGTGTACAGAAGGAGTGAGTGTTTCCCATTCATGAAATGGGACCGTGCCTTGCGGACGTCGGTGGCGTCAGTGTATTCGCTAATCGATGCGTATGCGATATCAGAATCCACAAGTGAGTTCCGGACGCGCACGAAATCGAGGTAGCTGGGTATGAAGACCAGGACGCCCAATCCGCCGTCGGGCTGTTTGGGTAACCGGGTAATGGACGGCAGGATAGACGTGTTGAAGTATTTGAAGCGCGCGTCTGGGTCTGTGAGGTGTGATGGCGAGTCGAACCGGAGGAACGTTTGTTTGATGCCGTAAGAGAGGGATTCGATGAGCCCGGCGGTGTGGTCCGGAGTGTATTTCAAGCGGCCCGCGTAGTTGCGCATGTGTTTGTTGTAGAGAGTGTTTATCTTTGGTGTTAAGAAAGCGGATAGGATGATTGTTTGACGGATGTATGGTGCATGGCCGTCTAGATACCAGGATCGCACGCGCGAGAAGTCACAGCCGTGTGCATCTTTTGGTTGGAGATTCAGATGCTCGAAGACGTATTCTGCGTGTTCCCAATTTTGCATTAGCGCTGCGTCGGCTTGTTCCATGATGACCATTTCGATGGAAGACAAGAAGTCCGAGTCGCGTTTCTTGGGGTCGCCGGATTCGATGGCGCGGCGTAGGCCGAGGGTGGAGGCGAAGATGATGTCGGAGTTGTAGAATGTGGAGTAGAACTTGAGGGTTTTGCGTGTGAGCTTTACGCCGATGCGGAATTCATTCTCGTCGTTTCCTTCGAAGAGTTCGCGGAAGTCGGCAGGGCGGTCGGGTGAGAACTTGTCTTCAGGAGCGGAAAAGCTGTCGAGGAAGCGCTTTTTATTTTCTTGCTGCTCGAAATCGTGGAGCTTGGTTAGGCTGTCTAGGACGCGGACGCAGGCTTGCTTTGTCTCGAGGAGGAAGAGGATCTTGGGGCGGGTGAAACCTTGGTCGCGGTATTCGACGTCTGGGTCGTCTTCTTTTGCTGTCGCTAGCTTTGCGTTGTTCTTGAGCACTCGGTCGCGCGTCATGAGGATGTGGTTCAGGGCGTGTAGACAGGTGATGTCTCGTAGACGGCCGGTATTTTGCACCGTTCTTGCGCCGAACAGCAGATCTTGGTAGCCAAATATCGAGGGTACGATGGCTTGTTCCAGCCCATCGAAAGCGCCGACCTTCTTCTGCGCGTTTTCAACAAGCCGCGCTTTCAACTGGACGTCGCGCACACTTCTCAGCTTCCTGTTCGGCTTGATCTCGTCGCTAGGAACCTGGAGTATGCCAACTCCCTTGCCAGATGCTCGATCCAACTTCTGTGATGTCCACTGGTTGGCAGCTATCCGCTTGAGTCGCGTCGCTAGGTCGTTCTCGTCGGGGTTCACAAAGTGTTTCTGGTAGGCCTGCTCGAGCTCTTGCTCTTCTTGGTAGTCTTCGTCCGCGTCTTCGTCGTTCTCAACCTCTGCCTGCTCATCCTCAGCCTCGTCGCCTTCCAGGGTGGTAGATTCAGCGTCGTCGTCTAATTCGACCTCCTGTTCAGGCTCGTCGTGCGCCAGCTTCCTTCTCTTCTTGCGATGCTCTTCCGAGCCAGTTTTGCGCGACGAGAAAGACTGCAGGAGAGTCGCATAGGCGTTCGAGATGGGTTGCGCTTCTTCTTCTTCTTCTTCTTCCTCCTCCTCTTCGTCCGAGGCATCGTCTTCCGATACGTCGGATTCGCTCTCGTCGGATGGGGTGGGTTCGCGCATGGGGATGTTTCTGGTACTGTTAGGATTGGACTAATGCGCCTGCGACCAATATCCGTACTCACGAATCTTCAACCTCGTCTCGTGTTCTCGCTGCGGCGAATCCGCCTCTGCTTCCACCTCTTCCACGACCTCTCATGCCGCCTCTGCCCCTTCCCACTCCGCCGCCTCTACTACCGCCCCTCCCTCCTCCACGAGAGCCGCCTCGTCCTCTCATTGGCGCCATGTTGGGTTGCGCCGGTGAATGCGCCGATGTGAAGGGAGCTTGATGCAAGACGTCGATACTTTCACAGGGTCAGGTAAATGTTATACTGAGTCGTGACTGCTTCTTGCGCAAGCGGAAAGGCAGAACATATGCGGTTGAAGTAGAATCGTCGCGTTGGGATGTTGGATGTCGCGCCGCCAGAAAAAGTTCAGATGGTCCGTGCAAGCGAACGCACCTGCCCAGATTTCGTGAAGAATATCGCTGCGTGCCCCACCAACCACATTTGACGTCCCCCGAGCGCCTCAACACCACGCCCACCACGCAAGACCCTATCACCATTGCAACCGCCACCATGGCCGAGAACGACTCCTTCCTGCATCTGGCGCGCCCGCTCGGCCCCGCCTCCATGGGCGCCCAGCCGTCGACTGCCCCGCTGAACGTCGCTATCCAGCCCCAGGTATGCGACAAGCGCCGCGAGAGGCTGCCTGCTCTACTCTCTGACACGCTGTAACTAGGCCGTCTTCTCCATCCTCGATCACTCCCTCCGCCGCCCCGCCGAGCAAGAACGTGTTATCGGCACCCTCCTCGGTACCCGTAGCGAAGACGGCACCGAGATCGAGATCCGCAACTGCTATGCCGTCCCCCACACCGAGACGGCCGAGCAGGTTGAGGTCGACATGGACTACCAGAAGCAGATGCTCGCCCTGCACCTGCGCGCCAACCCCCGCGAAGTCCTCGTCGGCTGGTACGCCACCAGCAGCGACCTCAACACCTTCTCCGCCCTCATCCAGAACTTCTACAGCCAGCAAGGCGACGGCACATGGCCACACCCCGCCGTCCATCTGACTGTCTCGACAGTCCCCGGCCAGGAGATTGAGTCCAAGACATACATCTCCGCGCCCATTGGTGTCACCGCCGAGCGCGCCGCCGACTCATGCCTCTTCATTCCAGTGCCCCACGAGATCAAGTACGGCGAGGCTGAGAGGTCAGGACTGGAGCTCATCTCCTCGGCAAAGGACCGCGAGGACCGATCACAGGAGGTCATGACCGACCTCGACTCGCTGGAGACCGCCATCACACACGTCCTGGACATGCTTGAGCGCGTCTCCAACTACGTTAACAACGTGCTGGACGAAGAGGCCGAGCCATCTTCTGCGCTTGGTCAGTTCCTGATGAACGCACTCAGCCTGGCACCCAAGGTCGAACCCGCCGACATTGAGCGCGACTTGTACGCACCATCTATCCATTTACTCTATATCTGCTAATATATCACAGCAACGCACACATCCAAGACGTCCTCGTCGTATCATACCTCGCCAACACCATTCGCACACAAATCGATCTCTCGAACCGTCTCGCAACCGCCGCGCTCACCATGGGCGGTGGCGACCCTCTCGCTGGCGATGGCAAGAAGGACGGCGACAACAGGGGCAAGGGCGGCGACCGACGAGGTGGCGGCAAGGGTAGGCAACAAAGGGAACAGGAGGCATGAATAGGATGAAAAGGCACACTGCATGGAGTTTGGCGTTCTAGTGACATGCCACTGTTGACGCAGTAAGCGCGGCATAGCGCTCGGGGAACAAGAAAGAAAAGGCTGCGCGTCTGGATACGAAGGGCAATGGGCCGAGATGATGAGGAGAGGTGAGCGAGCTGAAGCATGGATGAACCGCTCGCTCGCTGGCGAAGTAGAGCACTATATGGTGCCCTGTATCACTACTGCTTTGTTCTGATGGTAGCACTGATGGCATATGACCAGATGCATGAGGCTTGACGAAATGAACACGATCAAACAAAAACTGGAGATTGCGGAGATTTTAGTGTGATCATGTTGACGTATACGGTTCTAGGTAGCACTGGGTGGCTCTTTCCACTCCTGTCTGACGTGACTGAAGATGTCTCTCACCTTTACCTCAGTTCTTAGACACCACAATCACATGACACGAGAATTACTGCACTACTCACGATATGGTATCGAATATGTTCGATAAGCTATTAACAAGAACGAACGCTTCGATCTCTAATCGAATTGATAGCGCTGCGGAAGCTTCTCACAGGTGAGTGCCGTTGTTCTTACCTTCCACGATATCTCGTGGGAAGTCGCGCAGGACATTCCACAGCTCCTGCGATCGATGACTGACTGCTTTCAGGCCATCAACCACGTCCAATCACTTGACAACGAAAGCGACTGAGACTGAAATTGGCAGTGATGACGATGACGACTATGAAATCGAGAACCTTGACAAAGCGCAATCTGGCGAACACTTCAACTCCGTACTCACGGCAGATACCCTTGAGCTTGGTTACATCGATCTCATTGACCGCGTTTGCCATGAATTGGAACGCAACCATCCCTTGATCAGAGTCGTCCGCATCGCTGAATTGGAATATCTTGGATGGTTCCACAACAAGACGTCCATCCTCGCTCGCCTAGCCTCCAAAGAAGAAATTGCATCCGGAAAGTTGCTACTCACCGGAATAGCATCGGCTTACCATGACCTTGGCTCCGGTTTGTGCATACAACCCGTCGGCTTGATAACGATGATGCTTGGATGAAGAAGATGAGCGACTCCGAAGCAAAAGAATTCTGGACGCGATGTCAAACCTTCAGAAATGAAAACACTGTTTACATTGCCAACGTCAGACTCTGGGGAAAGACCTTTATCAACGCAAACAAATCGGCCAAAGTGCAAGAACAAGAACGACAAGCGCGAAAAGAGAAGCTCGAGGCCCTTGAGGCACGGTGTAAAGACATGCGCCCATACTACGAAAGCATCCAGAACATGGTCTGTGAGGATCGCGCCGTGCTATCGGCGAATCAAAAACGCTTCGGAATTCGTGCAAATGTATTCGAGCGCGGATTGGAGTATGTCGCGACGATAACGGCGACGGATGCTGCGTGTTGGGAGCCACCGGATCGAACATAAACGTGCCGTGGGCTTGAATCGTTATCTCCTTTTCATTTCTCTCATATCGAAGTGTCGATTTCGGTGCGTCATATCGTGGTCAGATACGGTGAGCGCACTTATTACGTTGTGGTTGCTTATATAGGGTGCAAATCTGGTACATTCGCTTTTCTATCAAGGTCATATCTTGGTGCACTCTTCCTATATCGGGTGCAGATCTGGTGCTCCTGCGCGTATATCGAGATCAAACCTTGGTGAGCCGTTCAGTGTAACGTAGCATTACATAGTCGCAGAAATGCTTAACATCACGATCAACCTTCTTCGTTAATTAACAGGCAACACAATAACATCTATTAGGTTCAGGTTGGGTGTAACACAAATGTGATAAGATTGAGACGAAGAGTGGACGAGTCACGAACGCATGGAAGGGCTGTGTCGACGCATGGCATACAGAAGTATACAGATTGGGCCGATTGGTGCTCAGGGATAACGGATGACCAGCCCAGTTCGTGAATCCTCGATGATATCTCGGTCACGTGCGCAAGCGCACAGCGCGCAACAGTACGCGTCTAAACAATACTTAGGCTAAACCTCTTAAACCTAGCTAGAGCTTAATCTAAACTATTAGCAATTAACTTTTAGCCTCTTAGTAGTCTATAGTTCTCTTCTCTATTAGATACAACTTTAGTATACCTGTGCGATAGCTCCCTGAGCGTAGCCCTTACATCACTTAGCAGTCTTTTATTCGTTTTTACGGGTTTGCATCCACCAGATGGTTAACACGAATAGACTGACAAGTTTAGTGATCTAGGTGCAAAAAGCAAGCCGCACTCCACTTTTCTTACATTCTTTTTGTCTGTCATCTCCACCTGCACTCGATCGGCGAGGGCCGACCCATACATTGTGCATATGCATATGTGCCAAGAGGGGTGAACGGTGTGTAAACGGGCCGATGTGTTGGATTCCCACGTATCCAACTAGAAGTCTCCTTAGCATCTGCAGCGATTCTTCATATAGTAATTTTACTGAGTTCTCCTTGAATCTTTTTAAGCTGAAAAAAAGGTAACTTCACTTTTATTAATTTATACTCTCGGATTACCCTTCTTTCTTGTAAAGGATAAAGGGCACTACATTACACTTGATGCATATAAAATGATGCACCTTTTTTTCTCTTTGATGCACAAGCTAAGGATCCTGCAGTCCCACACATATTCGATGGATACGAAGCGTGCGATGGTGTGCTGCACAAGCAATGCAGGCATGTATCTATCTACATGCACAGTGCAGTTCAGTGACAGTCAGTTCTTTCACGAATACTACAGCCCCACTTTCTTCAGCGCTAGTCTTATGTGGCTTGCGTAGCTTATGTGTTGCAGTGCAGCACGGTTTCTGTTCCTTCAAGTAGCATACGAGGTTTCTCACCGCTGCTGTTGTGTAACACAATCTTACTCCCACAATCCAGTCTAGATCATCTCCAACATATGCTTCGCAGCACGAAAAAAAGCAATGCTATTCCAATCATAGTGCTGCTCCGAAGAGAGGAGCCCATTTGCAGTTTTCATACAGACGATTTCCAAAAAGCAACTAGGCAACAGATGGGTGCATATCGAAGTATATTCCTAAGGTCTTTGGACTTTCAGGTTTACTCAAAGAACAAGGACGAAGTATAAAGCATCTGGCGTTTCCTATCGATTGTCAGTCCCCAATCTACACTCAACCATCTCTGCCTTCAAACACGATTCTCCAAGCATTTGAGAACTTCTTCGATACTTTGCATACTACGTCAGTCGGGATGACGAACAAAACCCGTGACTATGGTGACTTGAGAGTCACGCTTACCAAGGACCTCGTATGGAAGTGGAATGAGAAGGGTACAGGTGCTACCCGGTATGGAGAGTTCTATCTTGCGAACTCCCAAGGTGCAATGCGTCCTGTGGGATCTTTTGGTCAAGACAAATGGGATGACCAGAAAGATAAGAGAGCTACGCTCCTAGTTGGAAACGTTCCTGGGAGTTCTGGGAAGCCAGCTGTTGCAAGCCCTACTAGTTACGACTGGGTGTGGGACGACCGAGGCGGCGCCGGCAAGTATGATGGCACAGTCTGGCGACCTGTTGCGCCTTCTGGGTATGTCTCGCTGGGGGACGTCTGGACAAGCAGCTACGAAAGTCCATCAACCGATGCGATATGGTGTGTTCGATCGGACTTGACTATGCAATCGCAATACAACCCGAACAGCCTCTGGGACGACACAAAATCCGGAGGTAATCACGACTGTTCAGTGTGGTCGATTATTCCCCCTCAGATTAGCGTAGGCGGATCCGAGAAGATTACAGTCCTTTCCGATTGCCACAGGGCTATCAAAGCATATGGACAGCCTTCCTCGGACCTTGCCAGGGTTCTGGTACTTCCTTGTCCAAAGGATTTCAAATCTTTCAGTGCAAGACCGCCAAAATTCACCAAGGACACAATCCCACGCGAAGGAGATCTGTTTAGTGAGCTGGATCAGTGTGAGGTTGAATTACCTTTCACGGCGTTTTTTCCGCCAACACATGTCACGAGCCTGGGTCTGATTTCTGATCCTTTTTGCAAGCTTGGGAGACGTACTGCATGGTTGGTTGAAAAACGACACTCCAACAACGGTGGAGGTACTATCATTGACGAGAAGACAATCAAGAAAGGTATCTCTAAGTCGGAGTCACAAGAGATGGTGCACTCAGCTGGTGTAGAGATTACTGCATCCTTTGGTATAAAGGCTATGGGTGGAGGCGTAGACGTCAGTCTCAACTATCAGTTCACCTCGACAAAATCCTCTTCGTATAACGAATACGAGGAGTTCACCGACAGACGACAATACAACGTTCCGCCCTACACCTGTTCAATATTCCTCACTGAACGTGTTTGGCTCGTAGCTACTCGCGCTGACGGCTCTTTCACTCTATCGGAGATCCAATACAACACTACCGACGGCATGAACATCGAGGAAGTCAAGCTGAGCTGAATCAAGTCCGCAGCTGTTATGTTTAAGTTGTATCTGTCGCTCATTATCATGTACCGGTCCCATTGTTCACTCGCTTAGAATGTACACGTCCTGCTTCGGTCGCTCATCATTACGTATTAGCTATCCAATGCACTCATTCAGAATGTACACATCCCAATTTGGTTCTGAATTCTGGAGAACTGCAATGATACTACAACCTTCGTTCTCTATTGCTGCTAGTAGTTAACATTAGCTAGAAAGCGCCCTGCAATAGAACCAATATTACACACTCTGCGAAGCAACCACTTTTGGTAGTCCAGGAGCAGACTGTTTCGCTAATCTTTCCGAAAGCTTCAACTTGCTTCTTTACTTGTCGGATCATCCCGTAGTTCGCGCAGATTTATCTCAGGGACGACCCGGTCCCTGGCTTCCTCTGGCTGGACGAGGAGAAGATATTCCACTTGGTCGCGAATGAATCATCGCAATGCCTGCATGTGCAGCTCCAGACTTTCGTATGATAGCCGCTGGCCGTTATCTAACCAATGGACATAGCCAAGGGACGTGATCTGATCCCATGTCTTTCGGCCAAAAGTGCAAAGTTTCAAGGCCCAGTGCATAAGTGAACGGCTAGATGATACCATTAACCGACCCTGCATTTCATCTAGAAGTTCTCCAGGAAATTCCACCTCACCCGATTCTGCTGCGACAACTGCGCGTTGCATGACGAGGAGTTGTGCTATCTTGACGAAGGCTGACAAATGGTGGGTGAAGTTTTCTGATTCACGAAAACCTTTGCGCTCTTCATTGACGCCGTGACAGCAGATAACCGACGACCACTGTGATGGGCTAGAGCCTGACTCAACCCGCGTTGACTGGCGCGCCGTCGTCATTCTCATCTAAGCTCTCACACAATAAACTCAGGGTACCATAAGCACGGAGCAACCCAGCTACCTTCCGATATCTTCGTGTGGGACAGGTCAAAACATGACTACTCGGCGCCGCGAAGGAATTCGGCATTGTGGCACAGTCGTGGCGCAGTCGTGGCGGTGAACGTTGGGCGATTCAGCCTAATGGAAACGACACGAGGCACCTCTTCGTCCACTTCAACGACAGCCTTTGATCATGCTTCCAATCCTCCATGTTAGAGTCTTGATTCTGGAACAGGCTATGAGATGTTCACCTCACCGCCCATCGTGGAGTTGCCTCAGGCAGACTTAGGATCCCTTGTCGCGGTGATGGCTTTCGGCCCTGTTGGCACCGCGTCGTGCGCTGCGCCTGCTTCACAGTTCTGCCTGGACGAGTATACGGTATAAAGATGTCTTGCATCTCTAGTCAGATTGAACATCGTCAGAGTGGTTTGATCAGGCCTCGTTCTTATCTTTGAAACACGCACACAATGTCACTTCGCACCACTCCCGTCGCTAAGGCCGTCCCTCCCACTACGTCGCCGAATGTTGCAGGCCAGACGATCAATCTGAACTTCGTTCCCGATGATATCCACCACCTCATTCTCTCCGACATTGTGGACACATCACCCGCAGACTTACTGAATGTGGCGCAATCGTCCGGGGTCTTGCACTATGCTGCATTGCCATACATATACCGCAACATCACCTTGAATGGAGAATCAACGGCGTACCAGGCGCTCGTGGAGAAGATCTGTAACGATGAGCATGGCAATATCACGAGGCATGTTCGTAGTATCACAGTCAAAGACGAGGTACCGTCTGCAGACCTGATCACGATACTCAGCAAGACTTCGCGGCACCAAAATCTCCGATCACTCAAGTATGTTCCTTCGCGCTGTTTGAAGTATTAAACTGACTCGGGTAGTTGGGAGACCTCGACACACATGTCTCCTGCAGTACACGACATGATCCATGCGATGTGGCCGAAACCTGAGATACGCGTCCTTGTCGTAGACCGCAAGATGGCAAAGAGCGTTGCACATCGTCAGATGGACATGGAGCTCCTGTCATCTCCGCTTCTTGTTAGCTTAACCTACGAGGTATACATGCAGGGCTACGCCCCTGAGCACCCTTGCCGATCCGAGTGGCCCCGACTCTCCCAGGCCCTGGCGACCGGTGGCAACGTCAGATCTCTTCGGCTCCAAGTCTTGCAAGACGGTCACAACCGTTTTACACCCGATACGGAGCCAGCGAAGATACCGCGCCTCGATCTCACCACCGGTATGCGCCTACCTCTACTGGAGGAGATGACTCTTCAGACCTTGAGATATCATGGCCAGACGGCCTACCTCTGGGATCCTGACTATTGTCGCACGTTCCGTGATGCTATCGACTGTTCTCGGTTGCGCAAACTTGATTTCGGTAGCGAACACCCTGAGAACTTCTTTGCTTGCTTCGAAGGGTCTTGTCCGCAACTCAAAACGTTGAGTTTTGGGGTGAGGGAGGGTGATACAGCACCTGCGAGGCGGTTCATTGAGTCGCTCGATGCACTTGAACATCTGGATCTATCGCGAGCGCAAGCGGGAATCGACGACCTTTGGCCCGCTATTGAGCAGCACAAGAACACACTGGAGACACTGATTCTTGGGCCGACATTCGAATCTTATTGCAAACATGTTCCGATGGGATTAGACCGCCTGGAGGATATCGCCTCAAGATTTCCCAAACTAAAGAGACTAGGTTGGGACGCACCTTGCAAACGCAACGTGAGTCTCACCCATTGAAACCATACCGCATTTGCGCTGACCATACTCTTAGATCGATGCAAAACATCTCGCAGTTCTGTCGAGCCTGAAGCTCACGAAACTTGATCTCTGGCTACACATCCCTGGCGAAGCAAACGATTACAGCGAGGAACTTGTACAAGATATCTGGGGCAACATACCCCATCCGAAGCTGAACAAAGAGGGTACTGTTGCCTCTGCGACAAGTATTGCAGATCATCTTTTGGAGTCGTCGCAAGACGCTTTTAAGTGGCTCACTCTTCATGTCTCGCGAGTGGGGGCTTCGGACCGCTGCCAAACATATATGATGTATTCGAAGCTCCAACTCAGACTGAATGGGAGTGCCGATCAGATGCGAGGAGATACGTGGGATGTGCGCGGGAAGCTGGATTGGTCTTATGAATCTAATAAGTTAGCGGAAGATCTGCAGTTTGAGCAGGAGTAGGGAGATGACGGCCAGGACGAGGTACAAAAGAACTTCTTCCTTTCGATTTGAGCCTACATGTATTCTCTTTCTCATCCCGTCGTATGCTCCTCCGTTATTTCTGGTGATGCTAGTTATGATTGGCTCGTCTTATCTATGGGTCATATGTGAACCACGGAACAGCTATAGGTGTCGCATGTTTGGTAGCGAACGGCGCAGTCATCCATCTACTTGAAAAGTTTTGCCTCCAAAATATTCGTCCGTCGTATCCATTATCTCTCCTCACAGTACTCGCTACGATGTACGAACATGAGCTAGAAAATCGGAGTGATGAACAAGAGGTGATAGTCGTCGATCAGACGCCCACACGAGAGCAGAGTGAGGCTGCACGACGCGCAGAGAAATTTGAGAGAAGAGCTATGAGAAAACGCATAGCACTTCTCGACCAAGCGCTTGCACGCGCGAGGGAGAAGGCATACAAGGCACATTACCGGGCGGTCAATCTGGGCGAAAAGGTCGAGGAGGAACGGACATCCCTCGTCGAGGACTTGCTTCCATACCACAGGCGCAAGGCGGCAAGATCGAAACAAAGAGCCAGAAAGCACCACACGGAGCTTCTTGACCGATTCTTCCGACTGCCTAGAGAGATCCGCGACTTGGTATATCACCACGCCTGGAGCGGCACAATGACCTCCTTCTACCAAGAGCTGACATGGAACTTCTCGGAGCACGATCCAATCCCTTGGGGCCCAATCGTTACGGCCGAGTATTCATGTACTGGTCCATACAGGGCTAGCCTCATGTCGGTATGCGATCTTGTAACACCAGAGAACGGAGGCACCTGCAAGGGACCTAGACACGCCCAAGAGTATGCATGGATATGGACGACCCAGCAGATCTTCTCGGAGTCTACGGAGCAGTTTTATCGCTATACCCAGTTCACACGATCTGCGCGGGCTGAGGCCCACTACTATCATATGTGCGCGCATATTGTTCCAAGGCACAAGTTGTATGAGTCGGCGTACGCTTTTCCGAACATTCTCCTGGCACGCCACGTATTGCTCGATGTGGGACACGAAGCATCTCTTCACATAGCCAACGATGGCATACTGGCCTCGATTCTGGAACTGCTGGCTATGGCGAAGAAATGTAAGGAGAAGAAGGCGCTGCGGGTGAGTTGGAAAACGAACACAACGGACACAAAACCATTTCACCTCAAAGATTTGGTTCCTGCAAGTACGCCTCACTCGATGGCTGCAAGAGCCTTCGAAGAGTTGGTGTTGAGAGATCTGGAGCGGGTAGGATGGGAGATCACGATCGATAACCATCCAACGATACAATAATAGCGCAGAAGGACACAAGCCACTTCGTCGAGTTTGAAGGTGAAGGCGATGGCGCAGCGAAAGACGCGATAACCTAGATGCAAAGGTGTTGTTGCCAGCGCCCACTTAGATAGTCGCAAATATGATGACATCTCTACCTCATCCTAGCCGTTCCCTTGGCTCATCGACCTACGAAACCAGCGAGCTTTCTTCTCGGCTGCATTTCTGGCGCGCATCGTGACTGATGACCCTGGAAAGACCATAGTATCCCACAAATGCGGTGGGATGACGACATCATCTTTCATCAGATCGTACTGTCCGGTTTCGACTAGCTGGGAGACTACTGCTACGCCAGAGCTGATCTTTGCAATGAAATCGCTCATTCCCTACTTTGCTTAGTGGGGGTATCTTCACGAAGCTTGAACGAGCACTCACCTCCCAGGTACTACCCGAATGCCATGGGCATGAGAATTTGCGGCCAAGGGGGTCTTGGAATAGGATTGGTGCAGCCGCATTCTGCGCCCGCTTCCTTGCTACCTCTAATTCTTGCGCCGCTTCTTTCGCGTCCTGAAGGGCTCTCGCATGCGCGGCCTCTATTTCCTTCCGCTCATCTGCTGCCTTCTCTTCAGCCTCTTCCCTTGCTCTTTGCGCAGCGTCTAACAAGAGTTTCGCTTTCTCAGCTGCTTCTCGCTTTTCATCAGCTATCCTTGCAGCTTCTGTGTCAGCTGCTGCTGCTTGATCCGCCGCGCGTGCCGCATCTTGAGCTGCTTCTCTCTTGAGTTGCTCGTCCTTCTGGGCTAGGATTAAACTTTCGAGTTTTGCGAGTTTGTCTTCATCTCCACGTCTTTTTGCCGCAGCAAGAGCCTCTGCCTCTTTTGTCTTCGCAGCAGCAGCAGCTTCTGCCTTTTTTGTCTTTGCCAACAGTCTATTCTTTTCAGCTGTCGCTTGAGCTGCCAAGAGGCGCTCTATCTTGTCGAGCCCATCTTCTTCCCGCGTGCCCCTCTCAACACTCTCTTGAGACACCAATCCTTCTTCTTTAGGTGGCTGCCTTCCCTGGCTTAACATGGTTTCCGGCTCCTGAAACGAAGAGCGTGGAGGGGGTGTTACATGCTGCGACGATGTGACATTCGGCAGCCGTGGTGTTGAGAGAGCGCCTTCTAGTAGGATAGAACTATCTTGCTTTAAGGCTGTATGTTCTAACTCAAAAGCGTGGTCGGGTTCACGGGAAGGAAGGGCCGAAATTGACGATTCTCTCGTCACGCCATTAAGCAAAGGAGTGACTTTGGATCTGTCATTGTGCATGGCTTCACTACCATGACCAGTATAGCTAGCTCCACGCGGTATGTTTCCCTGCGGTTGGTCATCGCGTACAAGCCTTTTGATTTGATCTTGGGGCGATACATCCGGGTATGTCCTCGCATCAGCTCTCGAGCTGCCGCCTTCGGTCGCGACAGAACGCTGTCCAAATTCACGTGCATCTGATCCCCCGGTGGCAGGTATGGACGAGGTACCCTTGCTTGCAGTATAGTCCGCTCGCTTGTGCGCAAAAGTATTCTCGGACGCATTCCAGCTCCACGTTGCGTTGAGGCTCGGAGAATCTAGCACATCCTTTGCCAGCGCACAAGACCTTTGCTGCATCTCGATGATGTGAGTACAGTCACGAGCTGCCTGGAGGGGATATTCGTCATCCTCAAAGTGTTCGTTATTGATAAGTGTTTGATCGTGTAGCGTTAGGCCGCGCTCTTGAAGAGGTTGAGGAGTAAGCACGACCAACTCTCCCCCAGCTCCTTGTATCGCATCTCCAACCTCTGTTGAAGCGCTGGAATCTAAAGTGAGCGGAAAAGATGAAGCTTCTTCGTGATTTATCTCCTTATGATGATGCAGACACTCCGTAGCGTCTTCCGCAAACTTAATGTTGCTCTCAAGCTGCACTTTGAGACTATCGCTGTACAGACGTCAACCATCGTACTGCAATTGTGATTTTTTGCTACATACCTGATGGATTCCGGGGTATCTCGCTGCAGCACAACGGCCAGGTTCATCGTGGAGACAAGCACGATGATAGTAGTCTTGAACGAATCCACTAAGCTCTTCACAAACATAACCTTGGGGCCTACTTTCATCCATCTAAGACGAAACCGTAGAAGCGACATGGTGAACGCAAGTCGTGCCGTGTCACGTTGAACTGGCTCTCCAATGAGCATTCTTAGATCTTCGATAAGTGTCCTGCACGCCGCGATTAAGACGACGGTGATCTCGCGAAGCTTCTCTGTCTTCGTATGGGGGAGATCCACGACCATACTCAACTGTGTGAGAAAGCTCGAGAAGACGGAGATATCAGCGGCAATCATTCTAGCCTCATACTCCGCTGATTTGATGACATTGGCGACTTCAAGGAGCGTTCTGGCTAGTTGCGCGCTCGCGCCAGCCAGAGTGATGAGTGAAGCTGCCAACCCGATGATCTCCGCCATGGTGATGAGCTAGAATCCTTCTACCGCGTCGTTCATGCAGAATGAATAGGGTGCGCCTTTGACTCAGACTGCGGTCTGGTACTGGTTCGGGCTGGTCATTAAGATTGTGCTTTAGTATGCAGTATAATTGCGATGGCTTTGATAACCGTGTCGTTAACCCATCGAGCGTTAGATGTCTAGGTGTCGCATGCTGTCCAGCGTGTGTCGTGAATATGATGAAGATTAAGCCAGGCTGTAGAGACTGCGCGGAATGTCACAGCTCTTGTAATGATGTATCGAGTAATTCCCAAAGTCATGAGAGCTTCCTGTCGCTGTTCTGCTGCTCCACCTCCCCAAGGCTGAGCTATGTACATGTATTCCATTGGCTGCACCAGGTCGCATGCAACGCGCATGTACGTGCCCCGCACTGGTAAGCACCTGCCTTCTTCCTGACAGCGAGTACTCAGCCATGCTGCAGCACCTCCCAGGATAAGGCGAGGCAGAAACTAAAGGCTGATGTTGCTATTAGCGATGAATGAGCCTGGCGTGGGGTATGAGTTGGAGATGCGGCCGAAGTGTAGTACTGCGGCGACGCGAAGCGGACGAGGGACTCAGAGCTTCCGAAATCCACATCACATCCATCCTATCAGGTCCCGAGGTCGTCTTGAATCAGAAATACCATCAGCATGAACCGAAGTAAACATATGCAATAATCGCGCGGCGCAGGCAAGTGAGTCGCACCCTATGCAACTTCCGCAGCTTTCGTCTCAATCTTAATCTCCGGGCCCTCAATCTTCTTCACCTTCCTCCCCTCCCACCACGACATTATCCCCGCGAACATCGCAACCCCACACCCCAGCGCAATAAACGTTCCCGTCGCCCACGTCGGTCGATCCAACCGATTATAATGCCACATAAAGAAACAAAGCACAGCCTGCAACAGCGTATTCAACACCATCATATTAACTGTAAACGCCAACTTCCACATACTTGTCGGCGGCGCCCTCTCCCCCGTAAACGTCTGCGGCATCAAATCTTCCTCCCCGCGCCACCCCTCATTCTCCGTGAACCACGCCGGCGGGCGGAACCAAGCTTTATTCTGGTTCCAAAGCCGGC